TTTTCACTTTCAGGAGCATTCGTGGTTATTCGAGGCTTCTTTGGATAATATCTCTCCATAATAGCAAATATACAAATTCAAACCAAAGTACACAATAAATCATTTATTTGTTCTAAAGCAGTAAATCAAATAGGATATTTGACACATAATCAAACAATAAACCAAAAATATGCTCTCAACCAATGAATCAATTCTCTGTTCTAGTTTCCCAATCCATACAGCCAACTCTAAAACCTAATTCTCAATAACTAAACTAAAACCAACTCAAGACATGAAAGTCAATCAAAGTTAAGAAAGCAGGGACGAGCACCCCAAGCCCAACGAATGGATACACCACACAGCAGTTGATTTTTATCGCCGGCTAACCGGCTTATTGTCGATTTCAAAAGCTCAAAGAACACTCACCAATGAGAGGAATTGGAGTCGGAATCGGAGTTGAAGATAGAGACTACGCAAGATACGGTGGTTGACGATGGTCACTCGAGTAACCAGCGGAGGAATGAACGAGTTGAGGGAGGAGGTTGCACCATTTTTGCTTCGTACAGGGGAGAGGGACGAGGAAGAGGAAAGTCGGCAGTAGTAGAAATAGGGCTTTGGATGGGGGAAATAGACGAGGTCGTTTAAATTTAAGTAAACTAACATGTACAGAAAGATAAAAACAAGTTAAACGCTAATAATGACATGACAAGGAGTAAGTGGCGTGATGGCTGAAGCAATTTGTGGATTAAGGAAGGTCACCAGTGTGAAACTTCATTCCAACAGGTGTAATAAGTATATTTTTTAGCTGGCCCTTGCCAGCCCAAGGGGGTGCAACCGACCTCCCTTGGGTGGCTGTGGCTCCGCCACTGGCTGCATATTCTGATTCGTGAGCGAGTTCGGATTCCTGGATTCTGCTTACATCAGTACCTATCACCCTTAGTGAAAATAAATTGGTTTGATACACTTGTGTTTTACTGATGACCTTTTGATTTTCACTAGGGTCAACTTATCCTTTGACTCATTATCCTTACACTGAGTCAAACATTTACAAGAATTTTTTTATGTGTTAGATGGTATTATTTTTCTCGCGGTTGCCACTGTGAAGGACCATGAGGTAGACCGCAAGAACTTCCGTGCTTCATGTCTACAGACTCTTCAGGATCGCGACTCGAGCTATCGAAGATCGCGGCTGTGATCCTTGTGCATTAGTTGTGATCTGTTCGTGGCTTTTATTTTCGCGGCCATGATATTACCATGGATGTGATCTTCCATTTCAGTGTCTTTTTTTCATTTCTCCTAGACTTGTGCTTGGATTCTTGGATAATAATACTCAAAACTTGAAATGTCACCTAAAAGATAACAAATGTGCATTATAAAGTAATCTTAGGCTAAATCAAGAGTTAAATGCTCTTTGGATGCTCCTCATTAAGCCACCTAAGAAATGAGATCTATATAACACCATATAGGTTTTATCAAATTCTCTCACACTTAGACGTTTGCTTGTTGCTAAGCAAACACCTGACTAAAATATGGACTTTTTCCAGAAATACCACTGTTTTAAAAAAGAATTCCAAAAATACCACCCAACCCCAAAAAATTTCAAAAAAACCACCCTTTTTCAAAAACCGTCACCCCACCCTGCGGTTTACACGAAAACCGCTGGGCGGGGGTGCGGTTTCCTATGCAAACCGCTGGGCTAAGGGGCGGTTATAAAAACCTGACCAAACCGCTGGGTGGGGCGGCATCTCGAAAGTTCCGAAATCTATGATTGATGCCTCTTCTAGTGAATTCAGAAGTTTTTCTGCAAGTGTAGGCGAAAATGTTCTCGAAGCCAAACCGCCACCCCACCCAGCAGTTTGGTCCATTTTTTTTATCATCTCCTAACTTCGGCCGAAACTTCAAACGAACGTAACTTTGCACTCGGGTATCCGATCGTAGCGATTTTCTTTTGAATCCAAATAACTTTTTGAGATCTTGCAATCTGCAAACGCCGTAGGCGTTTTGGTCCCGCCTTCGTCTCGAAAAAACGTCATTTGCTACCCCGAACGAGCTTTTTTTTATTTCGTCAAACTTTGGGCGGCCTTAACTTTGTGCTCCAAAATCCGAACGTCATGAATTTTTTTTTATTCCGCATAACTTTTTGAGATCTACAACTTTTAAGATAATCATAATTTCGAAATGTACATGGATTTGTGAAAAGTAAAGGTTAAGTTATTCCCAAGGTCCTGTATATCCACAACTAATTCCTTTTTTGAAAATCTCATCCTAGTAAAAGTTGTAGATCTCGAAAATTTATTTGTATTAAAAAAAATTCATGACGTTCGGACTTTGGAGCACAAAGTTAAGGCCGCCCAAAGTTTGACGAAATAAAAAAAAAAGCTCATTCGGGGTAGCAAATGACGTTTTTTCGAGATGAAGGCGGGACCAAACTGCCTACGGCGTTTGCAACTTGCAAGATCTCGAAAAGTTATTTGGATTCAAAAAAAAAATCGTTACGATCGGATACCCGAGTGCAAAGTTACGTTCGTTTGAAGTTTCGGCCGAAGTTAGGAGATGATAAAAAAAAATTGGACCAAACCGCTGGATGGGGTGGCGGTTTGGCCCAAAACCGCCGCCCCACCCAGCGGTTTGGTCAGGTTTTTATAACCGCCCCTTAGCCCAGCGGTTTGCATAGAAAACCGCACCCCCGCCCAGCGGTTTTCGTGTAAATCGCAGGGTGGGGTGGCAGTTTTTGAAAAAGGTGGTATTTTTGGAATTTTTTAGGGTTGGGTGGTATTTTTGAATTTTTTTTTTTAAACAGTGGTACTTTTGGATTTTTCCCCTGAAACATGCAACTCAAAGTCGTCAACGTCTCTTCTCGATTTGTTTCTTAGGAGACGGGTTACTAATGACTAGAAATGCATAGTTTTCATGTCAAAGTTCAAATCCATTTAGGAAGTTATGACTAAAATGTAACTTGATTGGAGAACAATACAAGATGCAATATCACAACTCATAGGTGTAAGCAAGTGGATTGAATGCTCAAAAGGTTCTCTTCTCTAGTTTCTCCTCAATTGTTATTCTCTTTTTGTAAATTTTACTTTGGGTTATAGCAATTTTGTTATATTTATTTTTATCTCAGGATAGCAAGTAGGGGAGTCTCTTTTAGCGCTCTTTCCACCTACCTATACTTGAGCCTTATGTGGAGGGGCCACAACATGAAGGATGACCGACATTCGAACGATAGTGAGCCTAAGCTAAGCGGAGTCCCCATGTGAATTACCCTCTAGTAGGCATGTGATCTAGAGTAGCCAATTTTTGCATTACTAATACTATGTATGCTTGAAAATATCTGATTGGTGCCTCACATGTAGACCTTTCAAGAACGAGCTATAACCCTCTTTATTTGTCTGAAAATTTTAAGTTGGGAGAAAGCACAAAACCAAGTAACTTTCATCGAACCTGCACCTTGGAGTCAAAATTTTCAAACAAGCAACATATCATCCAAACACCTTTCAAACATAAGAGTCATGACATGTCGAAGAAACAAAAATTGGCACTTCATTTTCTGACATTTTATGCACTACATTCCTTGACATTGATCGAGTAGGAGAAGCAAGGTTCATCGATTCAAAGCAAGTAGTCACGTTGTAAGCTACGGGGCTTACTTGGAACCCTCAAAATTTGAAATTTTAGGAGCAATAACTTATTTTCTAAGTAAGTTCTTATGATGTCATCTAACCATCACAAACCATTCAATTTGATCACATTCTCGCACTAAGGATATCAAGCTTTCATCATTCAAGGAAAATACTACTCTTGTGATGTCAGCTCCGGTTGTCTCCTGCAAAAACAATATGCCGACCAATCTCGACAAGGACACTCTCTAACGCTCAAGTTAAAGAGTTGTTCCAAGAAAGAGGAATATGACCTCAAAAAGAAACGCGTGGGGAAGGAGTTGAAAGTGAATATCTTCACTAATCATAGCGGGAGTTTACGACTCTAGGCATGAGTTTTTTTTTTCTTACCTTAACCCGGATTGATCGCAGAGAGGTGAAGGTAACCCGAGGTTATGGACAATGTGGGTGGCTGGAGTGACCTAGGGTGAGCGAGGTTACCTAGGGTGATTGGTCAAAGTGACCTTAGAGAAGACAAGGTGAACCGGGGTTATGGACCATGGAGATGGCTGGAGTGAACCGAGGTTGGCCGAGGTGAATCGAGATGATTAACCTCCGGGGTGGCCAGAGTGACCTTGGAGTGGCCAAACTGACTCAGAGGTTATGGACCCTTGGGGTGGCTAGAGTGACTCCAAGGTGATTGACTTCGGGGGGTGGTCGGAATGACCCGTAGTGAGGAAGGTGACCCTGGGTGATTGACACCGGAGGCGGCTAGAGTGACCCTAAAGTGGCCAAGGTGACCCGAGATTATGGACCCCGGGAGTGGCCGGAGTAACCCTAGGATGGCTGAGGTGACACGGGGTTATCGACCCGAGGATGGCTAGAGTGAACCTGGTGGTGAGGTTATTGTCTCCGCTAAATAAAAAAATTACTTAGGGTCCACCATCGGGATTGGAAAAAAATCAGCTGGAAGGTCATCAGTATGAATTGGTAATGGAAACTAGTAAAAAAATGTTCAAAACTAAGAGTACAAAAAGGAAGAAATTTGTCAAATCCAAATATGAATATTTAGATGTTAATGTTATCTATTCGATCCAAGTATAAGTATTTGGATGTTGATATTAAATATTGCATTTAAATTAATAATTTATCATTTTATTTAAAAAGGAATGAAAAGTAATGTAACTTATTAAAATAAATTGTACAAATCTACAATTTGATGTTGATAGTGTTGCTTTGTTAAAATAGGGAGCAGATCTCATGCATAACCTACTGGTCAATAACCATGTGTAATCCATCCAGAATCCGCCACATTAGCGCCTCTTTCTCTCCTGGAAAGCCTTTAATCTTTAACAGACGATTTCTCTCTCGTTTAAAGTCAAAATTTAAATTTTTTATAGATAATTGTGCTCTTCAAAATAATATCCACTTTGATATATTTTTTGAACAAAAAAATGAGGCATTTTTTACTAGTCTATACCATAGTGGTATCGATTGATATTAAAATAAGAGCATATCATATGGTATGAAAGCGTATCATGGTAATATGAACATACCAAGACTGTTGGATGGTTGAAACATGATAGTAGGAGTATACTAACTGTTATTTACGACTTTCAACATTGTGTACCACAAGATACCACCCCGCATACCAGGGTGGTATTATGTGGTATTTTTTTATCCTTTATTTTTTCATCCATAAATTTGTAGATCCAATAGAGCATGATGAATTCGTTCCTTCTATGCAAAAATTTTCAAAAATGACTTAAAACGAAGGAAATACCATATGGTATGAAGTTGGTAACGTGAGGTATGAAAAAAAATCTCAAAAATATTGTAAATGGATATGATTTTGTAGAGCACAACGAACGCGTTCAATCTGTGCAAAAAAAAAATTGAAATCCGAGTTAGAACGAAGAAGATAAAAGCCAATTTGAAAATTAGAGAGAATATAATATCTTTAATTCCCCATTTAGATATATGAATTTTCTGGACTAAAAAAATATCCGAATTTAGTTATACAAATATGCATGACCAAAATTCATACACCCTCACTTGAGTCAATAGATAGTTGTACCCCAATCATAGCACACTCATAACCGTATAAATGGGAAAAAGTTAATCTGCTAACTTGAAGATTCGTTAGCAGATACTAACTGATATCCAAAATATATGAACTAGTATCCAAGTACTAAAGTATCTAGAGAGCACAGACTAGTATTCAAGGTTTGCTAACTGATATCCACCATGAATCAACTATTATCCCAAATTCACAAATTAATATCTAGACAACACTGAATAATATCCATACAACACATAATTAGTATCAAGATAACACATAAGAGTATCCATATTGAATACTAGTTGTCTGATTGTAGATATTAGTTGGTATCTGCTATCTGGATACTAATTTGTGATGTTTTAAATACTAGTCTGTGCTATCTAGATATTTTAGTAAAATCAACAAACTTAGATACTAATTCATACATTTTGAATATTAGTTAATACTAACAACTTATATAGTCAGCATAATAACTAATTGGGTATAAATGGGCAACATTGAAAAACCGGTAAAAAGGGTTGAATTAAATTCATGATTTTTTTTCCCGTACCGGTACTACTGTACTAGTCTACAACCCCATCTGATTTTACTTTTTAGGAGGAAAGAGGGCAAACACAATTTGGCAAATTATTATGACAAGCCACGCCGACCCTACGCAGAGAAGGGAAGAGAAGTTGTCTCTCCTCTTCCTCTTGCTTCTGTTTTGAATTTTGCCTCTTCAGTCTTCTGCGTCTTCGAATTTTTATTTTATTTTCACCGGGATATACGCATGATTACGATATAGAAGAGTAGTCTCTAGAAAAAGCTAGCTCGACGACAATGGCGGCCTCTAACTAGTTAGAGTTACCTACCTCCTCCTGAACTTACGTTCCCCACCAACCACAAAGTCTCGCTTTTCCTTCTTCCTTCATTCCTTACAGAGGCCCGTACAATCCTCCGATGGCTTCTATTACTCCTCATTCCGCTTCTTTCCAGACCCATCGCGGACGCCGCCGCCGTCTGCATTCCTCGTCGCTTCTTAATTCGTCGTTGTCGCCACGCAGCGTTTCACAGCTTGACTTCCGCCGCCTATCAAGTCCTCCCCCGGCGCCGCGAGCTTTGGCGGCGGCGGCTTTGATCGACGACAGGGAGGGAAACAGAGGACGGAGTAGGCATAGTGGCAAGTTTGCAACGGCGGCCACGAAGAGGAATGTGTTCAGCGAGGGAATAGTTAGCGGCGGCGGTGAGGAAGAAGGAGCGAATTCAAACTCCTTCGAGGACGAACAGTTCGTGAGGTGGTTCCGGGAAGCTTGGCCTTATCTCTGGGCTCATCGGACCGGGACTTTTGTGGTTATTATCTCTGGTGAAATTGTGTCCAGTCCTTACTTAGATGCGATTCTCAAGGCAAGTTCGTTGCTTTAATATCTGGGTAGTCATTTTTGCTGCCCACCAGCTGATCGACGAATTGACCCTTTCAAACTATCTCTTCTTTTTCTTTGTAATCAGTCATTGATGGGTTTTACGCATCTTCTTTTTGCAGGACATAGCATTCCTTCATCACCTGGGAATTAGGTTCGTGATCGTTCCAGGGACGCATGTTCAAATTGATAATCTGTTGGCTGAGAGAGGTAACTTGTTGATGTTGCTCTTGTCTTGCCAAGCTCTTGTGCATCTTCCGCAGTCCCACTCGATGGCAATTTATGAGGTACGATTGCTTATTTGCAGGGCATGAGCCTAAGCATGTGGGGCCGTACAGAATTACTGACCCAGAAGCTCTGGCTGCATCAATGGAAGCGGCTGGCAAGATTCGGGTGATGATAGAGGCTAAACTTTCTCCTGGACCTTCCATATGTAATGTGCGCAGGCATGGTGACAGTAGCAGGTGGCATGACGTGGGAGTCAGTGTTGCTAGTGGGAACTTTCTCGCAGCCAAGGTACATTTTCAATGCAGAACAATTGGTACTTTGAGAGGATAAACCGCTAATTCTTTTTATTGCTTCCTTCTTTATTTGACCATTAGCACAATGGTCAGGCCTTCATCTAAATTCTTTTATGGTGTCCTTTTGTAGAGAAGAGGAGTTGTTGGAGGTGTTGATTTTGGGGCAACAGGTGAAGTGAAGAGAGTAGATGTTGACCGTATGAGTGACAGGCTTGACAGTGGTTGCATTGTTGTGCTAAGCAACTTGGGCTATTCAAGCTCTGGTGAAGTTTTGAATTGCAAGTATGTTGAACACCTCTTTTTCTATATACTCTTGAATGATGAATCATTTCCACAACTAGGGATAACTGTGAATGAAGTTCTCCTTCGTTCAGTGAAATAGTTTGTCCAATATATGATATTTCTTGGATATGCAATGATACTGCATATATTTCTTGTGCGGTGCAACAAAGATGTTTCCCTAATTGTATTGGAAACTGCTGTTTATCTTTCTTGACGTTTTTAGCACATACGAAGTTGCTACGGCTTGTGCCTTAGCCATTGGAGCAGACAAACTTATTTGCATCATGGATGGCCCTATCCTTGATGAGAATGGGCACCTCATTCGTTTCTTAACTCTCGAGGAAGCAGACACTTTGATTCGTGAACGGGCTAAGCAAAGTGAGGTAGCTGCTCATTATGTGAAGGCTGTTGCAGAAGAGGATCCTTCTTCTTCTGTCGAAGATACGGATTCCATTTCCGTAGTTGCCTCCTCACAGAATGGGATAGCTATCAACACGAAACACAATGCAGCATTCCACAATGGTGTTGGCTTTGACAACGGAGGTGGATTGTGGTCAGGAGAACAAGGTTTTGCCATTGGTGGTCAGGAAAGGCTCAGTCGATCGCACGGTTATCTCTCGGAATTGGCTGCTGCAGCTTTTGTTTGCAAAGTAAGTTGAAGATCTCTATGTTGATGTCTACTGGTGTCTGCTTTGTCTTGTGGGCTTACCTTGAATCCTAGTTTTGCCAACCCAAGTGTGCTTGAAAGTGGATACCATAGCAGCAACCTTTGTTTCTCCTATGCTGCTTTCACCTTTCGATATATAATTAGTAAATTTGTAAGACCACTGATACCTATTGTCCTTTTATGGAGTAGCAATTTATTAGGAACACTAACACTATTCTTTTTGGGAATTTGTCCCACCATGATGTCTTTTGGTATTCGAACTTAAATTTATTTTTTGTTCGTACTAGTGAACCTAGGATGGTGCAGCGCAAAGTAGGTTGAATTTTCAGTCCACAAAATCTATTATTGTATTAGTATTTCATGAAACAATGGAAGATCGAGTAAACTTACATTGTTGTATCAACATTTTTTTTTTCTTTCTTCTGATGTAGAGTAAAACTCTTGCTTTGTTTGCTTAGGTCATAAACTTGCATTTGCTATTTCAGACTTACCTATCAAATAGCTTTTATGATTGTTTCATCCCAAAGCCTGCTCTGCTATTCTAGTTATTTCAGAGTCCAGTTCTTCAATATCAAGTGTCACACCCTCTGGCATATCCTCCTTTCAGGGTGGAGTCCAAAGAGTGCATCTACTAGATGGTACAATCGGTGGGGTTTTACTGTTAGAACTCTTCAAAAGAGATGGGATGGGAACTATGGTAGCTAGGTACGTGGCTGTCTATAACTCCATTCAAATCTCATATTCAGAAACACTACCGTTGGTTCTTTGTTTGCCTACTTGCTTATTGCATTTATAAATAGGTTAAAGCATAAATGTGGTAGACCAGGGAAATTATTATGTTATGCCACTTGATTGTTACACATGGTCGTGTGAATTTAAACTTTTGTGTAGTGTTTAGTGATGCTTTCTTTGTGCTGAATCACTTATGCACAATTGATGTCCCCTGTCACAGTGACCTATACGAAGGAACCCGAATGGCTAGACCGAATGACCTTGCTGGAATCAAGCAAATCATACAACCTTTACAAGAAGCAGGAGTGTTGGTTCGAAGGACTGATGAGGAGGTTGTTTACTCCTGCGCTGCATTTTCGTACTGCGATGAACAGCTGGATACTTGCTAGATAATGCCTTTTTCACTTGATCCAGAACTCACTGCTTCACTTTATCTCTATTCAAACTGCGTTGAACAGCTGGATACTTGCTAGATAATGCCTTTTCACTTGATCCAGAACTCACTGCTTCACTTTATCTCTATTTCTGCTTTGCAGCTGCTTAAGTCGTTAGATTCGTATTATGTGGTGGAAAGAGAAGGTCAAATCATTGCTTGCGCTGCTCTTTTCCCTTTCTTTGAGGATAAATGTGCAGAGGTAGCAGCTATTGCAGTTTCTTCTGATTGCCGTGGGCAAGGGCAAGGAGACAAATTGTTAGGTATGTAGGTGCTTGTTCTGAAGTTTTTGCTTTGAAGCCATGAACTCTTGTTCTAAATGGGACTGAACCGGACCATTGTTCTGCAGATTATATGGAGAAGAAGGCATCCTCACTGGGTGTGGAAACGCTGTTCCTCCTTACTACCCGCACTGCAGATTGGTTTGTTATCCATGTCCTTTGTTAAGAAAATACACTGATATTTGCCTGTCTTCTTTTGCTCCAACGAGGGTTGCCATTATTATCCCATTCCCATGAATCCTGTGAATGGTTGGCTTTTATGTTTGTTTGCAGGTTCAAAAGACGGGGTTTCTCTGAATGTTCAATTGACCTGATTCCTGAACAAAGAAGGAAGAGGATTAACTTGTCTCGTAACTCAAAATACTACATGAAGAAGTTGCTTCCTGATACAAGTGGGATAACGCTCACTACCAGGCATTCAGCTGGCAATAAATAGCAATAGCAGATCCCAAGTCGTGACTTAGTAGTTGTACAGAATATAGCTCCTGGCTGGTGTGTTGTAACGGATGCCCTTCGAGGCTCAAAGCTGTATTGGCATTTGGTCAGCGGCTTGACTTGAGAATCAGAACTTGAGCAAACACTCAAGCCAGGAGTTGTTTGTATTTATCCTATTGTATATTTTTGTCAGAAGAAACGGAATAAATGTAGCTGTGGAATGTCGTCTTTATGGTTTGGCCCCGCAATCTACTGTTGTATGAGTGAAATGCTGTTGTTGAACCACATCGAAAGTGCACGAACCAACTTTCTATCAAGAGTTTAGTACAAAATATCCTACCACAGATTTTTCCGGTATAAACCTCCGGTGGTATGATTTTAAAATCCTTGGCTTATTGCGATACTTTTCTTCCCAAGAACATCTCAATACAGATGACTGAACTTGTACAAAGATTAGACTCAAGAATGTGAAGAGCTAGTCGTTGCATTATTACTGTAACCAGACAAATCTGAAGCAAAATACAGTGTTGCCACTTGCCACCGGCTGAGAATCTTGCAGTGGGGGAAAAGGTAAAGACACTCAAATTTGTGCAACTTTTGTCCTACTAGGGAACCATGCCAGCGGCAGCTGATAACCAGAATTATTTTCCCTCAGCTTCTGGCAAGCCCTTGAACTTGAAGTTGTCAGCGTATGACTTCGGCTGAAAGTGAAAACAAAAAAACTCAAACAATGTTAAATCATGCAGTTTAATTTGAATGAGCCATTAGATGAAAGTATAAGAATGGTTTGTATATGATGTGAATCATTCATGCAAAGACTTGGTCTACAAGGTGGAAGACGCTACTTAAAGTTCGCAATCACTTAAAAGGACTACAGCAAATGAGAGATACAGGTTCTATATACTTGGTTAACATCACACCTGAATCGGTTAGGAATACAAGTGTCTTCTAGAAAGTATCAGAACCCCAGGAATAGAAGAGGCTTATGAGTCATTGGACAGCAATAAAGTCAATTCAATTATATTCTATATTGCAGCTTACGAACAAGTATTCGACCGTAGAAACTAGATGCAGTGAGGATCTATCACAGTTAGTTTTTGAAACTTGCTAACTCCTAAGAGAGCCAGTGATAAATATTGACGTGGAACAACTAGACTCAAATCTCTAAAATAACTACACAGAGGAAAATCACACACCTTCAGAAGTGGAGTTTGGTACTTTTTTACCTGAAAATAAGCCAAAGATATATCGATCAAAAACAGCAATTTATAAGTAGCGATTTTGCTTTAATAAGAAAACTAAATATACCCACAGCCAATCATATATACATTAAATTGCATAACCAGCTAACTGGAAAGATAGAGATCATAGGACATAAATTACACCACCGAACCAAAGTAGTTACCCCACTTAACTCCAGATTTTCAAAAAATCACAAAATCAGTAGGAAAGGCCAGCAACATATGAAGGATAAACATGATCAAAGAATTTAAATGGGTATATGAAAGACGATGAGCGTTGCAACTTAAACTTTTACCATATGGAGGAATGATAGGAAAGGTAAGAACTTATGGTGTTTCAAATTCTGGAGGAACTTCAAATGCTTGATATTGACTGAATGGTGGTAGATGTTTATGCAGTACAATTATGACAGCACTCGCTTAGAAACTTTCAGTGATAAAAGTAGAAGAGAATCCAAGAAAGAAACATGCTTTTCTGTCGAATTCTACAATGACAGCAAAAACAAAACCTACCACATAGTCCCAACCATGTCTTGCAGCAAAATCCTTGGCAGCTGCTTCACTTTCGAAGCTAAGTGCAGAATCCCCAACATTAGCGTATGGGTCACCTGTGGACGTCCAACCCATCAACGGGTTTTCCCACCTTCAAAGAAAGTTAGAAACTGCATGAGCTGCCGAAGGTTAAAAGGTCCTTTCCACAAGAGACATAGCCACTAAATGCAATCCTGGAAGAGGGTAGTGCATGTAAAATGAATAGAAAAGGAAACAAAAAAAAATTCATAAAGTTGAGAAGGTATATCTGCAATACAGAAACATTAGAAGAGTTTGTAAAAACTGGAAAGGAATAACAAACAGTAAGAAACTAGAGCAATCAAAGTATCAAAACATAATACATATTGTCTAGTCAAAATGCATAGCAAAACATTGGGTTTACCTACCAATTCAAGTAGAGATAAGAAAATAAAAAGGAAAAGAACCAATAGAACTAACAGAAACCCTATAGAACTAACATAACTTTCAATATTACAATAGCAAGTACATAGATTAAAACATACTTTTGAGTAGACACAAAGTTGATTTTCCACTTCCCAAGTTTCCCGGATCCTTGTTGAGTTGCAGTTCTAGCAGGGGAGTAAATTACAACCTATAATGCACACCAATCCCACAACAACGCATGAGTTAAGAATATAAGTGTGTGACAAAAGCAACCAGTCAAACAGAAAGCACTGTAATCAGCTGCATGAACCCAATACAGGTTTTGCATAAGGAAAGGAAGAAAAATCGTCTTGGACACGCATTCTGGAACTAGTCCAATTAGCTATGTTGAAGGATTTGAAAGAAACAAAAGAGAAGAAGAAAGAAAGCTCATGATCTACAGAAAGAGTAGATCAAAGATACTATTAAGTTTCCCACTTCGAGAAGTTTAGTTCGGTACCAAACAGGGTATAACGAGACACAATGCAGGAACTCTGCATGTCTATTAGCTCAAACTCTAAGGATCCAATATGAAATTTTATCAGATATCCCCGAAAGCACAAGGAAATTAATCCCTCCTGATGCAGCTAAACTTCGTAAATCCAGAAAGGGTTTCGACAAATCACAATCACCCATCATCACATTGCAACATCTCTTACACATCGCTAAACTACCACACCACTGAGAGAACATCAATTAATTTTTCTGACAATAGAGAACATCAATTAAGAAGGGCGAGTTCAGCCAAATTAAAGAGATCAAAACTTTCGATCCGCTAAACTACACCGACTAATTATCAAGCACGGCAAAAACCCTCGAGACATTTCTCAAAATCACGAAAGTAAAATTGACGTCCGAATCAAAATGGTTATCCGGGTTTACCCTCCGGCGAAGCTGCTCATGAGGAATACCGGAGACCATGCCGATCTCGCCGGGCTTCGTCTCCACCAGGGCATCGGAAGCTGAGGACGAAAACTGTCGGGAGATAGGGGAGAGACTTGCGCCAATGTTGCGGCAGCCGCGGCCACAAATTCTTTGGAGAGAGGCCGCCATATTCCGCTGAGGCCCCACTGGTACCGTCGGCTTGGTGTGAGGGAGACGATGCGTAGAGAAACTCGGCGATGTAGGCTCGTGAGAACGGAGAAGGAAGGAAATGGAAGATTGTGAAAATTGAAAAGAATTATTATATTATTTATATTCGGACGTCAATCTACACATAATATAATACACCGAAGGAAAAAACGGGAGCCCCATTTCAAATTTCCTGCAACGAGAGTGAAAGTAGGAAGGACATTTTGGTCTTCACAATTACTTTTTATTATTCATTAAAAAGACACGTACTGGGATTCGAACCATGTCCATTTTAAAGAAAAGCATGAAACATAACCAATCACACTAAACACATTTGTTGCATCCTTTTAAATCAAAAACATATAATAGCAGGGAGGAAAAACCCCTTCCCCCATTTCAAATTCCCTGCTCCATGAGCGTTTGTAGGAAGGGTAGAATAGGTAGTGTTAATTTTTTTCTCTTTCCTCTGTGGAACGGGCCAACTTACCGTACACATGCGGATTTAAACGGGTTCAGGAGTGTCAATTTTTTTCTTTAACCCCTTGTATTTCTCCGTGGTGATAAAATATATATGAAAAGACAAAAGCAATACTTCTTTTTATGCTAAAAATAAAAAAAAATTTAACAATAAACTAATGCATGGTATCTAAAGGGCTAACCGCTAACCATAAAATAAAAGAGTTGAATAGGCCTGACCTACACCGGATTTGGCCATCAAGTAAAACAAATGAACATCATTGGTTTGACATTCTAAAACAAGCTATTTTCTCTAGCATAATATATATTATTATATTATTTTATATTTTAGTGGCTAAAATATAATGTAGTTTAAAGTTATTCAATGGTTCAATCTCGACCAACCCAATTAGTCCAATTTTTATCATTTCAAATATATATTATATAATTATTTGATATCATAATGATAAAATTATAGTGTATTTTATAGGGAATCGTTTGGTATTTGTTAGTAAAAAACTAAACAGAAAGATTTATTTGGTTATTTTAAACATTAAAACGATCCTAAAAATTTTCAGTTTCTTTTGAATTTCTATGGTTTTATTCCCGAATAAGTGATGTGCAAATGGCGAATTGCAGTCATCTATTTTCTTTCACTATTTTTTATTTTCAAATAGAAAGTTTAAAAGTAACGAATAATTAGAATTTTGCATGGGTCGGTCAAACAGGCTGAATTTTAAGTTTTGGCCCGTTTTGATCAAGTCTAATTTATAATCACATGGTTCCCTGATACCCGATAAAAATCTCAATCCAAACCATTTTGGCAGGTGAATCCGTGTTTACCACCATTCTCTAGGAATACGACAACGGTGGTTCCTTTCCCAAATCGTGTTGTTCGTTCTTGATTTCCTTAGATTTTATCATGGCCTGACAAAAACCAGAAAGCACAATGACGACAAGATGAAAGTTTTATAAATCAAATTAATGGTGTTCTCTTTCTGATCTCATGTAATTATATAATGAAGTTGAAGTTTTTCGATGCTATTCAATTTCATTGGTATGTTTTTAATGGTCTAACTTCATGGTTGTACCAACTTTTGATGTACTGTTTATGTTCCAATATATTCACTTTGGTATGATTATTAGGGATATGCTAGGCGGTACTCACCATTAGACCAATTTAGCTTAATGGTTGAATCTACGGGTTATCCCAATAATTCAATATTCGGCTCAGCTCCTCCGACCAACGGGTCGGGTTACAAGCTAGTTGGATATAAGACCATCAACAACCATGAAATAGCATAACTATTTCATTTGTGGCCCCTACAACCACATGTATACCTTTTACAATTTCATCTCTTCACTTCTATTTTTTTTACATCCATGAAATCTACTTTCAATTTCATATGGTGGGCCCTATTCACATTTATAATACAACAAATAATTTGTATACTCTCTAACCAATTGAAGTGCGCCCACTTTGCCTCTTCCATATTGAATTCCATCTAATGAAATCATTCAAAGATGAAATAACAAGCTACAACCATGAAATTGGTAATGGAATTGCCATGTCACAATGAAATGGGGAAAAGACACCCATTGTGGATGCTCTTATCTGATTGTGTATTTCGGTTTAGCTCGAATATGTGAAAAAAATTATTATATTATTTATATATTTATAATTTATATCAAATTTCATCTACCATGGCTAGTAACACATAGTATCACACAAAAGTAACAGTTCGTACTTGAATCCAACATATAGTGAAATTCAAACATACTTAAATAATATCGATATTCAAATGTTCAATTTAAAATTCCAAAAGTAGGGCTAAGTGCAGGGACAACCGAAAAAGATGCGTAATTCACAAACCAAATGGAAAAAGGAACCTCCAGCACGGGAACTTACAGCCCACAGATGTCGTCGTAGCTCTCCCTCCTCTCTAGCCAACCACTGCATCGTCCCTCCTCTCCAGCAGACCGTCGATGTCGTCTCCAGCAGCGCAACAGGGTCGTCGTCGCAAGCATCTATTGCGCCTCGTCCTCGCCGCCATCGCACAGTCTTCCTCCATAGTTGTCGTCGCCGATCGCCATCGTCTAGTTGGAGAAGGTTTGTGACTCACTCGTCCTTTCCTCTCTCATTTGGTGGGTTGATGAATGATGAATAATGAATTAATGATAAATGATAGTAGGGTATGCTACTAATTTAAATGGAAAAGGGGTAATGCCCGTAATGGTATGGTGGATTGAGATTTGTAGGTATGAGTATGGTGGATTAAGAGCTTTTTGGTTCGATTTTTTTTCAACATTTAATTTAGTCAGGCGACAATTAATCGTACTGAACGCTGGACGGTGCCTCCCCGCCTAGTTGATGCCTAGCATATTCTTGAACAATGTAATTTAGTAATCTCCTATTGCTCAGATCATGCATTGACCAAACTTAACAGATTTGGATAGAACATGTAACAAAAGAGCATGTTCGAGAATCCTCAAAATAGAAGGAAAATTTTAACATAAAATATAATAGAAGGGCAAATTTGAAACCCTAATAAATGTTTAGAAAATCCTATTCCATTTCGATTACCCTAATTCCACACGGAAGAGATAATCGAAGGGTCATATAAAATTAACTCCTCTCGAGTGAAAATTATTACCGAGCATTCATAAACAAAGAAATTGTTACTGAGCGAGCGAGGGACGCAGGATTTCGCTTTTTCTTTTCTCTTCTCCTCCCCAGAAATACACAGAAAAAACGCAGTAGAAATGTTTTCCCGATTTCATCTCTCCAATTTCTTAGAGTGAGCGAGTCACCGAATTCCCCAATTTCAAGCAATTGTATCCTCTCGCACACAAAAACGATCCCTTTGTAAATTCCTTCTCCTTCTACACATTTCCCCTGCTGCTGCGCTGCTTCGCCTGTTTGTGAGGTACACACTCTTCATGTCCAACCCACCGTAATGAATTAACTGTGATATGAAAGGAATTCGTTGGAGGACCCTTTTTCTTTTGTGTGTTCTACCTCACTTGCCACTCGCTACAGTGCTTTAGATTGTCTCAATTGTTTGATATTGTTTAATCCAATTTTCTTGGTCCGAAATCGTCGTCGTTGCAAATTCGGTCTGCGATCCGTGCCTTCTTTCTGGGAATTTATTTATCGAATTCGCCATGATTTAGATTCGAGAATTGGGTTTCTGATTGTGCAAAATTATAAGTAAAAGCAACCACCTTTGCGGGAAATTGCAAGGAATTCGGTACTAGGTTGGGTGAATCTGCATGGGTTTGCTGATTGAGGGTTGAATTGTTGGTTTTTGGTTATGGCATTGTCCTTTTTCTTCTCTCTCGTTGCACTATGATTCTTTACTTGATGATCTTGATTTAGTTCCACTGTTCGTCTCTGAATGCCTCTTCTTCGTTTGTTCATTTGTTTATGATGTACAATTAAGGTTTTCGACTTTGGAGATAGATTCCTTCAAGAGGAGGGAAGGATCATTCGGGTTTGATGGGCGCTCCTAAGCAAAAGTGGACAGCAGAAGAAGAGGCTGCCCTTAAAGCTGGAGTGGTTAAGCATGGGACTGGTAAATGGCGCACTATCCTTATGGACCCCGAGTTCAGTGCAGTTTTGCAGCTGCGTTCTAATGTTGATCTCAAAGTATGTATGATGCATAACCTTAATCAGCAGTTCTTTTTTGTGTGTTGTCTTTATTTCTGATTCATGTCCGTGTTTTCCTTGGTTGTACTGGATTGGAAGTGTAAAGCTTTACTAATGGTTGACAGGATAAATGGAGAAACATAAATGTGACAGCAATTTGGGGTTCTAGGCAAAAGGCAAAGCTTGCACTTAAGAGCAGTCCACAAACACTTAAAAATGACCAGAGCTCTAGCCCTCCGACCACTGTAGTACCCTCTAATGAAGAAGCTGTAGACGCCAAGCCTCTTGCAGTAGTTTCCGCTGCAACATCACGACGTAGTGGGAGTCCAATGGAACTATTTCCAAAGTACGAAATCTTACCTGAACATTTAAATATTTGCTTCATCATTTTTCTGCAGATTAATGATACATATTGGCAACTCCTTACCCTTGATGTTGGAATTTGGTAAACTATACCTGAGAATCTACGGGCAGATCACAGTGGAACAAGACACTATATGTTCTCAATTGATATGTGCTTAGATTCATATGCATCAGCTTAGTACAAGCCTCATTTGAGGTTTTCAAACATATGCACGGGACTTATGCTTTGGATGATGTGGATAATTGATGATTATATTTCAGAATTAGAAAGTTCAATTTATAGCAGATTCTGTCCCAGAATTTTGTGATAGCTTGCTATACAAAAACGAAATATAGTATCTGAAAATAAAGCCTACGTTACTTACATCTCCACAAATATAGGCGAGGATTCAGTTATGCAGGGCTATGGATTTTCATATTAGAATGTATATATCTAGTGATTGAACACTTGATTTACTCAATCATTGAACCTGTTCCCTCCATGATGGTAGGTTGGATAGTTTGATTTTAGAGGCTATCGCTACTTTGAAGGAGCCAGGTGGTTCTGATGGAGCTTCGATTGCTATGTACATAGAGGTATACCTCACCCCTTTTTCATTAGAAAATACATGGTAGTTATTTCCTTTCCAAAATCAAATGTTGCAGTAATATTTTCGTATTCTAGTTTGAGAGCATATCATATTTATATGAATTAAGGGTTTTCCCTTCACTTGCTTTGCTTCCGCATGTTTAAGCTCCATTTGATGTATTGAGTGTTACAATTTGTAGGATAAACAATGGGCAGTCCCAAAACTCAGAAAGTTATTGGCAGGAAACCTAAAGCGTTTAACAGCCGCTGGAAAGTTGATCAAGGTAATTGTTATGTTTTTCTTCTTTCCGCTGTTGGTGTTGCTTATATCATAGTGATTATCTTTAGAGTGACATGACGAGAACATCTAAGCTGTTCAGGGAACAGGCCATATCTCATATGGTCTAATATATTTGTTGTCATATGGTTCTTGACTATTGTTCTTTTATTCAACACAGGTAAAGCACAAGTACAGAATTGTACCAAGTTCTCCTTTATCAAAGGGAAAGAAAAGAACCCCCCTTTCACGTATAGATGAAGATCAGAAGGACATTTCAAACTTGGAAAAGAATGGCACCACCAAAATGGTGACTGAGTCCCAAGTTGAGCAAGGCCTATTGAGAATACAAGGTATGACTGCCCAAGAGGCTGCGGATGCTGCAGCTAAGGCAGTTGCAGAAGCCGAGGCTGCTATTGCTGAGGCCGAAAAGGCTACTAGGGAGGCAGATAGAGCAGAGGCTGAAGCAGAGGCCCGCCAAGTTTTTGCAAAAGCAGCTTTGAAAGCATTTAAACTCTGTGCACGTCACTCCTGGTAATTAATTAATTTTCCCTCGCCCCATCTTCATGAAAGATATTTCGTCATTTATAATGTAGATAGGGAATCAACAATGCTGATATCTATGAGAGGCTGACATGTTTCCATCTCTGATCTATAAAATGTCAACTCATTCTCCTTGCAGATGACTGGAAGTATGACTTGGATGGGTGCTTTAGGTGTTTTAGCGCAAAAAGTAAACCTCGTAATTTTTTGCAGCAAAATCTCGACTGCCAGCCATGTTGACTTGTACTGTAAATGTTGTATATGTCAAAGGTGCAACAACATTGAATCTGCAACGATATAGTGATCCTTTAGAGAACAGAAATCTGTGACTCAAGGATTCTGAATAATATAGATTTTTTTGACACCAAGAGTTTAGTGCTTTGCAGGAGCACGAGACAGTTGATCAGTTGAAAAAGCCAAAGTTGATCATTTCTTTCATACATTAATATTACATACATTGGGAAGAAATCATGATTTCTGGTCACAACTGTACGTGTCTAGCACGGCACGACACGATTAGAACACGGCACGAGCATGAAATAAATGGGTTGGCCCGGTAAGAGCACGAATAATTTATGGGTCATGCCGGTCCTAAACTTCACGGGCATGAACACGGGCACGAACACGGTATATAAGTGGGCCGTGTCGGGCCTAATATTTTCGAGACTTTATTGAGTATAAGAACGAACATGACACGAAATAATATTTATTTGATAGAAAATAAATATAAAAAGAATTATATGTTCAAATATTACAAAACACAAGTAGAAAAATAATTATTTGTTGTTGTTAGAAGTGTCATAAAAATATATATGTAATTACTAATATAAGAAAAAATAGACAAAGAATTAAACAAAGTCAAATCACACTCGCTATACTTCCAATTTTCTTTTACCCCCTTATTTGTTACTTTTCTCCAACATTATTGATTAATACTATCTTCTTCTGTCCAATTTTCACCTTCTTTTTCATTCTCTCTTTTGTTTTCGTTCTTTTCGTTAAACACGAATACGAACATGGCACGAGCACGAATAGGCACGGCACGATTCGTATCGTGACCGGGCCTCAGCCGGGCCTAGCAAAGTTAACAAATGGGCTTGCATGGCACAACACGAAAACTAACGGGCCATGCCAAGCACGGCACGAAATAAATGGGCCCGCAGCGTGCCCGTGTCGTGCCGGCCCAAACACAGCCCAGCGCCTATGTACAGTCACAACTAGGTCTGAAATCATGAGGATGCCAATTCCCACGTTGTTTCTTTTGTTCCACAATCTAAGATGTGTTTGTGCCCTAAACTAGTACTTACAAAAGCTCTTTCTGCCTACTAGGATCCATATAACCAAACGTTTCATTTCCACAGAGAGCTCGTAATGCTTTTGATAAGTTTGAGACGGTGGCTTCTGATGGAAGATGGCAATTACTAATTGCAGTTAAAAGCTTGTGTAAACTGTCCGTACTGATCTTACGTCCATAAGACTTGAGTATATCTTTCCACTGGGCTTCACTGATCTGGAATGGCGCATACGCTGCAGCATTGGCAAGTGTAACGGCTTTCTCATAGTTCTGATCTCTTGCAGCTTGGCATACCAGTTCAATGAAGTAAAGTGGAGAAGGGATTTCTCCTGCTTCCAAAATCGTGTCGAATGCATGCTCCAAAAGATGTCCCTGCCATAATAGAATCTCAGTAAGGGGCAAAATATAAGTGTAATTAGATGTCTCAGTAGGAGAAATACATTCAGAGAGGATAGACTGCTGATAAGCCAGGAATATTGAAAAAGACTGATACATGAGAAGAAACCCCACCTGCCCAGCTCTAGAAGCTTTCACAAGTAGCAATCCGTGTTTTGTTTGATCTAACTGATATCCAGAAAATACCATCTCTCTGTACACATGCTCAAAGTATTCCCACTCAAGTGCGTTGGCAGATGCTTCAAGCATAGCACTGTAAGTGTATCCATCTGGTGTGCAATGAGTACCATAGGTGATCTTAATTTCTTCGTACAAGCTCTTCGCCGCAGAGAAGAAATCATTTTGGCAATAAACTCTCAGCATCGTGTTTATGGTCCCTATGTTAGGGACACAATGAGATTTCATATGCTCGAAAATAGCTATGCAATCATGGATGTGTCCTCCATCCATGGCAGCTAGGATCATCCCCGTGAAAGTGTACTCCAAAGGTTTACTTTGGGGAACCCTTCTAATCTTGTCAACCTGATTAAACAGTCTTACAACACAAGTTAGCAACTCTTGCTGATAGCTATCCGAAAGGCAAACAGTATAAGCAGAATGAAACATTATCAATGTATTTGATTCAACAAATGGTTGGTGCCTGTGATCTCTGGGGGACTCCGGTTGGTCGTGAAACCAAAGTTTTCATCAAATACATAATTTTGAACTTCCACTCTAAAAATCTTTTTCTAAATTAAGGTAGACCCCTACTTTACATCCTCATTTCTACATCTCCAATTCTAACACTTCCCCTTCAGTTAAACTTCATAAGTTTGTGAGGCCATCTTAGTCATTTCACAGAACTTGCATATTTAAATAATATCATCTAGCAGGTGGGCAGCTTAATCATTTCACAATCTTAATAATTTTTCCACACTTCCACTACTACTATTGCCAAGTTCTCCACCCACAGGTCTCTGATTGAATCAAATTGGTTCGCAAATGGTGTATAGTTCAGTAAACATCAAAATACTAAGCAACAGACTCTGACCTCATGCATGGCATCTCGCCACCTCCCTTGATGACAAAGGCAACATGCTAGCTCATAATACACACTTGCTACTCCAACCACACCTCTGTCTTCCATATCTCTTACCGCTTCCACTGCTTCGTTTACTTTACCTTCCTCCCAAAAAGCTCTAACTAGAACTGGACAACAAATGCAGTATCAAAATATATAGATGTTTTATGCAACCAGATATCAATATGCCTAAGGAACTGAGCAAACTAGTCTACCTTTGTATGTAAGAGCTTTTGGAGCTTGTCCACTTCTGTTCATCTTGTTAAAGAACTCATGGACCAAGTCATATTTTCCAGACCGTAGCATTACCTTTTAACAAGTATTTTCCTGTAAGACTCAGAGTACAAGGGTGGGATTGTGGTGATATCAACTTTCATTACTCCATCTAAAATTCATAGCTAAGGGAGGCTCAAATGGTTTGGCATCTAAGTTATACGGAAAATTCACAGAGGCTTACAGATAAAATTTGGAACTCTAGGTTTACTGTGGTGGCTATTTCTACACGATGGTAAATGTTTACAGGATTGAATTACTGCTATATAGCCTTCTACTTTTACAGCAACACACCCTACATCCAACTTGTTGTTCTCCACCTAAACCTAACTGAAAGGAAGTTATAGATAGCATGATCCTAAGATTACCTCCATTGCTAACCCATATGTTGCTCCATTAGGTTTTAGACCACCCTTTCTCAACTGCTCAAATACCCATGAGGCGCCCTTCCACTGCTGTGATGGAATACAAGCATTCAACACCTGCGCAGAGAAATTACAAGGAGAAATAAGTATATTTCTATTAATCATAGCTGGTACACTATAGGTAATATGCAAGATGCCAAGAAAAGAAAGAGATCTGGTGTTGTGCTCCCGTACAGCATTATATATAACCAAATCAGGTTCAAGGCATAGGTCCCAATCCTTCTTCCGCATAATACTAACTCTTTTAGGAGGCTTCTCTCTCATGACTTCCATAACTTTCATCAATTCCTTCAGAAGACCAGCTTGACCAAGTGTAACAGCAATACTGTGATATGCAGCCATATCCGGGTATGTGTTGCAATCTTCCTGAAGCATTCAACATACCAATCATCAATGCTCAGCTAAAGGGGACAACACAAATAAACATAAGTCGCACACCATTGAAGTGACTATTACACGCATCAGGTTGAAAATGTGAAGAGCTTCCTGTGGTCTCCTTGCCTTGCCAAGTACCGACAAGACTTTTGTGTAGACAAACCTACAAAAAGGAAGATAATTTTCTCTTCATAATAACCTCTGAACTCCAATGCCAAACAGAATACACCACCAGGGGTTATACCTGCTCATGAATTCTTTCCTATCCTTATCGTTATATACCCACTCAACAACTGCTAAAGCTTGTTTCCATTGTCCTTTCGCTCCTAACGTATCCACAATCTTCAACAACTGCCTTTCTGTAAATTGCAATCCTGACTGCTTCATCATCCTCGCTAATTTCCAGTCCTTCACCGTCGTCGCCTCTTTAAGACACAACCTATTAGAACAGAAGTATAAAACACACATTACAACCTAAAAGAGCTGTGTGGCTAAGAAGAAAAAGAAGTATCAACAAATTCGATTAAAGTCACAAACTTGTTAACAAGAAACTGGATTGTTTCCCCTTCACTGCACTTTCGCTTGGAGGGTTCCAAATTAGTTTCATTTTCAGTCCTGGAAAAGTCATCGTCTTCAAAATCGATATCATCATCCAACACCCACTTCAAATTGCCCTCAAATATCTCCTTCAGTTCCCTCAGATTCTCCCTTTTCGGCTTCCCTCCGTCGAAATCTTTACAGCGGCCAGAAATCTCCCTTAGCTTAACTTTACCTATCTTTTCCCAGGGCCTCCCCTCCAAAAGAACCCCACTTCCTTCACTTCCTCTCGGCTCTACCGCCTTGGTGAAGTCTCTGTACTCGCGCTTCACTGTCAGAAAGTGGGATTCCTCGGCGAGGGCTTGTTTTTCGGATTCAGTGAGTGGCGGCGGTTGCTGGGTTCGGCGAATTTTGTTCAGCTTGCGGTTGTGTTTTTGAATTTCTTTCTTGCGGAGGGTGTGAATGATTTTGGGCGTTGGTTCCAAGCCTTTCTTTAGAAGCCTTCGTTTGATGGTTTCGACTTTGGGTTCAAATTTTTTAGTGGGAAGAGAGGGAGAAGGAGAGGGAGAAGGAGAAAAAGGAGAGGGAGAAAGAGCCATTGAAGTTTCCATGACGAGAACTGGTGAGGGCCGGAGTGGTGTTGTGGTAGAAGCAAGCAGCTAAAAAGCCGAGAAGAGGCGGATAAGGGATAACGGGTTGACGAGGGTCAAATATGTTCTTTCTTTTCTAGAAATTCCGTCATTTATCAATTTCTTTCATGGTTGTTCCTTGATAATATCTGTTTTGATCATAATTTCTTGATTGATTGTCTTCGAAATTTATCACACATTAGATTGTGTTTTTTGTCCTATATTCTTTTTATACTTAGTTTTTTGTCATATTTCAAGACCTAATATATGGAGAAGTTTATGAGTGAGTTATGGCTTTCCGGGATATTTGAAGATCAAAACAAGGTCATAAAGTAGAAGTTGTGCACAAGTTACGAGACTGAGTGTCTCAACTCTCAAGTCACAACAGGGGCGGGTGACATTCGAAGAACAGGGGATGAGATGAGCAAAATGGAATAAGTTTTCCACAAGTTGCGACTTGACTTGCAAAAGCCACGGTCTGACCGTGATTTGGAACACAAAACCGTGACTTTCACCCACTAACAAAGTAAAACAACGAGTTTTTCACAATTCCCAGCCTATGTCACGGTCGTGACGCATGCATTGTCTCGGGTATAAATAGTTTTTTGCAATTCTTAGAAGGGGGAGAGTTGAGTTTTTGGCCAAAAAAATCCAAGGGTCGTTCCAACAAGAGGGAGAGCGATGTAGGAGGGTTCTTGGAACTAAATTGGAGGTTCCCATCACCATTGGATCTAGAAGAAAATTGAACATCTTGAACTTTATATTGTAAGTCTCTCCTCTCTGTGAAATAGTTCTCGGAGGATATTTTAGGGGGAAATTTTATTTCATAACAAAATTATAAGATATTGGCTAGAGGGGTGAAAATTAATTTGATAATAGTTTTTTTTGGAAAAAAAATTCTAATTTTTCATACAGAAATATAAAAGAAAAGGTCAAATAAAAACACTTTAACCAACACTTTCCCTTCCTCCCCAAATCGGAGGGAACAGTACAATGCATATTTTCTTCCTTCCTTTTTATAAGAACAAGCGAAAATTAGATTTTGATGAAACCTAGCTATGTTTAGTGTGTTTGAAAGGTAAATACAATTTAATATCCAAACCTTTTATTTTAAACAATATAATAGCCAAACCTTTTCGAAAACAATCTAATATCCAAATCGTCAACTTTCCGTCCGTTTGACCGTTAGTTGACACTTCAAAAAAGTTTTGTTTAGGGGAAATTGTCACAATACAACTTTGTTTTCTTGTTTTGGCATTGCAGATGACTGAATATTTAGATATTCTATACCATCATGGTGGAGTCATGGACTTCTCGGGTTTGGAACCACGATATGTTGGTGGTTTTTTAGAGAAGATATCGATGGATATTGATGAAGCGTCGTACTTTGAACTTTTTTTAAGTGTCAACTACCGGTCAAACGAACGGAAAGTTGACAATTTGGATATTAGATTGTTTTCGAAAAGGGTTGGCTATTATATTGTTTAAAATGAAATGTTTGGATATTAAATTGTATTTACCCTTGATTGAATGACTGTATAAGTACTTTATCTTGATATTCTTGAGTTCATATCTAATCTATTCATGTTTTGATGTTCAATCCTTCCTTGATCAATATTATTGACTATGCTTTGACCCTATGACAGAGAAAATCTTATTAGGGTAATAGAACATCATAAATTGGGAGTAAAGGGGTCGATTGCACTAGCGTGAGTCAGGTCTTTGCTTTGTATTGTGTGGGAACCTCACCCGATAGAGGAGGTTTTGTATCGTACGCCTTGGTCGGATGTTTTAGAGAAGATTATATCCCTCTTAGCAACCCACTCAAGAGGGTCTTGAGTGCTTTAATAAAGGTTCAAGGTCTAGTCAAGGATCCTTTGCATTATGAATGGAGATTGAATCAATGCCTAAGTGAGCTCTCGACTTGTAATTAGTTAGTGTAGTTGTTAGAGTAATGTAGTTAGTTTAGCTTCATAAACTCAAATCATGTGTGGCTAGATAACAAATTGAAACAGAGTAATTGTACACCTAGAGATCCAGGTGTTCGATAATTTTATTACTTTACTTCCACTATACTATATTCGATTGAGAGTAATTTAGAGCGATTCAACTTTTTGGCTCCGTCGCTTGAGAATTCTAGGTTAATATGAAGGCTTAGGTTTGTTAGTTTAGTCATTTTACTTTATTTTCTTTCCACCTTTGCTTTAGAAGGTGTTTTATGTTATCATTTTGATCAACTACTCGACTCTACACTAAAAAGTAAAAACCACCATGTTTTCCTTGGGAGAGAGATACTACCCTCAACTATGAACATGTGACATAGGGTGCAAATGAGCTAAGTTCTTCACAAGCAGCTCGATTCGGTGCCTTGTTAGCCCAAGTGGTGAGTTGGCTCGTTTTGAGCTAGCGAGCCAACTCTACTTCCAACTTATAAGCAAATCGATTTTAGATCTTACGAGTTGGCTTATTGATAATTCATAGATTTGTTAAATTATATATTTCACCTCATACGATGTTTGAGACTTTGAGTACTTAAGCAAATATGTCTTATTTATAATTTTAAAGATAAATTATGTATCTAAGATTGCTTAGATACTGGTTACTATGAAATTATATGAACTAGTTAAATTTTATAAACTAAAGAATATGATACTATCATAGTATATAAACATTAGATCAATTAATAATGAAAAATTGACTATTATTCTTTTTTCATCATAACATCAATCACATGTATCATACACGACATACAAATATTAGATCATTTAATTTAAAGGTTACTACATAATTTAGTTTAAGAATTCAACTGTTCAGACAGAATGACTGAGCTCAAAGCATCATGATCTTATTAATGAATCAAATTCGCGTAAAGCGAGTGAGCACACCATTGAGGCGAGCTCGAAACAAACACAAGCCTAAGTTTAAGTGAAAAAGGTGAATTTGAGCTCAACTCGTTTATATTGAACTCGAATTAGGGGACGGGATACCGTCACAACTCCTTTAGGGGGTTGTGAGTTTCACAACTCACTTTGTAGCCATTAGATGTAATCTCTCTCCTGTCTCTCTCTTTTCATTTTTAAATTGATGGTTGAGATGAAAGGAAGGGTATTTTTGGAGGAAAAAACGTACCACACTCAATCATTTTCCCTCATATATAAAATAAGAAAACCCTAATCTAACTCATACCAACTCCACAGCCGTTCACCTCTTTCTCCCCTTCCTTCCTCTCTTTCGTCGACAACTCCACAACCGTTTCACAACTCCACAGCCGGCTGCCGCAACTTCACCTCCCTCTTCCTCTGCCATGCTCGTCGACACCCTCTGGCCTCCGCCGCGCTTGCTGTCCTCATCCTCTGCCAAACCACGGCGCCCCCCGCCACCTCTACGCTCCCCGCCGCCCCTCACCCTGCCCCGCCACCCCTGCGCCCCCCACCGTGCCCACCGCCGCCCGCTGTCGTCTTTACGTCGTCGTCACGAGGTTACTGAAACTCGCCTCCCATTTCCTTTTTTTCTCCAGATCTGTGATTTTTCATATTCCAGATCTGGTTTTTGTGTTAGTCTCTACTAGTACGGTACCAGTGATCACTGGTACGTCACAGTGACTAGTGGTAGCGTACCACTACCACTTGTACCACTCATAGCGCTACTAGTACGCTACCACTGCTCACTTATACGTACCAGTGACTAGTGGCATCATACTAGTACTTACTGGTACACTACTAGTGGTAGTTTTTGTGAACCACTAGATAAAAATCATTACCATTAGCACATTACTGGAGTGATACTTTTTTGTAGGTGGCCGGAACGAGTATGATTGAAAGATTTCAGCGGAGAAGGTCAGCCGGTCGGAGAAAGTCAACCGATCGGAGTGAGTGGCTGCTGAATAAGGAAGAGAGAGATAGGAAGAGAGAGAAATGTATTTGTGACAGGATTTAAATTTTAAAATAAAATAATGTATTTAATGAATTTTAATTTCCCAAAATATAATTAATATAAAAAGAAAAGTAAGCAATAAAACTCTTTTTTCACTACTCAAATTGCCCTTAGTTGTGAAACTCACAACCTCTTGAGGAATGTCACCGTATCCCAGCCCACGAATTAGACAAAACTCAGCTCAACTCAACTTAACTTATTTATTACAATTTACAAGCTCAAAGATCACAGCGTATCAGCGGTTGTCGGCTGAGCTGAGATGCCTAAGCTCAAGACTTTAAAAAGGTATTTATAACTGGGAATAATAGGTCGCCGCCTGACGAGTTATGAACTGAGAACCCAACATTCTTGTCAAATAGTTGGAAGATTTATGAAATGACAATACACAGAAGACACCACAGGCATCCTTACAAATCAGACAAGAATATGTCCATAATCTAATATACACCCATAACCATCTCAGTCAAACAACCCATAATGAAGGCCAAAGAAGAAGAAGAACCTACTTAAAACAATCAGAAGAGGTAAACTTAGGTTGCCGCCAAGCGAACGATAAAGCCCCGTAACCTTGCAACTTCAATTACCTCACAGACGCCACAAAAGCCTGGATGAACAATCTGACAGGCAATAGCCGTTTTATTAATTCTTCGACTTGGAATGCTTTACAAGCCAATCAATCACAGAATCTATGTTTGTCGAGTTCTTGCACGAGATCATGAAGCAGCAAACTTCCCTGTCCGTTATCGACTTCAGCCCCCTGCCAAAAGAGCAAACAAATTTCAAAAATTGAGAGGCCAAATCCTCCTGGTTTTGGTACCATTATAGAAAAATTAATGTTGCAAATAATTGATTTAAAGGATCTGAAAGGGGGGCTCCGTGTTACATCTCATCAGTTAAAGCCTGCTTAGACAGAGCTCCTGACTTGTCTATCTTGTTTCCAAGGACCAGTAATGGGATGCCACTGAGGGATGGTTTGCTCAGCAAGTCATGCAGCTCACTCCTTGAGATGCTCAAGTTATCATGATCAGCAGCATCAACCACATACCTAAAGTTAACAACAAAACGTTCATCACCATTAAGCATCAGGAAACCCATCATCTACACCATTACATTAGGATAACAACAAATCAATCATTAATCAACTCATAAGAATATAATAAGACAACCTTATAAATATATAAATATATATATATATAGTGACTACTTCGGTGCACTCATTTTCAATATATAAATATATATATATATGGTGACTACTTCGGTGCACTCACAAAAATGAGTGCGTTCAACGCACCCAACTCAAAAACTAGTTTTAAGGTGCCGGATTTTGAATTTTAATTTGTAGAATTAGTGTAATATGATGATATAACACATGATAACAACTAATTAACCGATTACCCTAAACACTAGACATCCAATTTTGAGTTCTATCCCTAGACCCCAAATTGTAAACCCTAACCCTAAATCTCTATACTATAAATCCTTCAAATTAAAGTAAATCTTTAATGGTTTTTGTGCAAATTCATGTGCGTTATTGTTCATCACATCATATGTGATGATTGACCTTATTTAGACATAATTCGCATATTTAAAATGACGGTTATGAAACGAGTGCACTGAATGCACCCAAAAAAGTGAGTGCACCGAAGACATAACCATATATATATATATATATATATATATTCGGTGGTGTATTCGGTGCACCCACTTTTTCGGGTGCACTCAGTGCGCCCGCCTCATAATTGTCATTCTGACCATGCGATTCATGTCAAAACGGTATCAATTTTTGCTTATGATATTATGAACAAGAAACACATGAATTTGAAAAAAATTCATTCAATATTTACTTTAATTCGAAGGATTTAGGGATTTAGGGTTAGGGTTTAGGTTTACAGTTTGGGATTTTGGGTTAGGATTCAAAATTGAAGGTTAAGAGGTTATGGTAATGGATTGATTTGTTATGATTCTATGTCATATCATCATATTATATTGAGAGTACTAATTAAAGTTCAAAATTTGATGTATTATGGACACTTTTAGAGTGCACTGAGTGCACCCAAAAAAGTGAGTGCACCGAAGTAGCCACCATATATATATAGGAAGACAAAAACCACTTGTTGGAGAAGCATTTGAGCAAGTCAAATTTGATTGGATGATCATAATAGGATCATAAGTGCAAGTATCCCTGAGCTAAGATGATGACAACAATAAAACAACTAGAGGGGCTAAGAGTAACAAGTCAGAGACCCACACATATAATGGCATGTTTGCCTCCAAGATGCAAGCTTGACTTCCATAGAAATCAGAGCAGAAGAAAATATGTCAGCAAGATTGTTGTTGTGTACAATCAACTGTGTGCTAATGTGAATTGTGAACTCACAAGTAGAAGTCAAAGTTTACAGAAAAAGTTGTTATTCTTTATTTCTTTTTCTTTTATAAGGGTGAAATAGGTTTGTATTTATAATTAGGTGCTACTTAAGAGATTCGAGCATGGGACCTACGGTAATACCACTGGATCATGCCCTTGTTCGCAAGTTTATTCAACTTGCTGAACTTTTGCAAATGGTATAGAGTAACAACTACACTGGATACACGCAAGTTGACAGGTTTGAACTTTCCCTGTATTTCAACATGCTCAAACAAACCTAAACTTTTTTTCTAACTGGAGGTGAAACCAATAAAGCGCATCTTCAAGAGAAAAGAGAATGCAGCTAAAAGCCACTTGAGCAAATTACCTACTAATCAAAATTTGTCAACCAGAAGGATAATGGAATCATAAGAAACTAAGTCAAACTCACAAGTCTGCAAATTACTTGAGAACAGTTTTCTTACACAATAGCTGAGACCGCACGGCAATATCGCTCCCACATACTGCGGAACCTAGGTTGACCACCAAGATCCCACAACTTAATGGTGACATTTCCTTTTGTTACTTTCCTCATGTTGAATCCCACCTGAAGGTCAAAACAACATGCTGTTATTAGTTCATCATCACAACATGAATTCTCGGGAACTTCCAAAATTACTGACTTGGCAAGGAGGTTTAACATAAGTAAAGTGAAAAAAGGGACCAAAAGTTGTAACCAGAACTCACCGTTGGGATCATGTCTTCACTATATCCACCGGTCTTAAATCACAATAAAGAAGTCAGCATCAAGAAATATACAGCCAGACAAATGGGCCGGCCTGAAAAGAATAAGTATTAAATGATACATGCATGAGCCACCATACTTACAGCCACAACATTAACAAGAGAAGTCTTTCCGGCATTCTGAAGCCCTATCAGGGACAGCTCCATCTCCTGCTTGAAAAAGAGACTGCAATCACATAACAAATCGAAGGTTAAGAGCATGAATAAGCAAAACTAAAGATAACTTTTTAAAACAAAGTTTCCCAGGGCATGTCATGTGAGCTTCCAATATAACAAGCTAAACCACCCGGCAGGTTTCATTAACTATAATTCTTCACCTTATTCCAGCCACTTCACATATCAACTGAAGTTCCTACAACTTAACTATCACATAATACACACCAGTCACTCTTAAATACTGCGAAGCTGCATCTCTCCCCAGCCAAGAATCAAACCAGGAGTGTTCCAGTGGGAAGGCAAAATCCGGGCAGAGACTACTGACCCTCTTCTTGTTTGTTCCTAGACGTCTGTTACGAGTCTGGGAAGTTTACAGCCTAACGAGAATTAAATTGCCAACTTTGCTAACTTGTCTAACTACTTCAAGCCTGACGTCCTTAAATCCGTGAACATGTACCTATGCAACCACGATTTTTATAGCTTTAACTCCACGACTATACACAGAAATATAAAGAGTTCTGACCAGATCAAGATATCATATCGTTCAGACTACATGTAAATTGTAATCGTAAACATTTGGCCAATATCCACAATCATACTCCTCCCATTCCAATCTTGGAAAAGAGAACATAGACCGAGCAGAATACCATAGGAATTCCTAGCTAGAATGATCAGCTAAACATGACGACAAAAGCTTCAGGGAATACAATCACTCGCCCATTCCATCTGAATTGAAACCTCAAAACCACGTAACAGAGCTCAAAACTAAGGCATAAGCTACATTTACCTCCATCCCCAAATCACAAAGAACTGCGGCAGCAAACAAATTAAAGAGGACCAATCTCAACTCGAAACTATGGGAATCCAATTGCAAACAGCTAAATATAGCGAGCGATAAATAGATAGTAGCGTTTGGGGGAGGGGAAAAGAAGAGGGAAAAAAAGGGAATTGAGAAGCGAGGCGAACCTGCGGAGCCAATTGAGCAAAGCTTCCCAAATACCCATCGCCGGCGACGAGGAGGATGAGAGATAGGGAAGAGAAAGAGAGGGAAGATCTGCGGTGGAAACTCGGGGAAGCTGGAATTGAAATTCGCAGGGAGCCGCGGAAAGACAAAAAAGAGGAACGAGACAGATAGGCAGGGAGGGAGGGAGACGGAAAGAGAGAGACACACAGAACACAACGCAAGACACTCACGCACTCTCTCCCTCACTTTCTCTTTCCTCAAAATCCACCTCTGGCTGTCGACCAAGGTTGTCAACCCGCGAGTTGATCTGTGGGTCGACCCACTTTAACTCTGACCCAGTGAGAAAATGGATCGTACGCACTCGCTGGGTCGACCGCTACAAGGTATTGGATTGGAGGTCAAATTGTTTCATTTTTTTCTTTGGTTTGCGAAATACGCTTATTTTTCGGTTTTTCTTCACCTAACTCAATCTTTGGAATCCTTAGTTGAACATTTGAATATTGATGTTATATAAATGTGTGTGAATTTTCACTATATGTTGGATCTAAGTACAACATGTTACTTTGGTGTAATGTTATATGTTAATACTCATATGTTAGATGAGATTTTATATAATTTATCAGGGTTATTACAATATAATGACTCTTTCAATATTTCCGGGCTAAAACGAGCCAAAATAAGTGACCGGTTAACCCTTTATCCACTAGCTCGACCGGTCCGAATCAACCCGCAGTTGACAACCTTGCTGTGAACCTATCTCCTCATAGTCCTCCGTAAATCCCTTTCACCTTTTTCCGAATTCCGAACAACACACAAACCACAAACAGTTTACTCTCTTTTGGAAGACAATTTATTTTTGGCGAGATATTTTATTCAATTTTATAGCCGATTTATTTCATATATATATATATATATATACGTGTCGCCTCACAGCTCATGGAATAATATTTCCTACCGACCAAATCCTGTAGAAAATAATAAAAAAGGAAATGTTTTTCTTCCTTATAACAACGATGAAAATAGGCAAAACCGCAAAACTTTTAAGATGATGTTGTTGTCGACCCGGTTTAGCTCGTTGGCTCGCTCAATCAAGTGGATTGAGAGTCAATAGTTCGATTGGTTTAGCCTGATTTATTCTAAATATATGAAAACATTCATTATATTGTTCATACATTTATAAATAATATCAAATCTCATCTAACATATAACATTATACCAAAATAATATATCATACTTGGTTCCAACATATAGTAAAAATTCACTCATATTTAAATAACATAAAAATTCAAATGTTCAACTTAGAATTCCAATGATAGTGTTAGACGAAAAGAATAACCAGAAAAGAGGCGCATTTAGCAAAACAAAGGAAAAAATGATGCAATGTGATTTCCAAATCAATAATCTTACAATGGATCAACGTCAGAAAAATATGTGACCCTTTTTTCTCACCTGGTTAGGATCAACAGCTCAACCAACGAGTCGACCTACAAATGACAACCTATTGCTAATAGGGTTGCAAATGAGCCAAACTGCTCGCGAGTAACTCGGCGTTCGTATCAGAAAAAACTCGTTCGACACTCGACTCGTTATTTAACAAGCTGTCTCGCGAGCCAGCTTGTTAGTAAACGAGCCAAGCTTAAGCTAGACCATGCTCAGCTTGATAAGCTCGTGAGCTAGCTTGACTTGGTGGCTTGTTGAGCTAAGCTCGCGAGCTAGGCTGTTTAGAGCTTATGGAATGTTAATTACTCTTCTGAACATTAACATTATCTTGTTAATACATATGTGTATGGAAGTTAGTTGTTATTTATAGTTTCTAATGTTCTTTTGTCATTTAAATTCATATGTATACACAATTTTCCGCAAGAATGATTTCAAATCGAGCTTATCTTGAGTCGAGCTTATACTCAGCTTGACAAGCTGTGTTAATGCTCATTTATCGAGCTCGAGCTGGATTATTTTTAATCGAGCCAAACTCGAGCTCGAGCTGGATTATTAAAATTCGTATTCGAGCTGAGCTCGAGCTGAAAAATGTATAAACGAGCCGAGCTTAAGTTAAGCAAAAATTCAACTCAACTCGGCTCATTTGCCGCCCTAATTGCTAAAAATGAAAGGGCCTTCACCACTTCGGAGTTATTGAGCTGGCCCTACTGAGGCCCATCTTTGATTTGCAGAAAAAACATCTAGTCAGTTCAGCCCAGCCCAATGATATTCCCCTCTTCTTCCAAAACCCTAATCTCGGCCGCTATAAAGACTTCCGCTTCCAGAAAATTTGCCTTTTGTTCATCTCTCATATTCGCAGTACCAGCTCCAGAACCCTAGCCGCCGTCGGCAAACTACAGACCACACCCAGGCACGATGAAGTACAATCCAAGAGTTTCGTCTTCCCGGCGCAAGAACCGGAAGGCTCACTTCACGGCGCCCTCGTCGGTCCGCCGTATCCTGATGAGCGCCCCGCTCTCCACCGACCTCCGCCAGAAGTATAACGTGAGGTCCATGCCGGTGCGCAAGGACGACGAGGTTCAGGTGGTCCGCGGCACATACAAGGGCCGCGAGGGCAAGGTAGTCCAGGTTTACCGCCGCAAGTGGGTGATCCACATCGAGCGCATCACCAGGGAGAAGGTGAACGGATCCACCGTCAACGTCGGAGTCCACCCTTCCAAGGTCGTCGTCACCAAGCTGAAGTTAGACAAGGACCGCAAGTCGCTGCTCGACCGCAAGGCTAAGGGGCGCGCCGCCGCTGACAAGGACAAGGGCACCAAGTTCACTGCTGAGGATATTATGCAGAGCGTCGATTAGTTGTGGTTTTCCCCGGTGAAAATTTTGTTGTGTTTCTGCTGGCTCTGATTTCTTACTTATGGAAGTTGGTCTTATTCGAATGGTAGGATGGTTACGGAGGCGCAGGAGGACAATTGTCGGATTATTGAAGTTTTGGCTGGTATTACTTTCTGTTACGACTAGTAATATGCGTTTTATGTTATCTTATTATGGCCTCTGTCAACTGGATATTCCTCTTGTCAAGCTTATACATTTTCGAGTATCTGAATTTGTGTGTTTGATGTTGTGTTTAATTCGCCTTGTTTCCGTGGCCATGCTTATCGAATTGCGATTTTAGCATCATCACTCTGGGTGATTTTAATGTAGGTGAACGGATTCCCATATGGTCGTTGGGCATTGTTTTGTTTGTTTGAATGATAGGGCAATTGCAGTGCTTGTTTCAGATGTTATATGGTTCTTAATGTCGCTAGTTGTTGCTTACAGAGTCCTGCGTGTCTCAATGTAGGCATTCTGTTCATCTAAATGCCCACAAAGTCCTACAAGCTTATTAGATATGTTTTCTCTTGTCAAAACAGTTTTTGAACTGCTGGTGAGAAGATTTGGAACATGGTATGGTTGGCATTGGCATTCTAGCATAATGCTGGATTTGTTAGAGTTGCACAATTTGCTGATCTGGGTCCTTTGACTAAATAACAATACCTTGATCAGGAATGTTCTGTTTATGCAGAGAAACATATACTGTTAGATGTAATGCTAGAAGGTGGTTTTACAGCTGTTGTTCCCTACTAGTTTTAGGAGCCGTGTGGTCTTGTAATAGGGAAACTTATGCCTCGATAGATACTATGGTCTGGTCAGTGCCTGGTAGTGACTGACTGCTTTGAACAGTTTCTGCATGCAGTTTCTTTCCTTGCCCAAGGTTGGATGTTCTCTCTTTCAGAGTCTTCAATTTCCATATATCTTGAACAATTTCGAATACACCCTACGTTGTATGTTAATGTCTGAATGATGCATAGGCTTCCTATTCAATATTTCTTTCTGTTTTCTTTCGTTATTGCGCCCCTATCTATACTTGTCAGTATCTTTGTGATGTTGGGCAAGCAAATGGACGTGTTTTGGTGCTTGTTGGGAAAATCATTATGTATTGATGTTGGGTTTCATATTTGTAAATGGAAGATCTTTGATGCCAATCCTAACAAAATCAAGTATAACTAAGGTAGGGATGTAGTAAAGTGGGTTGTTTGCATTTCAGGCGAACTTTAGGCTTATTATTACTATGCTCTGAACTACTATTTAATCAACTAGGGTTGACTCCCTCTAACTTTAGGTTGTTATGGGCGATAATTTAATGGCGTCTCGAGGTGTGGAGGCCACGAAGGTAGGGATCTACGCAATGGTCATGTAATCGACTCCTCTCCTAGTTAGGATAGTGGGTCTAATGTCACCTCAACCGGGTTACCTAAATAGGTATAGGTTCTACCTCCAAATGGACACGATTGGTTTACACACAAGTAGGGCAAGTTGATGGTCACCTAACCTACTAGCATCGACTAGGTGAGACCTAGCTAGAAGGGGATGGTCACCTTGACTTCTAGTTAGTCCTCTAGGTCGACTAATTAGGTGGGAGGCATTCACAGACATCTTACCCTAAGTAGAAGTTTTAAGCACCCTAGTCAAACTCAAATACACCATAAACCCATGTGTAAAGTAATGATAATTTCCTTATTATCTGGGTTGGAACTAAAGCAAATTGGATACAGAGAATCCCACACTAATTGATGTATAGAGCACTCTTGACCTAAGGATATTGAATTATCACTTAGGTGAAGAACAAATCAATCTTAATCAAGCAAGAGATTTATGCACAAACATCAAATAGACATAGATCAGGCTTAAAATCATTCATACATAAACATCAAATAGACACTAGGGTTCATCTTCCCTAAACAACCTTATGAATTCAAGTCATACAGAGATGAACAAAATACAAACTAAAAAGGGGGAAGTTGGCTCTCCTTCGTCAAGTGCAAAAAGGGGATATTTATAGTGTCCTGGCACTGATCACGGCCTCGAGGGCGCGACCCGATGGGATGGGAGTGACCAATGCAGTGACTAGTTTGAAACGACATCGAATCGCATGAATCTTCGTGTTTTGACATCGTCTTCAAGTTCCTAGATCACAACCTCCATCATAAGATGACGATCGCGATCTTTTGTGACACAGGCATGATCTTTTTCGCGGTCGAAGAGCTCCTTGGCCTCAATTCAAGTGTTGAAACTTTCTTCCCTGTTGTTGGTTACTTGCTGAAGTGCTAGGCCGCTGGAAAAGCAAAAAATACGACAAAGTGGGGTTGATTTCCCCATGAAATCTTAATATCAAGCTAACTCGTGTCGAAATGGATGTTTTTCAAATACGAACGAAAATAGGCCTAAACTAGCTTGATATGTGGCTGAGAAACGGTGATTTAGCACACAAATGTCTCAAGAATGAGGGGCAAAATAACACCTATTTTAGTAGCCATTCATCTGTTGATGAATATGTGCATTTTTACACTTATTTGTGTGCTTGTTGGTAGGCAAGTATGAGTAGTTCTCCTACATATACCTCTGTCCATGAGGGGACGTAAACGGGAGGATGGAAGTAGTGAAAATGTGAAGTTGGATGCGGTAAAGCTATCTAATCTCCCATGTAAATTGTCCCAAAAGGCACTCCCATTACTCTAGAACGGGTTGGCACAACATGTTGCATTAGACGTTACACCCCACTTTATTCTCTCTTTTCTCTTCTTTTTGTACGCTTGTTGCAAGAAAGCACGAAACCAAGCACCTTTCCGATGGCCTAACCAAGATAACTAGGGTTCACTCACATTCAAACCTATCATTAATCATTTTTCAAACACACATACCCACATACATTAAGAAATCAAACACAACCACTTCGACTCAAGACATACCACGCATTACGATCATCAACATTGGTCGAGATAATTGGGAGCAAGATTCAACGATCCAAAGCAAGTAATCACGTTGCAAGCAAAGGAGCCAACTTGGAGCCCTCAAATTTAAAAAAAAGGGGGCATGCAAAGCTCCAAGTGGTCAAGTTGTGCTAGATTATTATCCACAATCACTCTAAAAGCACACTCTCTCTCGTTCAAATATTCATAGCATAAGAAAGATCAATCGATAACAAGCATTCCATAAGCATTAATGCGCAATCCCCACACATAAGGAACACATTGTCCTCAATGTGAGCACCAACGAAGGATATGGGAACGAGGTTACTAATTTGGTGATGTTGAGTTGATTGTAGGATCGAAGGGTTGGGCGGGTGGGATCAATTGCTGAGAAACATCCACGAGAAAAATAACTAAGAAAAAGATCAATCACATCCACGAAAAGATAAATTAAACAACACATGTACTAATTAATATAAGTAGAATTTATACTAAGTACTAAAATAGAAAAAACATACATACTACTAACATCCTACATATATCATTATTTAAATTATAGAAACGAGAAAAAGGTAAAGAAATGGTCCTCCCAAAACCAAGAAATCCCCTTTTGAACTTGATCTCTCGGCCTTCTAGATGGCACTTCTAGTTGTTGGTATTGTTCTTCTTGTGGTTGCTCCTCGACTTGAGGTTATGGTTGTTCTTCTTGGATTTGTGGTTCTTCTTGTCGAGGGCGGGTTCAGTTTCTTCGTGTGTGATACTTAGGATTAGAGCCCTCCACAAGCCCCTTTATCCTCGATCAATTTGACTAAATAAGAGAAAAAGCACAATAGATGTCCAAACAAACCATTAAGCAACACACTTGATAAATTGAAACAACAAAATCCATCCTTAGGTTCACTCTATACACCCCCACACTTAATTGTTACAATGTAGAAACTAGAGGTGCATAGGTGGAAACACATGTTGTAATGACTAGGGTCGTGGTCTAAATGCATGAAAACAGGGACACCTTGTCTTTTAGATGTTTCTATACCTCGCTCGAAGGCTAGAATGAACTCATTAGACAACAACCAAAGTTTGAACTCACGGCTCTAGAAGCATGTCAAAGCAAAAATTGAAAAATGATCCGAAGTCGCAAACTCAAATATCATCCATCAAAGATTCAATCTCAAGTCATAAACACACTCCTAAGGGTCTATCTTTAATAAATAAAGTTCAATTGATAAGCAATTGATCAAGAAATACAAGTTAAAGTTCACCGAGCACTTGATGGAAGACATTAAAACTTCATAAACTCATGAAATTCAAACCCACCAAGGTATCCAAGCACCTATTGCACTAGCCATGCCGTTCCCTAGACCTAAGTAGCTTAGTTAGTAGGCTAGCACGATTTCTCAACAACAACAACATTTCAACATTTCACCATATTCCATTAAAATTCATTCTTAACTATCAAGGTCATTCACTATCACTCCACTACAAATAATTATAAAAACAAGATTCAATCAAGTAAGTTCTTTATTCAAAGGTAATGAGAAGAAAAGTCAAACTGATGTTGGGGTGCCTTCCAACTAGCGTGTCTTTCATGTCTTATCATCAAATGCTTGCCTTAAGTTCTCAGTCCAACTTAAAACCTCCTTGAGATTGAGGTTCTCATCGTAAAAATTGAGTCTCAAGTCTTTATCGGTCTTCCAATCATTCGGTGAAGGCTCATGTAGAAGAGAATGTTTGAGACACCACCAATTGAACCTCACTTCACTTCTCTTTTTCATCTCTATACTTCGAACCAAATCAAGCATCCTCGAAGGGTCATTATCAGATCCACCAAGAGGGATTAATGATACCATGGCCTCGTCTCGCCAAAGAGTTGTTGAAAAAGGATCCGATGCAGGGAGTCCTTCAAGGTCGGGTGACCTTTCGTGGTCAAAGTAAATGGCCTCTTCGAGCATCCTAGCGTTGATGAACCCCAAATCATCTTCATCCTCTTCTTCAACCTCCTCCCTCTCTTCTTTCTTGGTGTCCTCCTCAATTTGGTATTCAACCTCATCATCCTCTTAGCTCAACTCTTCACCCTCATTGACCTCATTTATGCTCCCATCTCTTTTACTTCCTCTTCTGGTTCAATAGGTGTACGAATGTGGTCATTAGCAAGATCTTCGTTAGGTTGACCATCGTGCTCCTCTTGATTTTCCATCATCTTGCGTCGTTTGTCCTCTGCTTCAATTTCAAACCTTATGTAGAAGCAACCCGGAGCAAGGTTAGGAGCACTAGTATCTGTGTACTCGATCCCTATCACGAAGCGCTCTATGGCTAAGTCCACCGTGGTTTTGGCATTTGGTGATCAAGTGAGATGAAACTTCTCTTCATTCTTGCTTGAACTTTCTCCCTTCTCCCTTGACTAGGTGAGACTCTAACTAGAAGGGGACGGTCACCTCAATCTCTAGCTAGCCTTCTAGGTCGACTAATCAAGGTAAGCGGCATTCACACCCATCTAATCCTAATTAGAAGCTTTAAGCACCCTAGTCAAACTCAAATACACCATAAATCCATGTGTAAAGTAATGATAATTTTCCTATTATCTAAGTTGCAACTAAGGCAAATGGGATACACAAAATCCTAGACTATTTGATGTCTAGATCACCCTTTGACCTAAGGTGATTGAACTATCACCTAGGTTAAGAACAAATCAATCTCAATCAATCAAGAGTTTTATGCACAAACATCAAATAGACATAGATTATAGGCTCAAAATCATTCATACATAAGACCCATACACGATCTATGGGTTCATCTTCCATAAACAACCTTAGGGATTCAAGTCATAAAGAGAGAAAGAAAATACAAACCGGGGGGGGGGGGGGGGGGGGGGGGGGGGGGGGTAGTGTTGGTAACCATCTTCTTCTCTTTCGATCGCACCTTCTCCTTACTCATTGGGTGGATTGGATCTTCCTATAACCTCTCCTAAGGTATTTCTCTCTCTAAAACTACCCAAATATCCTTATTTTCTCTCTCAAAGCTGACTCTTCTTTGTTAAGTGCAAAAAATGGGTATCTATAGTGTCATGTCACTGATTATAGCCTCGAGGGCGTGACCTAATGGGGGCATGACCAGCCTAAAACGACATCGAATCTCTAAAAAATTTACGTTTTGACGTAATCTTCAAGTTCTAAGATCGCGGCCTCCATCGTGAGATCATGGTCGCGATTTTTTTTGTCAAATAGGGGCCAAATAGCACATATTTTAGGTGTTATCAATTGATTTTCATTGGAATCGAAGAATTTAAAAATCTTAAGCCTTTAATTTGCTAGACAATGAGAGTATGAGTGCCAACTTGAGCGTGATCGTATAGAAATGTTCATCATGTATGCAAACCATCCTCACCGCCATTAAGCAACTTCATCTTGCGGCAGTTCATCAACACGAAAATCAGTGAGATGTAACAAGGAAGACGACCACAAGCACATGATGCAAGATTATTTCATCCCAAATTCAACCTACAACGCTATGGCCTTCACAAGGCGGTATCGAATGCCCCTTACCTTTTCAACAGAGTCATGAATCATGTGTTTCGGTATGATGCCTAACTCAAGCAAGGGAAAGATGTTGCAGGTCGTGGCTCATTATCCTCAAACATATGGATACTCGACAAACTCTTTGGATGAGTCATGTTGAATGGGTGAGAATGAGATCACCATACTCGAGTGTCCGTTGTTTGTATACTCATTTGTGATTTGTTGGTATATAAGATTTTACATTTTACATCTTTTATCTTAATTTTGAATTTTCCGGACACTTATTACAAATTTTTGTAACTTACATTTTAATATCCAAATTTATTTTTTCTTATAATTTAATATCTAAACTTTTAAAATTTTACAAAAAGGTCCAAAAATTTTGGTGGTAACATTTTGTTTTGGTACCTTTATATGTTTTGCCTCACATTATAGTACCTTAACATTTAAAATTTTACAAATAAATCCAATCTTATGTTAGGAGGAATTTCAAATCACTAGTTGGTCAAATGTATTTGAAGTTGACAAGTGATTCGCTAGACATGTACTTGAAAATTACTTCATAAATTTGGCACAAATTCAAATACTAAACGTAATTATTATCCAAACCAAGGTTGTCAACCCGTGGGTTGACCCGGACCCGATCGAGCTAGTGGGTCAAGGATTAATGGGTCACCTAGTTTAGCCCGGAAATATGAAAAGAGTCATTATATTATACTTATCCTGATAAATTATATCAAATTTCATTTAACATATGAGTTATAACATATAATATTACACCAAAATAACATGTCGTACTTAGATCCAACATATAGTGAAAATTCACACAAACTTATGTAACATCAATGTTCAAATGTTCAACTTAGGATTCCAAAGATTGAGTTAGGCAAAAAGAAAAATCGCAAAATAGACGTATTTCGCAAACCAAAGGAAAACATGACACAATTTGACCTCCAACCCGGTACCTTGTAGCAGTAAACGCTACGGGTGCGTGCGTCCCGTTTTTCTCACCGGACCAGGGTCAAAATGGGTCGACCTACGGGTTGACAACCTTGACCCAAACAAATAATTTGACATTTATAAATCCAAATCACAAATACCAAATCCAGATTCTTCTATCATCATATCCAAACACACCGTTAACGAATTTGGGACTAACAATGAAATAAGGGAACAACGTGAGTAACCACTGATCCAATGAAAAAAACAACCAAACAAACGCAAAACAAACGAATAACTCAAATGACCAAATGTGTCATTTAACCCAAAATGATCAGCACCTATGAAAGATGGAACATGGACAATAGTCTCAATCGGCGAACAGACCCGGTGCATCAATAGTGTCCATCCACAGCAACTCCTAATCCTAGCAAAACCTGTGGAACTGCTTATTCACATTTCCTTGAAGTGCCCATCCATGAGACTGGAAAAGAGATGATAACCAAAATAAAGTTTTTGAAAGAATGTGCAAACGAATTTTGAAACAACTTTTCGTCACCGAAGAGATTGATCAAGGCTTGAGAGCAAGTGCTATGCCGAGCTTGGGATGTTTGTCCAAGGCCTTGGTGTCGATTTCCCCAGAGATGGTCATCAGTGACTTTGGTATCACTTCATGCTGCAGAAGAGCTGCAAGTTTCCCATGGTTGTTCAGCTTTCCCTTTATTAGTGTCAAATGGTCAATGGCATGTGAGCCACCAACCGTAAAAGTATTCTCATTGGTTGAAAACCTTCTCATGATCTCCCCCACAGCTGCACTTCTCTTCGACTCGTCCAGATGGTGAGCATATGAAGCAGTGATGGTGTCACCCTTGTCACCCCTATGACAAAGATACACAGCCAGTGAGTACCAAGGGTATAAAATAGTTTTTGAATATGTAACAGATGGGAAAAGGGCTTACAGAATAACTGAGGCATAGGCATCTGGCTTTGTTATGCTAATCCCAGCAGTGTACTTGGTGAAACTACCAGAAGTAGTATTGTATCCTGTTTCAGCGCCGAAGGCAATGGCTGGGGTACCAACAGTGACTGAAGCATCGACTACTGGAGACTGTTGGTGCAGGGCAACAGTAGAGGTAAAGGTTGCATGGTGATGGAAATATTGAACCTCCAACTGCAAGAACAGTGGAAAAGATTAATTACATTGGTAGGCAAACCAAAGCATTTGGGTCTCATTTTTCGGTTCTCCTGATGTTATGCGTCCACTTTCCTCAGAATTTCGCAGACATTAATTTCCACTTAATCAATTCGACTCCTACCTTGCCAGAGTTATAATCAGGCAACTTAAATGAAACAACTGCCTTTGTTGATGGAAGGACGTCACTGAACGTGAGGTTGGTTGCAATCTGTAGAAAATGGGGGAAAAAGAACAGGTTATGCTTAGACGAGCAAGAAGTAAAGAGCATCCTTTTGCTGTCTTTAAATAAACAAAAGCACATACATTAGATAGTGTATCAATTTTCACATCAAATATGTGGCTCTTGTACTTGTAAACGGCACCAATATCACTCGTGGACAGTCCACCCTTGTTAACAGCTGTTGAGGTGAGAGCCTGAGAAACAGAAAGAAACACAATAAAAATAGAGACCTAATGTTGGACGAGGAAATACAAGATTAACATTTGAGTGCATAATTTTCTTGTCAAGTTCATTGGAACGAATTAGATTAGAAACAAATTGAGATAACATTTAGGCTTGAACAACAAGAGCTAACATCCGGTTAGGACTGAACGACAAAGGCAGTGTTAAAATCAAGGTATGGTAACAGATAATTTGATTCCAGCACGTTAACGAAACTCCAGGGAAATAAAAAAAAAATGGGGGAAAAAATCCCAGCTGAAATGAATCAAAATTCACGCTAGATAAATGTGACATGTTTTACATTCTAGCATTTTATGCTGAGAAACTTTGTGTTCAAGTTCCTCAAATTAAATCTCAGAACCCAATTGAAGCTATTCGCGGCAGACATTGAGATCATGTTGATCACGAACAGTCAAAGAGAAGTAAATAAGAAAAACACAAAGAATCTCGATCGGCAAACCTGTGAATGGAGCTTAAACAGAAAAATAAAACTCGTCAATGGAGTTCTGAACAAGTAGTCTTAATAATCCCCAGAAGGAAGCACAACACAATGTATCATTTCCATTTCTGCTGCACCATATATAGCCAAATCGCAACACTACAAAATGTATGATAACTGAACAAGACTAATACTGAAAGATTGTCGATGCAACCCACGCCACTGTATTCAGAAAAGAGAAATGAAAAGGTAGTAAGAGGTAAGGGAACTTCAAGCTAAACTTCTAAGGAGAAATGATAGAGAACTTTAGATGTACAGGGAGAATTGGATACGCCAATTCAGAGGGATTTGTGCACAAAGTGACTGCTTATTTTCCATAGACAGACACAGATCGCATGAAAGACGATAGAGACCATTGGAGGCCTGCTCAGCAAACAAAATTTGGCACAAGTGCAATCCAGAGCAAGCGGTTTTCAAGCATGCTGCAATCGATACATAGAATTCGAGATTTAACACTATACATTGCACCTTCTGTTGAGAGAGTTCTATTTTCATTAGCGATCATGAATGAATCCGAAAATCTAATCCTGAACTGGCGTAGCGAAATTCAACTACACAATCACAATTCACAAGCCGCTAGCATCTAGACCAGAGTGACAAGAAAACGAGTAAGGACGAGGATTAACATACAATTCCGGCGGGGCCACTGTACGTGGAGACGGTGAATTTCTGATCGGAGCTGTATCCCGCCGTCAAAAGATCTGTAATTTCAAATACAAACATGGATTAAGACCTGAAAAGAATGATAACATGGAATTCTGCGCTGAAATCACTGTAGAAATGGAGATTGAGAGGACGGGAGTTACCTCTGGCCTTCTTTCCGATATTGGAGAAGATTTCCGGTCCCTTACTCATGGTGGCTAGAGAGAGAGAGAGAGAGAGAGAGAGAGAGAGAGAGAGAGGAGAGGGAAGCCGAGAAAGCGATCGACGGAGGAAAGAGTCGGGGAGAAAGGAACAGATAGGAGAGACAAGCTGAGAGAGGAGAATTGAGGATGGTGTGGTGGTGGTGAACAATAGAGATTGGAAAGCAAACAAAGTAAAACAACTAATTTCTATTCTAGAAATAACTCGGTGTCACTTAAATTTGAGAATTTGGGTAGACATATCATAAGTTTGAATATGAATAAATTGTAAGTTTGGTCATTGGAATTACTAGAAAGTTTTACATTTGCTACTCAAATTAGTGTATTCCATTCATGGTCACTAAAATTAGTTCAACAGTTCAAGTTTGGTCACTCTCCGTTAGTCTCCGTTAACTCTCGCTGATGTGACAGTAAACCCTTTCAGTCGACCGTTAAATGAGTGACGTGGCAAATAAAAAATATTAAAAAAAGTAATCTTCTATCATTTCCACCTCATTATAACAATAAATAAAACATAAAATTATAAATTATTATAATTAACAAAATTGTGGGGGGTTTCTGGGTTTTGGGCTGCTCCCCACAAATCCAAGTAAACTCGATCCTTACAGTGCCACCATTATCGTTTTCAGGATTCTTGAGGTGGTGGTTCTGTAATCCTGAAGAACGAAGTGGCGGCCTTTGACAGATTTTTTCTCCATCAACCAATTTTCTTCCTTCTTAGTCGAGTCCAAGAGACTCCAGCAAGATCTACCTCCCTCGTCGCATCCAACATCGCCATCAACATCATCTTTTCTTGTTGAAGAGACTGGAAGGATGTAGAGAGAACATGGGGGAATGATGGCCAATGAGGAAAAGAGCGTTGGTCGACGACATGTGGGTTGCGGACTTGTAAGATAAAGGAAATTTTTCATCTTCTCCCTCCGTCGCCAACACCGGATTTTTTAAATAAAATTTATATTTATTTTAGATATTTGTAAATATAATTCCACTTCACTGTCACATCATCAATTTTAAACCCAATCAACTGTCACATCAGCGGTAACCTTCTTGATTGTTATCTACTCACGATCAACACTAATGAAAAAATAGTTCGTGCTTATGGGGATTCCATAAATATTTCATTCCAAAAATAGAGCAAGTTACAATTGGAAGGATTGCCAAATTTAATAGTTTAGGACAAAAATGACATTTTTGAATAGTACGGGTTTTGTTATGGCATTAGTCCAACTCATGTTAGAAGAATTCTAAGGATTATTGGGACTTAAATGAAATAATAATAATAAAATATTAAATTTATTTAGGGCGGTCAATAACATACAAGAAAGTGATATTATAACAAACTAGATTTTTCAAAGGATCCTTACATGTTCACTACGTAGAATTCCATTTTGATTGCTATTGAAATATCAAGTGATGTGCTAGTTATGTTTACAAGTTAACTAAGAAAGTTATGTGGGTTGACGCCTTGTTTCTAAAATTCTTATGGGGTTTTTTATTACTGGTTCCGTACATTTGTTCTCTAGAAAAGTAGATCACTATATCAAAAAATGTTAGTCGCATTTTCTCTGTCATGGAGATGAATTTATGAAGGCAAAATTTATTTGGATCAAGATTGCTACTCCAATGAATGCAAGTGGCTTGAGTTTGCAGGTCCTTCTCTCCTGGAATGAAGCTTGTATGAAGCGGTTGTTATGGCTTTTACTAATGGAGAGTGGGACGCTTTGGGTTGCTAAGATTTTAATTTACATGCCTAAAGGTGCGTCCTTTTAGGTTTGGAGGGGCCTTCTAATGATCCGACCTGTGTTGGCGCCTTTCCTACGAAAAAGGGCATATTCTATCAAATGGAATGGTAATCTGATGACTACCTATTCAATTAAAACTTTCATAAATGGTATATGTCCTATAGGTACTAATGTGAATTGGTACGGGCTAATTGGTGGCCCAATGCAGTAAAAAACGTGATTCTACGTAGAAGCGTTTTGGTGACCTAGAAGCGTAAAAGCGTAAACTTTTAAGTACACTTTTGACTACATTAGTAAGGGGAAAGCACTATTCTATATAGAAGCATTTTGGTGACCTACAAATGTAAAAGTGTAAGCTTTTAAGTTGTAAAACGCGATTTTGACTACATTAGACATGTATCACATCCCGAATTCAACTTCCTTGTTTGGCTGGTGGAATTGAAACTGATAGTTGTGAAGGAAAAATTGATGGCCTGATGAAAGGTATTGGATGGTGTTTGTATGTTGTATAATGTGGATCAGCAATCGCGAGAGCACCTTTTTATTAATGAGCCTTTCCTCAGCAGATTTATGCATAATTTTGTATCAACTTCCTAACTTTTTCAGCTTCGTCGTGGGATTCACCTCTTTTGACAGCTTATTCTATCCAACATACAGGGGGGAATGAGAGAGTTATTGGAGTTCTTTGGAACATATTTTTGGTAGGAGAGATGTTGCAGAGACCATGGTGACCACTCAAGGTTAATACTAAGATATAAATCATATTCTATAGATATAAATCATATTTAATAGTTGTTTCACATATGTTTTTATCTATTTTAGTGGATAAGCAGTGTATATAGCTGAGGAAGTTGTAAGAACATTTTGAAGATTACCTAATACACGGTTTGTGTTTTGGTTTTCGTTGAGCTATAAATTGAAAAATCATTCATCATGGAAAAAGGAACGATCTTAATAATGTATAACAAAATATTTTTCATATAGATTACAAATTTTTTGTTTTTAAGTAACTATGTGATAACAGTAACAAGTCACTGAGGTGATAATAATGAAAATAAATCATTGAATTGGCCTCGAATAGTATAGTGAAGCGGGAACAAGGGCGAAACCATTAATTTATTTCATTTTTTTTTTATTGAAATTCACTTAAGGAGACTATTGCGTCCTCTTCTGAGAAAAGTCCGCGCATTCATCAAAAATTCTATTTTTCGTGCTCATTTTTCTCCACATATTGTAGACTTCTCAGGTACAAGATAAATTATGAAAACATAAAACCGAAAAGGAATGCTTTCTTTTCTCTTTTTTACATCTCCTTTTTTCCTTTAACTTTCTTTCAATAGAAAGCACTTTGAAACTGCCTCTTATCTGGGTACCTTGTATTATCTCTCGTATCATTGTTGCCAATTAATTCTGCCCCAAACATTGTAGCCGATAATGCCTTTCAATTATCCTCGTAGATGATGGATATCTATAGAATTGTGGGAGTTCGTTAAACAGTTGGCATTACTTAGTCCTTTGCGTGGCAAGAATTGATTGGGTTAAGGTAAAAATATTTCATATTGACAGTGAGTGAGGGATAGCCCTGGTGAGTGAGGGAAAATGGAGAGTTTTTTGGATGATACATTTGATGTGAAAGCCAAACACGCCCCTGATGAGGCATTGGAAAAATGGAGGAAGCTCTGTGGGGTGGTTAAGAACCCCAAGAGAAGGTTCAGATTTACGGCCAACATCTCCAAGCGATCTGAAGCTGCTGCTATGCGTCGTACCAACCAGGCAAGAAACTCATCTTTTCCCCACCTTTTCCTTTTTTTCCCTTGCTTTCAAACGTTAGTTGATCATTGATTGCATAACAAGGGAAAATCAGTTTTCCATATAGAAAGTGAAAAACTCTGAAACTTTTAGAATTTTATGGTCATACCCTTTGATTGAAGATGTATAGTAACGTTACCCAAAATACATGATAAAAAACTAAGCAAATATTCGACCGTGAAAATAATTTCCGCACAAATTACGTCTAATAAAAGTTCCTATAACAAAATTAGAATTCCTTCAAAGTACTTTTAGAGACAAGTATGCTCCTTTTAGTAATGATCAAGTAATCATTGAAAAAAAGTTGAATAATGACATTAATTTGTAAAAGATCTTATCATTGAAGGTGCACCCAGTTAATTACAAATAAAATTCCCGAAAAAAAAAAGAACTAATAGTCATCCATAGTCATTGGTCACTATTTAGTGACGAAGGTCTATACTTCACGAATAATCATGCGGTCATTGGCGAAAGTAGAACTAGAGGCCATGCGTTAAAAAGCACAATTATCAATCAAATTCACATATTCGCCACAAACAGATAAAATATCAAGTAGGAAAAGATTGATCATCCTCAACTATCAGTTATCCTATTCTAATGACAGGATTGTTCACTTCATCGAAGACCAATATTCCCTTAGTGAAAGTGGTATAGTGATGACCTATTTTGAAAAACATTCTTTTGTAGTTCTTTTTTTTTTTTTACGTTGTGTTTTCTTGTCGTTCTAGTGATGAATGTTAACTTTAAAAAATTTGCTCAAATTGGTTATCCTCCTTATAGATGCTATTGGAAGGACATGTTGAAAGTAACCTTTTCTCTTTTCATAATTTTAGGTTCATAACATGGATCTTTCTTAAACGTTTGTAAATAAAATACTCTTAATTTTTTTTTATCTAATTATATCAATCTTGATATGTATTAGACACATCTTTTTATGTATATTTGTAAGTGGACTCGCATATTTTTATTCAAATGTGACATATTCATACAACACATTTGAAATATTCATACAACATAGTTGGAATATTCACATTGAATACACTTAACACGTATTGTAAATAGTCTTAACAACCGTTGTGAATACTCTTCTTAAATACATTTTGTAAATATTCTTAACATGTTAGGTCTATATAAAAATCATTGTAACACAACAAACCGTGAATTGCTCATCTAGCATTTTTACCTCAATGTTTAGTGTACATATACAATAATATTAAAATTACCTGACCAATAGGGCGTACCATGATCTAGTATTGTGAACATACATGTTATGTTAAGTGAATATTTGTATTACTCGTAAAAAAAAAACATGAATTACATGTCCTAAATGTATTGTGGTCAGTCTTATTAGATGGAAAAACAATTAATAATATTTTTTATAATTTTATAAATATATTTTTTAAACCGTAAAAATTTATAGTTCAGACCATCATGACTACGGTTGTCAATTTAGTTTTGGTTTTTCTGGTTTTAACATATACCAAACCGATAAAAAGTTTAACAATTTTGAATTTTGCTTTAAACGATTTAGCGTCTTAATGGTTTGGTTTCGATTTAAACCAAAAATCAATAAATAACTGATAAGATCCTAACTAAGTTCAAACTCATCAACAATACGCATTGTCACCAACTTATGTGTAGTAGACTTATTTCCTATATTCGTGTGTCTTTTTATCTTTTCTAACTTCCCAAACCAAGGGTTTGTGTTTTGGTTTTTTGGTCTATCCAAACCAAACAAAAACGTTAAAGGGTCTTATCAATTTCGCTTAACTAATAACTGCCAAACCCTTAACGATTTTAATTTTGATTTTTGAAATTTGTCTGGTTTGATTTTGATTAGTTATTCATACTTAATGGTTTGGTTAACCAAACCAAACTGACATCCCTACTCATGACGGAAAAGGCCTGACCGGATCATTAATACAATATGATATGTTCCCTTACATGCACACTGCTTTTCAATCCTTAGGCATAATAAAACTAATTTATCGATTAAGAGTCTTATTATCTTTATGCCATGGATTTTTCAGGAGAAGTTAAGGATTGCAGTTCTTGTATCTAAAGCCGCATTTCAATTCATCTCCAGTGAGTTGGATTCCCCCCACCCCCAACAAAATGAAAAATACTTTGATTTTAACTGTTAATTAGATGTTTTGCCAACAAATATTGATGGAAATTTTTTACAGGTGTATCCCCAAGTGACTACACTGTACCTCCCGAAGTGAAAGCAGCTGGATTCGACATTTGTGCTGATGAGTTGGGATCCATCGTTGAAGGCCATGACGTGAAAAAGCTACGCTTCCATGGAGGAGTGAACGGGATAGCCCAAAAGCTTTGCACTTCTACAAATGACGGCCTCCCTAAAGATGTTGATGCATTGAACCGCAGACAAGAGCTCTTTGGAATCAACAAGTTCGCTGAAAGTGAATCTAAGAGTTTCTGGGTATTCGTTTGGGAAGCCCTTCATGACATGACTCTCATGATACTTGCAGTGTGTGCTTTTGTATCCTTAATTGTTGGGATAGCTACAGAAGGATGGCCTAAGGGAGCCCATGACGGGCTTGGCATTGTTGCAAGTATAATGTTAGTCGTGTTCGTAACAGCAACAAGCGACTACCGCCAGTCCTTACAGTTCAAGGATTTGGACAAAGAGAAGAAGAAGATAAGCATCCAGGTTACAAGAAATGGGTTCAGGCAGAAAATGTCCATCTATGAATTACTTCCTGGCGATATTGTTCATCTCGCCATTGGAGATCAAGTCCCAGCAGATGGCCTTTTTGTTTCGGGCTTCTCTGTTTTGATTGATGAATCTAGCTTAACCGGTGAAAGCGAGCCAGTTATGGTGGGTGCTGAAACCCCCTTTTTGCTCTCTGGAACCAAAGTTCAAGATGGCTCCTGCAAGATGCTGATTACAACTGTTGGGATGAGAACTCAATGGGGGAAACTAATGGCGACTCTGAGTGAAGGAGGTGATGATGAGACGCCATTGCAGGTGAAACTAAATGGTGTAGCAACCATTATTGGAAAAATTGGGCTCTTTTTTGCTGTCATCACGTTTGCAGTTTTAGTACAAGGACTTGTTGTTAGGAAGTGGAAGGATGGAAGTCACGTGGATTGGAGTGCTGAAGAAGCAATGGAGATGCTCGAGTACTTTGCCATTGCCGTCACGATTGTGGTCGTCGCGGTTCCAGAAGGGTTACCGCTTGCGGTGACTTTAAGCCTTGCATTCGCCATGAAGAAAATGATGAATGACAAAGCACTCGTTAGGCACCTTGCAGCTTGTGAGACGATGGGATCCGCTACAACCATTTGCAGTGACAAAACTGGAACCTTGACAACGAATCACATGACCGTTGTGAAATCGTGCATTTGTATGAGTGTTCGTGAAGTTGGGAACCCGAGTAAGTTCGCCAACATGAAATCTGAGCTCCATGATTCAGCTCTCAAGTTGTTGCTTCAATCGATATTCAACAACACTGGTGGTGAAGTTGTGATGAGTAAAGAAGGGAAACGTGAGATTTTGGGGACTCCTACTGAGGCGGCGATACTCGAGTTTGGTTTGTCCCTCGGTGGGGACTTCCAGGCAGAGAGAGAAGCAGTGAAGCTTGTTAAGCTCGAGCCTTTCAACTCAACCAAAAAGAGGATGGGGGCAGTCGTGGAGCTTCCTGTAGAAGGTGGAAGGTTGAGAGCTCACTCAAAGGGAGCCTCGGAAATAGTGTTGGCCTCTTGTGAGAAGGTGATCAATTCGAAAGGTGAAGTTGTGGCTTTGGATGATTCATCTCTAAAATTTCTCCAGGCTACGATTGATCAGTTTGCTAGTGAGGCCCTAAGAACTCTATGTTTGGCATACAAGGAAGTGCAAGGTGGGTTTTCGCCTAACGATCTTATCCCAGAGTCTGGGTATACGTGCATTGGAATCGTGGGAATTAAGGATCCAGTAAGGCCAGGGGTGAAGGAATCTGTTGCAGTTTGTCATGCAGCTGGTATTGCTGTTAGAATGGTCACGGGAGATAACATTAACACTGCTAAAGCGATAGCGAGAGAGTGTGGGATTCTCACTAGTGACGGTGTAGCTATAGAAGGCCCAGTTTTCAGGGAAAAAAGTCAGGCCGAGTTGCTCGAACTTATTCCCAAGATTCAGGTATGGTGTGTCTACATATAATACAATCCTTAACTCGACAATGAAAAGAAGAAGAAAAAGAATTGCCTTTTGGGTTTTGGTAAAAATAGGTTTGAATTAAGGTCATTGTGTTGAAGGTAATGGCGCGATCTTCACCTCTTGACAAGCACACACTGGTGAAGCATTTGAGAACCACATTTGATGATGTAGTTGCTGTGACTGGGGATGGAACAAATGATGCTCCAGCACTTCATGAAGCTGATATTGGTCTTGCAATGGGCATAGCTGGAACTGAGGTGAGTTTTATGCGATTTGATCTGTGTTTTAACTGTAACCAACAAATTACTATTATGAATGAAATAAGACGAATCTTTGAGAGAGTCTGACCTCGTGATTTTGACAAGTTCAGGTGGCTAAAGAGAGTGCTGATGTAATAATCCTTGATGATAACTTCTCGACGATCGTGACAGTGGCCAAATGGGGGCGGTCAGTTTACATAAACATCCAAAAATTTGTGCAGTTCCAACTCACGGTTAATGTGGTTGCCTTGGTAGTTAACTTCTCTTCAGCTTGCATGACAGGTAAACAAGAAATAAACCCTAATATAACATTCACAATGATCATTTTCTTAGAGTAGATAACTTGTTTGTGGTCAATACAGAAACCTGACTATGGAAACTACGCTTTAATTTTCCAGGAAGTGCACCCCTAACAGCTGTCCAATTATTGTGGGTAAATATGATAATGGACACATTAGGAGCTCTTGCACTGGCAACAGAGCCACCCAACAATGCATTGATGAAACGGCCACCAGTTGGAAGGAAAGGCCATTTCATTACTAATGTGATGTGGAGAAACATCTTAGGCCAGTCCTTTTACCAGTTCTTAATAATATGGAAGCTCCAAGCATCTGGGAAATCAATGTTTGAGCTCGAAGGCTCCGATTCTGATCTAGTTCTCAACACTATCATTTTCAACTCCTTCGTCTTCTGTCAGGTGAGGGAAAATCTTAAACAAACTAGTTCTTTGATGTCTACCACGCCACCCAAATAAAGTAGTTAAATGATCCTATGGTCTATATTTTTTCAAATGGATTTCAGGTTTTCAATGAGATAAGTTCTCGTGAGATGGAGTCGATCAACGTGTTCAAAGGCATGTTGAACAACTATGTCTTTGTCATGGTTCTGGTTGCTACTGTAGCCTTCCAGATCATAATTATTGAGTTTCTAGGAACGTTTGCTAACACGACACATCTGACGTCACATCAGTGGGGAGCCTGTGTGTTGATCGGGTTCATTGGCATGCCAATTGCTGCTATCTTGAAACTAGTTCCCGTTTGAAACAATGTGAAGTCAAGAGATGAGAGGGGCTGTCCCTTGAATTGCAATTTTGAGAACAAAGGTAATATGTTGATGATGTAGTTTAGTCCTAAAGGGAAACTTCTTGGTGGCGCATAGTCCAAGTAACAGTGAAACTCCTCTATACATGATTCTTAGTAGGGTCCAAGTTTACCAGGTTTGATTAATGGAGTATGAACGTTTGATTATTTGTTTCCTTTTTTAGCAGAGCACTTTGATTTTTTTAGCCTCTTTATTTTGATGAGCTTGTACTTGAGACACATTGGTATAAGAAATGCAGAATTTCTGTTCACAACAAAATTAAGCTATCTGAGATAATAGCAGAGTTAGTACCCCCCAACGCGGACAGACTCAGTCCTAAGCTAGGATCATCATCTAAAACATCTCCTTATCCTAATATTGTTCATGGCAGAATCCTCTATTCCAAATCCTCAGCATCACAGAACTTACCAGTTTCATAAACATGGTACAACCAAACAGGTTCAAGCAATGCTTTGGCCTTCTCCAATTCTTTCCTTGCCTCTTCCTCATTTTGTTCTTCTTCAACCTGTCTCTCGATTATCGGGAATATCTCGGGGAGCGAAGTCAACATTGCATCAAGTTGACTCCATTCTCTATCTTCTTCCACCAACTTCACGCAAACAAAGTGGAGCATCCCCAGCACCAATCCGAAATCCCTTCTTTCCAATCCAACCACTGCTCCTGTCAAGAAAATCATCCCAACCGCATCCATTACAGTTCTGTTTGCTCTCAACAATGTCACCATCATATCCATGAATCTTCCAAATGTAGGCAATAATTCCCCAGGCTCTTCTGAAATGTTACCACCTTCTTCCCCCTGCTCCTCGGAGCTCCTCTTACTCATTTGATGCAGCTCAACCTTCGCTAGCATGTGTAGCCACGATGGAAAATGGAGCTTCATATGCAGTAATTCACTGGAAGTTGCAATTCCTTCTTCCCTCTTTCTGAGTAAGGTTCCAGACCCTAACACAAGAGCTAGATCAGGCAACCAAGGCTTCGCTGCTGCTGCAACAAGGGATGATGCAGCACGAGAACCGAAGTGTGCTTCAACACATATAATTAGATCGAACATTGTGTTTGTGAGTTCGAAAGCCTCTTGTGAAGCTTCATTGCTGGTAGCTGCATTGAGAATGAGATTGAGCAACTTGGCAGCATAACTGAACGAACTCTTCAGACAAGTAAAGATGTCTTTTGACAAATTGGAGGTCGAGAAATTTTCATTCGGTTGTTGTTGACCAAAAGTGGACACGACATCTTTTAGGTAGATCGATGCGAATGTTAAGCACCTTCGGTGGATCTGAGACAGAAAGTCCATCGCAATGCAATCAGTGATGAACTTGAGCAATGCAGTCTGCATCTTCACCTTATTTGCCATTCTTGTCACCTTAGCACTCGCCAATTCTGCAATAAATGCTCAAATTCGAAAAGAATACGTGGAAGAAAAAACATGTCAAGCAAAAAGTGGGAATGAAGCAGACTAACAAGAGTCCACTGCTACTAATACAGAACGAAGGATTTATAATTTGATTGAAGGATGATATATGAGTAGCTGATGCCTTACCATCATTGTTTGATATAGACACATCTGCTTGACGCTCCCTTTGTCTCTTCCCATTACTATCAGCTTTTCTGTTGACGGAGTCTGATCTTGAATCAGTTGATTCTCCAAGAAGCCGCTCGATGCAGTTAAGAATGTGGTCCACTGTCTCGTCCAGTACAGACTTCTGAAAGTAATCAAAGGAATAATGCGTAAGAAAACAAACTTCTACCCAGAAAAAAAGGAGAGAATTAGGAGGTTGTGTTGGCAAATATAGATATTTGACAAAGTAGACATTTGATCTAATATAGACATTTGGAAAAATGTAGATATTTGACAATGTAGACATTTCCAAATGTGTTGTTTGTTAATATGTTTTTAGATGAGTCATTTTTCAATGAGTTATTTGTATAATTCTACCATTTAGCACTTACATGTAATATGCTTCACAAAATGTAACAATACAAAGTATTTATTTTACAAGCAAAACATAATCTATATTTGAAAACCAGTCTTTAAGAATAGTAACAATTATTTCACTAGAAATAATTACAAAGCATTAATAGAAAATAATTGAAAATATTGTTCGAAAATAATTGGAAAGAATAGGAATTATGACGACAAAATATAAAAAGGTTAGTATTTGGTATATGAAAAGGGGGGTTAATATTGGAACGTCACTGACTCTTCTCCCACAAAGCTGCCCACCTCCCAATTATTTGCAAACGACTCAGTTTTTCGTCACTACTTTCCAATATAGCAAATGACTCGTTTTGTTTTTCGTTAATAAACGAGTCATTTGACATCAAATGACTCATCCAAATATAGCATGCAAACGACTCCTAGAAGCAATAGCACCTTCAAGATACAAGTTCCAAGTAAAACGGAATAATTTTGCTAGAAAAAGGAACACTATACATTATTCTTTAAGCAATCCAATCATTCGGGAGGAGATACCCAAAAGACAAAAATAATTCTCACCTCTGATGTTGAAACTGAACTATCACCTGTACCTCTTGTGATTAAGCTTTGAAGAGTTTTATGCAAGGAGAGTGCCATATATGCTAAAACAGGTTCAGCATCCATGTAATCACAGCATGCTGCCTGCAATATGGTGGCCTCTGAAATATCCTTTAAAGCAAGAAATGCCTGCTCTAGATCTTGAGACCCTAAGACAGCCTTTTGGCCATCCACAACAGCAAGCAACTCTTTCAGCTGCCAAGCTACTGCCACAGCAATAGAATAATCCTCCTCGAAACTGGATGCCTTTTTCCCTCTCATGTGTTTCCACTTAGCTGAAGACTTGACCGTTGACTCACCCTTTCTCCGTTTCCCATTGGGCATCTTAACTGACATTTCAATCCCAAATTTAACATGGCAACGATAGGCTGTTTTCTCCAAAATATTTGTCAAAGACCCGAACATGTGATCGAAGGCATCACAAGACATCAATAAATTGTGAGCAGACTTCACTTGGGTTTGCATTTCTTTATCCTGAGATACTCCACTACTACATGTAATGAGGCGCATGCACTCTTCAACAAGCTGAGTCACATCTTCTGGAGACACAATGGAGAAGATGCTGATGACAGAAGATTGAGCACGAGGAGTTGATGCTGCAGCAAACAAGCTCTTGGCATTAACACCAGAAAGGAAGTCTTTAAGGGTAGTCTGACAACGTTGTTCACTAACTACACTTCTACAAAGGTGAGCAGAAGCCACAAGCATGCCCTCAACTTGATCCTTTTCAGCCTTATCTTGCGAGAGAACAGAGTTAACCAATACTTGGACTAGCTCCATGGCATGTTTTAGTGAGGCCCCTTCTGATACAGCAAATTCACAAAACCTTGCGCCAGCCACGGGAGACCTCTTTATGAGAGTGATGCAACGACTACAAGCTTCTTCTTTGTTAACTTTTGAGGGAAGGTATGATGGGATAAGTAGTCTTGTTATCTTCTGGGCTATTTGGGATTGATCATTTGCTAGAGTTGACAATAGAGCATCAAGACCGACCACCTTTAGATGTTCATGACAATGTTAGCCAATAGGAAGCAATTCAGAGAGAACAAAGATAAGAGAAATTAGGAACAAGTATGAAGATGTTAAGTGAAGACACATAGTGTAGTTACATTCACAAATATAAAGTATTATGGAAGTTCTGGTTACCTTATTAAACTGGAACTTCCGACTATCGTTTATAGCAAGGAGGAGATCCAAAACAGCAACGCGAATTGAAACAACATTATCCAAGATCAGGGGTCCCATTCTGGGCAGTAGAACTTTGAGAATTTCATGAGACTGAGGGTTTCCAAGCAAATAAGCTATACCATTTACTGTGGAAACCCTAACCTCGCTGCAAATATCATGTGTCATGTCATCAAAAATTTTGGTAAGTATCTTTGTGATTGTTGAGGAGGGTATGATTTCCCAAAACAAATGGAGGACACGACAGCAGCCTTCCACTGCCACCACTCTCAGACCTGGACATTCATCCACGAGCAGCCTCTCCAATAAAAAGCACTGTCTATCAAGCAGTGAATCCTTAGCTTCTTTGTTTGAATCAGGATCTTCAAGGGGAAACAGATCCAAAAGCAAATGCAATGCATTAAGACGAACATTTGAATTTGCAACCTGTACAAAGAATAGAGAAGCTTTCTTAGTAGATTGAAAAGTATCAATCATACAGCTCAACCAATCATGAAGTATATGAGTTTCATGGAACACAAACAGAGCTCCAAGTAATCAAGATTTTATGTTCTACCCTCGTGATTGTGTTGGCATTGCTATCAGTATCATTTAGCGAGATAGCCATAAACGGTTTTCTCGTATCAGTTCAGTCTTATGTTCTAGAAGAAGAAAAAAAAGACTCACCTGCAGTGATCGAAAAATCACAGGCTCGGCTAGCCTGAAAAGGAGCTTCTCAACTCCTTCACTGATCCTTTGAGTAACAAATCCACCAACAACTCGCCTAATTGAAGCTGCAAATGGCCCAGAGCTCGCATGTATAGCACCCTCAATCAGAGTCTGCAAAAACCCACTCTCGATCTCATCCTTCAATTCCCCTCCAACTCCTTTCCAAGCCCTAAACAAAATCTCCCCATACGCCTCCAACATTGACTTCCTTCCAAACGAGATCTGCGACTTCATCATGGCCAAAGCCTCCTTCAGCACCTGCTTGCTCAATCCCAACACGAATGCAAGAAACTTCTTCCCATCCTCAGTTTTCAAAAAGAGAGGAGCAATAAAGCACCGAATAAGCAACAATTTCAAATCCTCGATGCTCTCATCCTCAAAATCGAACAAAGCAAACGCCTCGCGGAGAACGTAGATCCTGTGGATATCCACCTTCTTCTTCAGTCTCAGCGACCTGGACAGTAGGAACGGCAGCGACTGCGAGATGAGTAGCTCTCTCCCCGGGAATTCCTCTTTCCAACACTCCTCGCACAAATTCGATATCTCAGACAGCAAATTGGAGTCCGATTCGAACAGAATCAAGTTGTCATGGAGAAGCTGGACAGCCGGCAACAGTTCCGCGGCCGGGAAGGGCTTCTTGGGATGCGAAATACAGAGGAAAGTGAGGTAAGCGAGAATTTGAACGCTCTCGAGCGTCCGTTGCTTCTCGTAGTCGATGTTAGGTTCATTGTGGGAGGAACCGAACTCGTTTACCTGGGAAGTAGTGGCGCTGGACTTCCGGGAGGAACGGCGGGGCCGCTTGGAGGGAGGCGATTTGGAAGCGTCAGGGGAATGAGGCGGCGGCGACGAAGATGGGGGTTGACTAAGGTTCTGGAACGAGGAAATTGAATCGAAGATGAAGCGGCGGAGAGAAGGAGGGAGAGTGGCGGAGGACGGAGAAGAAGGGGAGATGGAATGGACTAGCGTCTTGAGGGAGGGCTTGCAGGATTTGAGAGAGAGTTTGACGGCGGCGGAGAGGAAATCCTCGACGGATGAGTTGAGAGACGACCGGAGCCTCTTCTCCATGTTTTGGTTTCCCCCCTTCCAATTTCTTGAGTGTTTGAATTTGGGGTACTGTGGTCTGTGGCGGGGGGAAAGAAAATATCGAAAGGCAGATACGGAAGCGGATCTTGAGTGTTCGGCTTCCGGCACGATTTTCAAACCGGTTTATATATTTCTGCTGTCTAACAACTAGGGGTGGGCAACCGGTTCGGTAAACCCGAACTGAAACCGAATTAAACCGAACTGAAACCGAAATAATGCTATTCGGTTCGGAATTCGAAAGGAAAATATGGATATTTCAGAAATTAGGGTTATTTCAACCGAACCGAATTTTCAACTAAAAACCGAAATACTATAATTGCAAGCTCCAAATGTTGGATTTTTATGTTTGTAGTTGTTTTTAGACTTAAATATTTGAAATGTTTGATGACTTATGTGTTGAAAAGCTTGATTTTATCATTGATGATGCATATAATTGCATATTTATTTTTTATATTAGGGTAAAAAATAATATAAAAGTGAGAAGATACAAGTAGCCTCACAAATTCGGTTTTGTGTGAAAAACCGAACCGAATTATAATTCGATTTAAACCGAACGAACTGAATTATAATTTGATTCGAATTCGATTTAAGGTTTAGAAGAATTCGGGGACCCGGTATTCATAATTTCAGTTCGGTCGAAAACGAACCGACCGAATGCCCATCCCTACTAACAAGTGGTATAATTTGATTGGAGTATAATTGATCATTATAATTCACGTCGATTTTATAAAACATGTATAAAATAAAATTTATTGTACTTACAAATACAATCTAAATTCATATATAAATAAAATAAAAACATTCCAAACAAAATAACCATTATTATACGAATTGAACACGATCAGCGGTTGCACCAGTACAACCATCATGATACATTCCAAACATTCCAACCTCATTGTCCTAGTTTTCCAACCTCCTTGTCCTTTTGGTCCACTGAGATTGTCATCCTTATTACTAACTAGCTTTTGATCCGACCCATTGGCAGGATTACTTTAAGTTACCGAAAGGTGGAACGGGAGAGAGTTAAAACAAGAGAGCATCTATTTTCGGAGAATTATATATTCAAAACATTAATAAAACATCCATATGTTATTGTATTTAAAAAAATTATTATATATGCTACTAAATTTTTGACAAATATTGTAACACCCCACCCAAAATCTCTATGGTTGAACCCATGGTTCAACCGCGCAGCCAAATCCTTGGTGTTACTGGTTGAACTCAATCATCTCAAACATCATCTCCGATTATTAAACACAAACATAAACCGTTATCATACAAACTCACTATTCGATCCCCAACCCACTTATTGAATTTTACAAAAGGTGGGTTATTATTGAAAGCACTCAAAGCAGAAATCCTAGGTGACCATGACAGAACAGTGTTCCAACTACCTCATGATGGTAGTACAGAAGGATAGGGCAGCCTCAGTAGTCCGATCCTAGTTGCACCTGCGAGCCTGAAAACATACGTGGGTCAGCAACTAAGCTGTGTGTGTGGATCTTTCCCACGACCTAATTTTGGGACCACAATCAGCTAATCAAACAATCGTAATCAAGCATAATTTAGTACTCTAGATACCATCTTAAATCATCATATATAAATTACCGATCAATTTATCGAATCCACCAACTCATCATCACCAAATCAATTTATCCAATAAACTAATCACATAATTTCATGAACACATAATCAATGCATGATATGAAAATTCCAGTTAATTATTAATGGCGTCAAGGTCACCATACACTTACCCTCGCTCGAGCAAATCATCATCCGTGGTGCTCATGCAACCACAACACTCAATCTGTGGTGCTCATGCAACCACAACACTCAATCCGTGGTTTTTAACCACAACACTCATCCGTGGTGCTCATGCAACCACAACACTCAATCGCATAAGCGAGCTAAATCTACCCACTCTCAAGGGGTGAGGGTAAGTGCAGGCCCTTTCTATATCTATGTGAATTAATATGATCAAGAATCAAACCATTTCCATTTTTCCCATCCATCACAATTAATCCGGAATCAATGTAGTCTCACGGATCAACCAGTCCACATATATATATTCCCCGTCGATTATCAACTCGACGTTTCACATAAATCATTTCATTCTCCATTAAAGCTACTCAGCAGTACCATGTCACCATTCCTCATCCAAAATTCATCAACAATTTCACAAAATAGCGCCAACGCAAATAATTATAAATAACCCGGTTGCGGTTAAAAATATCCTTATCTCAAAATTCACTTTCCTTCATTAAAATCCTCACACAATTCATGTAAATGAATTTATTGACACAAAAATCCATTTAATCTAGTTCTGATCATAAAAATAAATTTAGACAATAAAATATCCAAAAATCTCGTATTAACCATTATTTTACGGTAACTTAAATTCCCACAAAACAGCAAATCCGAAAATCTCCCAAAAATACAAGAACCTTCATTTATCATCCTAAAACAGGTCTGTCCAGTTTTTATATTTTTCAACAAATCAAAACCATGAAAATAATATTACACTCGGTCTTTACCGCAAATCTCGTATTAAGCTCGTTTTTACCATTTTAAAGATAAAAACTCCACCAACTGACTAATTTACCATTTCCAGACCAAAACCCATTTAACAATCCATACTGACCATTTTAAAGTGATCAAAATCTTAAAGATAAATAAAACACGTTTTTACCGAGCTTTCCGTAAAATTCACCGTTATTCAGTTTTTAATCCGCAAACCATTTTCAAGTGAAATCTTCTGCTCAATCTGCCCCAACATCATTTTAGACATACCAAAAATATCTTAGATCCGTTTTAAACTCAATAAACCCAACTATCCATTTTTACGGTGAAACTTGTCAAATACCGATATTTATAGCGTAAAATTCATAACAATCAAGAATAATCTGCAAATCATCGTATCAAAAATTAAGTTATCAACCACAGTAATTAATCCATCCAAATATGTAAATCAAGCATAAATAATCAACGCAATAATTAAGGTCCTCTTAATCCCCACACACCTTAATTTTAGCCGATTCCAAGTCGGGAATTAAGTTCTAAAATTCCAGAGATTGGCTCCTAAATATTCTCCTTGTTTCTACGGTCCTGTAGGCGAAAACGGTTCGTCGTTTGGACGTCAAACGAAGAAACTGCGAGCTGATCATCGTTAGTACGAAATTAGGGATTAATTTTGAATTTTCTGCTGTCCAAAATCTGCAGAAAACTGGAATTTCCTTTACCTCACGTACCAACTTCCGGGCCTTGTTTCTCCCTCGTCTGAGCTCGGAATTCAATTCCGTAAAATCTGTGATGCTCGTGGAGACTTTCTCTTCGCAACAGTATCAAGCTTCGCAGCTGATACTACCTTTAATGGTGCTGGTTTGGCTGACGAAAAGTTTACGGCAAAAGTTTCGGCGAAGAATATTTGGTGAGTTGGTTTGACGATTTTGGCTTGTAAATAGGTTTGTATAGGTTCTTGACCTTTGCTGGGATTACAGAGAGTATGCTAGACCTTTGTTATCTGTTCCCTCTTTCCTTTCACTTCTAATTCACATATATAGGAGAGGTTTCCTTCAATGGTGGGTTTGAGTAAAGAAGAAGATGAAGAGAGGTGACCAAGCCTTTAAAGGCTATTCAAACTCATCCTCCCCCCTCTTTACTCTCTGTAGGTGCATTGAGGGCTCTTTGAAGGCCGCCTTCATGGTTCAGAAGTGTAGTGATCAACTTCCAAGTTCCCACAGTAGGCACCGCTAAATAAATGGAGCTGCTGCCAATGCACGCAGTCAATAAAGGTTAAAATCAAGCAGGGTGCTTCCATTAACACGGATAATAGCTGGCACAGCTGGTTAAGCTGTCAACTTTCCCTTAGTTGCTAGGAGGTTACTGGTTCAATACTAGCAACCCACCAATTTATTTTTGCTTCAGTTTCTAATGGTTTGTGAGTTTCCGAGTGGTTTCACGGATCCTATCTCGTATAGGATAACTTCTCGATTTTTTTTCAGTCTCGAATCATATAATATACGCCCGCCATCTGAAAAAAAAAATTATTCGAGGTTCGGGATGTTACAAATATATACATCCAGGGTAAATTGCAAGGTTGGTCACTAGGATTACAAAAAAAACATTCACGTTTAGTCACTAAAAATATTTAATTCCGTTGGTGGCCACTAAAATTAGTTAAACAGTTCAAGTTTGGTCACTCTCCGTTACCTTACGTTAGTCTTCATTAACGGCGTCAATTTTGTGCTGACGTGGCTAACAGAACTGAGTGATTATCAATCTGTGACAAAATACATGTATTACCTTTTTCTAGGCCCACCTACAATCACTCAAAATGAGTGATTATCAATCTCTACCTAAAGGTGAGATTGTAACCAAGTGATTGTCTACCCTCTACTTTTTTATTTATAGCAAATCACAATCTAAACCTCCAAACAAGGTACTTTTCAAATTCATAAATTTCATCAATACATCAAATTACAATACACAAATTGATTAAATACTTCAATTTGTAGAATGTCAACCTCCAAACAACCCCTTATACTTCCATGCAACCAACCAAACCAAACTTTAGTGATTCCCTATTTTATTTCCATGTGCACAACAAACCAAACACATTATGGGTCAAAAATTAAATGAGTCTGCCTATATTTATTAAACCAAAATATTTTGGACAACTACTAGGCTTTAGGATTACGTACAATACCATGACAGCCACCTCAAACTATGTATAGTTTAAGTGTTTTGTAGAAGAGCTTTAACTTTGTGATGATGGATATTGGTATGTATTTATGCTAAGAGGTTTGTTGTAAGCTACCTATATTAGGTGCATAGCTGATGAATGATGTATTAACTCGAATGATGATGATAATCATGGATGGTTAGTCTTATTACTATTGCTTATATAAAATCTATCTATCTATCTATTTATCTATCTATCTATCTATCTATCTTCTATACATAATATTATGACAAATCAAAAGTAATTGTTTGCCACCTAAGCACTTGGAGAGCTTACAAATTTCCAAGGTGGATAATATTTTTACAAAAAGAATAATAGTTATTGATATATTTATGGAGCTATCTCTCTCTTCATTTAATATTTCATTTCCCTTTTATCCTTTTTTTTGTATTATATCAATGTACACAATAATAAATAATGTATGAAAAGTGACATATATTACATTTGTTATCTCTAATTTATTTAATATTTATTTTTCTTTTCCAATACTTCTTTTATGTTTTTATTTTTACTTTTGCATTGTATAGATGTACGCAACAATAGACTAATGTCTTTGAGTCACACATATAACTTTTTTCTCAACCAAAAAAATATTTTTAACTCATTTTTACAATAATTTACAAATATGTTACATTTTGACGAACAATTTATACAAACACACATACATAATAACATTTTATCGCGACAAAATAACGATGGAAATTAAAGAGAGAAAACAAGAAACGTTTGAATAGAAACTTGACCAAGCAATAAAATCTATTTCTTAAACAAAAACCTTATTCATTCTAATTAAGTGAAAAAATATGAATCATAGGTGCAATAATTTACAATGTATCCTAAGTTCAAATTACTAATATTTTGCATTTTTTCTCTTGATCGTGTTAATTTAGCAAACTCTACTGAAGTTTTACGTCATATGTTAAGAAATTTAATTTTCAGACTTGGAGTAATAAATTTTCAAGGATTATAAATAAAAAATTTCAAAATGACTTCTGTATGATTGTTGATAAACTTGACTTCATATCTTAAGATGAGACACGAGATACATTAAAAATGATACATGTGAAAGTTAGATGAATCTTTGCTAAACTGTATCTATCTATCTATACATAATATTAATGCAATTCAAAAGTAATTGTTTGCCACCTAAGCACTTGGAGAACTCACAAATTGCCAAGGTGGACATTATTTTTACAAAAAGAAAATAGTTATTGATTTATTTATGGAGTTATTTCTCTCTTCATTTAATATTTCATTTCTCTTTTATCCTTTTTTTTTTGTATTATATCAATGTACACAATGATAAATAATGTATGAAAAGTGACCTATATTACATTTGTTATCTCTAACTTTTTTAATATTTATTTTTCTTTTCCAATACTTCTTTTATGTTTTTGTTTTTACTTTTGCATTGTATAGATGTACGCAACAATAGACTAATGTCTTTGAGTCACACATATAACTTTTTTCTCAACCAAAAAAATATCTTATTAAAGCTCACTAAGTAAATTTTTAACTCATTTTTACAATAATTTACAAATATGTTACATTTTGATGAACAATTTATACAAACACACATACATAATAACATTTTATCGCGACAAAATAACGATGGAAATTAAAGAGAGAAAACAAGAAACGTTTGAATAGAAACTTGACCAAGCAATAAAATCTATTTCTTAAACAAAAACCTTATTCATTCTAATTAAGTGAAAAAATATGAATCATAGGTGCAATAATTTACAATGTATCCTAAGTTCAAATTACTAATATTTTGCATTTTTGCTCTAGATCGAGTTAATTTAGCAAACTCTACTGAAGTTTTACGTCATATGTTAAGAAATTTAATTTTCAGACGTGGAGTAATAAATTTTCAAGGATTATAAATAAAAAATTTTAAAAGGACTTCGGTATGATTGTTGATGAACTTGACTTCATATCTTAAGATGAGACACGAGATACATTAAAAAATGATACACGTGAAAGTTAGATGAATCTTTGCTAAACTGTATGTTAAACATCATGTGTTCATCAACCACTGACCTATGAAGCAATATTAGAGAAGTAAATCATCGTAAGAGGTATGATCTTTCTTAGCAAACACATGCATTTTTTTTTTTGCAATAAAACACAGGCATAAATAATTATATATTTATGAAATAAAATAATTCGATAGAAATTCAATGGAGCAAGAATATATCACATTATTGGATAAATAAAGATGATAAGTAAGAATAACTTTTTTCTCACTTATAATATGTCCTTCCATCCCTTATTTTCTTTTACAATTGTTCATATTTCCCTTATTTTCTCAACATTTTATAAATCCCGAAAAAAAAACAAGCATTAATTACACTTAAAAATAATTAAACTCTTTTTAATATATATGCTTATATATTGACCATAAATGTGGCAATACAAAAAATGCATATATTAGTATAAGTAATGAAATTTTTATTTCTAAACAAATACCAAATATAAATAAATTTTAGAAAACGAAGGTTCTACAAGTTGTAAAATTATACACTAACGCACCATATTAAGATCAAAATCCGTATGTGGGTATCTTGGATTGAGATTCTAAAACAATATATAAACAACGACAATGAGTCTCAGTTAGTCCAAATTAAATTTCAGAAATTAGCAATTGATACATATTGTATAAGAGACTAAATACAAATAAGATCTTACAGTAAACTTCATGAACATTCAAAGTGTCAACTTTAAATTGGGATGAAGAAATTTATCCAATAATGAAGTATGTATACAAAGAAACTCTCCGTAAGATGTCCTCATCTGAACAACATGGATTCATATAAGATAGAAAAAATTGTACATGGACGTGGTATACCTTTGTGACATGGTTTATGATTAGAGAATTCAAACAGTATAAGTGAATGTGCTAAGTATTGAGAATTTTCAATATATAGACACACCACATACGTACTCACTTATCAATACAAAATATAATAAATTTAGAAGGTCTAAAATAGTTTAAACATATTGATAAATTAAATTAATGTCAACGATAAAATGAAACTCTCCGGCCAACGGGCCGGGTAAAAAGCTAGTGATAGTTTATGTTTGTTTTCATGTAATGTAATGTTATTTGGTTAATCCAATTATCCGATTAATCAAACCAATTAAATTTTGGTTTGGTTAATTTGGTTTTCGTGTTAATTTGGACGGTTTGGTTAAGACATTTTATTCCATGGTCAATGAAATTTAGGCTTAATTGGTTTGGTTATAATCATGGTAACCATTTGAACACCCCTAGATTTTATTGCATAGGATAGGGAGTCTTTTATTTTAATAAAAATTAGAGTCTCTCGCGAGATAGTGGTAACTATCTCGGGATGTGAATGTAAAGCCATATTGACCGAACCTCATTAAAATCGCTGTCCCGACTCATCTCTCTTTCTACACTTCCACTAATATTGTTCCTTCCATTATTACAAAAAAGTTAGTTGGAACAAGTTCGTGATACAGGCTCATAGAAAATTAATCGTTTCAGGACAGATTCTTGGCAAACCATTTTGGGTTGCTCAATCAAACTAGTGCTAATCTCTCTCTATTGAAATCCGAATTAATTTGTCTATTGACCACGTCAAAAGTATTCATTATCAACTCTTCTTGGTCTAACACGTTTAATAGCTCATTCGATCAATTTGTTACCAATTAATACGTAAAATTATTTAAATTCACTTTTAATTTTAAATTTATTTATAAAATTGAATAATAAAAGTACATATATCTCCCTCCCCCCTCAACCTCTAAGTTTTCCCCAAATTGTATCATAGTACTCCACCCCACGATTTACCGTTTCTCATCATCTTCCTATTTTCTTAGCTATTGACCGTCAATTCTTTGTTCTCTTACATTAAAAGGGTATTGTCTAGAAAATTCCAATCAATGTAGTCAAAATTGCGCCTTAAAAGGTTAAAAGCTTACGTTTTTACACTTCTACATCATTAAAATGCTTCTATGTACAATTGTGTTTTTCCTTACTAAGGCTAAATTGCAAGTTTGGTCACTAGAATTACTATAAAAGTGTTTATCACTAATATCAATTTATTACATCCGTAGTCACTCAAATTAGTTACACAGTCCATGTTTGGTCACTTGTCGTTAGTCTCCGTCAGACTTTGTTAATTATGTCCGTTAAGCGATGACGTGGCAAACGGAAAGTCCCTATGAACTTAATTTAACACTAAAAACTCATGACCTTACCGCCATGTCACTTTTGCCTGCCCTATCAGCCTAGCCTACCCAACCAGCAAACCAACCCGAGACCTAACCCTAGAATCTGAAAACCTAAATTAATCCTCCATCGACCTCTTCCTCCCTCTCCTCCATTAACCCTCAACTGCCGACATCATCACCATGATACCAACCACGCTGGTCAGACCCACAACACAAAGTCTCTAAAAGTTTGGGACCTCAGGCCCATTTTTACATATAAGTATTTAAAATAAAGCCTAAACAATGCCTAATGACAGTTTCGTTGCCTCTATCGTCCTTCTCCTCTTTCTCAAAATATGGCAGTATGTGGCAAAAGCTTGCAACCAGGTGGTACATGTTTTGGCCCACTGGTCTTTAGATTGGAACAATTGTATGGTTTGGGTCCACTGTGCCCCTCCCTTTTTTGTACCAATGCTTGAGACGGATGGAGTTGGTGGGCTGTGAGCCAAGTAATAAAAATCCAGGTTGATTTAAAAAATAAAGTTCCGATCTATCTTAATAGTTAGCACACACGCTTCTGATATTTTTATTTTCTAATCATAAATCATGTTGTGAAGGTTTATAACGTCTCATTTAGGATCGTATATCAAGATGTTTCATTCAAGACACTCAATTTTATTATATTATACAACATATAATAATTTATAATTCTCAAGTTTGGATGAACTCTCAACTAATTGATAAGTGTTCAAATAATTGGATAAAGATACTTGATTACTGGATAAATTCAGTATATCCCAATTGGAACTTGGTGTTTGTTCATAAGTGTTCAAATAATTCGAATTCTTGGATGTATTGCAGGCACATCTATTCTTAATAAAGAGTTTATTGTACTTTTAACCCTAATGATACCATTGAACTCGGCTCATTGGGTGAAATATGGAAATAAATTTTTTTTGGCGAGGGTAACTCGATATAAATACAAATTCATTACTCTTATAAACTAAAATATTTTTATTTTGAGACTTCGATATGGGAAAAGGTTTGTTACAACAAAAATTTGGTATGGAATCACACACACATCCATATAGCTAGTGACTTCTCTCAATTGTCTTATTGAACTCATCCTTATTAAAAATTCTTCATTTAAACCCAATACATTGGTTTAGACTTTTGTAACTATAAAAATTTTTGGTTTAGATATCTCAAATAACACACTAATGTTTATTTATTGCCTCATTTGCCGAATTTAGATTTGTCTACCAAGACATTCAAATATTAAACGAAAAATTTTAAACTTTTTTTGATTAATTCCTAGGTCAGTGGTAGATAAAACAAAATGTTTAACGTACATTCTTAACAAATATTTCTCTAACTTTCACACGTGTCATTTTTCAAGGCATCTCGTGTCTCATCCTAGGATATAAAGTAAAAGTTCGTCAACAACCATACTTAAGTAATTTTGAAAACTTTGATTTATCATCCTCGACAATTAATAACTCCAAGTTGAAAATCTTAGCATATATATGACGTAAGACCTCAATAGAATTTGCTTAATCAATGTGAACTATAACAAATATTAGTAATGTGAACTTATGATACATTATAAATTATTTCACCTATGATTCCTATGTTTCCACTTAATAAGAATGAATAAGTTTTTTTAAGAAATAATTATTATTTCTCGGTCATGTTTCTACTCAAAATATAATATATTTATGTGCATTTGTTTAAATTGTTCATCAACATATAATATATATTTAAATTTTAGTAAAAATGAGTAAAAATTTTACTTAGTATACTTTAATCAGATATTTTTGGGTTTAAAAAATGTGATATGTGTCACTCTAAATACATTACTCTACCGATGCGTACATTGATATAATGCAAAAATATAATGCAAAAGCAAAAACAAAACCAAAAATGAATTATTGGGTAAAAGAAAATAAATATTAAAAAAAGAGTTATAGCATATATGTCATTCTTAGTACATTATCTATTAATGTATACATTGATATAATACAAAAAAATTAAATATTAAATGAAGAGAGAGATAGCATCATGAATATATCTATAACTTTCTTTTTTGTAAAAAAATAGTTCACCTAGGCAACTTGTGAACTCTCCAAGTGCTTATGTGACAAACATTTACTTTTGAATTGTCATAATATCATGTATAGATAGATAGAAGATAGATAGATTCCTACTAATTAGCGTATTAATTAATTCAATTCCCTAATTCGCCTACATCAAATATTTGAGTTAGTTAGAAAATTTGTATCAATAGTTTTAAACGTAAACAAGATATAAAATTTGAAATTATATCTTTTAATAATTTTTAATTGTAATAAATTTGCAGAAAAAAATTTAGGGCCACAGTTTTAACTTTCGAACAGCCTCCGAATATCATGGGCTGGCCCTGGTAGGCTGGTACCAACCCACCTTCTCCGTGCTCCTCTCCACCTACCTCTCCTCCATCAACCCTCCACCGCCGCCATCACCACCAAGACACCAACCCACCTTCTCTCACAATTACCCCATACCCCACCCTCTTCTGAATCCTCTCTACCTCCCTTTCCTCCACCTCTCCACCGTGGCCATCACCACCATCCCACCAATTACCCCATACCCCAATTACCTCGTACCCTACTTTCTTTTGAAAAAACTTCAGATGCAACCCCGTGGTAGAGATGAAAATAGGGTATTCGGTTCAAACCCAGGATCCAAAATCACAAACATCGCTAGACTCGCATGTTGGCGTTCTAGGTCACCCCTCTATCCCGCAAACAACATTCCTCTGGTGATGGCGGATGGCAGCGGGAAAGATTCTGGTCGTCGAAGTTTGTCTCTTCCTCCCTAGCTAAATCTCCAGATCGAGAGAGCTAAAGAGCGAAGGAGTAGGTCTATTTCTCCAGAGCAAGAGAGCAAAAGAGGGAAAATCACAATATTGGGCTCTAGAGCGAGAGACCAGAAGAGCAACAAAGTTGGATTTCCGGTGAGGGGAGATAAGAGGAGAGAGCATAGCCAGAAGCTCTCCAGCTCGACGATGCCCTTATACTTTAGCCCAATTTTGGATCTAGTCTCGTACTATTCGCTATCTGGGTTCTTCGCCGCTTGTTCATAACCATCCCCCTGAAGCTGACCAAAGGCAACAAACTTAGTGAGATGAATTTAACGTTATGAAGCTGACCAAAGGCAACAAACTTAGTGAGATGAATTTAACGTTATGAGCCGGACTGTTGCTCTTCAAGTTTCAGTCCACCCAAGAACCTCATTGAAGTTGAGGTTCTCGTCGGTGAGGTGGTGTCTCAAGTCACGAGCTTTGGACGAATCCATGATTGAGGGCTCGTGAACTTAAATGATCTTGAGGCTCCACCCACGAGTGACGAGACCTCTCCTTCTTTCCTTCTTTCTTCTTCTCCTTGCCCCATATCATATAATGCATCATTGATTTACCACCATCGCATCCACCAAGAGGGATCGCTGATGGTTTGGCCTTGGCTTGGCAAAGAGTCGCAAATGGGTCCTTCTCCAAAAGCGCATCGAGGTCGGGTGGAAAGCATTGGTAGCTTTTGTAACTTGCGTGCAAACGACAATCCAAACCAACACAAACGAACACAAATTTAACGTGGTTCACTAACACAATATGTACTAGCTAATCCACGGGCAGGGGAGAACAAATTTCACTAATTTGAGAAGAGTACAGGTTACAAACCAAATTTCAAACGGACAAACCCAACAAACTAACCTGATTGACCTTTACTACAGACTAGGGTGATGAAGAGTATTTATAGAACTCTTCTCCTAATCCCAAACAGAAAACCAAATACCTTTTCCCAAACATACAAGGAAAAGGTCAAACAAAGCCCAAACCCAAACTAAATGGGCCCAAAACACAAAACAAACCCAAATCAAATTCAAGTCATATTCTAACAATCTCCACCTTGACTTGAATTCTCTCTCAAATACCAGATGTACCAGACACAAACAAAGTTGCTAGATGTACCCAAACGCAACCAAAGTTGCCAGATGTACCCAAACGCGATACATATAGCCAGAAGTATCCAAATGAGATCGAAACCGCCAAACTCAAACGCAATCAAGATTGTCAGACATATCCAAATGCGATTCATATCGCCAGACCAAACGCGATGCAAATCGCAAAAAGTACCAAACTCTCCAAATTAGCTGTACCAGAATCTCCCCTGCCTCCAAATGCCCCTAAGGGCGATCAACAAATCAAAATATGCAGCAAGTCCAACCCATGTTGGGACTTGCCATGCAGAACCAGCTTGGTGTTATTTCCGTCCATAACACCAACATCAAATTTACTGCTAACTCCAAGCCTGCAACTCCAAATTGACTTCTCGATCTTCAAATTCAGAACAGACATCCTTGATATCGAAAACCCTAATCACCACCAAGGACAACAAACAGACTTCTCCTTAAACCACTTCAATTGGGACAAAAGACAAGAATCTGTCGAAAGAAAAATTTTGGAGAAAATCTGAAGCTGATCCTCCGCCCTTGTTAATAATCACACTCGGACAAGAATCCGCGGAAACCAACACCCGATCCAAATTTGCGCACAATTTCCCGATATCTCAACCACGGCTCTGATACCACTTGTCAGAACAGAAGCGTGCAAACGACAATCCAAACCAACACGAACGAACACAAATTTAACGTGGTTCACTAACACAATGTGTACTAGCTAATCCCGGGCAGGGGAGAACAAATTTCACTAATTTGAGAAGAGTACAGGTTACAAACCAAAATTTTCAAACGGACAAACCCAACAAACTAACCTGATTGACCTTTACTACAGACTAGGGTGATGAAGAGTATTTATAGAACTCTTCTCCTAATCCCAAATAGAAAACCAAACACCTTTTCTCAAACATACAAGGAAAAGGTCAAACAAAGCCCAATCCCAAACCCAAACTAAATGGGCCCAAAACACAAAACAAACCCAAATCAAATTCAAGTCATATTCTAACATTGTGGATGCTTCATCCACCTCTACCTCGTCCATTGCTTGGGAAACCACTTGCATCTTCAACCTCAACCTTTCTTCCATCTTCTTCAATTTCCTCCCCTTAGGAACACTCAAGATCTTCTTCCTCTTCAAAGCTCACTTTCTCCTCTTCCACCTCCTCCTCCTCCTTCCCGTTCATGTCTTCAAGTATGGTTGGGAGGGAAAGATGACATGCAAGATTATAGATAGGATTCTCTTGCTCCTCCACACTCGTGACTTGGTCTTCAAATTTGCCCTCGGGAAGGGAAAAGTGATTAGAGTCGTCAATGCAATCTTTTTGTTCATCCTCACCACGAGAGCTCTCCGGGGTGAGTTCGTCTTGCTCCACACGGCTGTCATTGATTGCTCCTTCAACCTCCTCTTTCTCCTCCAATGATGAGAGATAATAGCTTGCACAAGCTCGTGCCACATTCTCTTCTAGTGTCAAACCGGGAGGAGGGAGGGGTTGGAAATCCGTGTTGGAGCTTGTTCTTTCAAATTTCTCCATAGCAAGCTCCAACTTAGACTCTACTTGGGGTTGGGGGAGATCCAAGTTCGAGCACCCTTCATCGGTGCCTCGAGCAAATCGCTCCACCATGAGCTCCAATTGGCTCTTAGGCTCCGGGTGTGGAGTGGCACATAGTCTTGAGGTTTGTCCCATGAAAGCTTCCATTGCCAACTCCAACTTGGATTTCTCCTCGGGTTATGGAGGGAAATCTTCTTGGTATGGGGAAGCTTCTTGATACACCCATTGGTATGGTTATTCTTCTTGGAAGGGAGGTTGATCATAGAACCAGGTTCCTTGGCTTCCATCCTCTTGGTTGTCCCATGAAGCACCGGGGTACCCCCATTCGGGTGGTTGTGGATACCCCCAAATGTTGTGGGAGCCATTGGGATCCATGATTCAACCTACAACGACAAAAACACAAAAACAAAATCAAACAAACACAAGCCACCCTTCTAAGAGAAGAGTGGGTCAAGAAACACAAAACAAAACATAAAATGGCTAAAGTAACGATCTAAGCCTTTTTCAAATAACCTAGAATGGTTCCCCAGCAACGACGCCAAAAACTTGACTCGTCCCGAATATCACAGTTAAATCCCACCTAAGGCATAAGTACAAACCTTAAACGGGTGCAATATAGGGCAAGTATGTTTAAATATCAACCCGGGCCGGTCCATGTACCCCTACTTTGATGGTTTGAACATTATCTAGCGGAATGAAGTTTGTGAAAATCTCTACAATCTATGATTAAAAATGCAAGACTTGAAAAGTAAAAGGATCGAAACTCTTGGTGACAAGCTTCACTCAGGAGTTGTTTTCCCCTAACTAACTACCGTGAACCATGGGATCGAATGAATCGGTGTGCGACAAGGCGATTGTGAACCTCTAGGAGGAGCAACAATGGTTAGAAACCTTACTCTTAATTGTTAGGTTAAGTAATGCATTATAGGCTACAATTGTACCCCTCTTGGCCCAAGCAATTGAGAGTTAACTTACCTTCTCCCTCAAACCAGGGTTTGGACGACTTAATCACAATCAACCTAGGTGTCTAATTTGAGTTTAGAGGTTTGCCCTACATTAACCTAGTTAGGAGGCATGGAATGCCTAAGAAAACCCAGCTCAATTTGAGCCTCTTAAGATAAGGGGGTTTCTCTCTAAACTAGGTTAGAATAGCACAATAGATTGCCAAGCACACACAATGCACAATCACCATGAACAATACCTCAAATCTTAAATTAAACACCACCCACACACAATCATTCAATCCACACAATCAACTGCATGGTAGAAGTTAGGGTTCTACAACACCCAAGTGAATAGGAGACTACTCCATGCTAGAAGAAGGAAGAACACAAAGGAAAAGGGAAAAAACCATATTGTGATGCCTCCATCCTCTTTGTATTTGTAGAGATCCTCTCTTAGGAGTGGAGGACACAGACGCTTAGCTATCACGAGCGGATCGTTGATTTCGACATCAAGGAACTAAGGAGGAACAGAAGGCGCCCCTGGAAGCTTTCTATCTCGATGGAGGTGTGCAACAATGGTGGGAGTGGATGGAGCGAGCTTACACCACAGCTGGGCTGGAGATCACTTGGGAGCGGTTCAAAGAGGAATTCGGCATACGTATCAACGTGACAGATGGGTCTGCTTCGGAACAGCTGGTCAAGCTTAAACAGACAAGCACTGTAAGTGAGTTTCAATTCGAATTTGAATGATTGGGTAATCTCTGCTACGGAATTCCAGAAGAGACACTAGTCGGAATTTGTTTGGCGGGATTGAGGGCCGAGATCGCCGCGGCAGTCAAGGTGTTTGAGCCAGACTCGCTTCGCACCACCTTCCAAATAGCAAAGAGGAAGGAAGAGGAGCTGGTCGGGCAGAAGACGAATGCCAGGTCATTCAAGACTGGAGTGGAGGGAGCAGCGCCGGAGGCGGAGGGGGCTCAACCATGATGGGCAGCAGCAGTGGTGTTACTGGATCCACGGGGACCGGGGCCAACGGCGCTAACTCGGGGATCGGAGCGGGAGCAACCAGGACCGCAGGTGGCGGACCAACCGGACGGACCGAACCTCGACTCACACCAGGAGGCTTCATTCGGCTAGCTCCGCCCGAGATGGATAAGAAGCAACATGATGGGAAATGCTACAACTGCGACGGAAGTAGGGGTGTTCAAACGGTTTGGTTACCATGGTAACCGTTTTAACCGGTACTATTTGGATAATTTGGTTTGGTTAATTTGGATAATTGGTTTGGTTTGGTTAAAGTTTTTAGCTTGTTTGATTTAGGTGGTTTGGTTTGGTTTCAGACACTTCTAACCAGTCAAACCAAATTAACTAGTTAATTAATTAATCATATATTATATACACATACTTAATACTTTGCATAACAACTTAAGAGTTAACGTTCATCCCTTTTAGACTCATATAAAATATAAAGCTCAATATTGCTCATATAGTGTATATTTGTATATATAAAGTGTAGACCACAACACATGAACGCCTAATTTAGATAAATTTCATACATTATGATGGATGAAAACTTGAAAGGAAGGTCATTTCCAGCCTATGATAATTGCTAAGAGACTAAGTCAATTTACACAAACACAACAATTCATTAACCCATACCATTGTCATAAATTTTTGTTAGGTGAATACTTCTATACTAATCGTAAGATAATTGTCTTAGTTGCATGTATATTTGTTAAGGGTCAACTATAACTATGTGTTGATTGTTATGTTTTATTCATTATATAAATTGCGAATTGTTGCATTAACCGGAAAATTTTCATCATCAATGATAATGTGATTTTATATTGGTTAATCTGGTTAACCAATTAACCAAACCGATTAAACTTAGTTTGGTTAATTTGGTTGTTGAATTAGTTTGGACGGTTTGGTTATGATATTGTATTCCACGGTTAATGGAATTTAGCCTTATTTTGTTTGGTTATAACCATGGTAACCATTTGAACACTCCTAGACGGAAGGTTCACTATAGCCCACCGTTGCGCTAATGCCAATTTAATGTTGTTGGTGGGAACCTTTGAGGACGAAGCCGAAGAAGCCGAAGCAGAGACAAGCAAGGCTAACGTCGAAATGCAACCTTGAAGGCAAGGTTGCTCTGAAGCGGTGGAGATTGTTGCATTATTATTTTTAGCATTTTACATTATTTGCACATTTTGATTTATAGATGTTTTGGATAATTATGGATATTTGGGAAAGATTTGATTACATCCAATTAGGAGAATTTGGGAAGAATAATTAAGGGGATAAATTAGGATAGTTATAGAAAGAATTTTCATTATATTAGAGAATGATTGTTTTAGAGAAATCATTAAGTATAATAATATTATTTTGGAAAATCTCATTCCTTATTCCTCCTTTCCTACCAAGCCTTCCCTTCCCTCCCCAACTCTACTCTTATTCTTCTTCTTCCTTCACTACCCACGTCCAGAATCCTTCTTCCTTCTTGAATTCTCTCTTCTTCCATTAAAATCCCAAATCATCTCTTTTCCCTTGCACGTAACCTGCTCGCATACCCCTCATAAGATCCACGCCTTCAACACAGAAGGGCGATACCCGAACCATCTCCCCGCCAGCTTCATGGGGCGGCCGCATGTGGGGCCGGACGCACTGTTCGAGGAATCCACTGGCAAATTCTTGAGCCTCACCAGCGACTGTGGCTCCGACAAGGTCAAATGTTCCGGCTCCGACGTTGCTTCCCCCGCCACGCTCGTCGAATTCAAGCTCGACGGCTATGACAGCCAGGACTTCTTCGACGTCTGCCTCATCGACGACCAGGTCGAATGCTTCGGCTTCGGTGTGCGACGCTACCGCCCCCATTTTCAGGAACAAGCCGCTGGTCGTGATGATATTTGGGTACCGAATCGGAGGGACTGGCTACGGCAGCGGTCCGTGATTCCTTCGGGGAATCCGGGGAAGTTAACGGTAAAATGTTAGGGTTGACTGTCACATCACATAAAGTTAACGAAGAGTGACCAAAATTGATATTAATTTTTTTCCAGTAACTAAACATGACGCGTTTTAGTAAATCAAGTGACCAAACTTGGCATTTGCCCATTTTTTTACATTTAAACATGAAAATTTTCCTCAAATTCCACATTATGTGAAGCTGGCCTCAAATACCATCCAAATGGGTCAACAATTTGCTTACTGAGAGTAGTTGAAGTGTTTGAAACATTGGAAATCAGCTCTCCTTGTAATAGGACAGTAAAATGAAACTGGCAAATAGAAGCCACTTGCAAAATCTGTGGCCCTACGTTCACTAACAAGCTAACAATCACAACATATTGATTGAAGTTCCATGTTTTGGGTTCCTTCTCCACCTTCAATTTGCTCCTAATGTTGGACTCGTGGTCTGATACTCTGATTGGTGGCAATGACGAGCAATGTGACAAAAGGGAAACCCGAGATTGCCAGACCAGAATTAGCTGGATTTCAGTACTACGAACGAAGTGGAGCTATCAGCCCAAAGGCATTAACCAATCCCTCGCATCGCACCCCACTTGCCCAATTTTTTTTGTCCTTTTATTATTTCCGCAGTAAAGAAAACAAAGCACCGGCCGCCCATCTCACTGTCTCCCAAATTTCACCAAACAACAAAATTTAGAAAAGAAAAAGAAGACGACAATGACCAACAACAACGCATGAATCGAAATACAACGTTGATCTCCATTTTGTTTGGTTTTAAATGAAAAAAAAGGCATTGTCTATAATCAGTTTGTCGAATATATCTCGAGTTATTAGAAACGTACTATGTTTTACATTATACTGTTTTATGCTTTCAATAAAAGAAGATTTGTATACCCCAATCATATAATGTGATTCGGTTAGTTATTAGCATGGATAAAAAAGCTAAGATTAACTTTATGCTTAGGTACGTCTAGGCACCGGGTAATTTAATAACACTTCGTCTAGCGATTTTACAATGAATTAGGTTATCAAGAACACGTCGACAAAGTAAGCCGATAACTAGGTGTCTCCTAGTAGTTAGATAGACCAAGATAGTTAATATCAAATGGGAAAATGTGTATCATCTACAAATTAAATCTTATATGTCAATATTTTAATAAATCAAGAAATTTTTGAGTTTTGAGCTATGATTCTATAAACTGTGAGCTAGTTTTCTTATTGTTAAGTGTTAAATACTTACTAATCATTTAAGAAAAAGTGAAAGTGTCGAAAACTGTTACTTCATTATTTATGTAGTATAAAATGCTATATTTTCTTCCTATACCTAGGCATGCTTAGTCGACACCTGGACGAGCTAGGCGCTAAGCGAGTCCCCAACGCCCACCTTACGGCGCCTAGTGCCTTCATAAACCTTGATTATTAATATTGGGATCACTATTATAAAAACACAAATTACATATGAAATATTTCTAGGGGTCATTTTCTTGGATTATTGTAGCCCAATAACTCATATATTTGGGCCACGATAACCCGTTCAACAACCTATTACACTGTTGAGTTATTCTTAGGGGCGTTATTCTGAAATAATGTAGAAATGTTTTAATTAAAATAACAAGAAGTTGGCGTTATTTGTGGAGAAAAAATCCAAATTTATGAAAAAGTACAACAAACACATTTATTCATTTTGCAGACGATCTGATGATCTTTACTGTAGGATCCAGGTAAGCTATAAGACAGGTACATATGGTTCTTGGTGAATTCTATCTACTTTCTGAGTTGAGATGTAATTTGGCAAAATGTGAAGTCTATTTGGGGAGAATCAGTGAAATATAAAGCAAATGCATTGGAGAGCAAGAAGTTGTCTTACGCAGGGAGACTTCAACTGGTTTCTTCAGTGTTCATGGGGACCATTAAATACTGGATGAAAATGTTCTTGCTGCCCAAGAAGGTTATTAAAAGGCTATACAAGATTTGTTCTAACTTACTCTAACATGGGGAAGGGGAAGGCAGAGCAAAAAATGCTTGGGAAAGAGTTGCAAAGCCTAAGAAAGAAGGTGGGCTAGGTATCAAAGATTTATTGACATAGAATGTGGCTCGTGTGGGAATTATACTATGGTTATTTTTTTTATGGAATCTGGGACTATTTGAATGGCATGGATGAAGTTGTATAGATGTGGTGATGGAACTTTAGTATCACTTAAACTAAATCCAAATAGTTATTGGGTGCGAAGAAGAGTATTAAAACTCAGAGGTCATGGGGATAAAGCTTAATTAGTAAAAGGGGTGATGAGGTGCTATGGGAAATCAAGCCCACGCAAATTTGCTTTTGGGTTCCATCCCAAATGACCTCATACTAATAAAACTGGTTGGAATCAGATAGGAACATATATACAAGGGTCATTTGCATGTATTTTTCCAACTTCCATAAAATGTTTCCAAATTTAAGAAAAAGTACAAACAAACACATTTGTTCATTTTACCATATAACAAACAAATGGTTCATCTTTCAATTAATCAACATAGATACCACATATTGAAAATATATATATTAAATGAGCCCACCAATACCACAATCTACATTATCAGTGAATCCATCTAGAGCTGAAAGTTTGGTATCAGTATTTGGGATATACCGAATAATGTACCGAATTTATCACTATTTGGTATTACCGAATACTTGCTTATTTTTTAGGAATTGAGATTGGGATTCATTTTGGAGTGAAATTCGGTATTTCGGATTATGGGAGTGTGATCGGTATATACTGAAATACCAAAAAATACCAAAAAAATTAAAATTACTGAAATATATCACACAACATTTGGTCATTTCTCACTCTTTCACAATTTAGAAGTCCCCATCCAATTCAATTATTACTTTCCAGTTTAAGTTACTCTCATCTTTCACCTAATCTCTTATTATTTTCATAACACCAAAAAGCAAACACTGGTATTAGTCGTATCTTAATCTCCAATTCGTCAAATTAAAGATTACCAATGACAAGAATTTGAGGATGTCACCTCTCCTCCATTCTCCTAATCCATATTCTAGCTCTAGGCAAACTCAATACTCTTTGTTTAGTCTCTTTGTCATAAATTAAACAATCAAATTTAATTTATATTTAATTATTAATTGCAAAGATAATTAATTTCGTATTAGATGATACCGATTGGGATACCGAAGTACCGATAGGGATTCCAAAATATTCAGGGATTGGGATTGAGATACCAATAGTATTTAAGAATTGGTATTAAAATTGATTTTAGAATATAATTCGGTATTCATGATTTCGATATTTGATATTGGGATACCAATACTCATCCAAACTACACGTATTATTTCTTGGAATTGGGATTGAATTTCAATTGTTATTTGGTATTAGGGATTATGGGATTGGGATCGGTATATATTGAAATACTGACCAATACTGAAATATAAGCTAGTGTGTATTTTATTATCTCAACTAGACTCTCTCATTCACTACTACACGACCCTCAACCACCAAGAGTGTCATTTAATTATACATATATAATTCCATCACTATTAATAGTCGTCTCTCAACCTCCAATTCATCAAATTAACGATTACCAATGATAAGAACTTGAGATCTCTCCTCTCCTCTATTCTCCTAATTAATATCCTAATTCAAAACTCTTTGCTTAGTCTTTCCCCCCTAAATTAAAAAATAAAATCTAATTTATACATTTAATTATTAATTGAAAGATAATTAATTTTGTATTCGATAATACTGATTGGGATACCGAAGTACCGATTAGGATATCGAAATATTTAGGGATTGAGGTTGGGATACCGAAATTATTTAGAGATTGAGATTGATTTTAGGATGTAATTTGGTATTCGAGATTTCGATATTTGGTATTGGGATATCGATACCGTACCGATTTCCACCCTAATCACACCCAAATATTTGGTATTTGGTATTTGTTATAAAGGCGCTGCTACGGATCGGGAAATAGCCGGAATCGACAAAGCAAGAATACGAAAGCGAGAATCGAAAAACACAGACACACGATTTACGTGGTTCACTAACACGATGTGTGTTAGCTACGTCCACGGGCGAGAGAGAGCCAATTTCACTATATCGAGGAGATTACAGATTACAGAGGAGTATGAGAAGTATTTATAGTACTTCTCCATGTGGGTCTAAACCTAATCCAATCTGGCAAAGGAAATGGTTACCAGGCCCAGAACCCGAACCCAAATAACATTGAGCCCATACATCGTGGGCTGGGGGTAGGGCTGCAAATGAGCCAAGCCGCTCGCGAGCAACTCGGCGTTCGAATCGGAAAAAACTCGTTCGACACTCGACTCGTTATTTAACAAGCCGGCTCGCGAGCCAACTCGTTAGTTAACGAGCCAAGCCTGAGCTAGACCATGCTCAGCTTGATAAGCTCGCGAGCTAGCTTGATTCGGTGGCTTGTCGAGCTAAGCTCGCGAGCTGCCTTGTTTCGAGCTTGTGGAAGGATGAATTACTCTTTTAAACATGAACATTGTCTTATAATACAGATGTGTATGAAATTTAGATGTTATTTCTAGTTTCTAGTGTTCTTTCTAGATGTTTATACATTTTTCCAGCAAAAATGATTTTAAATCGAGCTCATCTTGAGCCGAGCTTGTACTCAGCTTAACAAGCTATGTTAATGAGCATTTATCGAGCTCTACCGAGTCGAGCTCGAGCTAGATTATTTTTATTCAAGCCGAGCTCGAGCTCGAGCTGGATTATCAAAATTCGAGTTCGAGCCGAGCTCGAGCTGAAAAATTAATAAACGAGCCGAGCTCAAGCTAAGCAAAAACTCGACTCGACTCGGCTCGTTTGCAGCCCTAGCTGGGGGCGTTGCCCCCGCACCCCCACCCCCGATTAGCAGTCGTAGCGGCTGATAATCCGATTCAAGTCATATCAACAAATATAAATTTTGTTTGAATTGGAAAGCAGCAAAGAGGGTTCGTCGTGGCCGCGGAAGGCAAAGCGCGTGTTGGTGGGAGCAAATGCACAGTGGGTGCTGATGGAGACGTCAACGACTCCTATTAGAGTCCTATGTGTTCCTGACTCACGTTTCCTTCGTCTCTATCTATCCTCTCCATAATTCACTCACCTTCATTGGACGGACAGATATTTTTGTACTGGCGTGGCTAGCTACCCTCTTGCAGCTCTTGCTCACTCAAAAGTCATAATAGTATATATATATATATATATATATATCAAATAAATAAATTGGACAAAATCAAATAAATAAATTAGACAAAATCATTTTTCCGCACATGTTAACCATTTGGGATCACGACTTGGAATTTGAAACACCACCATGAGCCTACATTGGACGGACCTAACTTAAAAACAAATAACCTTGTATCAACGGGCTAATAACTAGTACTTTTATATATATATATAATATATGGTTCTCAAATTATTATTTACTTGCCAAATTTGTTACCACTAGAGTTAGTACTATCTATGATCATGAGCTGCAACATTTCATCCAAGTCGGGCCAATCATAATCAATTAGTAATTGACGTAGAAAACAGTTTTTATGGCATACCATAATGAGGTTGTAAAAAAAAATATTGTAGCTATCTACAAATAATAATAGTGATAAATTTAAGCGGTATAATAAATGTCTACTTTTTATATTATAAGATAACTATATATTCATTCTAATATCATCAAATTGGCATTCTGCTTTTCAAAATATGACGTGGCATCCATATGGCTTGGAGACTTGAGTTGGACATGACGTGTCATCAAGGTGCCATCCATGTTAGTCTAACGTCCACTTAATTGACGGAGTATTAGACGATATTAAAGTATTTGACGAAAATAACTAAATTTATTAAAAAAAAAAAGTTTAAAAAGTATGACTAACTCGTGTAGCCATATGTGAGCCGAAATATTGTGTTCAAAACAGGTGAATTATTTTTAAAAATTCAGAGGTTTCGAAAAGTTGGAATCAAAACAATGTTTTGCTACAAAATTCAGGAATATTAGCCCTAATTCTTCTATCATCGGATAAAAATAGGTATCTGGATTGGATTATATTTTATAAAATGAGGATTGAGGATGGCAGGAGGGACTGGAGGAAGGTGACGGGTAAAAGGAGCGGGTGGGAACACGGGCATCAAACGCCACGACAGATCTTTCGGTTTTGTAATTTTTTTTTTGTATATAAAACCCAAAGGAAAGCCAATTGGATTTCGGGGGTTCGTCTATAGGTTTGCCATTTAAATCACAGAGACGGAAAGGCTGAGAAATTTATCAGAAAAGAGAGATTTGAAACTAGAGGAGGTCCGGCGAGTCACCGCCGGCCATCCACCTACCTCTCTCCTTCAATCGCCTTTGCCCTTTTCTTGGCTCGCCTGCTCTGATTTCCTTGGCCATTGTGAGGGCTACGAAGAACACCAACGAAGAGGAAGAAGGAATCTCTCGTTACTCATTATTCATTTTCCCTCCCCCCCCCCCCCCCCCCCCCCCCCCCCCCCCCCCCCCCCCTCCTTCTTCTTCTTCTTCTTCTTCTTCTTCTTCTTCTTCTTCTGCTCTGCTTTCCTTCTGTCTGTGGTCTTTGTTTCTGGGCTCATCTGGTTGAAGAAACCGTCGCCTTCCTTAATCCCTGGTGCCGTCAAGGTAAGGAAAAAGGAAATCGCTCGTTGGTCTTCGATGGGTTTCTCTCTGTTTTGACGGGGATTGACGAACTCCGCTATGAATTGGAAGAAAAACTTTGATCATATTCATCCCCACTTCTGGACAAAAACCGAAATTGACAATCTTCTAGAAACATTTGCAAATTTTTTTAACCTCAATTTTGGAGCCGATCATCCTATAAAAGGAAAATGATTCGATTGATTTTGTTGATTTGCAGCTGAAACCCATTTATACAATCCGACGACGATGGGAAAAATGTCCGATTCAGTAGCCGACGAGCCAAACCCATCGGCCATAAAAACCTGTCCAGTACCACCGCCGTTCCCCCCTCCGCCGTCAACCAGCTATTGCCGGCCAAAAACCGGTCCGGTGCCGGAAGCATCATTCGCTACCCACGTCCCTGTTTCGAGAGCAACGAGAGATATATGGGAGCGCCTCTTTGACGAAGGGTACAGATCAGACGTGCAAATCCTCACCAGCAATGACGTTCCCATCTTCGCTCACGCCAACGTTCTCGTAAGAAAACCCTGAAATCGAAATTGCAAACTCATCATTCCGCCATTCGCTGGATTAACTGAATCAAACGATGTTGTGGGGGAAAAAAAAAACAGGGGATGGCTTCTCCGGTGCTAAGAGGGATGTTAAAGCAGGCGAAAACCCGCAGCGACGGCCGGAAATCAATCTCCGTCAAGGGCGTCCCACATGACGCCGTTCGTGCCTTCATCCGGTTCCTCTACTCTTCCTGGTACTCACTCTAACTTATTACCCTTTCTCCAATTGAAATCCGTTGTTGCTCAAAAAACGTAAATCGCTTAAAAAATTAGTTGATTGCGCTGTTACAGTTACGAGAAGGAAGAGATGGAGGAATTCGTGGTGCATCTGCTGGTTCTTTCCCACGTATTCGTGGTGCCGGAGCTGAAGCAGATCTGCATCGAGAGCCTGGAGCGAGGGTTCTTGACGACGGATAACGTGGTGGACATCTTGCAGCTGGCTTTACTGTGCGACGCGCCGAGGCTGAGCCTGTTTTGCCATAGAATGATCATAAAAGGGTTCAGGGAGATCTCAGGGACAGAGGGATGGCGGGCCATGAAGCAGAGCCATCCGGTCCTGGAGAAAGAGCTTCTGGAATCCATGGTCGAAGAAGACAATGTAAGATCAGCAGACCAACTCCCGTTTCTCTTGCATTTCCTAATCAACGATCGCTGAAACACCCTCCCCAACGAAATGCTCTATTTAGTCTCTAATCTATACACACATTTGTACATGATACTTTGTATGTAGTGTAGTATTGCTTGGAATAACAAGTTCATTTCTTTTGGGTGTGATATGTGCATTGTTCCGATTGTGATTTCTTTTTGGGTTTTTGGTTGAATGTTTTGTTACAACAGAGGGAGAAGGAAAGGGTGAGGAGGGGGAAAGAGAGGAAGATATATCTGCAACTGTACGAGGCGATGGAGGCTTTGGTGCACATATGCAGGGATGGGTGCAGGACGATCGGGCCGCACGACAGGGATTTGGAGAAGAACCAGCAGCCGTGCAGCTACGGGGCGTGCAGAGGGCTGGAGCAGCTGGTTCGACATTTCGCGGGGTGCAAGCTGAGGGTTCCAGGCGGGTGCAGCCATTGCAAAAGGATGTGGCAGTTGCTTGAGCTCCACTCCCGCCTCTGCGCCGATTCCTCGCTCTGCCGGGTTCCTTTGTGCAGGTACTTGCTAGTTACTACGTTCATGTGTTTGTGGGGAATTTTTGGTTAGCAGTTGGAAGGCTGAAATGGAAAAGGGTTGTTGTTGTTGCAGGAATTTCAAGGAGAGGATGAGGAAGCAAAGCAAGAAGGACGAGACTAGGTGGAGAATACTAGTGAAGAACATACTTAGAGCCAAGGCAATTGGAGGATCCCCTTTCTTTTTGTCACTCCTGGTTTCCTCCTCCTCCTCCTCCTCCTCCAAATTCTGACCAAGAATGAAGAATAGCAAACACCAAGCTGAGCCCCCCCAAACGAATCAAAAACCAAATCAAAAGTGTTGCATTGCACCAAAATGTAAATGTGGTGTGAGTTGTGAACCAACCCCTCCATCTCTTTGTCCTGTTTGTTTGTAGCAGTAGAAGAATGGACCTGAATCTGTTGTCCCATTCAGCAAAACAAAACAAAACAAAAAAAAGGGTAAAAAAATCAAAATTGTTGATTTATTGATTGTTTACGAAATATCTTGGGCAGGGTTGGTTGATCAACTTGTGTTTGAAAGAACAGATTGAAAAAGATGTTTTTGACGGAAATAATGAAATTGGAGGGTGATGGGTTTCGACTTTGGATACCCTTTGATATGGATGTGATTAATTGCTTTGCTATTAGCTGCCTTCCACCGGCAGCAAATCGCTTTCCCTGTTAACCTTTGATCGTGATCTCGGAAGAAAACAAAATAAAATAGTTCATTGGTATTGGTTGGTCGTTTACGTTAAGCTCGCCAATGCTTACCATCTTAATTTGGGAAAATCAGAATTTACGAATGGATTGGTTACCGTTATAATCATGTTAACCAGTAATATTCGGTTAATTTGTTTAATTGGTTTGGTTAAATAATTTAGCTTATTTGGTTTAGGTGGTTTGGTTTGGTTTCAACACTGCTAACCAATGAAACCAATTAACCAATTAACGATACAAAATATACAAAATTAAATGATTCCCTATTGTATTTCCATGTGCTCAACAAACCAAAGCATTATGGGTCAAAAATTAAATGAACCTGCCTATTTACTAAATCAAAACATTTTGGACAACTACTAGACTTTAGGGTTACGTACAATAACATGATAGCCACCTCAAACTATGTATAGTTTAAATGTTTTGTAGGAGAGCTTTAACTTCCTGATGAGTGGTATTGGTATGTATTTAATATTTATGTTATGGGTTTGTTGTCAGCTAACTATATTAGGTGGAGAGATGATGAATAATGTATTAACTCGAATGATGATGATAATCATGGATGGTTAGTCTTATTATTATTGCTTATATATAATGATAATTTATAATAGTAGTAACATATAGTTATGTTTTATTCATTAACATGATAATTGTTTTAATAATGTTATGTTATTTGGTTAATCCGATTATCCGATTAACCAAACCAATTAAACTTTGGTTTGGTTAATTTGGACGGTTTGGTTAAGACATTTTTCTCCATGGTTAATGAAATTTAAGCTTAATTGGTTTGGTTCGTACCACGGTAACCATTTGAACACCACTACCTATTTTTATCCTATGGTAGAAGAATTAGGGCTAATATTCCTGAATTTTGTAGCAAAACATTGTTTTGATTCCAACTTTTCGAAACCTCTTAATTGTCTGAATTTTTAAAAAAATAATTCACCTGTTTTGAACACTATCTTTCGGCTCACATATGGCTATACGAGTTAGTCACACTTTTTAATTTTTCTTTATAAATTTAACTATTTTCATCAAATACTTTAATATCGTCTAATACTCCGTCAATTAAATGGACGTTAGACTAACATGGATGACACCTTGATGACACGTCATGTCCAACTCAACTCTCCAAGCCATATGGATGCCACGTCATATTTTAAAAAGTAAAATGACAATTTGATGATATTAGAATGAATATATAGTTATATTGTATAATATAAAAAACACACATTTATTATACCGCTTAAATTTATCAATATTATTATTTGTAGATAGTGAACACTTTTGTTTACAACTTGATTATGGTATGCCTATAATAGAGTATTTACCCCAGTGGGTGAGGGGATCGATTTCTGAATTCTCTCTCTAGAAAACAAGAAACTTCTCCCTCTAAGATTGGTTCTATCTCTCTCCCTTCCTCTCCCTCGAGCCTTCTCTCTTGGAATCTCAAAAAAGGTTAAAGGATAAGAGCGGAAATTCTTCCACCTTCACTCGCGCCCCATTCTCCTAGTGTTTCACTCCTATACTCAGTTAGACACACAAACAGTATGCCATAAAAACTGTTTTCTACGTCAATTACTAATTGATTAGAATTAGCCCGACTTGGATGAAATCTCGCAGCTCATGGTCATAGATAGTACTAACTCTAGCGGTAACAAATTCGGCAAGTTACTATATATAAATTTGAAGTAGAGTTACTGTTGCGTAAAAAATTGCTACTTTAGTCAAAACCAGAAATTGCAACGTCTCAACATCGTCCCACTGTAGCAGATTGCTCACAGTCTCACTCTCAGATAAAAAAAACATTGAACCAGTGAAGGCTGCCAGCTAAACTAGCTATGATTTATTAGTAACAAGTATAAAAAATGCAGCAACAGCATGTGGGATAACAAAGCACTCTGTCCCTGAAATTGTGTTTAACCCTCATCTATTAAACACACGTCTAATCTTATCTATGGCATCTTTCAGCGCGAGCTCGGAGTGGCAGCAGCAGCCCGGTGATCTATTCACCACCTCCGGTCACCCCTTTCAATTTTCATTGATTGTGATTAAAAATGAAAATAAAGCACTATATTCATCCTGTTACTTGAATTCCAAAGATATAAAAAGAAAAATGAACCAGATACTCTCTGCACACTCTATCAATCAAGGAGAAGAACTGTGTTCGTCATCCGAGCTTGTATCTTGTCTCACATTATACCTGTTCAAAACCGGTAACGAAGCCGTTGCAGCTATCCTGAAGGACCGAGCTGAGCCCACCACCGTCCTATCCTGCATCTGCCCTACTTCCTTGCACACATGATCAAGTATGTTCAAGAAGTCCCTCACGATCATGAAAATTCTAAATGGGTGGGCTTCCTCCTTTGCCGTATCTCCATGGAAGTACGCCGTCACCTCTTTCACCAGCAACAGAGCTTTCCTTTCGCTGCCTTTGATCGTTGCAATGACCTCATCTGCATCTCTCATAAACTGCTTCGTCGACTGGAAGAACTTGCCCTGCATGCTATTATCAGGTCTCTCGTACTGGAAAACCGACCTCACTTTTTCGAGTCCCTTCTCGAGCTTCGTCACATAGCTGCTTAGAACATCAGAGTCCATTCCTGCTGCCTTTTTCACATTGCCGAGGTCCCTACCCAGTCCAGATACAACCAGCAATCCCTGCTTCCTGAAGTCCTCATCCTTCATCTTCGATAGTTTGTTCTCTTCTTCTTGACCAGAACCTGAAGTGCCTTCTGACCTAATGATTTCCTGAACTACAAAGTGGAGCAATGTCGTCTTACCATCAGTTCCCTTGATATCTACAAGTTTTAATAGCGTGTCGAGCTTAAACGATTTGGCATCGCCACGGTTTGTGCCAACATTCATGCGGTTGCCTGTCCTGAGAACAGCTTCAAGGAGCTTGAGAAATAACCGGCTGTTTTTCAATTCTTCACTTGCTACCTGGAAAGTTTTAGTTAGTTTTAGTCGACTCACTATTGTGGACATGATATAGGAAGAAAGAAAGGTGGCGGCGGCAAAAAAAATTTCAGACCTCCAGGGTTTGGAAAGATCTTTTGAGGTATGCAACTTCAGTGTCGAAATTGGCTCGGTATAGCATCGCATCAACTCTTCTGAAAGCGAATGGGATATCTAGAATAGCCTTCAGGAATCTTTCTGCAGAGCCTAGTTTAGAGATATCACCACTGTACTCCTTAAGTTTTATTTCTTCTTCCCTTGTTGGAGCCATCTTCACCAGAGTTTCCAGAAGTTCAGCACCCAAGCCTTCTGGATTCCCTGTAATGATATTACACATCATATACCAAACACGAAAAAGAAAAAAAAAAAAAACATCAAGGCTTAGTGAAGAGTGCCTTCATGACTAGTTTAAGGAACTCTGCCACGAAAGTTCGTTATGTTATCCGGTTACATGGTCTAAGATGGAGCCAAAGCAAATTTTGTTTGGTTAGAGAGGTGATATGGCTTTCTTGAGTCTCCTCAGGCAACTCTGTAAGAGGAGACAAAAACCTCTATGAATCAGACAAACAGGATGCTTCATCTCCATGTTAGACTACAACAGGACAAGTTTTTTTTTTTTTTTTTTGGCGGGGAACCATAAAGACAGCAAGTTAAGACAACTGCCATTAAACAGAAGTATCTATCTAATCTTACCTTAATCAAATCTCATAGATGTAACATTTAATGATGATTACAAGGCAAAATGAGTAAGAAGTGAATTAGAGCAGTAGAACACCAAACTTGAGAAGCTTGTGGTACACAACTTAGAAACAAAACAATGATGGAAGTGATATCAATGTAGTAACGAGCAATGAATCCCCTCTCTATAACAGTCCAATTTCTTAAGATGACAATGCTGTTAGCTTCCATTAAAGCTCTCAGCAATTGGGTAGATTTGTCGCTTAACTTCAGAGATCGGACATGCATAACAACTAAGCAAACATAATTCCAAAACATCTCCACTAACATGACCAAAGGACAGTACTAATATTAGCAGATGATTGCTGGATTCATTTTGAGGTGCCAGTGCCAGATCAAGTAAAACCCAACAGTAAATTTGCCATTTTTCTGCTGCTTCTCTCATTAGTACCCTTCTTTGTCCTATAACTAAGTCAAGTACTTTTCCATTCCATTGACACACTCTATGATTTTGCTGAAAGCAGGAAAAGACCAGAACCCCGAAACATATACATTTCCAATCATGGAAACTAAATAAAGGATCCTTACCATCCAGAAGAGCTTCAGAAACTTCATCTTTCGTCACATTCAATGCTCTCAGAAGTATAGCTATGTTCTGTGACTTCTTTGGATCCAAAACTCTAATTTCCTGTTCAACTTGTGGCAGAACTGGTTTCCTTGCATGCTCTTTATGAGCAGAATTGGCCGAGTTGAAACCAAAGAGGCTCTCCATCATGTCCTCGTTTAATCTAAAAAAGTAGGCAATACCCAGTTAGAGAGAATACAGGAATCGAGCAAATCGCCATTAATGAAAAGCTCTCTCTCTATTAGTGATTGCTTACTGGAACGAACTGGATTTCAGCTGGTCCCACACTGTGGCACGATCTGAGGTTGCCCGTACTTTGTCCCAATGGAGAGGCTTCAGCTTGGGCTTTGAACCATCATAATTCTCGTCCTCCTCAATTCCTCCAGAGGCCGACCCCCCACCACCGCCGCTTCTGCTACTCTGCTCTGTCGATTTCGATGAGTCGATTTTCGAACTCGCCTTGGGACTCGGTGTCCACGGCTGCGTCTTTGTGGAGGAAACGCTTGATTTCTCTGCAGATAGAGATTCTCTTACCTTTCTCGGAACCGGAATTGTACCTGGTGGTGGAGGAGGAGGCGGAGGCGGTGGCGGAGGAGGTGGTGGAGCGTTGGTTCCGCTGGGCGGGTAGTCGTTTAACGATCGAAGGAGCGACATATTCGGCGGCGGCGGTGGCCCCGAGAATTTCGGTTTTTTCGAGTGATATGACTGCTCGTTGTGCTGAGCTCCACTCTCTTGCGGAGGCGGCGGCCGTCGAGGCGGAGGCTCCGATGAGGGCTTCTTAATTGAAGGAATAATCACATGCTTCATTTCCGGAGAAGAAACAGAGGAAGAAAACCTCGATTTGGGGGAAGTTCTCTTCGAGTGAGGAACAGATACAGAGGAACCATTATTACTTCCATTGACTGACCTCAACGAGCTGCCATCGTTGCTTCTAGAGTAATGCCGTCGCGTAGAGCCCGAAACCGGAGTGTAGAATCCGTCGTCGTAGCTCACGGCGGAGCCGGCCGGCGTGTAGAACGGCGTGCCGTTGTTGCTCTCTTCACTAGACGATGATGAAGTCGGAGATCCGGAGCTCTCGTACTCTGGCCTCGGAGCAGCAGCAGCAGAGACTGGACGAGGAGGAAGACGAGGATGGAGATTCGAAGAAGCAGCTGCGGCAGCAGGAGGTTTCGGCAATGGCGGCAGCGGCTGCAACTCAGGACTAGGTCGATACCGATCAGATCTCTTGACAGAGTTGAGCTTATGGTACGGAGACGAGTTGTTGGTGTTGGTCGACGTCAACTCAGAGCTGGAGCTCCTGCTCGGCTCAACCGTCCCTATATACAGAAAATTGGAAGGCGGCGAAGGAGGAGGATCGGCCAATCGCCGGGAATTCTCATCCCCGGGCCCGACGACGAGCTTGTCGGAGTCTCTTCTGGGCGGGTGCTTGACCCGGTGGCGGTAGAGGAAGAATGCGAGCGCGGAGAGCATCCCGAGAGTGACGATCCCGACGGAGATGGCAATCGCCACTTTCTTGACGGGCTTAGCGGGTTGGGCCTGCGTGGCCGTGGGGATTGGAACGGTGGCATTGGCGGAGGAGCTCGCCGGCGGGGCTTGGGTTGGATCCTGGGAAGGTGGGGCTGGGACTTCGGGGAAGAAGGGCTCGTCCGGGGAAGTGGAGGAGTCGGCCGGTGGGGGTTGGGAGGGAGGTGAATCGTCGGCGACGGAGGATGGCGGTGGTGCTGAAGTGGCCGGGAACAATGGCTGATGGAGAATTCTACGGGGGATTTCACTGCCGACAGTTGGGATAGCGTCGGCGGCGGAAGCGGAATTGAGCAGAGACGAAATCAGAAAGAGGAGGAAACAGTAGTAGGGATGAATGCGAAGATGGCGAGAGTCGGCATTCATTGTGATTCGCTAGTTGCTCTTACTTTCCGAGCCTCTTGCTGTTCTTCTTTCTCCAAATTCATTCTTGATTTTCGATTTTTTTGTTTTTCTTTTTGGGGTTTTGCTTTTCCTCTTTGGGGATTTGTTTGGTTCCCAGGAAAATGAGAGGAAGGGAAAAGGACTAAAGGAGGAATTTTTTCTTTTATTTTCTTTTGCTTTATCAGAGAGAGAGAATTTTGCGGGTAAGAAAATGGGAAGAGCGAGGAAAAGGGGAAGCTTCTGTTGGCTGCAAGATCTGGATGCTGCTGACGTCATACCATAGCCGCTTTTTCTGCCATTTCCTTTCCTTTTTGCTCTCTCTTACTTTTCTTCTTTGATTTTCTTTCCTCCCGTTCCGGACTCCGGTTCTCAACAGTGAATGTGGGAGAATGCCGCATGGACGCCAAGAATATAAATCGCCCTATGTACAGAAGAGGTCTCAATCCATGGATGAAATCCCAAAATACAAATGTTAAAAAAAAAAAGAAATTCAAAATATACACGTTATAATTTTTTTCCTCAAAATACACATATTTGGGCATCACCGCTATTGTCAACCGCAGTGAATGCATTCACCGCGGCAGAATTCATTACCGCGGTTGATGGCCGCGGTGAATGCCCGACGTAACACAGAAACTTCAAACAAAAGTAACTTTTCGCTCGGTTATTCGATTGTACGTAATTTTTTTTTGATTCCATATAAATTTTCAAGATCTTTCAATTTGCAACGAGACTTCACCTCAAAAAAATGTCGTTTGTTACCCCGAACGAGCAATTTTTTTATTTTGCCACACTTTGGAAGGACATAACTTTTAGCTCCTCAATCCGAACGTCGTAAAGTTTTTTTTTATTGCGCATAACTTTTTAAGAACTACAACTTTTACTAGGAAAGAATATTTTTAAAAAGAAATATTTTTGGGTATACGGGATTTTGGGAATAACTTTGGCTTTACTTTTCACAAATCCACATACTTTCCAGAATTATGGTTATCATCAAAGTTGTAGTACTTTAAAAGTTATGCAAAATAAAAAAAAAGTTTCATGACATTCGAATTGTGGAGCACAAAGTTATGGTCTTCCAAAGTTTGTCAAAATCAAAAAATTGCTCGTTCGGGGTAGCAAATGAATTTTTTTTAGATGAAGGATTGTTGAATAAAGAAAGATTTTGAAAATTTAGTGGAATAAAAAAATTTCGCTACAATCGTATAACCGAGCGCAAAGTTATGTTTGTTTGAAGTTTCAGTGTTACGTTAGGCATTCACCGCGACCGTCAACCACGGTGATGCATTCACCGCTTTGGTCTGCCGCGGTGAATGCATTCACTGCGGTTGACAACAACATTGATGCACAAACATGTGTATTTTGGAATTTTTTTTATAACGTGTGTATTTTGGTAATTTTTTTTAACATGTGTATTTTGAGATTTTCCCCCAATCTATGTGCTCTTCTTATCTTTTCTATAGGGTTGGGAAATTCTATTGGGGATTATATGGAAAAGTTATCGTTAGGATATTTTGTACTGAACTTGTGATTTGATCGTTAAAATTGTCTATCAGTTTGAATCTAGTATTAGATATTATAGGACCGACCGACTAGTACAGTAGTGTTAGCAGTGGAAAAATGTCTGACTTTTATAAAAGTGACGATTGTTACTACAGTTCACATCTCTTCAAACACTGTTCGAACGAGGGTGTTTAGTGTATGGGGAATCTACGTTACCTTACACTACTCCTGTGGAGATTCCTTGAGAGCTCCGCGACTACAACTAAGACTACTGTTATGGATAGGGCTGGAGGGCGGTCAGTTTCGGTTTAACCAAAACTCGATTACTAGTTAACCGCGCCCTCCCCCCTCGCCGCTTCCGACCATCGACCAATACGGTTAACCAACCACCGACCGATTGATTACCATTTTTCTTTCTGTTAGTCGTGTAACCGAAATTGTGGCTACAGGTCGGTCGTAATCTGGTAACCGAGTCGAAACAGCTCCATATGCATGAAAAAATCAGTAAAACCACCTTAAATTTAAGGCTCAAACCTACATTTCTACATCTAAATCACCCGAAGTAAAGTCGCAATCCCTTTTGCATTGAAAATACATCTAAATCACGAAATTAATGTCTCAAATTCAACAACGTAAAGTCATAAACGTCATAAAGTCACAAATCACACTAGATCCAAATAGCAACAACAAGTCAACAAGAAATCATCATCATTTATCATTTATCAACACCAGCAGAAGAACCATCTGCAAAACTATTTTCTTTCAACCGGCCCAACAAGTCATGACCATAATCGTCATATCCATCTTGCTCATACTCTTACTCGGACACTTCTTCTTCACCCTCCTGCTTATCCTCCACTGGAATGTTGAGACTTGCATCTGCATTGGCAACATTGCCAGTATCACTTGCACTTTCCATTCTAGACTGGAAAGTGGTATTAATTGAGTAAGAAAAAAGAAAACAAAGTGTTAGGATATTCATAATATGAATTAGGTGGAAAGAAATAGTGAAAACTTGAACAACAAGTAATTAAGAGAGTTTTAGAACTCACCACTTTTCAAAACCAAATTCTCTTCATCATCTTCCTTCTCATCAATCTCTTTGGATCCGGTAGTTGGATACTTTATCCAATCCTCGACAAAAATTCTCTTCATCCTGAATGGACTGAGAATCCGGCCGCCACAGCTGAATGTTGCCTTTGAGGCAACATAAGAGATGAGAACAACTAGGATATCCTTGGCCATCTCAGCAAGAATCATATATATTTCAGAGTATTGAGACCCCCTACCCAAGATGTCAAACTTGGCATCATCACTCTCCTCATTGATGTCATCAGTTTGACATTTCGAATAGATGTCAAGCTCAGCAGAGCTATCTCCTGTTTCCTGCAGAAGTGCTTCCCTTTTCTCCTTCTCGAGCCTCTCTTCAAGCTTCTTAATCCTATCACCAATACATTCAGCAAAACTACCACCAACAATGCTCTCATTAGTGGTAGGCTCAGATGTAGAGGAGGGTGCTTTTGATTCATACTTCCCTTTATAAATCTCAAACAACTCACGCATCTCCGAAGTAATGGAACTCTCAATTTATCCTCCCTTCACTCTCCCATGAATCATTTCCAAAACCTCGGACACCAGATCAAGTTTACTTCTAGGATCAAGCACACATGCTATATAAATTAAGTGATTCTCCTTCATGTTCTCCTCATTCATAATATGTGTCTCAAACCAATACTTTTGTACCTTTTCCTCAACCTTTTTTGCCATCCTTGGATCTCTTCATGCAGATCATTCTTCAATTCCTCAATGATGTCATAGACTGGAACAACCTTCTTGAAGAAGAGATGGGTAGTCACATATTTAGTTCTTGTACAATGAGCAGAGAACACAAAAAATTAGAGTTAAAAAAGGTGGTCAAATGGTTAAAAAAATAATGCAATTCAAATTCCACCTACCCGAGACTAGGAAAGTCATTGAAGACTTTTAGATTCTTCACCAACTTCCTAATCAGCTGCCAATCTTGTTCAGTTGGAAGACCACCTCTTGAGTCAACATAATCTCTAAAGGAATGATCGTGTGGACTTGAATACAAAGTTGTAAAAATTCATCAAGCCTTTCTACTGACTCTAACATGACATAGGTGGAGTTCCACCTGTTCGGTACATCCAAAGACACCACCTCCCATTGATCTAAAAAGCCATTTCCGCAATGGTATGAGCTAAGATCCTAGGAGTGCTCGAACCTCTCATGAGGTTGAGAAAGAAGGGGATCCGGGAATTTCCACTCCCCATCTCCACAATATCTTTGCCACAGGTCCTCACAAGCAGAGTAGTCAAAATCCTGATTTAAATCGTAAAATCCTACGCTTTTATGATTTTACTTACCTATTCTGATTCTGATTTCACTATAAAATCTATGGACCTTAAAAATCCTACACTATTCACGATTTAAATCTTTAAAATCTTACGATTCAAATCTTTGAGTCAATTTTACTTATTTTCTCCAGAATTTGCAAAATTAACCCTCTTTTTCTTCTCCTTCACCAACATCATCTAGTTCTCTCACACTAACCACCGTCGACTATAATCAATTCACATCAACGTATTAATCATAATCGATTCACCACCTCTTAACATTAACCTTGATAAATTGGAACTTTAGCCTTGAAAATTATCATTGTAAGTGTTATGTGCTTTTGTGTTATTCATGATTTTCCTTACTAATATTATTCTGTCTTCATTTTTGTATACTAATTTTATTTTACGTAAAATCCAAATTTTGACTGCTTTGCTCACAAGGACAATATCATCAGAGAAGATGGGGGTGGCCATGGTTGGCTTTCGGACGACATGGAGGATGACGCTCTCACTTAGACCAGAAGCACTGTCTAGCTTAAAGGCATTAAAGAGAGAGTGCTTCATGGGAGACAGTCCATGTCTGTCATCTAACTTAAAGACGCTAACCAAAAGTACTAACATGAGAAAACCCATTTTGGTTCTTCTTTTGTTTAGGATGGATTGAGTTATTTTTGAATAAACGTGAAGGTGGTTTAAGTTCAAAATGATGACATTGGTGTGAGCTTCATCCCACACCATTCACGAATGGGTTCAAGATCGTGGGGAGTTCAAGGCCCTTCTCACGGGCGTGACAATGGCCGTGAATCATTCGGAAGCATCAAGATTAACGGGGTACTTGTGGAATAGATGGAGGAAGTTTTGATGGGTATTGTTGGATTATATACAAAGATCTCTACCAAGAGTAGATATGCATTCATCCTTTCCCTATACACTACTTCACGTACATGCTTACTGCTTCATACTAGTGGATTCTTAACAAGCCTTTCTTGGAGATGGAGATGTGGGAAAGCATCATGGATAGTGATGGGATAAAGCCCCTGCTCCGAATGGATTCACTTGGGAATTCTACAAGAAGTGATGATCATGGATCAAATCCAAAATCGTTCTTGCTTTCAACAATTTCTACAGTTTAGTGTATTTGCATAATAGTATTAATCATTCTTTTATTTGCTTGAATCCAAAGAAGGATGCAGTGGAGGACACAAGGAATTTACGACCGATTAGTCTGATGGACAGCTTTAACAAGCTTATTAGTAATGTACTTTCTCGTAGACTTAGAGTCGTTATCCCTTATCTTGTCTCCCATAACCAACAGGCTTCTGTTATGAGAAGACATATTGGAGATGCAGCTATTACTGTATTTGAGCTTGTTGACAGTTGCAGGAAGTCGGGGTTGATGTTTAAGATGGACATTGACAAGGCATTTGATAAAGTCAATTGGAATTCTTCTTTCTAATCCTCTCTCGGATGGGTTCTTTGAGCAGTGACAAAAGTGGATCGGAGGTACCATTTGTATGCTGAAATTAGTTGTCCTTATTAATGGGGATCGAAAGGCTTCTTTGATGCTCAGAAAGGTCTCAAGCAAGGTGATCCGCTGCCACCTGGCCTATTTGATATGGTTATGGATGTTTTATCCTTTATGAATTATTATTGCCACTCTTAAAGAGGATGGGAAAATTGCAGGTTTTTGTATGAATGAAGAGGATGGCAATGGGGAAGTGACACGTATACTCTTTACGAATGATACTTTGATCTTTTGTGATGTGGCATATGATTAGGTTATGAACATCTTAGCTTATCTTGTGTGCTTCCAAGCAGTCACTGGGCTCTGCATCAATTTGGAGAAGTCAGTCATGTTCACAGTGGGTGATGTCTCAAATCCTTACTTCTTTGCGTCAAATTTTTAGTTTAATTGGAGTAATAAGTCTCCAAATACTTTGGATTCCCGCTTGGTGCAAAACCAAATGTGGTTTCCCTGTGGGATCCCATCATTGACAAATACCAGAAGAGGCTTAAAGGTTGGAAGGGTAGGTATGTTTCTCAGGAAGGGAGGCTGAAACTTAACAAGGTTGTGCTTTCTAGTCAGCCGGTGTATTACATCTCTTTGTTCTGAGCTCCATCATCGGTGATAATTGAAGGGATTCAAAGAAGATTTGCTTGGCGTGGAAAGGGGAAACACGGAAAGCACCATTGGTTAGCTGGGATATCGGCAAAGCCCATGTTTCTCATGGTGGGCTTGGAATTTTGGATCTAACATATTTTAATAGAACCACACTGGGGAAGTGGGAGTTGGTGGAGGACTCTAATTAATATTGAACATCTTAATAACCTCTCAGAATGGTGTACGACAAGAAGCAGACATAGGTTTGCAGGATCAACGTAGGCTAATATATCTAAGGAGTATGATACATTCTGAAAAAGGCCAGTATTGATCCTGTGAACGCTTCTTGGGTTTATTTTTAGCATGCTAGTCGGATCCCGAGAGTGGTGCTCGCTGACGCCTTTCCTAGAGTTGCCACCGCCACATCCTCTCCCGAAGCCCGGGTCGCAAACGCTATGTCTCTCATAGATGAGAATGTCATCTGGCATACATTTACTTCAATTTAGGTTAGTTTCTAGGCAAACAAGAATAGAGATTAAAAAACTAAGCTAATTAAGCTACTCTAACCACTATTCTAGCTAATTGAAATTTGGGAGCTCACTTAGGCACGAATTCCTTAGATCCTCAATTCAACCCATGTTGAGTACTACCCTAGATTGATTGACTCGATACTTCCACCGGGAGAATTCTAGACTAGGTGGGACTCCTTATTCGAGTTATCCAACCCCGTGCTACCCGAAGAGGCATACCATACAACTTACCTAGGTAATTGAGATGTTCACAACTAACTCTCACGATTGAGCAAAACTCAATATGTCATTATGGATCAAATCACACTCATTCAAAGACCCATAGTGAAATATTGAACATGCTCTATTGAACCTTGGGAAATATTCTCTCTCCTAGGTCAAAGCCAAATTGACAAGAGAAGGACCAAGACTCAAGCAATTCATCATAAACATCAATAAAATAGATAATGGGAGTAGTTAAGCATAGAATTTGTCACATACATCAACAATCGAATTAAAATCTAGAGCTAGGGTTCATCAACCTAAGTTAGAGAGACTAATTCATAAAGAGAAGAAGAGAGAATACAATATGCTCCAAGATCTTCAATCTTCATCTTCTAGAGATGATCTTCAAGCTCCAATGGGTTTGGGTACCTCCAAAATAGCTCCAAGAATCCTACTAGATCACTCTCTCTCTCTTAAATCGCCCCTTGAGTGTTTCTGGGTGAAAACCCCCAGCTCTCTTTCTCAAAACCCGTAGCTGCCAATTTAAACCAAAAGTAGTGCACATTATACACCCCCAAACCGTGAAGTAGCACCCTGCCCGCGAGATGCACTTGCTTTGCTGGAAAATGAGTGTTTTTCATGGTTTTTTTTTGTGCGGTGGGGGGGGGGGGGGGGGGGGGGGGATGTTCACGCCCTCAGGCAGTGAACATTTGCTCTGACCTGTTAACCTTGCAAATCCTCCACTTTTGGCTCTTTTTGACTCCCGAATATCTCGGAACTCGTCCCTGAGCTTCCTCCACATAGTAGGACACAAAATCTCATAAAAGAAGCAGAACCTAGCATAAAATAGGCTGAGGAATGACAATTACCAAGTCAAACAATCAAGATATGAAGGATAAAACATGTAAAATTAGCCTTAAATCGGAGATCTCTTCTATGATACACATGTTTAGGCTAGAAAAAGTACGAGAGGCGATTCGACTCATTAAAGTAAAGAATGAAGAGTTGCCAAATATCGTGGAACACCAAGAGATTCACCTAAAGCCAAGCGGAGGCGGTTGTCGAAAATGCGCTTGCATCACCTTAAGCCACACTACGAAATCCTACTACACGACCACTGTCACCGAAAGAAGTGGCATAATGAAGGACACAAGGTTTATGCTTCCATTGCGACGAGAAGTATACCATTGGCCATCGATGCGCAAATCTTAACGTCCTTCTAATAGTTGGCCAGTGCGAAGATGACAAGGAAAGTCGATTCATCTACGAAGACGACCAACCTTGATGGTAATGTTGCGCTTAAGGAAAGACTGGGGAGGACTATTACGAGACGAGCCATCATAACAAATTGGAAATTTCTGGGCTCATCTATTTCTATCATTTGATTGGTATATTATTATTAGCAATATTAGTATTGTTTATTGGTTTAGTTGTCATAGTAGGATTTGGATTGCTTTGTAGTATTTATTAAGGAATTGGTTATTATTTTCTTGTAGGAGAATTAGTCATATTTTGTGTAAGAGAAAGAAGAGATTTCTATGCCTAAAAATACCTATCCATTCTCAAATTTAAATTATTAGAAGATTGGAACTCAAAATAGTATATTCTATTTCTTTCAAATTATCGTTCTATTTTGTACTAGAGTTCGATACACCATTTCATCGAATTCTTTTACCGTAACAAACCTCGTCTCCTTTAGTGAATACCTATGCAGCGATGAGCATATGCTATTGCTTCGCACATGTTGAATTAGCTCAGCGCACTGCTTATCTTGTAAAAGTAAAGACCAACCCTTTAAACGCTGTAATGGAGTCTCACAGAAACAAAGGTGAGGGAGGAAAAGCAAGAAAAGACGAGCATTTTCTAGTACGACTTGAGGTGGGTAGTATTATTGCCACGGATGGCTTCTTGGGTAAGTCCTCCTCGATTATGTGAATCGATTACAAAAAAGGTGTATTTGTGAGAAATACGGCAAGGTTGGTACGCAAGCACCGGGTTGGCCATTACAATTAGGGTAGTTAGCATAAAAGGTCACAAACCTATTTGTTTTGTACAAAATGGTTATAAACCTTTTATTTTGTACGTATTAGTAACATACGTTTGAGAGAATAACAAAATGGTCATTCCGTCCATCTCCGTCCAAAAAATCGTTAGTTTCGTCTAGTCAGCATGCCACGTCACTTAAAATATTAATAAATAATTAATAATCAAACCTAATTGAACCGGACAACCCTAATTTTATACCCAACCACCCAAAAACCCTAATTCAATCAATAAGACATCCATGCGGACCTAATAATAAGAGATCCATCAGAGGAGCAACCTATCATTTGGCAAAGAATGACTTCTGGAAAAGAACCATTTGATAGTCTTCCAGAACATGCTTTTGAAGAAGTATCAGACTGGGAAAGGAAGTTGATTAAAGGCAAAGTTCGTTCTCCCGTTAGAACTTGACTCCTTACCAATCAATATCAATATATAGTAGTTTAAGGACACAAGTGAAGTGGAACTTCAGTTCACGCCGGCAACACGAGCAGGGCAGGGATCGACAGTGGGGGCTTCAGTTCACGCCGGCGACTCGAGCAGGGAGGGATAGACGGTGGGGGTGGGGGCTTCAGTTCACGTCGGCGACTCGAGCAGGGGAGGGATCGACGGTGGTGCTTTGGTTCAGGCCGTCGACCCGACAAGGGGAAGCGAACGGTAGCGGGGGCATTTGCTTTAGGGCGGCGGCGCCGCGACTAGGTGAAGCAATCGGCGGCCGGAGCGTTGATTTTTGCCGGCGATTTCGGGGAGCTGATACGCCCTCTGTAATGTAGAGCCGAGATGAAAGAGGAAAGTGACTGTTTGTCTTCAATTTCGGGTGGGTGACATTAAATTTATTTTTGATTGATTGAATTAGGGTTTTTGGGTGGTTGGAAATAAAATTATGGTTGTCCGGTTCAATTAGGTTTGGTTATTAACTTTTTTATTAATATTTTAAGTGACGTAGCATGCTGATTAGGACGAAACTAACAGTTTTTTGGATGGAGATGGACAGAATTAGGAGTGTACATGGGTCGGGTGGTTCGGGTTTAGTCATTTTAATCATCCGACCCATGCACTACGGTTTGGGAAATATCAAACCCAAACCCACCCAAAAAAATTTAAACCCTACGGTTTGTTTCTAATTGGGTTGGATCGGGTTGACGATATTTTTAAGTAAAAACCCAACCCAACATAAAATATATAATTATTCTACATCATAAAAATATTTTATAACTAATTAAAATTTCAAATGAATGAATCAAGGTGAAAGGTATCAAAATTCACAAATGTTGTTTAAATTTTAATAAAATGTGATTTACTTCAACATATGTCTTGTTTTTTTCACGATATTTGTTGAAATAGGCTAAAAATGTTATAAACAAACGCATCCATCATATGTTATTCTATTAAAATTGTACACAAGAAAAAAGATTACGTGAATCATAACTATATTCAATTTATGTCTAAACTTTAAGTCGAAGAATGCATTAGATTAGGGAGACCATGAGAGAAAAACATGGCGAATATCTTAATTTTCTCATAAGTATATGACTATATACGACATAAATATTTTTTAGATCCGAACTCATACTAATAGTTGGAACATGGGTTGGGTCGGGTTCTACGGGTTGTGCAATCCAAAATCAAAACCCAACCCAAAAGAGGCGGGTTGTACAAAAGAAAACCCTCACCCAACCCAAAATCTATGTTTTAGCGATAAATACGGGTGGGTTGGGTTGGACGGGTGGGTCGATTCGCGGGTTTGTTTGTTCACCCCTAAACAGAATGGCCATTTCCTTATTCTCTCAAACGTATGTTACTAAAATGTGCAAAATAAAAGGTTTATGACCATTTTGTACAAAACAAATAGGTTTGTGACCTTTTATGCTAATTACCCAAGTGATAGGGGATTGCTATTCGTCGCCCTAAAAATCCTTATTTGTCGCCCTAATTAAATTAATTTTACTATAATGCCCTTAAGTTAATTTAAAACTTACCTCAAAACAAATTATAACCGGAAAAGAAAAAAAAAATCTGTCGTGGCCAGCCTGCGGAACATTCGGCCGGCATACTCCTTTTCAACTGGGACACGGAAACATTGCTGCATTATATCACAATTATAAATAAAGGTGCTTTTCATGGACATAACTAAGGAATTATTGGGACATATCTCCAGCCGCCAGAGAAGTTGGAGAAGAAGAGAGTTTTTGGCGTATAAAGGAAACTGATCGAGTATTGCCATATTTTTTGGATTAATTTTCAGGTAATCAGCAGGAGTTAAGATTAGTAAGACGGTGGCGGAGATGGGGAGCTTCTGGCCGCCGACGCTGATTGCCGTGATGTCGAGGCCGTAGAAGCTGGTCCCCGCCGAGCTGGCGGAGAGTGGAGTGAATTTCACTGACTTGGTGGTGGAAGCTCCGCCGAAGGTAAGGAATCCAGTGTCGCTGGAGGTGGACGGGAGACAATAGGAGAAGCGCTTCCTGTACTTTCTGGCCGTTTGGGAGACGAATGAAACCTTGTCCCGTCCTAATCCCAGCAATCCGGCGGTTCCGCGGAAGAGTCCTTGTCCCGTCCTAATCCCAGCAATCTCTCGGCTTTTCAGATTTAGGAATAATAAAATCTGTCCTTTAGTCGAGGGGTAAATATGTCTGGTTAGTGCGTTTTAGGGCGATAAAATTTGAATTTTAGGGCGACGAATAGCAATTCAGAAGTGATATTGCTAATTGTTGGGTGCTTGTTTTAGATTGTTGGCCCGGTTAAGTCACTGGGTTAAGGATTAACGAGGTCCAACCGTTGTACGCTTGTAATTCTGAATATATGAAAAATATTATTATATTATTGATACATATAAATTATATCAAATCTATTAGTAATAACATATAATATTACACTAAAATAATAGGTCGTACTTAGATCCAACACATAGTGAACTTCACACAAACTTATAAAACATTAGTATTCAAATATTAAACTTAGAATTTCAAAAATAGGCTTTGGAGAAGAGGAAGATGGAAAAATATTTTTTTCACAAACCAAAATAAAATATGACGCTGTATATCCTTCAACTCTGGATCTTACGAGTATATGTGACTCATTTTCTTGTCGAACCAGGGTCAAAACGAGTCGACCAAAATCTACCCTCTGGTTGATAACCTTAGCACAAACCGCATTTCTTTAAGGAAAAGGGCGCATGGGCGCATACGAGTCGTTGCTTCTTGCTAGGGCCCAAGAAAGATCACTGGAATTTATTATTGGTGGTAGGGGGTCATGAATTATCATTACCACTTATTGTCTTGTTATTTTATTCTAAATCATTCTTGAAAGGATACATATTGCAATTAATTAGTTTATCATTTTTCTTAATATATTTTGATATTATTTTCGTTATATTATCAGAGCTAATGTGAAAGCGAGATAAATGATAATATTAACCGAAAATGTACACCATATCAATTTGGAGAAATTTTACAATGCTATATATAGCATTGGTGCTATAGGTTTTTACCTTTATGGCACAACTTGAATTTGTACCTTAACGTTATGGTACAAATTCAGATTGTATATATACTCTTTTGTACTAAATTTTTTATTGTACAACTTGAATTTGTACCTTTATAGTACAACTGGAACTTATACATTTAATGTTAGGGTTAATTGCAAGATTGGTCACTGAGATTACTAAAAACGTTTATGTTTAGTCACTGGAAATATTTAATTCCAATCATGGTCACTAGATTTTATAAAACAATTCAAGTTTGGTCACTCTGAGTTAGTTTCCGTCCATCTCCGTTAACACCGTCAGTTAACTGCTGACGTACCTAATAGAAATGCTGATTCATCCTATTTTAACCCGCCACGTCAGTTTTTCCAAACCAAACCCAACCCTTCCCAACCCGTGATATGACCCTAAACCCTACCATCGGCTCCCCATCTTCTCTCCCTTTCCATTTTCCAACCAATGTCCCCTTGAATCTTCTGGCCACTCCCTGTTCTCTCTTTCTTCGTGGATCGATGTTGGTGGATGCAATTGACGGCGTGCGGTTGTGATGATGATTAAGAGTGGCGGCAAGAGGGAGGCCAATCCCTCGATGACATTCACAACACTGGTGCATTGCCCTTCTATTCCTCGTCCTCAATACTCACCACTGGCAGAGACTTATCGGCGAAGAGTTGGAGATGACGAGGATTCCTCTCCCAATCGGATATGCAACAGCAGAGCGAGTCGAGGACAACTTGTTCCACCCGAGATCAAGATTTCCCCCCTTTTTTCTGGCTTTAAAGGGATACAATTTTTGGCAAGATTCAGGACGCAATTTTATGGGTTTCTTCTTTGTTCTCCAACAGAGGCACATATCTGATGGGGACAGAGGCCCAGAGTCATCTTCCCTCTGGAGTTCAAGCGCCAACTCCTCGAGCTGGTCCGCGTTGGAGTTTCGCCGCCGTCGAATGAATTCGGCGATGAAGACGACTCTCGGTTCTTCCTTTTTTCTGGCGTTTGTGAGAGGTAGAGGCGGCGTTGCGGTCCCTCTCCAAGGTGCGATCCAAGTAGCTCTCTTTTCCTTCAAATTTTCCCACCGCCGCCGACGTCGCTGTCGCTTAGACATCCTCGCCGATGAAATGCCCCTTTCCCCCGATGAATCGAAGGCGTTGACTCTCTCAATCCAGATCTACGGTCGGTGTTGTTTCCTTCTTCGCCATCTTGAAAGTCCCCAACCAGACCTGTGATGCGCTGGATGGCCTACTTCGTCTCGATCCCGCCGAACGAGGAAGTTGAACATACAACAACGTGTCGGTGGTGGCGGAGAGGGAGGAAGAGAAGAAGAGGTCGTCTTCTTGCAGCAATCAACATTAAAGAAGAAGAAACAAGAGTGCTTCTCGTTTCCTTCGAAGAAATTCATGGAAGAAGAAGAAGAAAGATGGCAGTGTTTGGTAGATCTAGAGGACGGTTAGGGCCAGATCACGGGTTGGGTTTGCTTTTGGAAAAACTGACTTGGTGGGTTTGGATGACGTGGTGGGTCGGATTTTATGATGTGGCGGGTTAAAATAGGATGAATTAGCATTTCTGTTAGGCACGTCAGCAGTTAACTGACGGTGTTAACGGAGATGGACGAAAACTAACGGAGAGTGACCAAACTTGAATTGTTTATAAAATCTAGTGACCATGATTGGAGTTAAATATTTTCAGTGACTAAACATGAACGTTTTTAGTAATCTCAGTGACCAATCTTGCAATTACCCTTTAATGTTGGGCATTGCTATTCATCGCTCTAAAATTTCTTATTGGTCGCCCTATTTAAATCAAATTTACTTTATCGACCTCAGTTCATTTACCATCAGAATCAGTACGAGTAGAATCCATGCTCAAGCCCTGTTGGATTGGAAGGATTGTTAACAACCCGATGGTAATACCGACTCTCATCATGATTTCCATGCCCACCTGTTTCCATTCTTTGTTATCCTGGAAAGGAAGTTCATTGCAGAAAGAAGAAGCAGAACCCTCTTCTTTTCCCGAACCCTAAGTCTCTACGTTGCATTTGCAGGATACTGAGAGGGAGTGGACAAATAGTTGATGGTGATAAGGGTTTATGGTTATAATTATTAGGATGAAGCCTGGTCACTTCACTTGCATGCGATCCTAGCTGCGGGTTTAATAAATCAAATCATCATTATTACCGGGAGTGTTTATGGTTATAATTATTAGGATACCCTGTAACCTCTGCCATGACCTTATGTTACTGAATAAGTTCTTCATGCTCTATTAAGCTTTATTGCTGGAAGTGTTTGAAGTTTCTGTTTACGATGAAATATTTTAAGTTATGTAGGGCTTCTTCCTTCTTCCCTTCAACGCTCGAGTAGCAGCAGCGACAACAGATTGGGGTTGGGGCAGGAGCGGGGAGGGGAGGAGACGATTCTTTTTCTCGGTGAGGGCGGCGCGGATGTGAGTTGGGGGCAAGGAAGGGATTGTTTGGTTAGGGCTAGAATTGAAATTGGGTTGAGGGATAGATATGTCAATTTGTTGCATTTTAGGGCGATGAAATTTGAATTTCAGGGCGACGAATAGCAATTCAGTTAATGTTATGGTAAAACTTCAAGTTGTACATTAAAATACCAATGTTTTATAGCATAGTAGAAGTGCTCATTAAATTGATGTTATTCCAATTAGATTATAATGCTTACAGCTTCTCTTGTACACAAGTAGGCAAGTATTGCACCTACACTGCTCTATACACTCGATTGAATATCGTGAGGGAAGCCTCTAATGAAAATAACATTATCTGGGATTAAGATTATTCCACTTATTTTGAGGGGATTTGTGGGAAACACATTAATTGCAGTATCTTGTTAATTCGTATTATTGTCGGTTTTTATGATTCAGAGTATTATTTGGGATATTCGGGAATAAATAGGGAGTTGATTGCTATGTTTAATTAGTTGGGGTAGTAGATATAGATTTGGGGATTATATATTCTGTACTGGAGACATTATTTTCATTAAGCAAGAATTAATCAAAAAACCTAATCTCCTCTCACTCTCTTTTCCATCCTCCCTAGCACCGACCCCTTCCCTCCCTTCCCAAAAGCTGCGCAGCAGCAGTCCATTCTTTTCCCTCTCATTCTCAATTTCCCACAAATCCCCAACCCTAGCTAGATCAATCCCTAATTGATCTAGCTAATTTCCTAATCCCAATCACGTTAGAAATCTTGTTTCTAACATCTGGTATCAGAGCAAGGTTCGAGAGTGAGTTCTTGAGCTCTTGAACCAAGGCAAACAACAATGGTGTCGACGAAATCCATGAAAGCAGCGGAGAAGCTCAAGCAGTCGGGAGGAACACCGAGGCGGACGATGTTGATCTCGACGGGGTGGTGATGGAGGACGTCACCGAGCTGGAGGCGGTGAAACTGGTGGTGCACGAGCACTCTGATGCGCTGGCTCGGCTCGAAGAAGGCCTGGCAAGGGTGCAGGCTGACGCGAAGGCGGATGCTGATGATCTGCGACAAAGGCTGGAGGACCCGATGCGGGCGATTGGCTCGCTGCAGGCAAGGGGGACTGATTAGGGGGAGCGCCGATCCCGGCGGAGTCGGCGACCGAAGGAGGCGGCGCATCGGGGGCTGCGGAGACGGCGGCCACCTCGGCTGGCGGGGCGTCTTTCGGCGGGACCACGACGGCGACGGCGGCGCAGGTGGGCGCGGCTCTCGCGAAGGCCGGCAGCGGGGCTAGCGCGGCGAGGGCGGCGAGGGCTCAGGCAGATGCGCCGATCTCGACGGAAGAAGGAAGCAGGGCGGCGGACACCAGGCCGGGCCGAGCTGATCGAACTGCAGTAGGGTTGGGCTCGGGTCTGTTACCGACGCCTACGGCCCAAGAGATTGCGGCTCGGAAGGGAAAGGCTAAGATGTCCGGGTATGACACAGATGGGCCGCCTATGGGTAATGGGGCGGGACCGTTGGGCCACTACACGAAGGTCCATAACGGGCTGGGATGGTTGGATCTTGAAGATGGGCCCGAGTATGACCAACTGAGCCTGGCAGATCAGCAGGCCCAGTGGGCCGAACCGGAGTTGGACCTGAGGGGGCCGGGTGGGCCGAGGAGGGCCGGTGACCAGATGGGGCAGGGAGGGTCGGCTGCAAGGGGGCGGACCGCAGCGGACCGGGCCAGGACGGGTCAAGCCGAACCCGGTCGACCCGGGATAGGGAGGACCGACGCGGATCGGACCGAGTTGAGCCGAACCGGACCGTGTCGGACCGGAACAGGTCGACCAGAGGTGGGTCGAACCGGGCATCGACCGAGCCCGACTTCTCACCCGATCAGGAGGGCGGACAGCAGGGGACCAGTAGGTTGGGAGGGACCTTACGAGGCACCTCACGCCCCAGGAGGGTACCCGATCCAACCAGGGAGCTACCCAGGTGATTATGGGCACGGGAAGCCAAGCCAGATGCAGGGCACTCCAGTTGGGCAGCCGTGGAGGACCCCAGGAAATGACAGGTATGGGTCCCACTATATGAACTGTGAAGGAATGGATGGAGTAGTTTTTCGAGCTAAGCCTCCTACCATTGAATTTCCAAAATTCAATGGGCAAGAGGATGCAGGCCTTTGGTTGTATGCAGTTGAGAGGTGGTTTAAGAACCACCCAATTCCGGAAGAGAGGAAGGCCTATCTGGCATCGTTCTACTTGGAGGGAGATGCGCTCGAGTGGTGGGAGTGGATGGAGAGATCCTACGCAGCCGCAACAACTTTGATTACTTGGCCCATGTTTCAGGAGGAGCTCCGTTATCAGTTTGGAAAGTCTGACGGGTGGGCTCCTGAGCAGTTGGCGAAGCTGAAGCAGACCGGCACGGTGGCTGAATACCGTGCGGAGTTCTTCAAGATGGGCAACCAGTGCAAGGGTGTCTCGGAGGACACCTTGGTGGGGCTGTGCATGGCGGGTCTCAAGCCCGAGATAGCAGCGGCCGTCAGAGTGTTCGAGCCCGATTCCTTGAAAACTGCTTTCCGTCTTGCAGGTCATAAGGAGGAAGAACTGGCTAGCTGGAGGAGCACCATTGGCCACTTCTCGAAGTCAAGTGGAGGAGGAGGAAGCAACGAGAGTAGTGGCGGCACAGGAGGGGCGCCAGGAGGAGGCTCGACTGGGGCTAACGTGAGCAGTGGAGGTTCTGCTCCGGTGGCCAGGCTGGGATCGCGGGCCATACCGAAAGGGTTCGTGCGACTGTCGCCGGCTGAGATTGAGCAGAAGAGGCGGGAAGGCAAGTGCTTCAACTGTGATGGCCGGTTCACCATAGGGCATCAGTGCCCGAAGCCGGATTTGATGATGTTAGTCGGGCGCTGGGAAGATGAAGCAGAAGATGAGGTCGAGGACGGCGGAAATGGCGAGGAGGAGGCCTAGGGAGCTAGAGGAACAACCTTGGGGACAAGGTTGTTTTTCAAAGGAAGCGGGGATGTGAGAAACACAATAATTGCAGTATTTTGTTAATTCGTATTATTGTCGATTTTTATGATTTGGAGTATTATTTGGGATATTCGGGAATAAATAGGGAGTTGATTGCTATGTTTAATTAGTTGGGGTAGTAGATAGAGATTTGAGGATTATATATTCTGTACTGGAGAGAGTATTTTCATTAAGCAAGAATTAATCAAAAAACCTAATCTCCTCTCACTCTCTTTTCCCTCCTCCCTAGCGCCGACCCCTTCCCTCCCTTCTTCCCAAAAGCTGCGCAGCAGCAGTCCATTCTTTTCCCTCTCATTCTCAATTTCCCACAAATCCCCAACCCTAGCTAGATCAATCCCTAATTGATCTAGCTAATTTCCTAATCCCAATCACGTTAGAAATCTTGTTTCTAACAGGATTCGAGAGCCAACGACATAGAAATTGAAGACTCACTCAGTACTAACTACACTCCCAATTGAAGGCCAAGTGGAACCTTCAATCGGGGTAATATATAGAGCAAGTATTTTTTTAATTATCAAACCCGAACGATTTATGTATACTTACTTCAGCAAAGTACAAATTATCTAGCGGTAGAAACATTGTTTTAAGCTATTTAAGTAAAGAAACAAGCAAATAAAACAAGGTTGAATTCAAGAGAGAATTCTTCACTCGCTCTAGTCACCTGTTGAGTCGATAATGTGATACTCTAGCGTAATGTACATATTATATATATATATGGAAACGACTCGTATGCGTCAGACACATACTATGCGACAGGATTCTCTACCGTAGATCTAATCTAACGGTCATTATAAATTATATTAAAACTACTAATAATAATTACTAATTGCACCCCTTAAATAATTATATGTGCTATATAGCCCCCCAATAATAATTTGCGTTTTATTTTCTCACATGATACCTATTCGTTTTTGTGAGGACTCAGATGATACCTTATTTCTTCTAGATCTTTTAATGAACACCCAAAAATTATACAATTGATAAAATAAAGTTCCATTAAAAGGTTGCCCCAATTCGACAATCCTAAACCACCATCATCGTCATAACGATTTTTCCAGATACCCCAATTGCAAACCACTAATTTTACCATCAGTCCATCATCATCATCGTCCCTGCTTCTGATCTACATCGACTTTGGCTCATCATCATCTGTTTTTAAGGTCGCAGATGACAGCTACCCTTTCGCGACGAATCCGAAACAATTGACGGTGAAAGACTATGACCTTTACGTCCTGTAAACAATGACTAAGGCTGAAATGGAGAGAGGGGATTGGGTCTCGTCAAGGGAATTCTCTTGGTCGGAGTCCAGAATCGTAACGGAGTGAGAAAGTTTGGACGATGAAGAGAGACGGCCGTCGGATTACGGTGGTGACGGCGGCAACTTGATAATTGGGAATTTGGGGGGCTAGGGAAGACGATGATACATGAAAGGGAATTCTCTTGGTCGGAGTCCAGAATAGTGAGAAAGTTTGGACGATGAAGAGAGACGGCCGTCGGATTACGGTGGTGACGGTGACAACTGGATAATTGGGAATTTGGGGGGCTAGGGAAGACGACGATACATGAAAAAACGGCATCGTTTTGTGCTCGTCTCTGAATCGAAAGTGGCCTGGAGAACGGCGTCGTTCTAAAGGTGTAGCTGGAGAAAAAAAATTATAATGGTATGAGGGTCGAACCAGCGTCCTGGTGGTTACCAAGGGCATTCTTCACCATTCATGCTGTACAAGGATTTTGATTCAATATACAAACACTTTTTTATTTATAATTATAAAATGAGTTCTTGTAAAATTAAAACACAAAACTAACCTAAGCAGGCCTTTTGTACCAGGCCCAATAGGGCTTAGTCCAGTAGATCGGCGGCTGCCCCTGCCCTCCCTTTGTCTCTTTAACAATAATCAATTGTAAAAAATAAAACAGAGAACAATAATGGCAAAGTTGAAAATTGGAAGACTACTTACCTACCAAATCTAGCAAACGATTTATCTTCTGCTTTTTCTCCCCTCCCCATGCGCTGCCTTTTCGGTTTTCCTTCAAACTGATCAGACACATACTCAACCGCCCTCATCCTCCCTCCGCCTCCGTTGCATGTCTCCGCCTCCGCCTGTCAAGCAACCGTTGGTCGCTCAGTAGCGGTCTCCTCCTCCGGGCCACCATCGTCGCCTGCCACCTCCGCCGCTGATTCGCTGTAGCGGTTGTGGGAAGAAGAGCGGAGGAAAGTCGCCCGGACTAACCACGTCGGTTGTGGGAAGAAGAGCGGGCCACCATCGTCGCTTGCCACCTCCGCCGCTGAATCGTTCCCGATCTGCTCGACTAACCACGCGGTGTCGCCGGCCACGTTTCCACCGCCGCAGGTACTTTTCTTTAATTGATTGTTAACTATTTGGTACGTTCTATTAGAATAGTTGATCATAATGTGTTCTTATACTCCTATTGAACATCCACAGTACGTGCAAGAACAGAAATTGAGTAGGGTTTCCGTGCTGTAATTTTCTGACAATGGATGATATATCGCAATGGTACCCGTAAGTATTGTTTACCAACTAATCGTTACGACAGTCTACTCCGCTTCCTTTTCCTATTGTCAGCCATTACTAACGTCTAACGGTTTTTTTTATAGCGACTTTCTGGTTGAGCCTGGTTTCGTTGCAAAGCTGAAGTATGAGGAAGCAGTACATATGTCTATTTTGTCGGATTCAATCGATCTTACATTGTTGCAAGAGAATGGTGACGATGAGGTTATTGAAAATTTGAAATTAACTTTTTTGTCATTCATCCTTTCGATCTCGTTTGCAATTATTGTGTTTGTTAATGCTTGTTAATTTTTTTTGAAATTCCTTTTCTTGTTTTAAACACCAGGGCACTGCTTACCTCATCTCCGGACGTGTCGGCGAGGTGAAGACATCCTGGTGTGCTGAATGTAGAGTTCATTTGATCCACCTAACTATCGAGGATGATTATTTGGATATTGAGGTTGTTTTCCCATCGACAAACTTGCGCAAAATCGTTTCAGATGTAGTAAGTGATAAAGATATGGCCAATGCCGATTTCGTTACCCTTATCAACTTGATTGGTGGAAACTCCTATGAGTTTATGGTCACATTGGGTCCTTGGAACAATGTGTCGAGTTATTTTGAGCTGTTATTGGTAAAATTATTTTTTCCTCCCGGAAACTGAATACCATTTCAGCAATGTCAATAGAATCTACTAAAGTTGCTTAGTGTCCGCCTTAATGTTATTTCTCTTGTTATGCAAGTGTACTAAGTGTGTGAACACAATGCTTTTTTGTACGGGTTCTGCCCTTCTTAATGAATTGTTCCTTGTATCTTTCTATACTTATCGAAACATTTCTCTATTACTTATAAATGGGATCAGTTTCCTAATGAAAAGTTATGAAATAAAATTCATGTTAATTTGGTTCAAATTACTGTATCATCAACATACCACACCCCAATTCGACTACCCAAAAGGCCATTATCTGTTCACGGTTCCAATTACTGCCTAGGGAAGACATTGAGACATGACAAACGTCGTCGTTTGTGCTTGCTGCTAAAGCGAGAGTGTCCCAAGGACGACGTCGTTCCACAAGCGTAGCTGAAACATGATTACATGGATGTGGGTAAAAGAAATAAGAGAATATGGAGAATCGAACAGGCAACCTTGTGATGATAATAGCAAATCTTAACCATCAATGCTGTACAGGTATTTTGATAGTTTAAATGTACACGTTTTATATACATATTTTGTAACAATTAAACATAATAACAAAAATAATTAAGGAAGTAAAGCAAAATAAATGAAGACGACGACAATTCTCTTCAATAGAAGTCAATGGCTTTACCGTGACTATATTATATGAAAAAGCTATCTACATGTGCATACCATGCATTTGGACAATAAACCTTCCATACTACTTGTAGACACCAGTTTTTGTCAGGATTAAAATATTTTTAATAAAATGTTAATTAGTTTCAATTTAAGGTTTGCAATAGCAAATCTTTAATGGCCTTCTAACTAAAACGTATTTGTAGTGTTTGGGAAATGTATTGGTTATCATAACTGAATAAGATTAGCAATAGCAAATCTTATTTGGTACAATTTGGATTATTGAGATTAGCAATAGCAAATCTTAATCGATACAATTTGATAGTGATGGCATGCTTCAGTTAGACGATCTAGTTTTAAATCGAAGGAGTTGGGCTATGGAATGAATACTTGTATGATTCTCTACCGTAGATCTAATCTAACGGTCATTATAAATTATAGGCAAAATACACTTGCATAGCCAAAACTTTCACCTTTGTGCCACTTATAGCCACATTTGGTGAAATACCTCTAATAGCCACTTTTGAAAGATGTTGCATAGGGGTGTACATGGGTCGGGTGGTCCGGGTTTAGCCATTTTATCACCCAATCCATGCACTACGGTTTGGAAAATATCAAACCCAAACCCACCCTAAAAAATTTAAACCCTACGGTTTGTTTCTAATTGGGTTGGGTCGGGTTGGCGATATTTTTAAGTAAAAACCCAACCCAACATAAAATATATAATTATTCTACATCATAAAAATATTTTATAACTAATTAAAATTTCAAACGAATAAACCGTGGTGAAAGGTATCAAAATTCACATATGTTGTTTGAATTTTAATAAAATGTGATTTACTTCAAAATATGTCTAGTTTTTTTACGATATTTGTTGAAATAGGCTAAAAAGGTTATAAACAAACGCACCCACAATATGTTATTCTATTAAAATTGTACACACGAAAAACGATTACGTGAATCATAACTATATTCAATTTGTGTCTAAACTTTAAGTCGAATAATGCATTAGATTAGGGAGACCATGGAAAAAAACATGGCGAAATATCTTAATTTTCTCATAAGTATGGCTATATACGACATGAATATTTTTTAGATACGAACTCATACTAATAGTTGGAACACGGGTTGGGTCGGTTTGGACGGGTGGGTCGGTTTGCGGGTATGTTTGTTCACCCCTAATGTTGGTTGCCAGATATAGCCATTTTCGTTAGAAACTATGACGGCGTTAATAACTCCGTCAACTTATTTGACGGTTCGCTGACGAGGTGCCAAATCATCAACCACGTCAGCGACAACAAAGCAAAAATTGACACATCATCTTAATAATTTATTTATTATTAACAAAAAATTTAAAACTTTCCCCATCTACCTGATCGCACGAGGCTACCAAAAATCCCCATCTATTTCCAGAAAAAAAAATTAGGGCTTCCTTCTTCTCCATCTCTTTCTAGAAAACGAAATTAGGGTTCTTCCCAAATTTCCTCTTCCCCACGAAGGAGATACACGAAGCTGATCGATGCTTACTCCTCTTCCCCAAATCTTCTTCTAGTTTCTGAACGACTCGACGCTTCTTCCTTCTTCCCCAAATCCCACTTCTTCTCGGCCGATTCGCGACCCCGAAATCGCGATTTCTCCTGGCCAGAACTTCACGCGAAGGTCAGCCATGTCCAAGCGAGCATCTTCCTCAACTTCGACTAGCATCAATAGCCGAGGGGCGGTACTCTGTTGGCACAAGAAGCCATGTGTGGTGAATACATCTGGAACCGAAGCGAACCCAGGAAGACAGTTCTATGGGTGTCCATTTTGGATGGTAAGGTGTTTAGATATGTGTTTTGAAATTGTCATTGATGTGGGTTCTAAGTTAAATGGTCGTATGGTGCAGGACGAGAAGAAGAACTGTCGTTTTTTTAGGTGGGTGCGAATGAATGTCGATGAAGATAAGCACCATGACTCTGAAATTGGGTGTTCGACTTTGAATATTGAAGAAAGTTTGAGGCTAGCTGAGTGTAAGGCGGAAAGGAGGAAGAAGGAGAAGAAACTTTTGGCTGAAGAGCTATCAAGATGGATGAAGGCACATGAAATTATGCTAGCTGAAGGAAGGAGAGTTAATCATGAAATCCATGTAATTCAAGCTTTATTGATAGTGATTGTCGTACTGAACCTAATATTGGTTATTCTTATGTTGCATCACGTTATTATATGGTAGGAAATTAATCGACATTGATATGAGAAGCAAAAGGTTTCTGAAAACGTAGTTGTCATCCTAAATGTTGTGTAGAAGCAATTGGTATTTGTGTTCTTAATGTAGTTGTGTTCTTAATGCTTGTTACACTATAATGATTTAGAAAATGCCACACATTTGTCAATTAAGGCTGGCTACATAACTTGGTTTGTCTTTAGGGTACGTTTAAAATCAGGAATAAAATGTTGGAATTCCATTACTATGTTTTATAGGGTATGTGATTGTATTTGGTGCAGAAGACCACCTGAGTGGCAGGTAGCAGGTCCCGAATTTGGCATATGACATTACTGATGTTGAGGTCGTGTTCCCATCAGCTTACTTACGGAGAATCATGTCTTCTGTTGTCAGTCCTTCTGAGCTTCAAAATGCGGACTATGTTACACTTCTCAACTTGATTGGTGAGAAGGCATATGAGGTATTGGTCACATTCGGTCCTTGGAACAACGTGGGGAATTATTTTGATCTCTTCTTGGTAAAGTTGTTCCCGCCTTTAGATAACTAAGTAACATTGGGTATTATTAATATGTATCAGATTAATGTTAGTAATGGTCCGCCTCTCTGTAATCTCTAATGATCTGTAAGCGTAATGGATATGTGAACGCTACTATCTTTTGTAAGTTTATTATCCTTTTGAGGTGGTACTTGATGTAAAATATGAATTTAATTTAGTTATGGTACTTTGAACAAATTAGTCCTTTTTTCATTTTCCCTCTATTATTATTACAAAAGTATTTATTTAATTCCATTGAATTATTACAACGTAAGAATTACATAACAGTGCTACTATTAATGCATTCTAGTCCCAAATCTCTTCCATTCATTATATGAGATAATGTAGCGAGACTGCCAATTGGCAAACCACTTTAACACAAATCAAAAAACAGAAATGGATAATTCACAAAGGCAACAAATGGTAGTTCATAAATGAAAAGAACACAAATTAACACTTAACCAAGTTCAAATAAATAGAACTTAGAAACATAGTCTGAAAGGTGCATTTCGTGTATTAGAATATCTAGCAAATGATTTGTGGGGAACGAAAGCAAAAAAGAAAAAAGAATAATAAAAAATCAACCTACCATAAAAGCAGGAGGAAATCAAAACTAACTCCTACATGGAAAGTAGAAGACATTCAACCAAAAAAACGTTTTACTTGCCTTTAAAGAAATTATTTATCTATTAATGACTTACCATTAATTACAATGGAAAGTAGAAGCCAAAAAAACGTGCTGCCTTTGTGATTTGAACCTGTATACAAGGAGTCATATTTCCACACTATTTCCGCTACGCCAAATGACATTCACTGGCTTTAATTTGGCGTAGTAATTATTTAATTTTTTAGTTTATACATAATATCTCAAACCATTATCGTGACTGTTGAGATTGGGGTCAAGGTTGTTGGATCCTTGAAGATTATAAATCTCGATCCATAATAACACTAAGGGATTTGGGGTCGTAGTATAGTTGTCGTGGTATAGTGGTCGACGTAGGACCTATCCCTAGGCAAAATGGCCTCGCCTACTAGTTGAGCATAATCATAATCTAATAAAACCTTATAGTTTTTCCGTCATGGTGTACAGTTTATTTTTATATTTTAGTACTTTAAATTTTTATTATATTGTTTCCCGTTATGGTTACTAGTTGGATAAAGAATGCAACTAATAAAGAATGCTTGAATTACTGAAAAAATACTAAAGAATGCTTGCGTGTTATATATGGTAGATTCAATTTCCAAATAGGTGATGCGGATGGTTTCCATGTTAATTATTACCCGTAAAAATATTATTTTCCTTTTCCATGTGGAGGTTAATGTAGAAGATAAAGTTTCCAGTATCCTTATAGAGAAAAACACTCACCCGTTGGCCCTAGTTTAAGAATGCTAACTCCTTTTCTGCATTCACCAGGAGCTCATTCAGGACAGGAGCTCGGTCAGGGGGGCAGAAACCAGGAGCAATATGCAGAACGATAAGGACGGGAGGATGATGACAAAACGCAAGACCAGAAGTTCTTCCAAATTAATGGTTCGTCAATTTGCATTCTTGTTTTCCCGTTTTCTCCATCGTTGGCAGATTATGTTTCCAAACTAAATAAGGCATTGTGTTTTTATTACGATGAATTCTGATGCTGGAGAAGGATGAATCTCGAGGAAAGAAAGGTAGAACTGAAGATGGTGTGATCCAGATTGATGGTGATTTGTAGGCAGATTGGAATGACTTAGTTTCGAAAGGCCGTACCATATTTTCTTACTTACAACTCGACAAGAAGGTATGATAATCTAGCCCACCAATTTTCCCCACTTAGAACAAAATCAATTGTTTTTATCCTTATGTTTCGTCTTCTATTGTAGGGTGAAACAAAGTTTACACTTCCAACAGTTCTCAAGTACACTAGAGAGGAAGTGAACCTTGCCCACTACATATTTGCGAAGGATCTTCCACAAAAGGAAGTCCTGGTTGAAACCATGATGCAATCCTATACACGAAAGGTGTTGTGGTCCCTCTGCCCTAAGTCTAATGTCGATGATGATGTAATTACAACCATGGCTTGCCAATTGAGCCTGGAGGAAGTTTGGAGGAATGTTGGAGATGGAAGAGTAGTCTGTTATCTGCCTGCTGAACTACAAGTATAGTCCCATTTACTTTGTATATTTATTTTAGGTGTAATATTCCGTTTCTCCTATTAAATGTGTTATCTTCTATTTTAAATGAACCATGATAAGGAAATGGTAATCAACTATGGCATGACATCAAAAAAAGCTCTAGAGTGTTATGGTGCAAAGTTCTTGGCAAGAGCTCACACGTGCAGAAAGGTTTCTTCTTAACAATTCCTTTCTTGTTTCATTGAAATATTCCTCAATTACTGTTTCTAGCTACTGTTTGAATTGGATATGCGAATAAATTAGATGTTCCATCAAGCTTTTGATATTTCTATAAATTGTATTTTACAATGCTAAGCTGAGTTTGGTCTTTTTTGTCGTTATTTAGGTGTGTCTGCCCATGAAAGATGCAATGGACGGTGATGCAGTTCACTGGTATTTAGCTGTCATTATGCTGGACGACAAACAAGTCCATCTATTGGATTCGTATCCTTCTAAAAAGCGCCAAAGATCTTGTAGAAACGCAGTAGTAACTATGGTATGGTTTGACCTCCTGATCCTAATACAGTTATATCTCTAAATTGATTTGTGTATTCATCTATCCCGAATAAAGTGATTACTGCTTGTGTAGATCGAATTTCTTGATGACTTGTTTGAGGATCTTTATCGGCAAGTGGAACCAACGCTTGATCCACCTGTGCTGGAACAATTTTCTTTGACAATTCCTTCAATTCCCGAACAACGTCACGAGTAAGAATTGTTCGTTGTGAACAAATTAGAAACATACTTAGATACCCACCACTCATATGATGCATCTTATTTTATGTAGGTCTGATAGTGGCGTTTGGGTGTGCTCATGGATGATGGGTGCATCTTGGGATGCTTCTTATAATCTATGGGTAAGCAAGAATTCTCCTACTTGGCCTAGAAGGAAAACAACCTTTCGAAACAGCTACTAAGACTCATTGTCATTGTCAAACTGTTGCAGCCATGTGGAGATATAAGGAGAATGCAACTAGCTTTGTATCTGGTCCAACACCATACAAATTACATAAGACATGTCGTCATCGAGGAAGCAAATAGTAATGCATCGAGATTTGTTGCCCAGACTCGTAGGTACAAGGAGGAAAGCCAAAAGAGCGTAATCCAGAACTAGAAGATTCATAGGGAGATGGTGGTTCATTTCTCCTGTAGTAGTATATTCTGGATATTTGGTTGATTAGTTCTCCTGCCAGTACTCTAGTTTTGTTTCCCTATTCATTTTCGTTGAGAACCAAAACAATACCCTTGAATTGTTTGAATTGTCTGCTTGTCTCTTTCCCTTTTCATGTTCGTTGAGAACCAAAACAATACACTTGTTATTGGGTTAAAATTTTGTTATTGAAGCTATTTGTTGGATCCAACATGGTTATGTTTGCTCCGATGAACGCATAATCTTCGGCGTCCTCCGGTGGCAAGATATGAGATATCCAAAGGCCAAAGCCAAAGCCAAGAATTGGAGCGTTTTTGGGCTGAAATAAAGATAACAAAAACCCCCACTGACCAGGAGAAAGGTCAATAGTTTCTTGACGCGGAAACTGGTTCAGGTTTTATGAGTGTATCCGGTGTGGACTTAAGAGGGAAGAAAGTTCCAAAATGATGGTCGAGAAGGAAGTAAAGGAAAAAAAATTTGGGTGATGTGATTCGAACCCAGAACCTCATTTAACTACAGTAGCAATTTTCCGCTGGGAATGGGGGAGAAACGCGCGACTAGGGCATGTTTGGAGGTTGAGATTCTCCAAATAGATGTATTTGTTCAATTTGTGTATTATCATTTGATGTATTGATTCAATGCATGTATTAGAAAAATACTTTGTTTGGAGGGGCAATGATGAAACAAAAAGTAGGTACAATCCCTTGTTAACAATCTCACCTTTTGGTAGAGATTTAAAATCATTCATTTTGAATGATTATAGGTGGGCCCAACAAAAAGGTAATACATGCATTCTAACTTGTTATGAAACAAAAAAACGACTTAATCTTATCATTACATGTATTTGCTAAATACCTCACTTCAAATCTCAACCTCCAAACAATCCCTAAATTTCCAGGAAACTAGATTTTGTTGTTTTGCTTTTGCAGGAGAAATGAACCACGTTTTTTTACTCATATTTCTTATTTTTTGTTGTGACAACAAAAAACATAAAATGAAATGGCAAGTGAATGGGGCATAAGGCTCAAGCCTAGGCGCCTTCTTTAAGCCTTATCTCAGCTGAACAAGCATCAGGAACAAAGCCACAAAAACGTGAACCAACATTCGGATTTAAGAAAAAATAAAGGTAAACACCAAAACCAATCTAAAATGAATTCAATTGGGATCAAAGTAATAGTAAAACCGACCGACTAATAATAAAAGTATAAAACCGACCGACTACCAATAAAACAAAAACAACTACTTTTCTAAAATGAATCAAATAAACTCTTTTGGCATTTTGAGCTGATTTTCCCCTTGAAATGTCTTTCATAAACGGCCCTTGCTTCATCAATAATTTGAGAGCGCCTTGTATTTGAGAGATCTTTGACTAAACTTATGGCCAAGGATAGTCGACCTCTATTACTACAAACCTGCAGCAAATGTATAACATTACTCTTAACATGTTGATTTCGATTTGATAGTGTAGAATCTCACGTGGATGGAATCATATTTAGAAGGAAAGGATTGTATTATACCGCCGTATACGAATTATTATCAGCCTCTCCGTGCAACATCCACTGACAGACGTAAAACCCGCACTCATAGCTACGTAGAAAAATAGCATTTATTATTGAAAATAAGATTGTGAATCGAAATGAAATAATCAAAATACTCAAAGAAATACTAACTCATCAATTTGCTTAGAAACGTATGGAGGACTTATGATTTTGAACTTATGCACTTTGGGCACTTCATAGGTTGATGGCTTGTCTGGAAATTCTTGAAGCATCTTGTAAAAGAATTTCAACTGTAACAACAAACTTAACCACGTAACTATTATAGTACAAAAATTATAAAAAAAAAAAGAAAATTGACTTACTAAATTTACACGAAGGGAATAGTTGATCACCCACCATTCCTTGCACCCTTTTCCTACGATTTTCCAGCAAACCCAAATCAATACACAAAGAGTCCACTACATGCACTACCTTTCGGTCCATGAAAACCACAATAAGAAACCAATGGCGGTTCTCATCATTCATTGGCAAATATATCTGAAATAAATAAACAAGTAAATGATGACGAAAGAATGAATGGACTATACAGTAAAGGGCAAAACATTAAGAGATTATAGTACCCTGGAAAAATTACTAATATTATTACACCATACCTTGGTGCATTCAAAGGTGCCGCAAAGATATAGGTTCTTATATTTTTCCACGGCTTTTTTTGGAGTCCAACCCATTTTCACAACCAAATCCTGGGTAGCAGTTCACATTCACTATTCAACTTTGGAAGAAAGAAAAAAGTAAACTTACTGTAAAGAGTTTTCCATAATTGTTGCTTACCTCAAAATTGGATGGAAGATACCAAGGTCCCTTTTTCCCCCCAAGCCCTAACATCAACAGCTAATTGACAAGCTACAGCAGTCAAAATCTAAAATAAGCAAAACCCGAGATTAGTATAGCTAATATGTGGTCAAGTATGCCTTACCAAAACAGAACTACAAAATACTTACATAACCATGAAGCCACGTTTCTGGCAGCAAGTCCTTCAGTTCTAGACGACTTAAGCTATGGCCAAAATTCTCAACAAGCCATTTATCATCTTGTAGACCATCACCAAAGATGAAACACGCAATGGAACGATCCTCATCATTATCTAACGCCATTATTGCAGTCACCGGAAATTCCACCTACGATTTGAATTTACCAAAACTTACAATACATAGGTACATCATAAACATTTTAAAATCACACAGGTGTAATTTCTTTAAATAAATTCTATATACCTTCCCCGATACATTTATATATTCCACAGCCGCATTTTTTGGCCTCTTGTGTGAATCATCGCCATCTGCGTCTGAGTCGGAATCTATATAAATAAATCCGTTTACGCTAGGTGTGAAAGGAACAACAGTGGGAGCTGAACTTCCAGATGCAGTCACCGGAGATTCCATCTACGATTTGAATTTAACAAAAATTACAATACATAGGTACATCATAAACACTTTAAAATGACACAAGTGCAAATTGTTTAAATAAATTCTATATACCTTCACCGAATCATTTAAATCTTCCTTGACCGCATATTTTTGCCTCTTGTGTGAACCATCGCCATCGCGATCTGAGTCTAGGTTTGAATCAATATAATAAACTCTTTTTACGGTAGGCGTGACAGGAACATCAGTGGGAGGTGAACTTCCAGATGCTTGATCAAGAATGCGTTTCGACATCCTCTTTAGCACTTGAAATTCAGTATCAGTTTTCATTATCATTGCAGTCAAAGATTTAATCTTATCGTACAACTCAGTGAACGTCGTCTCCATGGCTCCAAAGGTAGTCGATATGGATCCAACAACTTTCTTAGTATCATGGCTCGACATGCTAAACAACAAAACAAAAGAAAGAACATACATGAAACAAACAAAAGTCATAAACAAACAAAAGAACATACATGAAAGGAAAAGGGTTGTAAGAAAGGAACAGCACAAACGACCAAAAGAAAGAGCTATTTTAGTTGTTGCACTGTACCGAGATTTCTCCATTGCAATTAGTTTCTCCCCGCCAACACAGAAGAAAAGCCTTACTTTTGCTAAAGTCACCAGGGAAAACGGCAGGAGTTTTTTTTTACAAGGTAAACTCTAGGCTTGGCGTCCCTTTATATAGACCGCCAAACAAACCTAATTTATTAATACCATTACGTCCAAAAAAGAATTCCTCTATTGACACCTAAACTGATCCAACTAAGGAAAGCAAGCCTATTAACAAGGAGTACAGATTAAATCCCCACCAATGACAAGGCTATTTACAAGCATATTCCTCTATTGCGTTTGGCTCCACCACCGAACGAGGGAGGCCATCTCCACTAGCTATAAAGAACACCTGAAGAATGAGAATCAATTTATCAGTAGCCAACCTAGTACTGTTTCTTTCTTGACCAAAAAAAATTTCGGCCATCACTATTTATGAACCGAAGACAGACGTAATTACACATATCACATATGCATTGGAGAGAGAGAGAGAGAGAGAGAGAGAGAGAGAGACAGACAGACAGAGGAAATGAGAGACCTTCAAGATATCGAAGTCTTCTTTCATCATAACAACATCTAAATCAGAGAATGCACGAGAGGGGCCTCAGTTAAGCAACACCCAAACATATCCCTACTGTAGCAAGATAATGTGTACAAATTATATACAAGCTTTAATGGAAGGTTTGCGAATTCAAAGTACAAAAGAGAATTTGAAGACCTACCAACGATGCTCGGCAAACGCTTAACAACACCGAGTCTCTGAATTTATCATCAATCAATCGACATATCTAATCAAGAACCTGAAAATTATATGCAAGTTCAGCTAAGAGAAGCAAGCAAGACAAACAAAGAGGAGGCTCCACTGATGGAAATTTCCCAAGCGAGAAGATCCAACATCACCTATTGGGCCTGGTACAAAGGGCCTGCTTAGTTTAGTTTTATGTTTTAATTTTACAAGAACTCATTTTATAGTTATAAATATAACAGTGGAAGTATATTGAATCAAAATCCTTGTTCAGCATGGATGGTGAAGAATGCCCATGGTAATGACCAGGACGCTGGTTCGAACCTCACTCCATTACAAAAAAAAAATTGTTTTCAGCTACACATATAGAACGACGCCGTTCTCCAGGCCACTTTCGATTCAGAGACGAGCACAAAACGATGCCGTTTTTTCATGTATCGTCGTCTTCCCTAGCCCCCCAAATTCCCAAATCCCAATTATCCAGTTGCCGCCATCACCATCGTAATCCGACGGCCGTCTCTCTTCATCGTCCAAACTTTCTCACTATTCTGGACTCCGACCAAGAGAATTCCCTTTCATGTATCGTTGTCTTCCCTAGCCCCCCAAATTGCCAATTCCAGTTGCCGCCATCACCACCATAATCCGACGGTCGTCTCTCTTCATCGTCCAAACTTTCTCACTCCGTTACGATTCTGGACTCCGACCAAGAGAATTCCCTTGACGAGACCCAATCCCCTCTCTCCATTTCAGCCTTAGTCATTGTTTACAGGACGTAAAGGTCATAGTCGTTCACCGTCAATTGACGGCAGCGTACGGCAGCGTACCTACCCACCGCTATGGGCGATCCGCACTTCGGCCCACCTCTCGAGTCTGCACTCTTCACTTCTCCGATCCTTCCTCATCCGCCTCTCGAGCACAAGATTCAATCCATCATGCCTCGAACAGATCACTCTCTTAATCCATAGAGGGATTAAACATCGATGGGAAGCGCAAAATCCAATTGCTTCAATCGATAGCCAGGATGAGAGGAGAGGGTTCGTTAGCCACTACAGACAGCAATTGGAAAGGGGGTTTGAGCGTTGACATGAGTGGGAAAAGGAATAAATCACCAAACTAAAATTGTAAGTAAATATAACTTAATGGATTGGAGACATGATTAGAATAAAATTTGGTACTATAATTCGAAAATATGTTGAAAAGTTTGTTTAGGGGTTAAAGGGTACGCATAAAAAAGTAATAGGACCAAGTAATCATTTAAAAATTGTAAAAATTAAATAATTTAATTCCAATTATTAAACACCGTTAGATTAGATCTACGGTGTAGAAATCCTGTCGCATAGTATGTGTCTGACGCATACGAGTGTGACCCATATATATATATATATATATATATATATACCTTTAGAAGATCAAAGCTAGTTAGGAGTCCCTATTCAAGTTGTCATAACCCGCCTAATCGTAAAGGTGTACACAACTATCAAATTAGGCAATTAGGACAACCAAATCCACTCCCTCTAGTGATGACCCGGGACGACGTAAAGAAACCAAGCACCATCGTTCATGGATCCCTTACGATGATTGAATAGTGACCCAAATTACCTAAGGAGATCCTCTCTTTCTTAGGTTAATTAGTTGCAAAATTGAGGGAATTGATCAAGGACTCTCAATTATCATGCTAAATATCCAATCAACATATAATCAAACATGTCAATTATAACATAGAGTTCACAATCATCAAACTACAACATCCTAGACTAAGGTCCACATCATCAAAGTGAATGGAAAATATACTCCATGCCTAGAGAAAGAACTACAACTAAAGAGAAGGAAAAACCTATGAAAAGATGAATCTCCTTCTTCCTAGTTGCTTGGGATGGTGTTGAAGTTGAAATCTGGCCTCTTTTAGTTTGAGGTAGGTAAATTCCTCTTCAATCTTCCTTGGTTAGTCACTTCCTCTATATCTAGAATGAAAAGAAGACTCAAATTTCTCTCTAACACTCTTCTCTCCTTGAAATCTGTTCACTCTTCAAATTTATATCAGCAGTGCAATCTTCAGGGCCACACTTCACGACAGTGATGTGTACAGTGAAAACGTGACATTGACACAAAATGCATTGTTTCAGTTACACACTTCACGGGTTCCTTGTATTTTTCTTGCCTTTAGGTGTGATCAATTCTCTATTTTATTATGTAGGCCCTTTGATGGCATTAATAATGTGAGCCCTTTTATTATGTCTTTACTTTTATTTTTTCAAGTCTCTATTTTCTTCTTTTATTAATCCATCTTTTTTATTTTGGTTTGTTATTCTCCTAATATGTGCTACTATTTATTAAGCATAATTTTGTTGTTATGTGATCAATCGTTCTACTTTTTCGTATTTGATTTTACATCTTTAATCATAACTCTCACTCAAACTCAAATAGGAAAACCACGAAGAAAACCTCAGATATATGTTGTGTTCACTAAGCATATTTTTGTTGTGTTGAAATCGATATATTTGTTTGCATTTGGTTTTGCATTTTTAGTAATCTCTTTCTCGGTTTAGTTCATACAGAAAGGCCACGAAGAAATCTCTCGCTCCCTATTTAGAGAGTGGAAGTGGCCTTGAAATCACAGAAGTACGTTCTTCCACCTTTTTTCTCATTGATTTTTTCAATTTCAAATGCAAAATTTTTGTAAATCCTCTAATTAATAATTGTCAAGCTCCAAATATACGGATCATCATCCTCTTATTCATAACCTCATTGACCATCGAGTACAAATGACTTTGGAGCTCTCCCACACTTTTGGGATTTTTCTTGTTGTTTAGGGAGTTACATTTTGACTTTGGAGCTCTTCCACAATTTCGTAAATTCTCTGATTAATAATTGTTGAGCTCCAAATATGTAGATCATCATTCTTTGATCCATAACCTCATTGACCAGCGAGTCAAATGACTTTGGAGCTCTCCCACAATTCGGATTTTCTTGCTGTTTGAGTTACATTTTACTAATTTCATACTAACACATTTAGAGTGTTCTATACCACTGGGTGCGAAGCGCAAGCGTGCGCATATCTATTATGTAAGAAAGACGAGATAGATACAATAAAAGCTCCATTACATCAAAACCCAACCCACAGTATGACATGAAAAATCAAATGCACTATATTAGAGCACGCTATCATCATTCAGTAACGGGTTGCTCCATGGGATACACATCAGTTGTCTCGCATGCATGGCTTTTCTCCTCCTCTTCAACAAATACAAGTCTTAGATAAAATGTTGCGACGTTTAATTCTCACTTGTGGAAGCGGTACATATGAATTTCATCAACAAAATTGTGCCTACACAAGAACATGAGCAGAAAGCTCATAAATTCACGACTGAGATTACTTATCTTTGTTAGAGGTGACTGTGTGATCTACTTCATCACCAACAGAGTCGTTTGTGCCGGATGTAAGTAAAGGAATGGTCTGCCCAGTTTGGCCATCAAGTCCATTGCCGTCCTCCTCGGTCTGCCCAGTTTCTCCATAAAGTCCATTACCATCCTCCTCGCTCTACCAAAAACAAGAATCATAAGCTAAACATCCAACAAGAAGCAAATTGAGCATTGAGGCAAGGGATGACACACTGAAAGGTAAAAATGAATCATAGCTAAACAACCAACACCATGGAGACCAAAAGCCAATCTTGGGCAATATCCTTTCTAGTTACGAGATCGACAGCACAGAACCTACGCTTTGATTCTCCCAGTAATGGGGGGGGGGGGGGGGGGGGGGGGGGGGGGGAAACTCATCAAAACAGAGGGAACAACAGCAATTTAGATTCAGGCAATAATAAATACCCGTATGATTAGTTCAAGAGGATTCTTTAGTTGACTGTATTTCTCCATCAGCATTAGCTCCTCGGCCTGCAAAAATAAACCAGCACAAAGATCAACATGGTATTTTTCAGTGGTTAACCCAAGAGAAAAGAAACACAGATGAATGGCACAGATCCCTGCAATGCCAAACCAATACTTCATCCTACTGTACTTACTAGTCATAGCAAATTTTCTGACCTTAAGCCTTTTCAGTTGAAAGTTGATCAATACCTACTACTTGATCAGACCTTGCTTGACATCTAATTTATTAGCTGAATCCAAGGACCAAGTCAAGTGCTTCTCTCAGATTTTGATCGAGATAAGCAAGGAAATCATCTTCACGTTCAACTTTAGCCGGTACCAAAACAACATCTAAGACGAAAATAATAGGAGAACAAGGTAGCAAGCTAAACTGACCTTGAGCTTGGTCAGCTCACCCTGCAACGAACCCAAAACTTCCCTCAATAGCTCATCTTGCTTTGACAAATGCCTGCGGCAATGTAAACCACAGAAATACCCGATTCAGTTTCAAACGGTTTAACAGCTTAATAAAGAATAAAATCCACAAAGTAGCATACTTGAGGGTTTCTGCCAAGTGCTGAGGATCCATATTAGAATGCAACGCCTGATTTCGATCTCAAGATCAAAACAAATGCGACCAGCGAAGGCAATTGGCTACTGGTGAAAGCTAAAGACACGAACAATAAAGAATTAGCTCCGGAACGGTTCGATGGCTACTAGCTAAGAACATTAACTAGGCCATTCATCAAGAACACGATCACAACAAAGGAAGAGGAACCCTAACTCGTCAATCAAAAGATGCGCAAAATTGAACGATGCGTGCGAGCTCCTCTAATGCCTAAACCAAGAACCGCACCCACGGAATGTGCCACAAAACCAAGATTCTGACCTCGGTATAGCAATTCCGTCAACCGCTCTCGCCGTCCGGCATCACCCCAAGACGACAATTCCTCCCTGCAAGCCTCAAACAGCGAAATTGTATAGAGAACGGATTCGAGAGAAGTTGAGGTTGTGGTGTTACGGAGGAATTCAGAAAAGAAAAAAATGCTTGGGTGCGAGAATTGAAAGCAAGGGAAGAGACGAGGACTGTGTCGAGGGGAAGCACTAGATGGATCAGGACGATACAAGGTCAGTGGGTAAGTCCAACGAATTGGGCCGTTAACTAATCTGAACATTTTCACGTTTAAGACGGGCACATGGGCTAGGCTTGTTTTTTTTTTTTTTTCTTTTATAAATGGATGCAGAGAATTTCAACTTTGATTCAAAATCAAATTGGGTTCGGAGAGCTTTGTAAGTCGTGCATAATTCAGGATACAAGGGTGTGATAAAAAAAAAAGGAAAGACTGAAACCCCAAAGGCATCTTATGGCCTCCACTAGCAATATAGTCCACACACTTATTACCTTTTCTAGAAGCATAAGATAAAGACACATCCCAATCTCTCTCTAACATCGCCTGGAAAAGTTGGGTAACTGTTTGAATGATGATGATCATCGTCATGCCACCTCTAGAGGATCTGCACGGCGCACCTGCGTTCAAGCTGAACGTTGACCTGATGGTAGCCAAGTTCCCAAGCCAATTGAAATCCCTCTACTGTGCCTCCCAACTCAGCTAGGGTGATGGAGCAAATTCCGAGATTAATAACAAACATTGCAATGCAGTATCTAGTGTGATCTATAATCAAGGCACCAGCAGTTGCATAACCTGATTCAGGAATGACAGAGCCGTTGGAGTTGAGAGTGACCCACTCGGGAGGAGGCAGCATCCACGAGATCAGCTCCCCATTCTAGCAGATGGATTAGGCTAATGGATAGCCTTATCATTGTCCATGGCAGTCTGCACTACATTAATCCATGTCTGGACACGCTATAGAAAGACTTCAGCTGAGACGACTTTGCCCGCAAAGACTCGGTCGTTCCTGGTCCGCCAAAGGGACCATCAAGCATAGACCAGGAAACCGGATCGTACCGGCCGGTTCAACCGGAAATTGGACCAAAAGCGGTACGGTGGGCTGATTGTGCTGATTTTACCGTGCCGGCCGGTTTTTTCGGTTTGACCGGTTGAACCGGCTGGTATGATCCGGTTTCCTGGTCTATGATTCAGCTTCATTTCTCCGTATTCTCGTCCAATATGTGGAAAATAATTAAAAAATATATTATTTTGCTATTTTTCTATGTTGAAAATGGGTCACCGTGGTTGTATAATGCTCTATTTGGTTCTTTTTTTGATGGATTATATTTTTTATACTATCGCATTTCATTTCTCTATCAATAGTGAAAAACGGTATTTACCGGTACAAAACGGTTGAACCACGGTCGTACCACAAAATACCATACCAGAAAAGAATCCGGTATGATGTCCGGTACGGTTTTCTTTACCATGCCATCAAGTAATGTCGAACATGAGGCTCGTGTGCTTCTGTCGAAGATATCTCAGAAGTAAATCCTGGAAAGGAAGTCCGGAAATGTCTTGTATTCAGAAGGGTGAATGATGTGCAACCAAGTTAACCTGGAAAAAGGGAAGTCCTGCAACACATGCATGATTGTTTCTAGGATAGCCTTGCAGTTAGGGTACAAGGCTAAGGAATTCAAATGGCGTCGATCGTGTTCTGAATTGTTGAGGATGTGATCTCGGGCCGCCAGCCAGAGGAAGTGACGAACCCGGGCCGAGCCTTGCCATCTCCTGTGATGAGAATTTGTTCAGATCTGCAGCGATAATGTAAGCCGGGGGAACATGGAATCTTCAATCTTGCTCTGGTCTCCAAGTCGACGAATCATGTCCTGCATTATCCTGTGGGGGGTTCACACCCAATACATGCAAAACAACATCTTCTGTAAGCAATTAGCGTAAGGCCACAATGTTCCACTTACCAGAAGGTTTCACAAGAGCCGCCACTTGGAAGTGAGGGTTTGGTTCGTCCCTCCGGCCGCGCATGATCAAGGCCTAAGCCTATTTTGTAGTCACGAATCATGAGGCATTAGTACTACTAGATGCGATTATGAATATGAGTTTATCGGATGTTCAGTGTTGTGGGATGGCAAGGTCATTATTGCCAAATGTATTTTTTATAGAAAGTTGGACGATGTAGTCCTAGTTCATATTAATAATAGAACGAGGCATGGTTATCCCAAATGTCATACAAAAGCCAATGTCTAAGATTAGGCTTACATACACTGATATGATGAATGCCAAAATGAAAAGAATGGCCTCTAGAGGCTAGGAAGTCAGATGACTTGTTGTGCTCTTTATAAACATGACTAACCTTGACCTCCATCTCCCGACTCATCAGCTCCCCTAACTTTGCAGCAAGGATTCCATGATGATGGTTGCCATCCACCCAATTGTTCATGATGCTAACACTGTCATGGAATCCAGATTGAGTTTAATCTTCCTTTAGACTTTCCGCCATGCTCTGTCGAGACCTTTCGCAACTCCCTTAAGTTCTGCACAAGTGATAGAGCACTCCCTAAGGTTGCAAGAAAAGGCATTTGGTGGGTGCAAGCTTTAAATTAATAAATTCGAAGTGCACTCACTAGTCAATCCTAACAAGGCCAAGTATAACCAAGCTAGGGATGTAGTAAAGTGGCTCGGTCGTATTCCAAAGGGCACGATATCCTAAGCTACTTAGGTTTTGTCTAGTCAACGTGTTACTTAGAAGGTGGGCAGTTGGTGATCCCTAAACTAAAAATCAATATATGAGAAGAGGTACTCGGGGTAACTCCCTCGCCCTAGTCTAGGTCTATCATGCAAACGTTTACATATGTCAGGTTAAGCGAACGTGGTGAGTGAGCTCTTTTCCATGGGCCATCGTGATTATCCACACACCTCCGAGCATGCCATACCTAGCCCATTGTCACCTCGGTATAGGCTTACATATCTGGGGCTTTAAAAACTTAGCTCCTTTCAATGGGTACTACCCACCGTCCATACCGATGTTTCATCCCGGGTTCCATCTAGGAAGGCGTTCTTGTGGCAGGGGTTCGCTCGCCTCGTCCACCACAAGACCCTATTCATTCATCTAACCCTAATATGCCAGATGGCTCATACCTGTCTAACCTTAAAAAAATTTACCCAGCGTAGAAGCTCAAGTAGGCTAGTTGAGAAGATTAGGACAACTTACCCAAGCATAATTAAAGCTAGAGAAGTATTAAAATCAACTAGACAAATACATTCATTCAAAACCCTAACGTATTCATTCATCTATATAATAGTCCTAAAACTAGGGTTTGGGGATTTAAACCCTTAGTACCTTGGGAGATCACCCCATGAAGCGGGGAAGAAAAGACATACAAAGAGGGAGAAGAAATCATAAAAAGGGGTTTTCAAGTGATGGAAGTCCTCCTCCACTTCTTCTCCTCCTCTTCAGCTTCTCTCTCTAATCTCTCTCTAGAATCAGAAATTTTCCAAAATCCATCTTCTAAATGGGGAGGAGTCCCCAATTTATAGAATTTTGCAGACACGGACAAGTTCACGGGTAAGGGGCTAAAGATCGTGCCCGCGATTTAGAAGCTGCGATCTTAAGGGCAAGTTCTCAAGCAAGGTGTAGAAGATCGCGGTTGGGATCTTGGGGGTAGAGGTTGCGATCTTTGAGGGTCACCATTTTTGCCTTGCTAAATATGGAGTTCACTGCCAAACATCGCGGTCACGATCCGGGGTGCCACGGGCACGGAAGCCGTGGACCATAAAACGATGGCCAAAACTTTCTGCTTCCCCCGAGCTGGCCTCTTGTGAAGTTCACACCCTTGGCTTCAAAGTTCGTGGTCGTGAACTTGAGGCTGCGATCTTCATGTCAAGTTCACGGGTGAGAAGCAAAAGATCGCGGTTAGGATCTTTGCACTGCAGGCTGCAATCTTGTGCTATAGTTCATGCCCACTCTTTATGGCTAGGATCTTGGCTCTAAAGGCTGGGATCTTAGCTTTGTTAGCCATGATCTTTGTTTTTGCCTCTTTTTCTACACTTGTGCACCTTTTTCGTACCTAATTCACATGTATCGTCTAAAGGACCCTAAAATAACAACATAATCAAATAGGAACTGAATAGGGCTGCAATCGACGATATTCTTCTAATTATGCACACGGATTATCAGGAAAACCTAAATATGAAGGGTTAATAGCACCGATTTAGGTTTTATCAACATCCAAACAGTTCCCTAGACTATATCTAATGAGACCTCCAACAGTGACTGATTTTGAACTGCTAATGACAGAGCCATCATTTTGTAATTGGACCCATCTTTCCACCGGAGGTTTCCATTTAATATCTTGTTATGTGCATGGATTGATAGAAAGTCCAAAACATAGCTCATTTGCTCTAAGTGCCTTTGTAGTGGATGCTGAACCACGCTTGTATTCTACAAATCGTACTTTATACCGAAAGCTTCTTAACTTTCATAACTTCATCATTCCTGTTCTTCCAAAGTATTCAACAAACAATACCAAACTCGACTCCAACGTCATCGGCTTTGAGATTCCTATTAATCCAAGACTAGAAATTGATGTTATTGTTCTTCTCTGTAATTTTGGACTGGAAATGATTCCAAATTCCTTTCGTCTTTTTGAAGATGCGAAGGATGTGTTCTGTCGTCTCCATTTCGTACTCGCAGAAATTGCATTTGTCATTGGTAGTGACTTGTCTTTTCTTTCTCTCCACATTGGTGAGAAGGCGATCATGTGACACGATCCAGAGAAAGAATTTAACCCTATTAGGGCATTGCCATCTCCATAGGTCCTTACACATATCCGACAGATCTTCTTCCTTCTTGTTCACTACTATATTATATGCTAAACGGAGTCTGAATCTCCCATCCTTCTCGGCACCACAAATTGTTTTGTGTTCCCCCAACCCTATTTTAGGAGTTTTCATGCTTGTAATGCGAACTATAATTTCGTTAGGAATAAAAGCTTTAAGTCGTTCCCAGTCCCACTCACCATTGACGTCCAATCAATCTACCACGCTCTCCATTTTTTTCTCATCCGATAGGTCACACAAGGCAAATTCTTCCAGAATGGTGTTATTATCCAACCAGGGGTGGGTCCAAAACCCAGTAGCAGACCGTCCCTCAAGCTCCAGACCAGGCCTTTGCGCATGAAAGGCATAGCTTTTAGGATAGCTCTCCATAGACTCAAATTATTACTCGTTTTCATTGTAGTGATATTGCCATTCCAGTGATTAAAGTACTACTTTCCTTGTAATACCTGCACCCACAAGTCATCCTCATTGTGAAGAATATGCCAAGCAAGTTCACCATATAAGCCATGTTAAGACTGTGAGCCGATCTTAAACCTATTCCTCCCTGATTTTTTGGCTTACAAATGGTGTCCATTTCACTAAGTGGACCTTCCTTTTCCCCTATTGTGAGCACCAAACAAACCAACTAATATTCCTACCAACTTTATCACAAATCGAAGCAGGGAGCATAGTGGTTTACATAGCATACAAAGTTATAGACTCAAGGACAGCCTTAGCTAAACTCACTCGACCCGCCAAAGATAAGGTTTTAGACTTCCATGCAGTTAACTTCTGGTCGATTTTTGTCAATAATGTATCTATAGGTCGATTTATCCAATCTACCATGAATAACAGGGACTCCCAGATACCTCGCTAAGTTATCAATATGTTGAATTCCAAGACAAGCACAAATGTTCCTCCTAGTTGGCCTCTTAGTGTTCTTAGAAAAGAGCATCCTAGATTTGTCTTTGCTTATGAGCTCTGCAGAGGCTTAACAAAACTCATTCAGGCACTCAAGGATACCCCTTGCCTGCTCGACATTGACCTCCACAAAAAGCAGTAGGTCATCGACAAAGAAGAGGTGTGAAAGGGGAGGTCCTCCTACTGAAAGAGAAACAAGCTTCCAAACCTTATTCCTAGCTCTCCTACTTATCGAATGGCTAAGACATTCAACACAAAGCGTAAACAAGTAAGGGGATAAGGGACATCCTTGTCGTAATCCTCTTGTCGGAGTGTAGGCCTCTATCTCTCCTCTGTTCCATAAGATCTGAATCATGACAAAAGTAAAATATTGCATAATGGTAAAAATACTCTTGTCAGGGATACCAACTTGCACCAGAGTCTCTTGTAGAAAGGTCTAGTCAATTCTATCATAGGCTTTAGCCAGGTCCATCTTCAGAAGCATGGTTCCTTTCTTTCCACCCTTCTTTGACATCGAGTGAACGCTTTCCTGCAAAATGAGAATATTATTAGTGATGTGTCTATTGGGTGTAAAACTGGTCTGGTTCTTATGAACAAGATGAGGCATAAGAGATTTGATCTTGTTATCAGTTGTTTTAGCAATCACTTTGTAACCAACGTTACACAAGGCAATCGGTCTGAACTGGATCACGGAGGCAGGGGCATCAACTTTTGGGATGAGAGCTATAATAGTTTGATTCAGTGATATGATCCCGTTGGGATGACAATATGACATAAACAAGACTCCATAAACTGTGCAAACTCAGCTCCAATGACATCCCGACACTTCTGAAAGAAGACTGCATGGTACCCGTCTTTCCCTGGTGCTTTCAGACCTTTCATTCCCATGATAATACTTATAATCTCCTCTCTAATGGGGCACGCTCCTACTTTTCTAGTGAGAGATGGGTCAATTCTTGGAAAATTAGCAGCAATCTATAGCTAGAATTCTTCGTCTTCCTTCATAAAAATCTTGACATAGAAATACTTAGCCATAGACATAAGCTGGTTGGGGGTTAGTGATACATTCTTCCAATTCATTCTTTAGGCCAGAGATAAAGTTTCTCTTCCTTCTGCTTAATGTGCTTTGATGAAAAAATGCGTGTTCTTGTGTCCATATAGAAGCTAGTTTGATCTTGACCTTTGCATCCACAACACTTATTCTTGCCAAAGGGTGTCCTCAAACTCCTCTCGAATATGCTTTTCTGGGCCAGAGAGTGGCTGCTTGGGAATCGTTCATTGAAAAACTCAATAGTCTGGAGTTTATTGTTGAGATGCTTTTTCCTTCGGAAGATATTGCCAAACATGTTTTTGTTCCAAGCCTTGAGTTTATCATTGAAATCCTACAGAGAGAAAGGGAAGTCATTGCCATTTTGCCAATAAGAAGAAAGAAGATCATAGAAATCATTGTGGGCAAGCCAACGAGCAAAAAACTGTAAACGTCTCCCCATTTGGCTTTTCGTTAGTTGACTTGTGGAGCAAGTCAGGATAGGACGATGATAACACTACAACTTGACCAAGTGGAACACCGTTGATTGTGGGTACAACAGCCTCCACTCCATGTTGAATAGGCTATGATCCTGTCTATTTTGTTCTGGACAAGCTAGTGAACCACGTGAACTTTGGCCTAGTGAATCCAAGGTCGATCAACTTTCACTCATCAATGAATTCGTTGAATGCTCTAGTTTTTGCAAAGCTTTAAGGAACTCCTCCTTGTTTCTTAGATGGCCTAATGATGGAGTTGACGTCGCCTTCCAAGAGCGAAGGTAAATTGTTGCTTCTTCCAATACTTCTAAAAAAAATTCCAAAGCTCAGTCTTCCCAAACTCATTCGGGCAAGCATAGAGTGGAGTAAAAAAACAATCTTCTTCTCTTCAACAAAGAAATTCATATGGATGAATTGCTTCTGCCTATCCAATACTTCGAGATGGATTTGTTTCCTGTCCCAAAAACCCTAAATTCCACCACTGAACCCCACAACATCCGACACTTCCCAACCATCAAACCAGAGTGTCTTAATGACATCTGTAGTGTCTTTCCCACTAATTTTGGGCTACAAGATATTTGGTTTATGTAAGCTTCTATAAAGCTATAAGGTAGATTGAAATTTGGGGTGTTTTGCACCCCTGCAATTCTAGGCGAGAATTTTAATTGTTAACATGAATGAGAAGGTCCCTCCTATAAGAAAATTTGATTCACTGAATTTCGACAACCATGTCCATCTCTAGCATCTCCGTGTTGCCACTTAACATATCTTTACTGGTATGCTCTGCATAGTTTGACAATGATTCAGACTGCTCCCTATTGGAAGTAAAATCAATCTTCCTATGGCGCCCTTTCCCATTCTCAAGGGATTGTAAGATGACTTTTCCTTGCTCCTTACCAATGTTCTATGTGCCCACATGCTTCATTTTAGCCTGGTGGCCAGACTTAGCATTGGATGAGTCACCAACATCTCGGGACTTATCTTTAATCCCAATGCAGAGGAGAGGTGATGGATCAAACTCTTCTTTTTGCTTCCCTTGCACACCAGACATGGTCTGCTGAGGGTTCTCCTTATGTGGTCCTTGCTCTCAGTCCCTTCTTGGTCGTTCATTTCTCCTGCTTGCTAGTTGTTTTCACGACTTTCTTCTTAGATGTGTGAGTTTCAGGATTTTTGGTTTTCTTTCCTAATGACGCTGGCTGGTTTTTTTAAGTGCTTTCCTACTAGTTCTTAAAACATTATTCTGGTTGCCTTTGAGCTTCTCTGTAGATGAATATTCTCTGGTTATCATTTTGGATTGATTGCTCGAGTCCTCACCTTTATTAGTCTTAGTTGTATCCATCTTTTCCTCCTTTTCATCCCCATACATGCTTCTCTCCTCCTGATTATCACAGTCGACACCATCCCCCTCTTCCGATAGAACATCAAATTTGGTTCCGGTGACAAGTTGATATGTTGTGGTTCCCTTTCCTTTTGGTTCTCCTTCCAAGATTTTAGCCTTCTGAATTTGCTTCATTCTCTTTAGTCCGGTGGCGAGCATCCAAGGCCCAAAGTACTCCAGGATTTCAGGCCTAATCTCCTAGATTGCCATTGTGCTGCTTGCTTTCATCTTATCTTCTGGTGATGCAAAATTTCATTTCGCAGGGCATGCTTCTTCAAGATGGTCATAACGCCCACAGTAAAAAAAACAGTGTGGAACCCTTCATATTCTACCTCCTAACCCTACGTTCCAAACGATACTTAAAGACCAATTGTTTCCTTAAGTTAATCTCGATACACATCCAGGCATACTTTCCTCTGAACCCATTGGAATTGTTGTAATCAATTTTATCCACTCTGCCCATCTTGTTACCAATGTCAAAGAGGATTTCTTCGTCAAAATAAGCAAGAAGGAGCAGTGGTAACCTTACCTGATATGATCTTGGAATCAATCAAATTCCAACCAGGATTAATCGTCAAAGAGGCCAAATCGAATTGCAAAGAAGAACCTGAAAATTGTCCGTGTCACTTTCCGTGTTCAAGCAGCCGACTTTGGAGGCACGTTTCTCTTAATTGGCTCAATGGAAATTCAAGTTTAATGGCTTGTGTTGAACATGGAATGATTATCTACACATTGGTATGCTTGCTTGCTCAAGAAGAAGTAATTAAGGTTGTTTTCCAAGGCGCCAAAGTTGCTACCTTAAAACTGGAAAACTGCCAGAAAATAGCTAAGGCAGAAAACTGTGTTGAGATACCAACTTTGAAGGCCTATATCTGGAGTTTGGAGTATGATCTCAGGCAGATTCAAGTTGGAGATGAAATAGGAAGTTTTCTTCTACAAAGGAAAGGGATTGGTTGAGTTCGAATCAACCTACAAGATCATTTTCGAAGGGCTCAAAGATGCTACAAAGCCTGTTTTCCTAGGCAGACTTGCTTGTGTTTTAAGTCAGTTTCTTGGCTTGCAAGTTATCTCGTTTTACACGAATTCTTTAGCCTTTTCCTGTTCTAATTAGTTTCCTTGTTAGTTTAGAATTGTATTAGGTTTTCTTTGGCAATAAAAGCCCTCTAGTTTTCGTTGTAATAGTTAGAGAGAATTGTTGAACAAAAATTACTCCGAGGAGTTTATCCTATTGAGCTTGCGAGCTTGATTTTTGGTCTTGGATTCGTCCTAGGCTTGCAGACTTCTCTTTCAAGTCATTCATACTTGTTTGAGTAGTGATTCTACCCTTTCGAAACCGATTGAGCTTGTCCCCAAGTGAGGATTTGTCCTTTCGTTTCAAACCCATCCCAAATCGTACTAAGCACATCCTGTTCTTTTGGTTTTCAATTCAATTCAATCCTTTGAGTTGAATTAGCTGCGTACTTTGATAAACATACACCCCCCAGGGGCGTATTAAGTGGTATCAGAGCTCCGTTCTACACAAGGGCGTAGAAGAGCACGAAAACCTATTGTTTCGTACAAGCAGAATTCGAGGGAAAACAGGGAGAAGCAGCCCCTGTTTTTGAGCAGCCCTATTCGTGTCTTGCTGCTGCTGTTTCTAGTTCAATTTTTGGGTTCTACGAAAAGAGATGGTGGAGAGCAGTAGCGAGGCCAAAAATCTGCCAAATTGTGGCCAAAAGAAGCAGCCAGCAATCGTCATCAAGCACAGGGAGTCCGACGAGCAGCAGGACAACCTATTTCACAGCAGGTGTTTTGTTGAAGAAAAATTGGTGTCTTTGGTGATCGATGGAGGCAGCTGTGCAAACCTCGTAAGCTTAGACGCCGTCAAGAAGCTTGGCTTGAAGACACAAAAACATCCCCGGCCTTACCAACTCAGTTGGATCAAAGAACACGGGACGATCAATGTGACGAAACAAGCTTTGGTTTGTTTTAAACTCGGCAGGTACGAAGATGAAGTGATTTGTGACGTTGTACCAATGCAAACAGCTCATCTAATATTGGGCCGACCTTGGCAATTCGACCGTAAGGTCACACACGAGGGCTGGACCAACCACTACAAGCTTCCGTATCAAGGTAAGACGATTGTGCTAAAGCCCCTTTCTCCGGACGAAGTTTACGAAGATCAAAAGCAGTTGGAGGAGAATCGAGCTACGGGAAAGGAGTACAAGGCTAAGTTATGGGTTCAAAGACGCATTGGGTTTAATTTTATGAGCTTTCGAAAGCTCCAGAAAGTCGTTCCAGAGGTGGAACCCACAGCCCAGAACGAACCCTGTTCTGTTGCGGCAAAACAGAGCTCCGCGCTCCGCCGCCTTGACGCTGAAGAAGGAGGAGAGTTGGAGCACGATGCGGGTTGTTCCCTAGAAAGTAATATTTGTAAGACACTTTCGCATCTCCCTGGTTCTCGACTCCAATGTCCACATGCCCTTCCATGGTATATACGAACTTGATAACACCTAAATTGGTGTTATTTACCTTCCAATTGAGGTTTGTTTCATACCAATTCATGTGAATAATTTCTTGAACATCGTCAATTGCATCCCTATTTCATTCCTATTCGAATTCGATGTGATTTTAGGGTGTGTTAGTTGATAATTGTGAATTAGGTACAAAACAAGATCACAAATGTAGCAAGGGGGCAGAAGACTGAAGATCATGGCCTAGAAGAGAATATCACAGCCGAGATCAGAAACCGCCTAGTCAAGCTAAAGATCGCGGCCTGGAAGCCCAAGATGGCGGCCGCGAATTGGAGGGCTCAGGGAACGAACTTTACGAAGAAGGAGCCAAGGAGAAACATAAAGTTTCCCAAGTCGAATCCTGGCCATAGTGTATTTTGGCCAAGAGGAAGATTGCAGTCGTGACTCGTGGAGACCGCGAAGTCCGTCCTCCATCTCCTCAATCCTGAAGGCGAATACGATTGCGTTGCAAGATCGCGGCTTTGCTAGTGAAGATCCCGCCCGCGATCTCTGCCCTGTTGGCCGCGAATTTCTCCATCACTTGATTGCCTATAAATAGAAGACCCATTTCCCCCATTTAAGAGAGTTGATTTGGAGAGAAGAATTTCTGGTTTTAGAGAGAGAGAAGAGAGAGAAGCTAAAGGAAGGAGAAGAAGGAGAAGGAGCTAGAAGAGATGAGGCATCTTCCTCAACCTCAAGTCTTCTTCAATTTCTTCTATATATCTTCTTCACTCCTTCATGAAGTAGTCCTCTAAGTTACTAGGGATTCTAAACCCCAAACTCTAGTTTTAGGGTTTACTATGTATGTATGGATCTTCTAGGGTTTGAATGAATGAACGTGTTTATCTAGTTGATTTAATTGCTATTCTATCCTTGATTGTATTTGGGTAAGTCCCCCTAATCTTCTCTATTAGCCTACTTTATGCTTCTATGCTGGGTATGGAGTTCTAGCGTTAGACGGGTATGCGTCATCAAGCAAATTGAGGTTGATGTATGAATAGGGACCTATGGTGGTCGAGGCGACCGAACTTTTGCTATAGGTAGCCTTCCTAGATAGAACCCGGGATGAAACCTCGGTGTGGACGATGGATAGTATCCATTGAAAGTAGCTATGAGCTTAATGCCCCATATACGATAACCTAGATCGATGTGACTTTATATGGGTTTAAAGGAGGCATACTCGGAGGCGTGTGGATAACCACAAAATCCCATAGAAAATAGCTCACTCACCACATTCGATGAAACCTAACTATCTAGACATTACATAATAGTCCTAGCCTAGGGTGAGGGATTGATAGGGCAAAAACGTAATGCTTCAATTCCTATCTCATAGTAAATCGGAAAGTCCGGGTATCGTCTCTCAGGGACTGGTACAACCTTATATTTTACCAATTTTATAGAGCAAACTACAAGTGAAAATGGTTTGAGAGATAAACTAATTTCTAAAAGCAAAATTAAATAAACAAATGAAGTAATTGAAAACTGTCGGGATAAATTCAATGGAGAAAGCTCTGGGAGAAACAGCGAGACTCGCTACCTATCATATCCAAATTAATTCACATATTCCAATTAGTTTAATCCATATCTCTACACCCGGGATATCACAACTGTGTTAGCTATCCCTGTCGGGAATTACTGCGTACTAAACAATCAATTCAAATTCTACTATCGTAGCTCAATGAATTAATTATTTAGCTTGAAGATCGATATCTCAATCAAGACCACATAGCATCTTATTTAATCCACTGTCGCTTCGATAAGTCACTATGTCATATGAAATATGTTCAGTTATTAGGGTTTCATTGTCGCTAATAACCTAATTAAGTACAAATCATTGTATTGGTTGCCACTCAACACAAAGCATTAAATAATTTCATGCAATAGAGATTAGAAGAAAGGAAATATTCATCAATCCATCAAATCTAGAAATAGCTACATCCTATGGTGTTTCCCCCAGAAATTGGGATTTAGTTCATGACAAAATTAAAAGATATAATCATGTTCATAATCATCATGTCATGAATCAAAGCAAAAGAAAAAGAATACTGAGATTTTCTTCCCCACTGCTCTGCTCGTTCCGCGCTCTGCACTCTATTGCCGCAGCTTGCTTGCTCTTTACTCAATCGCCCAAGTCGCCTACTGCTCGCTCCCGTTCTCCCCCAAAAGAAGTTCTCCGTCCAAAAAAATTCCTCCATCGCGCTGGCCAATTATGTGTCCCTTTTATTCATCCCAAAACACAGCGCTCCATTCATGGATCCGAGAAAGAAGACAAAGGACTTGGTCCTTTTTAATTCCAAGAATGCCCTAATCTTTCCTTCTTTTTAATTCTGTCTTCCATCTCCAGAAGAGGACAATCAACGAGGTGTGAAGAAGGCTAGGGTACCAGGACCTGAGTAAAATACGACCTTGATTGCCACTATACGACAATGCCATCTTAGGTTAAACTTGGCTTAGGATGAGGTAGTTGTTGACACGTACTAACCACTAACAATAACCTACACGGATGAACGTGATCAAAACTCCGACGCTATCTCATCCGGATCTTCAGTTGCTTTCGTCACCGTCACGATTGCGACATCCATTCTTCCCTTGCTAGAGAAGCCTTCTCCAGTTGAAGCCCTCGACTTCTTTGCTGGCTGAACCAACGAGCCGTCAGGAGGCTTGAGGCTGTGGTCAACCTCCATTTCCGGAGGTTTGGTGTCTCCAGACATACTCAATGGTAACAAAGAAAGGAGAGAGGACATAGGAAAATCTCTCTCTAACTTTCCCTTCTATCTTTTTTAAGACAGATTATTACCAAATGTATGGATTAGGAGGAATAGATGTGCATGGTAGAGCTATTTTAGCATTAGTCTCTCAGTTATTATCTTGTATGTCTTCCTTTAGCCTATTTGTAGGTCGACATGATAATAGGGTAGTCAAGTTTTAATCTTTTTTATCTCATATTATTATAGGATTTGATCATGTTAGTTAGTTAGTTAAGGTTCACGATGCATACTTAGTACCTTTGTTAGAACTTGATTACCGAACCTGGTATCAATGTTTTACTCAATTTAAGTAATCTAATGAAAAAAAGACTCACAATGAGTCAATTAAGTGGGTATGGTGATCCATCTAAATTTTGAATTTTAGTCAACTAGCTTAGCTTAGGGCCTAACATTAGGAGAAGATCATTTGACTACAGCTTACGTGTGACTCGGGCTATCACTATACTTAATCCCAACTGTAGGCCAAGTGCAACCTATATAGAGTGTAGGATAGGGTAAGTATATAAATATCAACCTGAGAAGTCTATCTACCCTTACTTCAATAGTTCACACATTATGTAGCGATCAGATGGTAGTTAAAGCTAAAAAGACTAAACAAATTAAACAAGCAAGTAAACTAGGGTGAGTTCAATTGAGAAAGAATCACTCGAATATTGCTTCCCCTAGTCTTATGTCAAGATACAATGAATAAAACTCTAGTATGATAGTTAGGATCATATGTTGGTTGGAGATCACGATGAGCTAGGGAAACCCCAAGCCTCTCAATATACAAAATCACTCCCTCAGAAAGTAATATGGCACGACGAAAAGCAACCAATCAAGACGATATCATGACACTAATTCGATGAATGAGGGATGGCCCAAATTACTCTAGAGTAGGTTACCTAAATTGCCAAGATTGGGCTATAAGGGGATTTTCTCCTTCTAGGTCAACTAGTCCCAAAATTGAGTTATGAACAATCAACGCCCAAATTCCATAAATAATACCTCAAACATTATATTAATCACAAACCCAAAACACATAGAATTCAATTCCTACAATCTAACACATCCTAGACTAGGGTTCACAACATCCAAGTGAAATTCGAGACTACTCCATAGCTAGATGTGAAAATATAAATAAGAGAAAAGAAAAATCCATAGCAAGATGATCTTCCTTCTTCTTAGATGTTTGATTCAACCTTTGGATTAGAAATCAACCTTCCTCTAGCCTTGGGTAGGTGGAATTCTCCTTCTTCTTCTGTAGCTCGTAGCTCTCTTTCTCTCTAAACCTTGAAGAAGAAGCTCTAATCACTCTCTAAGACTCCCCTTTTGAATTCAGCTAGCTATCCCTTATATAGTTCCCTAGTGCGCAAATCACGTTCTGACATCACGCCCGTGAAGTCGAAAGGAGAACTGTGATATCAACGCCAAATGCGTCATTTCACTTACAAACTTCACGGGTCGCTTGTTGAAATCACGATTTGCGATCATAATCTTGACACTGCTCGCGAGCCATACAAATCCTCGTGGAACCTTGCCAGCTTCACGGTTGTGTTGCTCACTTCACGGTATGCATTCGTTACAAATGCTCCAAAACCGTAATCTCTGCACTTTCGACCCTCCCCTTTTCGCACTCTTTCGTTCGAATTTCAATCCCAGTGCCAAGCTTACCTGCTTAGGTCTGCAACATGACAAAACACGAACAAACCCTGCGTAAACTAGCTTCAAAGACGGTGCAAACACATCAAACGTCACAAGTAAATGTGTGTAAAAGTGTGTAATCTAACCCAAATCACCCCCCCCCAACTTGAACATTTGCTAGTCCCCAAGCAACCCTACTCAAACAAGTACAACTTGTAGGACAAAAACAATGGTATGCACTATCAATCATCGGTGGTGCCTCGAGAATAATCTCAGTCAGGTAAACTTTACTTCCATCTCTTCATGTCATGCACACCCTCGGTTAAAGACCAAGTCAACTGAGGAGGTTTAGGCACTCCACGTGTGCACTGGGGGACTTATAGAAAACATTGAAAATTCAAGGACTCCATGGTGGTGGTCCCACTTTTCAAAGATGACTCAATTTTTTGAGTCTCAACTTAAACTTGCCATGCACGACATCACTTTGCAATTTTGCAAATCAAGACATATCTCCCTTGTGACCAAGAGCGAAAGGAACATTGCCTTCTCTATTAAGGCCCCATGTGGGCAACATTATGGTCAGATTCATTTCACAACACCACTTCCCAACCTGCACTTCCTGGTCTCAACAACAGACGGGCAACCACACATGCATGGTGCAAACAAGAGTCGAGGTCTTGTGACTCGCTAAAAGAGATTTTGTCTCTTACCATATGAGACCATGAGGAGGAAAGGTGTTTGGGGGATGGAAGGTAGTGAAAGATGATCGGGACACTAGAAAGCTATATGAACCCCAGACACATCCTCAATGGCACTCTGGACTAAGAGAAGTGCCCTTTGACGACTCAAGTCAAATACTATGCCTGGTTGCCTCTCACATGAGAACCTCAATTTTTCTTTAAAAAAAGTGGAGCACCTTTAGCAAAACATTTTGGAGTCTTACTTAGGAAATCCCACATACATGTCATAACGTCAATAGTAAACATTATTGACCCAACTGAGAGGAAATCGAAGTAAAGCCACTTATAATCACGGATTCTCGTGGCACCTCACTATTCCCTATAGTTCACACCATAATAATCATCAAACAATTCTAAGCACACTGAGTAAGATCATGCTAGGGACAATTGTGATTGCAACCCCTAAAATCTTCAATGCAAAGCAATAATCTAGGTTCCAAAGCACATCTCAATATTGGCCAAAACCATTCATTCAAGCACAATAGGTTGGAGCCCTCAGATTGTAGGAATTTGGCAATCACAAGGCTCCAACACATTCAAATAGGCCATTCACACTCATTATTCACGCACCAATCACCCTACATATACACCCCCTCATACTTAAGCACAATATTGTTCTCAATGGTGCATAAAGAAGGGTGGAAAGAAGTTACCACATACAATTGGTGAGTGAAAGTCGGACTGGAGATGGACCAGTTCCGAGAGGGGGAGAGAGCTTCACAGGGATACAAACACAAACATATACTCGCACAAGGCGAGGTTATTAGACAATAACATTATTCAACATCACACTAAAGAAAAACAACACAATAATAGTCACACACAGAAAGAGAAAATAAAGAGTCTAGACTCTAGAGTCAAAGGGTGGAGAAAAGAGGTGGAGGTGCGATGGTGCCAACATGGCACAAGTGATGTCTACTTCTGGCGGCGAGAAGATGAGGGATGCCACCCAGGATGTCGAACCTTAATGCTCTGAACACGGGCAAGCTCCTCCACTAAGTAGTGGTAATGTCGTCGGGTGTCTCGCTCCCGAGCGAGCTGGGAAGATACCTCGGCAAACTGGCCCTCAAGGGTAGTGACTCGTGCTTCTAAGCCGGCTGAAAAAGAAGATGATCCGCTCCAGCTAATGATGAAGAGGCCCCGTGATAGACACGACGACAACTCGACAAGATGGTGGTGGTGCTCTCCGATATGGCTCTGGCTCTGGTGCCTCCTCCACCACGGGTCGGAATAAGGAAGAAGGTCGTAGGCCATCGATGTACACGATGCCTCGCTCGACTCGAACCAACCTCATATGGTGGAGTGTCTTCACCGGAAAGATCTCGGTCCGACCCTCCTCCATGTAGTGAGTGAGATCCACTCCAAAGTACGCGGCAAGTCTAGTGATGATGGGGCCCAGGTGCATAGTGTAGACATGGGGACGACCCAAGATCCTCGACAAGATAGTCGCCACCACTGAACCCAAGTGAATTTATTTTTAGGTTTTTTATTTTTGTGTTATTTACAAGAACAAATGGATTTGTTTTTATTTATTTAGTAGACAAACTAATTTTGAGAAGTAATTAAGTGATACGTGGTTGATTGTTATTCATGATATCCATTGTTATTACTATTTAATTAAGTATTAATTTTAATACGCAATTCTGTTTTTTTCTCAATTTGCAATTTTACGTAAAATCATAATTTTGACGATATTATAAATATAAGTAAACACCAAACTAATTTGAATATATTAATAAATATGACCCTACTTTAATATACAATTTATGATTTTAATTCACAATTCTGATTTTTTTCTCAATTTTCAGTTTTACGTAAAATCATAATTTTGACGATATTATAAATATAAGTAAACACCAAAAATATTTTGAATAGATTAATAAATATGACCCTACTTTAATATACAATTTATGATTTTAATTTAAAATTATCATTTTTCTCAATTTTTAATTTTACGTAAAATCCTAATTTTGACGATATTAAAATCCTAATTTTAATATGTATGGAAAAAAGAATAGTAAACACCAAACTTTTTTGAATAGAATAATAAATATGATGCTACTCTAATTTACATCCCTATTAAAAAGTAACGCACTTGTTCGTCCAAGCAAAAGCCAACAAAACACCCCAGAAAAGTTGGTCTAATTTGTTTCATCGCTGATTTCCAAAAACGTTTGAGCCCCAAAAGAAGGCCCCTTTATCGCATTTTATCATATGGTTTAGACTTCAATCTTTTTCTCCTCCACCAGTCCACCAAGATAACAACAATAGTTTGCTCTCTTTTTTTTTTTTCCTTCGTGTTTGTTAACCAAAAAATTGGAAAGTCGAGGTCTTTGTTTTGGAGGCATCCTAGCACTCTTTATCAGTTTATCCATGGTGGGGGGCGGTATTGCTGATTCAAAGGTAAATAACCCATATGAGACAGTGAGAAGGAAACATTCTGAGATTTGGCCTTTTCTTCTTCTTCTGTGGTGGGAGGCGAATGTTAATTGGCAGCTGAGCAGAGCCCAGTGGTGGCTGTCCAGGATAAGAAACAAACAACTCATCTTTCTTTCCCCCTAAATCCTAATCTCTTCTCTTCTCTTCTCATCCCCCAAAGCTTTTATTGTTTGGACGGGTTTGTTTGTTTGATGTGAATCCTTATTTTGGTTGGATGGGACTTTATTGGGTGCTGTTTTATGGTCTGTGGGGCTAATACAAATCCTACTTTTGGGGGTTTTGTCCTGCAGATTATAGTGCCTAGCTCATGCACCTACTCAACCTTTTGCTCTGTCTTTGTGTTGGGTTCTTTGCTTTTTCTCTCTAGTGCTGCTGTCTGCTCTGCCTGCCTGCCTGCCTGCCCATCTCCTCCTCCATGCTTGCTTGCTTCCTTCCACAACCCCATTTCATTCTTGCTTTCCTCTTGTCACTTTCCGCCAACCAAAGTGATAAGAAAGGGCGTTGCTTTCCTTCCCTAAATCTGTAAAGTGTTATCTTGATCATTCATTTTTATCTTTCTAGGAAGCTCCGTGCTAGCATTGTCCATCACTCATTTTCCTTCTTCTCTACTGTTTAGTGTTCTTTGGCTCGATCCCATTTTGCATACACAACGTATTGACTATTGAAAGATTGGTACGTACAACTAAGTTGGAATAATCTTTCTTGGGTGGTTGATTTGATTCTATACCAGTTTTCCTTTATTGGGCTGTGCTCCTAATTCATTGCACATCACGTCGTGTTCGGTGAAATGTCACTCTGAAAGTGATAGAACTTCCATCGTTTTCTTTCTTGGAAGCTGATGATGATGTGTTCTGAGTTTGATCACTAAAATTTTGCAGCGAAGGGACAGAATTTTCAACCGTTGAGTCTTACTTTGAAAACGAATAGAATAACCAGATTGAAAAAAAAAAAGCTGTGGAGACCAAGCATGTTCTGCATCTTATTTCTTTGAAGCCACGTTCTTTGACTTTGATCCTAACGATTCATATTTCCTTCTTCTACCTTTTCTATTTTATTTAAGTTTACACACTTATTAATATATTGTTATTAATATTGATATATCCGCTCTTATTATTTACTTTACTGTGGAGGAAACAGCTTTGTTGGTAATGATGATGCTTTCTTTTAATGTGTTTCCTGAAATCTTCTTCCCTTTTTAGAAATCCTCCCCCGTTGATGCTTCTTGTCCACCCTTTCGGTGCTTCAATGGACAATTACCAAGATATGCTGTTTTAACTCCTCTCATGTTGCAGGTGTAAGCGTGCCTTTTGTTAGCTTGAAATCAAGAGCACACGCCTGAAGTTTACAGATCTCTGGAGGAATGTGGATTCTGGGGGTTTGCAACTCGGGAAAAGCTCCTCAATAGCTTTGTCCAGTGAGAGAAGTGGGAGAGATCTGCTGAAGAAAAAGGAAACGGGAAAGCAAAGCTATAAACAAAAGGAAAAATAAGGGCGGTGGTGTCAGTTTTGAGCAAGTGGGTTCTTTTTCTTTCCCCGTCTTATAAGTTTATTGAAAGCAGTAGCTGTCTCCAATCCATAGTTAAGCTTTGGGTGTCTTGATCTCTGTTGCCGATTGCGGAAGCAACCCAGATCACTTGGTCTCGAATCACACTTATCTTTCCCCCCCTCCACTCTCTTTCCACCATCTCCTTTCCCTGGATTTGTGGGCTAGATTCGGTCATACTAAGAAACACTCCTTTAGCAGGTTAATCCCAGCTTTTCTTCTTTGGTGAAAAAGCTCCCACCTTTGAAGTGTTTGGAAAGCCTTTCCTTAGCTGAGATTAGAGTCTTCACTCTTCAAGAAGAGGGCAGGAGCTGTTATTTTGTGTTTTGAGGAAAGATGAAGTTTATGAAACTTGGATCTAAGCCGGATTCTTTTCAGACAGAGGGAGATGATATCAGGTAAACAAATGAGGTTCCTTGCTGTTATCTGCTGCTTTTAATTCCTCTGGATGCTATGATTTGTTCTCAAATCTGTTACCTTGTCTCCTAGTCTTCTTTTGGATAACTGTCTTCCATTCCATTCCTGCCCTTGGGGATTTTGTTGTTGATATTGCACTTAGTTAACTACTGGGCTTTGTTCGTTTGATCTAGATTTCTCTGGCGTTATTAATGAGTTGGCGTTTTTACAGTTTCAGCCGGTCTTGTGGAAGCTTGGCTTCTTTAAAGAGCGCTTATTAGTCGTTTGCGTCTATCTTTCTTGATGCAGAGTCTGTTTAAAACTTGTTTCTTTGTTTCCGTACCTGGATTAAACACAGATAGGAGGTTTTAGTTTCCTTGATGTGAATAGCCCCATTTTTCCAGTTCTGGTTTGCTACCTCCTCTGCGCATTGAGTTGATGGTTGAGACTTCTTTCCTCTTCAACAATTGATTTATGCCATTGCGGTTTCCGGCACATAATCACATTGGTTAAGGAAACTTTGTAACTGCAGGTATGTGGCTACTGAATTGGCAACTGATATAGAAGTGAATGTTGGGGATGTAAAATTCTATCTTCACAAGGTAATGGAATTCAGCAAATCCTGACAATATTTATGTAACCATGTTTCAAGGTTGATTGCTGAATGTTTTAATGGCCACACATTTCATTATGTACCATGTGAAGGGTAGTAACCTGCTGATTTGGCTATGTACATATTTTTTGCCCCTTTTGGAACCGTTGTACGTGAATTTATTGTTTCCAAATTGTTTGTGTAGTTCCCTCTATTATCCAAGAGCTCCCGTCTCCAGAAGTTGGTTTCGAGCTTGAATGACGAGGGCAGTGATGAAATTACCATTCTGGATATCCCTGGTGGTCCTGCTGCTTTCGAGATATGTGCAAAGTTTTGCTATGGCATGACGGTTACGCTCAATGCATACAATGTGGTTGCAGCTCGGTGTGCAGCAGAGTATCTCGAAATGTACGAGTCTGTAGAGAAAGGAAACCTGGTCTACAAGATCGAAGTCTTTCTCAACTCCAGCATTTTCAGAAGCTGGAAAGACTCCATCATTGTTCTCCAAACTACAAGGTCATTCCTCCCATGGTCTGAGGAATTAAAGCTGGTCAGCCGGTGCCTTGACTCCATAGCTTCCAAAGCTTGCATTGACACTTCTAGGGTGGATTGGTCATATACCTATAACAGGAAGAAGCTTCCATCTGAGAGTGGGAAGGATCCATTATGGAATGGTGGTAGGAAACCGAATGAGGTTCCTAAAGATTGGTGGGTAGAAGACCTTTGTGAGCTTCAGATTGATTTATACAAAAGGGTTATTGTCACCATGAAAACAAACAGGAATGTATCCAGTGAAGTAATAGGTGAAGCATTGCATGCATATGCTTTGAGAAGACTGCCTGGTTTCAGCAAGGGCACCATTCAGAATGGTGATATCTCTAAATACCGATCTGTGGGGGAAACCATTATGTGGCTACTGCCAGAAGAGAAAGGCAGTGTTCCTTGTGAGTTCTTGCTGAAGTTGCTAAGAGCTGCAATTATGCTTGGCTTTGGAGACAGGGAAAAGAATGAACTGATAAGTAGAATCAGCCAACAACTCGAGGAGGCTACTGTCCCTGATCTTTTGATTCCAGCCCAAGCTGGGGGAGAGACGACCATGTTTGATGTTGATATAGTACATACACTTGTCGAGGAATTTGTGAAATGTGAACTGAAGGAGCAGGAGATCGTTCTTGTTGAGAGCATTAGCCCGAAGTTTGGTGCAGATGCCTCTAAGGTTCAAGTAGCTAAGTTGGTGGAGGGTTATCTTGCTGAAATAGCTCGAGATCCCGACTTACCACTCTCAAAGTTTCTTGACCTTGCTGAACTCGTATCAAGCTTCCCTAGACCATCCCATGATGGATTATACCGAGCCATTGACATGTATCTCAAGGTAACTTCCATTTTACAACTTTTATGATATTACAAACAAAACTTAAGCTTAAGATTGCAATACGGGCAGTTTGGAGCAGGGCATAGGTACTTGTGCCCCGCCCTGCCCCATTCTCAATCCGTTTGGTCCAAATTATCTCTAATAATGTTCTTCGCAATCGATCTTATTTCGACTCAGCTTAATCATGCTTTTACTCTCAGCTTAACTACCACTATGTAGAGCCTCCGCTTGAAGATCGACTTTATTAGTTTATGTCATTCTCTCCTATTCTATGTACATTGTATGTCTTTCGTATAATACTTACATGGAAAAATCATTTGATTCCTTTTTTTTCCCTTCTAAAATCACTTTCCTGAATGGGCCGACCATGTTCTGGTCTGCGCCATATGCCAAATTGCTCAACCTTACCCGCACCTGCACCTGCTGCGGGGAGGGTATGAGCACCTCATCATGCTCGAATTTTATTTTTCTTCTTCTCGGGTGCTTTCATGACTAATATTTTGTCACCTATTTCAGGAACATCCTGGGATTAGTAAGAGCGAGAAGAAGAGGATATGCAAGCTGATGGACTGCAAGAAATTGTCGGCGGAAGCATCTATGCACGCCGTTCAAAACGAGAGGCTGCCATTGCGTATTGTAGTTCAGGTTCTCTTCTTTGAGCAAATGAGGCAGCAGGCTTCATCACCCGGGGGCAGCAGCACTCCGGATCTATCGTCAAGCTCCATTAGGGCCTCACTCCCGGCCGGAGAGTCTCATGGAAGCTCGAGGTCAACCACAAGCAACACTGAGGAAGAGTGGGACTCGGTGCCAACAGCTGAGGACATAAAGGCATTGAGAGGCGAACTCGCCACCCTACGACTGGGAGGTAACAATGGTAGTGGTAGAAGCCAAAATGATGGCGGTAAGGCCAGAACTACTGATGCTGCTGCAAATCAAATGAAAGGTTTGGTGATGTCAAGGATGTTCTCAAAGCTATGGTCGAGCAAAGACCGAAATGGGGAGATTAGCAGCTCCGAGACGTCGGAGAGTCCAGGATCGAGCTATGTGGAAGAGACTACTACCAAGTCCACCCCATCAAGGAACAGGAGAAAATGATGTAGTTTGCAATCATGGTGATCATGGTTGGTTACGTGTTTTAAACAGGGCAGTGTAGTATGGTTTCCTACTTAAAAAGGACAGTTAGGACAGAGTTAGAGCCGACTGACAGTTTTAGTTTCAGCTGATGTGTTAGTCTGCAGTAAAAGGAAGGCTTCCTGTAATTGTTGAATGTAGTATGGGAGATGGGTGTCGTTTTTTGGTTTCTAAAACAGATGATGGAACCTAAGATCCATTGTTTGATTCCTTTCGTATGTGTTAAGGAGGCGTAATGCGGACTTACCAAGTTTTGATGTAGCGTGCCCAGAGAGAGTGCAGTTTGTAGAGGATAGGGGAAAAAAATGTAACAATGACCACTACTTGCAGCCCTACTTTCTTTTAGAGCTGAAAATTTGCCTTGAACCGTCCTTAACTCGTCCCTTACCCTGTCTGGTTCGTCCCTGAAGGGTCAAGATGAATAACTGACATGTCACTACTTGCGTCCATGTCTACTTCTCGACCCTGCTTGACCCTTAAGGGTTGGGAAAACCTTAGGAGCCAAAGTACCGACAAGCTTGGTGTATTTTGTGAGGTTTATAGGTTTTAAGGCTGGACTATCAGTTGAGCTGAAAAATCGTGTTTTTGCTGTTAACCGCAATCGAAAGGAAGTTATCTTGTCATCCGCAACCGCATCGAAAACTGTTAGCGGTTAACCACTAATTACAAAGTGTAATTAACAATTAACTACGGTTAACTGCAGTGATTATTTTATATTAGGCCAGTCGTGTCAAATTGCTACTTGTGTGCGATGGTAGGTTGGGAGCTCAAGTACTCATTGATTTTGGACTTCACGTTATTCACTCACAATTTTAATTAGTTACACTAAGAGACTATTGCATGTTGTGAAGGCATAGCTGAATTCTTAATTGCGGTTTCTTTCTTAATTGGTTATCCCTAACTCAGTTGCAGTTAAACCGCAAAATGGAGCATGTTGCTAACTATGATTGCATAAGAGTCTTCTTTTCCAATTGCGGTTTTCTAATAGCAACTCTTTTTTTTTTTTTTTTCAGACTCATATTCACCATGTGGTAGCCTACTGCGTTCCCCTTTGGGAGTTTAACCTTTTTTTTTTCGTAGAAATATAACATTCACTCTCTTCAAACATTTTGATTAATTTCGAAATGGTTTGTGGTACACAAGTACAACCATGTTCATTCATAAAACAAAAGAACAGAAAGAAAACCTAAAATCAAATCTTAACGACAAGGAAATCAGCAGTGCAGCCACAAGGATTCCTGGCACCAGCAATTACAAAAACATTTGTTGCAAATTCAAAGAAATTGAGTTGTCAGTCAAACCAAACATAAATGTTGAAGATTTAGAATTGAAAGGGGGTTGGGAAATCACAACTGGGGAAAGAAGGGTAGTAAAAGCTCAACGCCACAAACAATGAAAACAAAACACATTGTCGGGAAAAAAGAAAAAGCTCAAATTACATTCGTGACTCCCTTCATACCGAGTTCATGCTGCCGGCCAAATTTTGTCGACTGCATACTCTGCGAAAGAGGAAACATCGACGAAGCCTAAGATCGACTTCTACTGCTTTCCGCATTTCGAATTGGGTAGAAATACGGATGTGCCTGCATCATGCAACATTTTACAACAGCATTCAATCTAGGGAACATGCAAGCATGCGTGATTTCAAGGAAAGTGACCTGATTGACCGGACTATCTAATTGATCGGTAGAAGGGTTTACCATCGCTTCTTTTGCAGTTGGTCTCTCTTGGTGGTCATACCGCAACAATTTGTCTACAAAGTCGATTGCCTTTCAAGGAAAGACATTCAATTCAAAAATTAGTTCTCAAGAGTCGCTTAGAGAGGAGCAACCACTCAAGTCAGCAAACAACTTCCTACCTCAGGAACTGCCAAATGCTGGTTCTCAGAGTTGATGAATTTCATCCATGGTTTCCGGCCATGCCTGTACAGCAAAAGTCGAATGCTTTCAGCACAAAACTTGGAGTTCCGGAAGAAATACAAAATTCACACAAGAAAATATAATATGAGCTGACCTCCCAACAAGGGCAGAAAGATGTGGATCAATATCTATGCGGTACTTGCTCAAATATGCATTCAGTTCGTCTGTTCCCAGGATCTGTTGCACGAGGAAAACACCTTCAATAAGGAGCTTATAATGACATTACAAGGAGCTGTTAACAATTCACTTATCCTTTAATATTTCCCTATCAGACCACTCAGCTTCTCTCAGGGATTCAGCTCAACCGAGTAAATGGCCACCAAGGAAAAAACTTATTTCCCCACAACCAAAACCCACCAAACAGGACATAGTAAAAGGCTGTCACTGCTATGTTTTTTTTTTCGCCCTTCTTCTTTCACTCTTACCTTTGCTATTTTGACCAGTTGATCATAATTATCATGACCGTAGAAGAATGGCTCCTTACGGAATATCTGCAGGAAAACGAGCCAAAACATAAGCAACAAATGAAAACCAGCAGACATCTCCTAAGTCATGCTTATGATGGAGGAATGAGGATAAGCATAAAAAGTAGTGGTTGAAACACTGACCATTCCAGCAAACATACAACCAAGACTCCACAAATCTAAAGAGTAGTCATAGTCTTGCAAATCAACAAGAAGCTCAGGGCCTTTGAAGTACCTGCAGAATAGAAATCCTATCAAGAAACCAGGATCATATCACTTGTAGGAAATTTAGAAATTGAATATGGAACACTTCACGCTATAGAAGAAGGCAAACTAGATTATTATAGTTCTCAAAGTTTATCCCTACAATATGTAAAGCATCAAGCTTTGATTAGAATAAAGGCATCTGAAACCAATATCCATATAGCGCACTGACAATTAGAAGACATGTTTAATATACTACAAGGAGCCAACCTTGAAGCAACACGAACATTGTATTCTTTCCCAGGATGATAGAACTCTGCAAGGCCCCAATCTATGAGACGGAGTTTCCTCTGCTCATGATCAATCATTACATTGTGGGGCTTGACATCACGATGCATAATACCTTGTGAATGGCAATAATCAAGTGCCTGCACAGGAAAAAAAAATCATATTCGTCAATGAAAGGGTATTGATGATTCCATGGCTCAGTTATTGTTAAACAGGAGTGAGCCGAAACACCAAATGCAAGATAACATTGTCCAGTTCATCCTTGCAAATTTTCATACTCTGGCTATTGCCTGTTCTTTCTATATTTTCATGTCCCACTTATTTTATAAGAAAACTACAACATCACCAGCAGAACTGTGCATAGTGTACCAGTATTGCAGATGAAAGAACTATTTCTTTATATTATTAACTATATATCATATCCCAATTTCGGAGTATAAATAGCTGACGCACCAGACCAAGCACCTAAGCTCCAGGATATTGATAAAAAGAAAAAGGGAAGAAGAGAGAAAAGAAAGGGGGATGATGAGTCACGTCTACAGAAAAGTGCTTAGTGATTCATATCTAACATCACCAATTGCACAAATAGCATCATGATCGCTACAGCAACCATCATTTCGAGCTTTTCAAACATGCAGAACGTGATATATGGGATTGACATGCATTTCAATTCACTAAAAGAATATAGAAGAGTCATCACCTTCAAAAGTTCGTAGATGTAGTATCGAATATCATAGTCCTGAAGTGTTGGATAAAGTACTTTGAAATCAGTGTTATTCACATATTCAAATATAAGACTTGGTGTCTTCGATTGCTGATCTCTAACAATATCAAGCAACTTCACTATGTTAGGCCCTCCGCATAGATTCTGCAGTATTTTTATCTCCCTCTTGATCTGCAAATATCATAAAGTTAAGTTAGATTCACAAATGTCAACACGTAGATAAACTTTGTTGAAGGAAAATAATTGAGTCTCAAGTTCTGAAGTCAGCAAGCCAAATGGCTATTACATCAATAATGACACCTTTCAAACAACATATCACTTGAGCGTCATTTGTTGGCGTCTTTTAAATTGACAGACTGCCCTGTCAAGAGCTACAAGTCACCACAAACACATACCCTCTCCCAGCAAATAAGAAAAAATGGGGAATCTTGAAGGTTAGACTATACATAAATCCATACATGACTTGTAACAGGTGAAGTGTTTGAAAGAAGATAGAAACTACCGAATTCAAATGCAACACAATATTGAATACCAACGGAAAAGCTCAACAAAAAACAAAAAAAAGTACAGTAATCAAACATACAAATGGCATACTCGCCACCATGTAACATGTCAAATCAAATGCCTTTATGGGACTCACCTTCTTCTTCTTAACAGGCTTAAGTATCTTAATGATACATTTTTCATTATCAGTGCAATGAACACCTTCAAAAACCTCACTGTATTTTCCTCTGCCAACCTTCCTCACCACCTCGTAATCATCTTGTTCCCTGTAGACACCATCAGATAACTTCTCACCACCATCCAACAGAAAAATAACGCAGAACTGCTTATATGCTAAACATATAATAACCAGGACACCAGAAAAGAAAGTGTTATTGTAGGGCCTCAAATCGGGGGGTAAGGAGAGACTAAATGGATTAAGGAGATCCCAATTTTAACATTAATTTGCATGTATTATAACGACAAGCAACACAATGCATTCCACAGAATCCTATCTCACTTCAGTTAACTGTTCATGCATTAGAAGGACCGCAACCTTGCATTCGGAATACTATGGCAGCACCAACTAGCTAGAGAGTCACCTGAAGCAAAGCTACAAGTCAGCTGTGCGAGAATCAGTAGACTGACAAACCCATCAAATATGGAAGCATATTTAGTTGGTATTAAGGTTAAATTTCCGGACACAACATTGCCAAATCTTCAAACACTTAACTTCCCCTAGCCAGGCTATGAACAAAGAACCAACCTTCAACAATAATCACGAAATCCTACACCACATGAATCTGAATGAATCCAAAGGATGCACGGAGATGTTAACAGGAACCATGGGTATTTCCATCCTAATCCGAGTTTCTGGCAAATATCGACCAGATAGATAGACTATCTATTTAACCTTTACTGAGATTAACATGCCCATCATTCCTACTTCCAATTTCCAATTTCTCGGCATCCAACCACAGATGAAACCGAAAAATGAAACAACTAAAAAATTTCAACAAGGAAACAAATATAAATTAAAAATGACAAGGGAGGGAAGCAAGTCAATTTACCCCCACAGAACGGTAAGCGTCTCATAGTCCCAATACTCCTTAGGCCGGATAACGTTGACATCGGGATAAACCCTAGCCTTAGAAGGCGCACCAGGGCGCCGAATCGATTTCCCGATCTTCTGAGCCAGCGTGTCGGGTGTGGGTGCTAATGACCTCAACCGGTGGTAGAGCAGCGGCGGTGGGGAAGGCAGCGGCTGGGATTGCGGTTTCTGCTTCGGTCGCTGTTGAGGCCGATGGTGGTTAGGTTTGGACTTGCGTGGAGAGAAGACGTAAGCAGCAGCGGCGGCGGTTGTGGAGGAGGCAGAAGATGCCAATCGGCGCAGGAAGGCGACCGGGAGGAGGCGAGAGGCGGGGGAATTGGCGACGGAGGAGAAGAAAAGAGGGGAGACGCCGCAGGTATGGCGGAGGAATACGAATTGGTGGTGGTGGTGTTGTTGAAGCAGCAGCAGAGGCCCTATGGCCATTTAATCATGGTGGAAGGGGAAAAGAAAGAAATTTTGGTGGAAAATTAAAAACCAACTTTTATAACCGGAATCGCTTTCCTCCTCCGTATTCTCTTCTTCTCAAATTTTCCCAGCTCCTCCTCGCTTCTGGTTTCTTTTTCCTTTCTTTTTTTTTTCTCTTTTCTTTATCGCCCCGATAATAATTAATTAGTTGCCCTGCATTATTAATGACACATATATATATATATATATATATATATATTTCTGATCCCCCTGTCTCTTCCCGTCTTTTCTTGTCAGTGGATCCTTGTCACGACGTCGTGGCAGGTTATTGTAAGTTATACGGTGCCGTGTGCATGTTTGTTTGTTTCTCAATTTCCACCAGGGAATTTGGGGAATTTTCCAAAAATAGCACATAAAAAAAATTACAAAAATAGCACCCACCCGAAAATATTTATAAAAATAACATCTTTTTTTATGGACTGCACATCCAAAGTGTATTTTATATGTAAACCGCACCTGGAGGGTGCAGTTTATATATAAAACGCACCCTCCAGGGTGCGGTTTATTATCCCGGGCCAAAACCGCATCTTGGCCATGCGGTTTCAGGTCTGACCTACATAAACCGCATGGCCGGGGTGCGGTTTTGGCCTGACCTACATAAACCGCACCTTGGAGATGCGGTTTGCTTCTCCAAAACAAAAGCGCATCCCCAAGGTGCGGTTTAGCCACACAAACCGCACCCCCAGTGCGGTTTGTGTGTCAATTATTTTCCGACACCCGACATACAGCCATGCAGAATAACAGACGTGGGGCTGCATGGCATATGAAAACCGCATCTCTAAGGTGCGGTTTTCATCAGTGATTTTGCCTATAAAAGACTGCACGGAAAATCTCTTGTCTTCACGCCTCTCCTTCTCCCTTTTCAATTTTTTGTTCTAGTTCTATATTTCTTTAGTGTTTTTGCAGATGGCATTCCAAAAGTTCACGCTTGGCTTACGGTGGAATGGTTACACGGAAGAGACCGGAAAGGGGGTCACCTACGTCGGTGGCAATTTTCAGAAAATAAAGGTCGTTACCAGACCGCTGCTTGAAGGCCTCCATCAAATGTGCACTAACGTTACTTGCATGGATGGCACGAGAAGAGTTGATCGTATGGTGTACCGATCTCCAAACAGAGAAAGTGGGTCATTGTGGCATGAGGAATATCTCATAACCACTCAGGATGAAGTAGATTCCATGCTCGAATTCTTGAGATCCAACAATCTTTCCAAAGCCGAGATGTTCGTTTACACCGAGGCGGCCGTTGGCGTTGGAGGTCATTCTGGACACGGTCAAACATCTGGTATCCATGGTGGAGGTGAGTTATATGGCAATCATCCCTAACAAAGTTATCATGATCTTCATTCCAATTTTCAGTACCAAGAGCAAGGTGAAAGTCATCATCAATCTTTCTCGTCATATGAAGAAGAAGTTCAACCGGACCTCCCCAACCAACCTCAGTACAACTTCCAATCAGGCAGCGGTAGTTTTCACAACTACCATTATGGAGCTGATGAAGGTGCCTTTCCTTCTCTAAAGTGAAACAATGGGTCTCCTTCCTCCATCTCTCAGCTAATGCGGTGATGAGTTGGCGATCGACTTTGATGCCGTTAAAATGCCCAATCGGGTCCAACCATGCCCTTTTGAGAAAGGGCAAGATAGTTGGGTGGAATGGGAGCACATTGGTCATACCCCTGTAGCGGAGTATTGTTTGGGCCTCCTAGCGAAAATTTACACGTTAATTATTATATATTAGTAAGGGTTTTTTCTTATAACTAAATTAATTAAATTAAATTATTTAACTTCGAGCAGAATTTTATTATCATAAAAATACATTTCATATAATTAACATAATAACATTCTAAATCAATAATAATTTAAAGAGATACATACATATTATCATAAAACAAACATCCTAAATTAATTAACATAATAACATTCTAAATGAATAATAATTTAAAGAGATACATACATATTATCGTAAAACAAACATACTAAATTAATTAACATAAATAAAATTGTAAATGAATAATAATTTAAAGAGAAACATACATATTCAAATATTTGAAATTAATAAAATTCATTTTGTACATATAAAAAATAAATCGTATTGGTTGTTTGGTAAATAATTTAATCATATTGGTTGTTTTAAATAATTTAATCGAATACAGAGCAACACTCGTTAGACTCTTAGAAGAGGTATACATCTTCTTAGAAACGCAGTCTTTTTGACAGAAAAGGGGGTATCCGAGGATCTCTTAATACCCGATTTTCCCAGGGAATGGGAGAATATGATAATCGCTTAAAAATCCATTTCCTTATACGTGCATCTCTTTATAAAGAGCCGAAGTAAGTGGCGCTATGTATTCGATTAAATTATTGAAAACAACCAACAGGATTAAAACTTCAACATAAATTTATTTTATATTCCACTAAATACATCAGCAAAATAAAAGAAAGACAAATGATGAAGAATTGTATGTACCGGGTGATCGTTCCAAACATCCATTGACCGATGGTTGGGTTGGTCGTACAAGTCGGTTGGATCCAACGGTCCTTGCTCGAGATAATACCGTTGGTTGTATATATCCACGTCGTCCCCAACCTACGAGAAAATAACAACGAGGTTAGTACATAGATTAATTAAAAAGCTTATAACAACAACAAAAATTAAACCAGAATAATGAGTACGTACCGCTAGAAATTCATCAACATAAAACTCCCTCTCCTTGCCACCACTCGCTCATTTTTTTGGGAAATTCAGACAGAGATTTGGCTCGACTCAGCGGGTTTTGAGGAAAAAACCAAAGAAATGTTTTCTGATGGCAGATCTGACTTAGCCGCAACCAACATACCACTATTTTCTAGGCTTTTGGGAGGGGAGGGTTTAGAGAGATAAATTATAGAGAGAGAATGGAGAATGAGTTGTGGTGTGAAGAAATGAGAGGGGAAGGGGGGGGGGGGTATTTATACTTATCAGACCGCACCCTTCAGGGGTGGTCTGGTGATTTTTCCCTATCAGAAACCACTCCCTTCCGATGCGGTTTGCGATTCACGAGGCGCTGACCGCTCCTTGCAGGTGCGGTCCCCGATCCATGGCGCGGATCGCTCTGCTGGCTTGCGGTCCGCCGTCCGATCGCACCTTCATCCAACAGTCTTGAAGACCGTTCGGCAGAAAACACACATCGCATCTTCCTAGTGCGATTCGCGTGCTGACGTGGAATAAACCGCACCTGGAGCGTGCGGTTTACTTATAAAACGCACCTTGGAGGTGCGGTCTATTAAAAATGTTGCTATTAGTGTAAATTTTTTCGGCTCGGTGCTAGTTTTGTAATTTTTTTTAAACGTGCTATTATTGGAAAAAATCCAGGAATTTGAGGCGTGACTAAGGTCGGACATGTGACTAATTGGGTACTTAGTCACTTGACTAAACTTCTCTTAACTTTTATATTTGTACACTCCAATCTAACGATTAAAAAGTGAAAACAAATTTTAAATTAGCGATAGGAGTATTTTTGGTATTATGAAAAATTACGAAGCACACAAATCGAACTTGCAAACAATATAAATATACGAACATTACAAACTATAACTACAAAACATACAAACAGATTTACAAACAATACAAACATATGAATTGTACAAACAATACAAATTAGACCGACAAACAATACAAACCATACAAAATGAAAAACAACCGGGTTGACTTTGGAGGCTCCGTCGCTATATAGAGGGGCTTCGTCTCAAAGTCAACCCGTTTTTTTTTAGACATACAAACATTACAAACATGGTGGACAACAATGACAAACTAGACCGATAAATCATGCAAAATGGAAAAACACTCGGGTTGACTTTGGAGGCTTCATCCCTATATAGAGGAGTTCCATCCAAAAGCCAATCATGTTGTTTTTTAGGCAAAAAACATTGCAAACATGGTTGACAAAGATGGTGCAGAAAAATAACAAAACTTACAAACATTACAGAATAAATCGACAAACATCACAAAGCACTAGTTACAAAATAACACTAGTTACAATACAAATCGATAAAATTGTGTTACAAACCAATGAATACAAAGTATACAAATCATAACATAAAATATACAAAGTAGATTAACAAATATTATAAATCAAAATATATACAAATTAGTCATATAAACATTACAAACACAATAGACAAAAATAACAAACTAGAAATATAAACGATACAAATCGAATAAATATAAACATTACAAACCAAACTTATGAACATTACAAAACTATAGGCTTGCCAGAAAATCCGCTCCGCCGCCGAAAAATCCGCTCCGTTACCAAAAATCATAGACTCTCTTTCTTTCTCTCTCTCTGGGCGCCAAAAAACTCCACAGAGGCTCTCACTTGGGGCAAAAATTCCCAATTCCAGGAAAGGGACCGCCGGGGAGGGGACAGAAGTATTCCCAGGCGGTCGTCGAGAGTTTCCGGGAAACTGGAAGCCGACGGAAGCGTGGAAGGGACAACGCATTCATCCCACTTTTTATTTTATTTTAATTGTTAAATAAATAATCTGTGTAATTACCATCTTGTCTTATATTAAATGAGATTATGAACCATTAGATTTAAATGAGGTTGAAGGGTGGAGATTCACTTAGTCATGTGACAAAGGGACCCCCATTAGTCACATTATCTTAGCCCGACGCTACCTGGGTTGGACAGGAGAGTTTCCCCGGGGCAAAAGTTGCAATCACCGCCTGGGGATTTGAAGACCTGACCCGGGGATCGGAGTTGATAAATTGCAAATACCTTGTTGGTCTAGAAATTATTTCCTTTTATGTGTTTGGACGAGTTTGTTGTTTCTCTAGTCTGTATAAAGGGTTAAACACAAGTTTTAGGACGGATATTGAAGAATATTGAGTTTATTTTGGTTCATTGAGATTTAGACTTGTTAATTCTTTCTTTGTATCAATCGAGTTTTTCCCTTGATTGTGGTCGAGATTCTACACTTACTTTGATAGAGTCACCTCCCAGACGTGAGATTGCAATTCAGTTTCCCCTTATCCCTAGGTTTTATTCATGTTCTTGGCTGCGTGACTTTGATAACTACTGGTACCAGTTTCGTGCTCGTATCAAGTGGTATCATAGTCTGGTTCAACACAATGGCGAGAATAGAGGCAAGAGGGCATGTTGCTTCTCGAACGAGATCCAAAGACCCTATAGCAAACCGCAGAGCATAAGAGGATTCTTTGTCAGAGGAAGAAATCTCATTCGAAGAGCAAACCAACAAAGACCCTTAACACAATGGTCTTCAAACCCAGCAGGACGCTCCAAAAGCTCAGTTTGTTGAAACCAACAAGTGTCTGTGTACCCTAATCACCAATTGGAGATGAAACCTAGGGTTGATCCACCAGAGAATCCAACATTTGTATGTGCTAAAACTGGAGCAAAGAATCAAGAGGGCCCCAAAGCATAATGAGTTCAGAATTATCAAGCTTTTCATGAAACCCCAGTTTGGCAGATGCAAAGGCGTCAACAAAAGGGGCATCTTCATCATCTCTTCTTCATTCCCCCACCTATCTGCCGCCGACAACGACCCATCATCCGCCCTCCATCCTCCCATCTAGGGCTTGAAGTTTGGTACTGGTATTTGGGATATACCGAACACCGTACCAAATTTGTCTATATTTGGTATTACCGAATACACGTATTATTTCGTGGGATTGGGATGGGGATTGAGTTTCAATTGTTATTCGGTATTAGGGATTACGGGATTGGCATCGGTATATACCGAAATACTGATCAATACCGAAATATAAGCTAGTGTATACTTTATCCTCTCAACTAGACTCTCTCATTCACCACTACGCAACCCTCAACCACAAAGAGTGTCATTTAATTATACATAGATCATTACATCACTATTTCACACTAGTATTAGTTGTCTCTCAACCTCAAATTCATCAAATTAAAGATTACCAATTACAAAAACTTGAGATGTTAGCTCTAGGCAACTCAAGACTCTTTGCTTAGTCTCTTTGCCCTAAATTAAACAATAAAATCTAATTTATATATTTAATTATTAATTGTGAAGGTAATTAATTTTGTATTTGATAATACCGATTGGGATATTGAAGTACCAATCGGGATACCGAAATATTTAGAGATTGGGATTGGGATAACGAAATTATTTAGAGATTGGGATTGGGATTGCTTTCAGGGTGTAATTCGGTATTCGGGATTTCGGTATTGGGATACCGATACCGTACCGATTTTCACCCCTACTCCCATCGATATTGGATCTCTTATCATTGTATGCTTCTTTAATAAAGTTTGACGGTAGAATGGTATTATTGTGTACTTGTGTTGGATTAAGTTGATTATGTATTGATATATATCTATGTTAAATTATTTTGTATTCAATGATAACAGTTTAAGAAAAGAACTATGATAACGATGTAATTGCACATATTTGCGCCCCTAGTTCTTATCCGTTTGAGGGGCATAGTCGTGTATCTTTGGCCTATTTTACGTCGGGTTGTGCTATTTTGTCATATTTCACGTACCAGGCGTCAAAGGGAAGGCTAAGCACGAGTTTCGGGGCATTCGGAAGTCATTTCGTCGAGCTAGAGCCAAAACACGGGCACACCTAAAACAGAACACGGCCGTGTTCTGTGGCCGTGCTTTTGCTGCCGAGAGCTAATTCGAGTTTGGCAAACATGAGCTGATTACACGGGCAGGGCTGAGAATTCGCACGGCCGTGTCGACCAAAGCACGGTCGTGTCCACCCGAAAGCACGGCCGTGTTTGCACCAACACAATGGTCGTGTAATTAACACTAGCCAAAGCACGGGCGGGCTGAGGCATTACACGGTCGTGCCCTCGACCGTGCTTTGGCCACTGATGCCCTTTTAAGCAGATTTCAGCCAAAACAGAAGGGGATTCGAGTTTTAGAGAGATAGAACGATTCCTAGAGAGAGAAAGCGACGAACAAGAGTCTCCAAGTGCCCTAGCTTGATCTTCATCACCATTGGAGCTTGGCTTGAGCTTGGAGAAGTGCCGATCAACGTCTAGGAGCAGGAATCCATCCTTCACAGTATGAATTCCGTGTCTGATTCTGCTTTTGCTTCTTTCTCCATGGAGTAGTTCTCCCATTCATCTGGGTATGGAGAACCCTAGATTTGTATGTTAGGCTTTGATTGTATGAACCCAAGTACTGATTCTATGATTTGATTATATTCGATTGAGGTTTGAATGATTGAATGGCATGAATCCTGATCAAATTCCTGTTGTTTCTGCTTTAACCTAGAATGAGAATATCTGCCTAGGTTGATAGAGCATCCTTGATTGAAGGTAGGGAGTTGGTGAATTTAGTCGAGGAACCAACTCACTATTCTGTACCGAATTCACTCCGGTAGTGGAGGTTTTGTTTGTTAAGGCCTCAATCTGTTTACTCCGGTGGAGGTTAGTCGCCCGCTGGAGATTCAGATTGAGAGGGTCTGAAGACCTTTAGTCGAGACTTCGGGCTGTTTAAGAACCTTCCGCAGTATAACTATCATAGAAACTGAACTTGGTAATTGCAATCCGACTTAACTGCAGTCTAGGAGGAACCATATCCGGGTGACCTCTCTTAACCTGAATACAACAATTTACTTGCTTTGTTAGTTTGTTAGTTTAGACTTGCATTAAAGTTTCATTGCTAGATAACAAGAATTCACTGAGTAGTCATCAAATCTAGGACCCGGGTTGACATTTAAACCCAAACCCGCTATACTACGCTTTAGGAAGTGGTTTCACTTGGCCAATTCCTGGAGTGACAGTAGAAGTGAGTCAAGTTTTTGGCGCCGTTGCCGGGGACAGCTAGGTTGTTGAAGAAAAGTGATTTCTGTTAATTTAGCTTTTCTTTTCGCTTTGTTTGCTTTGTCCCAGTTGTGCCTTCACGGGTTTGCTTGCTTGAGTGTGTGCAGGTAGTGCATGACCCGTAGCCAGTCAGGAGGTTTACTGCCGTTGAATCCAGAGATTGACCGCACCTGTCGCCAGCTCAGGAGACAACAGCGAGCTAGACTGGCTACGGAGGAGCGCATAGACGGCCACCTGAGTAGCGATTCTGAAGAAGAGTACGGGATGGACGGAGACTACAGTCAACACCAGGGGAATCCGCAGCAGGTTCCCCCGGCGAATCACGTCCTCGGGAACAACCCCATACCCCAGGATCATGGGGTTCATCATCATCACCCACCGCCGGGTCCCACCTTGGAGTACTACTACACTCCACGGATTGCTGACATCCGCCCGGTCATCCTCTACCCGCCTATTCCAGCAAACAACTTCGAGATCAAGCCATGCTGGATTCAGCTCATTACATCCTCTATCCAGTTCCATGGCTTGAAGGATGAGGAGGCCAGGGTGCATCTTTCCCGTTTTCTGCAGCTGACGAACGGGTTCAAGCTGAATGGTGTCCCTGATGATGCAATCCGCCTTCATCTCTTCCCCCATTCTCTGGCGGGGAATGCTAAGAGGTGGTTGGAGACCCAGCCCCCATTGTCCATCACCTCTTGGGATGATCTGGCTGACAAATTTGTGCACAGGTACTATCCGGCATCGAAGACTACAGAGATCCAGCGGGAGATCACTCACTTCCGCCAAGAGCCAGATGAGTCACTTCGTGATGCATGGGAGAGGTACATGGGATATTTTTGGCAGTGTCCCCATCATGGCTTTAGTGATGCATTCACAGTGGGAAACTTCTACAGTGCTCTCTCTCCAGACAGCCAGAGGGTGATTGAGTCTCTATGCCCAGGAGGGGATATTCTTACTAAGACTCCACCCGAGCTGAACCAGATGATCAGTACTTTGGCTGCCAGAGATCATTCTTGGGGACAGGGTAGCCGAGGCAGACAGTCCCGGGACCGTGGTGTGCACGCCATGGAGACCAGATCCGGGCTCGAGCAGCAGGTAGCTGAGCTAGTGCAGACATTGAAGCAGCCCAACAGTCTTATTCCGGGCAGAGGTTTGGCTACACCTCCAGTAGCTCAATGTCAGTGGTGCGAGAGCTCTAATCACCTAGTGGAGGACTGCCAGGCTATGAGGGAGTCTACCACTCCCCAAGAGCAGTTGGACTTCATCGCCAATGCTCGGCGCCTCGACCCGTACAACAACACATATAATGAGGGGTGGCGCCAGCATCCCAACTTCTCCTAGAGCAGCAACACCACTAAACCACCTGGTTTCCCAGCACCAGCAAGTGGTTTTCAGCAGAGGCAGCCCTTCCAGGCTCGACAGGGGCCAGCCCCACAGCAGCAGCCCTACCAGCCTAGGCAGGGGCAACCATTCCAACAGCCCCCGCGTTAGTTTGTCGAGCCAGCAGCAGCCCCTGCCCCAGATGACCGGATGACAAAGCTGGAAAATATTCTAGCTTCATTCATGACTAGCACTCAGGATGGTATCACGTCACTGGAGGCAGGTCAGCGGAACCAGGGTGCCATTTTGCAAGATCTGCAGACCCAGGTGGGCATCTTGGCCAGCCAAAACACTACCAGGGCACCGGGGACTCTGCCTGCCACCACTATCCAGAATCCTCGGGATCCTCACCAGCTCCAGCAGCTGGATGCCATTTTTACCAGGAGCGGTAAGACCATATATGCTGATCCTGTCCCGGCCAGACATGAGGAACCATCACCTGCTTCGGCACTTCCAGCCGACGATGCAGCAGTGCGGGTGGAGAAGGAAGTCCCTGCTCCCAAGCCACAACCAGTGGTTAAGGAGCATGTACCCCAGCTTCCCTTCCCCACTCGCCTACACAAAGACAAGTTGGAGACTGAGTTTGCCAATTTTATGGCAATGTTGAAGCAGCTCAACATCAGCATACCGTTCGTGGAGGCACTGTCGAAGATGCCCAAGTATGCCAAGTTCATGAAAGATCTCCTCACCAACAAGAAGAAACTTGGGGATCTCTCGACAGTGTTGCTGAGCGAGGAGTGTTCTACTATCCTGCAGAACAAGCTGCCCGAAAAGCGCAAGGACCCAGGGAGTTTTACTATCCCTCTTACTATTGGCAGCATGCATGTAGGCAAGTCCTTGGCGGACCTAGGCGCTAGCATAAATGTCATGCCATATAAGTTGTATAAAAAGCTAGACCTAGGTGAACTTAGCCCTACTAGGATGAGCATTCAGCTAGCTGATCGTTCCATTGTGCATCCTAGGGGAATCATAGAGGATCTGCTTGTCAGTGTCGGTGCATTCACATATCCTGTTGATTTTGTTATTCTTGATATACATGAGGATGTGGATGTGCCATTGATTCTGGGGAGACCATTTCTTGCCACCGCCAAGGCACTTATTGATGTGCATGATGGTAAACTGATCCTGCGTGCTGGGAATGAACATGCTACTTTTTCTGTGACTGAATTTGATCATTGTGCTATGATTGCTGTCACGCCTGTACATGCCATTTCTGATCAGGTACACGAGCCTGTCGTGTATCCTTCTCAACCTCTTATTTTGCAGGACCCTCCTATCATTCCTTCGCTGCCACTCCATCCAGCCTCGCCTCCGAACAAAAAGCTCAAGGAGGAGTGGCGGCCGAAGCAGCAGGTTGCTAAGCCTGTTCGGAAGAAAGGTGGAGACCACTATGAGCTGGTCCCACCTTCTGCACCACGACCACCCTGGTCGTCCGGGTACTCACTCGCCTGCATCTTGCCGGATGGCCAGGTCGAGCTGGCAGATGATGGTGGTCGCATCCGTCGGGTGCATGGCCACAACCTGAAGCTGTACCTCAAGAGCGACGTGGATCCGCTCTTGGAGGCACCTGTTCCTGCACCTCCCTGAGTATCCACCATTGGCGTCCAGCTAAAAGACGGTAAAGAAGCGCTTGTGGGGAGGCAACCCCACCACGGTTTGACTTACTTTCTTGTGTTTTGAGTCGAATTGTAAACCAGTTTGGTTTTGGTTTGTTTTCTGGATGTATTATTGGGCTGACCATTAGACCTAACATATTGTGTTTGAGCTCTTTGGTTTCCTTTGGCTGTGCTTACCTTGACAGGTCCTCTCTCCAGTCCGCTTCACTCGACTGGTCCGCTTCCAGCCTCCTGCAGTCCGTGCATACCGGTAAAATCGTTCCCCTTTTTCTTCCCTCTTCTCCATTGAGGGTAATGTCGATCTTAAGTGTGGGGGGATGTTTATCTTTTGACTGCATTTGATCTGTTTGTGTGCTTGGGGCCTAGTCCACTGTCCAAATTTTAAAATTTGAGGGCTCCAAGTACGTGTTCCCTGCAATTGCCTGCTCAGTATGCTTTGAATTGACAGTCTTTATAGTAATATGCAACCTAGGGAGGTAGTGTAGCACTATGGAGGATGTTGATGCATTTAAGAAGTCTCACTTCTTCTTCATATTGTGTTGGTTGATTGAGGCCCCAAGCATGTGTTCCTTGCAATTGCCTGCTCAGTATGGTTTGAATTGACAGTCTTTATAGTAATATGCAACCTAGGGAGGTAGTGTAGCACTATGGAGGATGTTGATGCCTTTAAGAAGTCTCACTTCTTCTTCATATTGTGTTGGTTGATTGAGTGAATTAGTGATCTTAGGACCCTTGAATTGTGTGGTGTTGTGGACTCTCTACCTTTGAGTTTAACAGGTGCTCGAAAATGTGCTTCAAAATAACGTCTCCCGTGCGAATAGGGCGAAAGTGTGTAAGGGGAGACGAGAATCCGTTCCCAATTTCCACCTACTACCTCCAGCCCCCTTACATGTCTTTCCCCCGCACGAGGCTCGAGACATCCGCTCCTGGCATGGCCGGTAAGAGCCGGGCTCCCGCAAAACCTCTGCTAGGTGGGAGCCCCCATTTTCTGAAAAGCAGGTTGGGACCCTTGAAAAAAAAAAAAAAACAGAAAACAAGCAAAACAGAAAGAAAAGGGGTTCCAACCATCTTCAAGAAGAAAATAGAGCACCTTGAAAAATGTGAGTCCATGATCCTTTATTTTTTAGAATCTCTTCATCCACGATTCATTTGTCCTCTGTTCACTATTTGCCATGATGCCGACTCGATACTAGTGCTCTCGCCGAAGGAGCTATGAGATGACTTGTGCGTCGGTTGACCTCGTAAGCTGCTAAATGATCTAGGAAGTCCTCTACCTACGATCTGGGTTATTTGTTGCTATAGAGGTCTGGAGAGTTGCATTGGTTTGAGTTAGGTTTGCTTGGGGACAAGCAAACGGTTAAGTGTGGGGGAGTTTGATAACGATGTAATTGCACATATTTGCGCCCCTAGTTCTTATCCGTTTGAGGGGCATAGTCGTGTATCTTTGGCCTATTTTACGCCGGGTTGTGCTATTTTGTCATATTTCAGGTCCCAGGCGTCAAAGGGAAGGCTAAGCATGAGTTTCGGGGCATTCGGAAGTCATTTCGTCGAGCTGGAGCCAAAACACGGGCACACCTAAAACAGAACACGGCCGTGTTCTGTGGCCGTGCTTTTGCTGCCGAGAGCTAATTCGAGTTTGGCAAACATGAGCTGATTACACGGGCAGGGCTGAGAATTTGCACGGCCGTGTCGACCAAAGCACGGCCGTGTCCACCCGAAAGCACGACCGTGTTTGCACCAACACAATGGCCGTGTAATTAACACTAGCCAAAGCATGGGCGGGCTGAGGCATTACACGGCCGTGCCCTCGACCGTGCTTTGGCCATTGATGCCCTTTTAAGCAGATTTCAGCCAAAACATAAGGGGATTCGAGTTTTAGAGAGATAGAACGATTCCTAGAGAGAGAAAGCGACGAACAAGAGTCTCCAAGTGCCCTAGCTTGATCTTCATCACCATTGGAGCTTGGCTTGAGCTTGGAGAAGTGCCGATCAACGTCTAGGAGCAGGAATCCATCCTTCACAGTATGAATTCCGCGTCTGATTCTGCTTTTGCTTCTTTCTCCATGGAGTAGTTCTCCCATTCATCTGGGTATGGAGAACCCTAGATTTGTATGTTAGGCTTTGATTGTATGAACCCAAGTACTGATTCTATGATTTGATTATATTCGATTGAGGTTTGAATGATTGAATGACATGAATCATGATCAAATTCCTGTTGTTTCTGCTTTAACCTAGAATGAGAATATCTGCCTAGGTTGATAGAGCATCCTTGATTGAAGGTAGGGAGTTGGTGACTTTAGTCGAGGAACCAACTCACTATTTTGTACCGAATTCACTTCGGTAGTGGAGGTTTTGTTTGTTAAGGCCTCAATCTGTTTACTCCGGTGGAGGTTAATCGCCCGCTGGAGATTCAGATTGAGAGGGTCTGAAGACCTTTAGTCGAGACTTCAGGCTGTTTAAGAACCTTCCGCAGTATAACTATCATAGAAACTGAACTTGGCAATTGCAATCCGACTTAACTACAGTCTAGGGTGAACCATATCCGGGTGACCTCTCTTAACCTGAATACAACAATTTACTTGCTTTGTTAGTTTGTTAGTTTAGACTTGCATTAAAGTTTCATTGCTAGATAACAAGAATTCACTGAGTAGTCATCAAATCTAGGACCCGGGTTGACATTTAAACCCAAACCCGCTATACTACGCTTTAGGAAGTGGTTTCACTTGGCCAATTCCTGGAGTGACAGTAGAAGTGAGTCAAACTACCTTGTATGTATGAAAATATAGAAATTTCATCTTTGAAAAAAGAAGGTCTTTTGTTAGTAAGGTTATCGATCGGTTATTTTGGTATAACCTTCCAAAATCATTTGGATAATGGTTATCCGGTTAACCGACAAAATAACCGAGAACCGACTATATGGTTACGGTTAATCGACTAATTTAAATGGTTCAGTTAACGGTAAGCATAATGTGCTTAGCGGTTAACCGAGAATCGACGAAAGGTTTCGGTTATAACCAAACCAAACCGATTATCAGGCCTAGTAATGACCATTTATTAGCCAAACCATTTTTTGATTCTTTTTTATTAGCCAAACCTATCGAAATACTAAGAATTAGCCAAATGTTAACTTCTAGTTAGCAATTTTGTTAGTAATATTGGCTTGCCAACATGATACTGACTTAGAAGAGATACATGAAGGTCAACATTCCAAAATTTTAGTATTTTAAATAAGAAAATAGTTACAAAATTATTGATGATAACGTAAAAATTGCCAATATTTTGATATATTACGAAAGATTTGACTAATTAATAGCATTTTAATAGGTTTGCATAATATAAAAGAATCAGAAATAGGTTTGGATAAAAAATAGAAATTACCCTTTTTTATGCGTAGTTACAAGTGTTTGATGGTCTCTTCAAGGGTCAATACGAAAGTGCTATGTTGAGTGTCATGTTTAATTCCAGAAGATTCATTTGTTAACTTTGACAAGAAAATATTGTTAGAGCATCCATATTGGTATTGTATTTTCAATTGCAAAATGACATGGAACAGGTGTTTGCAATTGCAAAATCAATTGCATTGATGTGGCTACCAATTGCATATTTGCAAGCTTGCAACAAATGCAATTCCATATCCAAGTCAAAAAAGTCTAAAAAATGGAAATTATTTTATATTATTTTCTTTTCTCTTTTACTTAATTTTCTATAATTTAAACATAATATTTAATTACATTTGCAATTGCAAGTTAATTGCATCGATGTATGTGAATGAAATGAATGTGATGTGGATTGCAAAAAATTTGAGTTGACAATAAAAAACACAAATGCAATTTCTTTTGCAATTGCATTGATGGAGATGCTCTTATAATTTGCTACAATTTATTCTATTGGTTGTTTGGATGCATCATTTTGGTTTTGTCGTATTTTGAATCAAAATGTAACATTATTTTGTTATCTTGCATTTCATGTGGTTTTCAGCTTGGAATGTAACAATTGAGTATAACTGTCATTGTTTGGGTATCACATTCACATGTTGTGGTATTTCACCACTTAAAAAAGGGAGGAGTGAGTTAACTGAAATGTCTTGGGGGGAGCAATCGACGCATAATGCATCATTTCAATTGCAACGAGCCCAAAAATACCACAACCAAGGTTGTGAACCTGTCAATTGACCCGTTTTGACGATGACCAGATGAAAAAAATGGGCAACGCACTCGCGGGTCGACCCGCTGCAAGGTTACTAGGTTGGAGGTCGTACTATGTTGTTTTTCCATTTGATTTGTGAAATAGGCCTCTTTTCCGATTTTTCTCTTCACCTAACCCTATTTTTGGAATTATTAGTTGAACATTTGAAAATTTATGTTATGAGTATGTGAATTTTTATTATATATTGTGTTCAAGTAGCACATGTTATTTTGGTGTAATATATGTTATTACTCATGTGTTAGATGAGATTTGATATAATTTATAAATGTATGAATAATATAATAATTTTTTATATATTCGGGCTAAACCGGACTAAAGCGATTGGACCATTAACCTTCAACCCAGTTGCTCGACCGTGCCAACGGGCTAAATCGAGTTGACAACCTTGACCACAATCCAATTTTTGTTTGCCAAATGAGTTATTTCAACCGAAATAACCCATCATAATGTTGTATCTACTAGATGCTTATATATTTGAGATGAAGACAGTTGAGAGGTTTGCAGGATTAAAGAAAATTCTTGAATATTTATGGGAAATGGTTGTGTAACTAAAAAATGAGTGTTTTCATTAGTGTATGAAAATATGAAGTCGGCATTGTTTCTACCTGTCACAACTGTAAGTATTGAAATAGCATTTTCAACAATGAACTTCGTGACGAACAAATTTTTGCATCAGACGAGTGGGGAAATCATGAACATTTTTTAGTGGAGTATATTAGAATGACATACTTGATAGTTTAGATAATTAATGTAATTTCATATAATTTTCAAAATATGAAAACACGTCATTGATCATTATAAAAATTAATATTATATTTTTTGTTTTAACGTTGATCAGTATGAAAACACATCGTTGATCGTTGGTGTATTGAGTTTTGAAATTGGTGTTATTGCTATTTGTCGTCATTTCAAGTAGAGGAGTACTTTCTCCAATGAACTAGCTCCTTGGAATATCAAATTAAGATAGGGAACTAGCTCCTTGGCCAATCAACTAAGGGTAGCAAAGGCTACTCCCTCGGAACTTAATCCGAATGATAAAATAACAACCAATCAAGTTGCTAAATCGAAGTTTGAGGCTTGCCCTAAATTGCCCAGATGGGTGATAAGCCGTTAATTGCACATGTTTTTACCCCTGTTCTTACACCGTTTGAGATGTGATTTCTCGTGTTTTAGGCCGGTTTCACGCTAGGTTGTGCTTGTTTGTGATATTTCAGGTCCTAGTACGTGAATGGAGGCTTGGGAGCGAGTTTGGGGTCGATTGGACAAAGATCGGGCGCGAGGCAAGTCACAAAGGAGGCCACACGGGCACACCCACAACCCACACGGCCGTGCAAGTGACCACTTTGGCCGTGTGAGATTGTGCGAGAGCAAACACGGCCTGCCCTGATGTTCACACGGCCGTGTGAAGGAGTGGTTTGGCCGTGCGAGTTGCGCTGAGAGCAAACACGGGCAGGATGGAAATCCCACACGGCCGTGCGACCCTGGCCGTGTGGGAAGCCTGAATTTCGAACTAATTGATACGCCGCGTTTTGACTCACACGGGCAACTGGGTGAGCCACACGGCCGTGTGGCCCTGCCCGTGTGAGTCGGGAATTGATGGTTAAAACTCGATTTTCAGTCAAAGGAAAGGAGAGAGCTGGGTTTTGGATCCCAAACACCCAAGGGACGAACCCTAGAGAGAGAGACAGCGACTTGGGAACATTCTTGGAGCTATTTTGGAGGATTTCTTCGCCATTGGAGCTCGGGAATCAAGCTTGGAGATGGAGATTGAAGATCTAGATCAGATTTCTGCAGTCTCTCTCTTCTCTATGGAGTAACTTCCCTTCACTTAGGTTTTGAGGAACCCTAGTTCCATGAGTTAGGATCTTGCTTGTATGAAGTTTTGGATGCTATGTTGTTTGATTTTAATCGAATGATGCATGTTTATTGAGTCAATTGAAGTCTGATCAACTTTTCCTGATTCCTGCTGCAATCTGAGATAGATAGAATCTGATTAGGTTGCTAGAGTCTCATCATTCGGTAGTAGGAGATTGGCTATACGAGAGTTAGTCAGTTTACTGCTTTGTACTGGAATCCAATTCCAGTAGTGGAGTTCTGTGTTTATTGCTTCAGCTTTCTATCCCGGTGAAGACTAGTCGTCTGCCGAATAGTTAGACTGAGAGGGCTTGGTCAGCTTAAGAGATTCCAAGCTACTGTCGGATCTTCCGCAGTTTAATCAACAGTAAAATAACCAAAAGGAATTACAACTTGGACCTAATTGAGGAGCTAGGGGGAATCATACCTAAGTGAGTTCCCAAACTGTAATTAGTAGTTTTACTTAGTTTAGTTAGTAGAGTAGTTTAGTTAATCAATCCTTAATCTAGTTTGCTAGATAATGAACTGAAGCAGAGTAATAGTAACTCTAGAGACCCGTGGATTCGATATTTATTACTTGTGCCACTATACTGCAGTCCCTTTCATTGGTTACACTTGGCCATTGTTAGGTGTTGTGTTTTAGAGCATCAAGTTTTTGGCGCCGTTGCCGGGGACTTTCTAGAGTATTTGGAAAGGCAGAAGTTTGTTACTTTAGCGTTTTTCTTTTCTTTTCTTTTCCACCCTTGCTTTTCACTTGGGTGTTTTTGTTTTTGTTGGTGCAGATCTGAATCATGGATCCGCATGGCTTCTCCAACCAGTGGGGGTATCCACCACCATCTGAGTGGTATTACCCCGAGACTCCCTGGAGCAATCAAGGAGAAGAAGACTATGGATTCGGGTTCCAGTACCAATCCCCTTTCTACGGAGAACAACCAGACCCCTGGGCATATCAAGAACAACCTCATTACCAAGAAGACTTTCTCCCACAACCAGAAGGGCCATCGGAGCTGGAGTTACCCATGGCGGCCTTCACGGGCCACTCTGCAGAGCCATGCTACACTTCACTGGAAGATCCGAACAAACAATTAAGGCTTCTCGTGGAGCAGTTTGCTCGAGACACTGAAAAATCATGCTCCAAGATGGATTTTCAAATCAAAGCCTTTGCCACTTCCGATCCCTCATTTCTCCATGATATGGAGGAGACTGTTCAGCGCTCAGCGAAGCAAACAGAGTGGGTGAAGCAAGTTTGCTCGCATCTTGCTCAAGATCGCCTTTCTGCTACCACGCTAGAAGAGGTGGAGGATGACAAAGGCTATGGGAGCGACCACACCTTTCCTCATTTATGCTCTAACATGCTGGGCCCATGCGAGGAGATGCAAGATGATCCCATTGAAGAAATTGCTTGGCGACTTGCTCTCCAATCTGTTCTAGAAGAAGAAGAGCGAGCAAGGATGAGGAAGGAAGTTGTGGATGATGAGGAAGAAAGAAAAGAAGAGGTGGTTCTTGATCTTTTCCCAGGGGAGAGACCACATTTTGAAGAAGGAAGGGGGGTTGAGGAAGCAATTGGCGTCCAGGCTGAGGATGAAGTTGAGGTGGAAGAGGCATGCACCGGCCATGAGTTGCAAGTAATATCCCCACCAAACTTTGAGGAACTGCTTGGCAAGGACCCATTTCCAGTGTCTCTTTGCCAGACCAAGGCCACATCAATATCGGTCCCTCTTGGTGGACGCGATGGTAGCCAATCGATGATGTCATATCTGGTTTGGGGCAATGAGACGAGGGAAGAGAAGAAGAGGTCTCGAGGGTGGAGACTTCATCTGCATCAAGTACATGAGCCTTCCTCACCTGCCACACCACATGCTCGTGACTTGAGACTCCACCTCATCGACGAGAACCTCAACTACAAGGAGGTTCTAGCATGGACCGAAACTTAGGAGCCATCGTCCGGCTCACGACGTGAAAGAAGCGCTTGTTAGGAGGCAACCCAACCAGTCGGTTTGCATTTCTTTCTCTATTTCTCCTCGGTTGAGTCAGTTTTGTTATTTGATTTTAGAGTCAATAACTCAACCTTTGTGAGATTTTGTGTGGTGTTTGTGTTCTGATTACTCTCTCTTTCTGGAATGCACCGCCTGACCCGTTCATCATCATTCACCCTTGATCTGGTAACTTTGTTCTACCCTCCTTATCTTTCCTCCATTGAGGACAATGTCGTGCTTAAGTGTGTGTGTGTGTGGGGGGGGGTGTTCGATTATTTATGCGGGTGAATGTTTGGCTGTTTGTGTGCTTGGAGCCTAGTCCACTGTCCAAATCTCGAGATTTGAGGGCTCCAAGTACTGCTGTTTGATCATATTGGCACTGTGTTTTGATTGATGAATTGAATGGTTTTCGGATTGATGCATGACAGCTTGATTGTGACTAGGATAACCTATGATGAGGACTAAGACGTGCAGTAGAGTTGTGTAGGGGTTCAGTTTTCCAACTGTTTGCTTACCAACTGTGACTTGGATTGATTACGTGTTCTTGACAGTCTCTTATGCATCTAGTTCAGGGTATCAGAATGTGAGATAGAGCATATAGGTAGCCATGTGAGATTTGAGCCTGCTCGTTTCTTTCTTGTGCGATAGATCCCTCTTCCATGATGTGTAGCATTCACGTTGTCACTAGCTAGGATGATGGGGGCGTAGGATTAGCCCACGACCAAATTTGACTGTCCTAATATGTCATATCCCCTAGTCAGCCCTTTTGAGCCGTGTGTTATCCTTTCTTTTGGTCTGAAATGAAAAAAATCACCCTGTTTACATCTTTTAGAAGGTTCCACAGAGTGGTTTTTACATATTCTCTGCTGTTTCTGCTAAATTTGATGTGAGTGTTGGAGGTAGTGCTTAAAAGTTGAGCTGGGCATGTGTTTGAAATATATGCAGAAGTGGTGGCTCTCTTAAGAAGTGAAAAGGAAATGAAAGAAAAACAAAGAAAAATTGAAAGCAAAGAGAGCCACTACCAAAAATCTGAATAATGCCCAGTAAGTAGTGTTTCTTAGCAGTCTGGCTTGGAAATGCTGACATTTATACCTCCTTCACTCTTGTGCTCTTGAGATATTGAGTAATGCAGAATAGCAGAAAGGAAATACCGGTTTGTTTGACTGTGATTGTTTGGGTTTGGAAATGTGGAACCTTGTGCTATGAATACTTCCACCACCTAAAAGGCCTTTTCCCCATGTCCAAGACCCTAGCCAGTCATTTGAACTTGTGTATAAGACCTCCTGATTAGTTAGTGGTGACACCCCATATGTGAACTCTAGCATTTAGAGGTTGCCATCATGTTGAAGAGATGTTAGGGATTGAGAGAAATAACATGCACATTTTTCGCATCAAATTGTCCTGATCCCACTGGTCGAGAGTGAGTGTTTCATTTTTCATTCTATATACTCTTGTACCCCGGTGAGGACCTAGATTGCTCGGTCTCTATTCTGATGTCTTGAGTTGGATGAATGAGTTGACTGTTTTGAGTAAGTGGTTGAGTCAAGTCTAGGTTGGTTGGTGAACATAAGGGAGACTCTTCCTTTACTCGATTTTGCTGCACTCGAATGTCCTTGGTGGTGGTTGTCCAGGTTGCTATTGAAGTTGGTCAGGTATTGATGTTTGAAAACCAGTACGATTCACGTGTTCTGTGCCTTTATGACTTGTCCCCAATGTTGGTTGATTGAAATATGTGAGCCTACCTTGTGTCTGACTTGGTTTGCTTGGGGACAAGCAAATGGTTAAGTGTGGGGGAGTTTGATAAGCCGTTAATTGCACATGTTTTTACCCCTGTTCTTACACCGTTTGAGATGTGATTTCTCGTGTTTTAGGACGATTTCACGCTAGGTTGTGCTTGTTTGTGATATTTCAGGTCCTAGTACGTGAATGGAGGCTTGGGAGCGAGTTTGGGGTCGATTGGACGAAGATCGGGCGCGAGGCAAGTCACAAAGGAGGCCACACGGGCACACCCACAACCCACACGGTCGTGCAAGTGACCACTTTGGCCGTGTGAGATTGTGAGAGAGCAAACACGGCCTGCCCTGATGTTCACAAGGCCGTGTGAAGGAGTGGTTTGGCCGTGCGAGTTGCGCCGAGAGCAAACACGGGCAGGATGGAAATCCCACACGGCCGTGCGACCCTGGCCATGTGGGAAGCCTGAATTTCGAACTAATTGATACGCCGCGTTTTGACCCACACGGGCAACTGGGTGAGCCACACGGCCGTGTGGCCCTGCCCGTGTGAGTCGGGAATTGCTGGTTAAAATTCGATTTTCAGCCAAAGGAAAGGAGAGAGCTGGGTTTTGGATCCCAAACACCCAAGGGACGAACCCTAGAGAGAGAGAGCGACTTGGGAACATTCTTGGAGCTATTTTGGAGGATTTCTTCGCCATTGGAGCTCGGGAATCAAGCTTGGAGATGGAGATTGAAGATCTAGATCAGATTTCTGCAGTCTCTCTCTTCTCTATGGAGTAACTTCCCTTCACTTAGGTTTTGAGGAACCCTAGTTCCATGAGTTAGGATCTTGCTTGTATGAAGTTTTGGATGCTATGTTGTTTGATTTTAATCGAATGATGCATGTTTATTGAGTCAATTGAAGTCTGCTCAACTTTTCCTGATTCCTGCTGCAATCTGAGATAGATAGAATCTGATTAGGTTGCTAGAGTCTCATCATTCGGTAGTAGGAGATTGGCTATACGGAGTTAGTCAGTTTAGTGCTTTGTACTGGAATCCAATTTCAGTAGTGGAGTTCTGTGCTTATTGCTTCAGCTTTCTATCCCGGTGAAGACTAGTCGTCTGCCGGATAGTTAGACTGAGAGGGCTTGGTCAGCTTAAGAGATTCCAAGCTACTGTTGGATCTTCCGCAGTTTAATCAACAGTAAAACAACCAAAAGGAATTACAACTTGGACCTAATTGAGGAGCTAGGGGGAATCATACCTAAGTGAGTTCCCAAACTGTAATTTGTAGTTTTACTTAGTTTAGTTAGTAGAGTAGTTTAGTTAATCAATCCTTAATCTAGTTTGCTAGATAATGAACTGAAGCAGAGTAATAGTAACTCTAGAGACCCGTGGATTCGATATTTATTACTTGTGCCACTATACTGCAGTCCCTTTCATTGGTTACACTTGGCCATTGTTAGGTGTTGTGTTTTAGAGCATCAAGTTAGGTGTTGTGTTTTAGAGCATCAATGGGCGACTCAAATGGCCAAAAAATCCAACTCCTTAAAGCCTCTAATAAAAGGGGATTCCCTCCACCTACATCAATTTGACATGGTTATGAGAAATGAAGAACACAACTTAAGAATTCTGAAAATATCTCAAACTTTGCATTAAACACAAACTCACACACTTAGCATTCAATCCATACAATCTATCACATATCTAAAGCTAGGATTCACAATATCCAAGTTAAAAGGGACACTACTCCATGGCTAGGCTAGAGATTACAACAAAGAAGAGAGAAAGAATCATGGTGGAATGCTTGTCTTCCTTCCTTGTTGTTGGAAACTCTTTTGAGAGATGAAAATCTTCACTCCTCTAACTTTGTGCAAACCCTAATCCTCTTCTTCTCTCTTTGTTTCTCAGTTTCTCTGTCTAGTTTTTGAAGAAGAAGATCTTTCTCTCACTAGGATTCCTCTCCACCTTTGATTTTAGCTTTCTCCTCCTTTTATAAACCTGTCGGGTAGATGTCACGGTCAAATGTCAAGGGCGTGATCTTGGAGGCCTGCCCATGATGTCGGGGAAAAAATGTACCGTTTAAATAAACATCTTCACGGTCGAGGCAGAATTGTCACGGTCGACTGACAGTGACAATTGACTTGTCTGTGAGGCGTGCAAATGCTCCTAGAAGTTGTTGATCTTTATGGTTATAGGAAAATATTCACGGTCTCCCGCCTATGAGAATCTCCCCTTGCCCGTGACTTTCGCCTTTTTGTTCATTTTGCTGCTTTCGCCCTCTTTCGTTCAACTTTCGCTCCTGAGGCAATTCCACCTGATAAAACCTGAAACATGCTAAAACATGCACAAACCTAGCGTAAAATCGAACCTCGGGCGATGCGAACACTTCAAATGCCACAAGAAAATGGGGTGTAAATATGTATAATTAAGCCCGAGGAAAAACAATGTCCGGCAGTTGTAACAAATAATTCGCATTAATGACTCGAAGGGGATAGACTCCCCTTGCCATTTTTCATATTCTTGTCCGATTGTACTAAGGTCGATTTAGGACTTGTAGCTCTGTTTTCCTTTCTTCTATCCTACCCCGTTTCTTTTCCTTAGACACCCTGCTTTCCTCCTTGATTCTCCTTGCTTTGGCCTTCTAGCGGGTTCAGCTCTCTTGTGTATGATTAGGATATTCCTTAATCGAATTCATACCTTGTATCTTAGTTGACAGGTTCGTTGCACCAGTGACTAGTTCCTTTTGGATTTTGGACCAACACCCTCGGTATGTGAAATTACATTGCTCGTATAATCATTCTCTCCTCACTTTCCACTCTTTTTCACACCAACTTCCTCCTTACTTTGTCTCATTGAGCCATCTTACTGCATGGGATGAGTTGGGGGACAATGGGACATGATTTCTCTCCCTCTTAACCTGCCTATCATGCACATACCCTTCCGCATGCAGAATATCGAACCTATTATAAGACCTGTCCATTTTTCCTTGTTTCTTGGAATCCCCCCTTGCCTCCAGATTATTGGCAATTCGAACTGGCCTTCTCTCCTTTTCATGACCATCATCCAATCCCCTTAGGAGCCTCCTCTTTTTGGGTTTCCAGCACAACTTCCTCTTCATCTTCATCACCATTAGTGTGCATATCCCGACATTTGCATAGATCCGTTGGTTTCCCATACGTCCCATAATGCGTTCCTATGTTCTCGAGCCCTTCATACTGGATAATGTATTCAATGCCTTCCACCTTATATCTGGAGAGGAGCGGTTTCATTAAATCCACCTCAACACACAACCTTGCGAATTTTCGTCCGACACCACACTCCGTCGCTCAATCTACACGGATAGGATTGCCGATAAGCTCCCCAATTTTAAGAACTGCTTCTTTGTTGATGAATTCAATGGGAGGTCTAGGAGCTGAACCCACACAATTTTTGACTTAATCACAGACTTTCAAACCTTTAAACCATCTGGTTACTGTAAGGTACGTGTCCCCCAACAACCATGGACCTCCATTAGTTACCATTTCATAATCTGCTTGATGGCAAAAGCAGACTAGAAAACAATCATTCTTCATATCAGAGATTTGGAGGTCTCCGTTCTTTGCCCACATGCTATGTAATCTCCTCGATAGTGGAAGGAAAGGCACGTTACGTGCTAGGCCTTTCACAATGAGGGCAGATCGCCACTCCCTTCTCCATCTTGTCTTCTCTGCAGCCATGAAAAGGACAGGGGGCAAAGAGGGTCATAGTGTTCCTCATCAATATAGTCATATTTTCCCTTTCCGCCTTAGCAACTTCTTCCGAAATCTTATTCAGCCACATACCAATTATCTTGTTGGATGACCTCACTAAACAGTTTATGTGTTCTGTTGCCCCATGTAGCAAAACCAGTAGCATTCGTCGACTTTGTCTAGATTTGGGGATTCCTCTGCCTCCATCTCAGTCGCCGCTCCACCTTTCGAGGCAAGCGCTTCATGCCTAAGTTTAGCCATCGAACTCGTTTTTTGGGTTGGGTAGCCTCCCTCTATCCTTTGCCATTCAGGGAGGAGGTGACTTCCGTTGGACGTCGAACCCTGCTTGTTTTGTACGGGGGTTTCTCTGCTCTGATCGGGGTCTGGGACGACATTGCCATCAACCCGTCACCATTCAAGAAACCCTAGCGCAAGGTTTTATTTTCGTACAAAAATCGCCGCTCCGAGATTCATGTATCTAAGGTTTTTTAATATAACATTTATCTTATATATGTGTACGGGTCGGGTTTGTTTTGGGGCAAACGTGGAATGTAGGTTTAATTAGAATGATAGCTAATGCAATTAAATATTTTGTTGGGCAAAGGTGAAACAAAATGGTAAACCAGTGACGAAACATGCTGTTGACGTCTTTATTTAATACCCTCTGTTAATAACGAACATTTCGCAGATTGATCTGTAACCTGATCAACCCGTAACTCGGTGAACTTATAACCTCACTACCCGCAACCTGATGAACTTTTGTAATCTAATCAACCCATAACCTGATGAATCCGAACTTGGCTTGATCGTAACCCAATTGAATCCAAACCCAACAAACTCATAACTCGATTGAACCCGAACTCCAATGACCCATAATTAGATTGAACTCGCACCCCGACTAACCTGGAACGCAATAAACCCGTCCTAAACGACCCACAACCCGATTACTTCATATAACCCAATTGGGCCCTTCCCGAACCCACCACCGAAATTACCTTTTTTTATGGACCTAAAAAAAGCCGCCATTGCTAATTACAACGAGCCCATTTATTTTTGAGGCCTTGAGTTGTCATTAAGTTCCGGAATCTCTGAATTTGGGCTGGGTTTTCAATTGGCAACTCGGTCTAATCCGAGTCCCAAAAATTAAATGAAAATAAAAGAAAGTGAAGAAAGCGAGAGGAAGGAAGCCAAAAAAGAAAAGAAAAAGAAAGCGAGAGGAATCCAATTGGCGCCCGCGCCACACGTGAAGAAAACAAACTGCTCAACGACCCAATTTAATTTAATTTTTATCTTTATAATTATAACGAGAGACTGGGAAATTACGTGGCTCAGAGGAGCTTCCGCAGATAGAGGACGAGGACGAGGAGGAGGACAGCAGGACGGCCATCCCACCGAAAACGGTAAAGGAAAAGCGGGAAACTTCGAAACGATTTTGCCTTCCAATGGGGGCCTGGTGGTGTCGTTGATATTTCCACGTCCCACTAATTTTACTATTATTAATTACTAATTTTCACTCTCCTTCCTTCACATTAATAAACTCTCCCGTAGGGTTCAAAGTTCAGACTCCACAACAAACCCTCCTCCTTATAAGCCACCGCTGCTTCAGCCTGCTCGCGCGCCGACGCAGGGGAACTCTGTTTCTGAACAGCAGCCGCAGAGGACGATGGCTATGGCTGCGGCTTTGGCGGGCATGGCAATGGATGAGGTTAGGGCTAGCGCGGCTTGGGTCGCCGCTCGCTCGTCTCACGTCACCGTCGATTCTGAAGGTTTGCGAGAATGGCCGCCTGTTATCTTTTCTGCGTTTGGGTTTTTCGTTAATCTTTCTCGTAATGATGGGTTAGGGAAAGAATGGCCTAATGGCCGTCGCTTTGTTTTCTTTTTTAGCTGTGGTTTTTTTATTTTCTTTATTATTGCTTGCCGCAGCGATTGAAAGAGTTGCAGACAACATGCACGACAAAATTCCAAAGATAGAATGGGATTTCGAAGGGATTCACTATTTTGACGACGGCCCTCTCACCGTTCAGTACCTCTTTGTCCTCGACGCCCTTAATTTTTGCTTCTGGCCTGGTAAATGCTCCCTTCCCGTCCTTTGGTTAGAAAGATTTTACTTTGGTGTTTGGTCCTTTTTTCCCCTTTTCCGTCTCGGTATAATGCCGCCTAATGCCACCAGACTTGAGAAAGTTCCCATGTCCTGATTCTGGAAATGATCCCCTCCTTTTTGTATAGATAAGGATTTAAACTATGATGATCTGGCTTCTGGGTTGAAGGCAGCTCTGGAGAATGACAAATCCGTATTTGATGCTGATCGACTGCAGAAGTACACTGGTACACCTCTTTTGCTTGCTGCTCTTAGTGAAGTTTATTCTGGCCCTTTGTTTATCTGAGTGGTCCACATACCGTTAATGGCTTCAAGTACTTGTTGGAGCTCCCTGTAGCTACTTAACCTAAATAGAGGAGCATTGTACATGTGTTGGCTGCTAAGTTGGGAACTAATGCTCGTTTCCTGGATAAAAGGGGGTAAACTAAGTTACAATCCCATTCTATTTGACGGGTGCCTTCTGTTACTATCCTCAGGTCCTGAATTGCGGAAATTGCTGAACTGGCCAAGGCCCCTTCCTTTGGAGGATGAGCGGGTTCGTTTGCTGCATGAGGTGAGCCTTGGCATTTCAATTTCTTTTTGGGTAGAATGGATGCCGCATTTCTGAGTGTCGTTGTAATATCTTGTTCCATGACTAAAACATACCTGTTTCATGCCAAAAACTTTGTAACAAATAGGTTGGATATGAACTGGAAAGAAGTTTCGGTGGTAAGGCTTCCAACCTGGTGAAGTCCTGTGAGAAATCAGCTTCCATGCTTGTTGCTACAATTACCAGTCACTTTCCTGGTACTTTTCTTCTTTCACATTTTCCCATTTGCCTGATTGTTTTGGTTGTTGTAATGTTGGGTAAGGATTAAAGAACCCAACAACTTCACCTAAATTGGGTTTTGATTGATTCAGGCTTCAGAGACCATTCAGTTTACAAAGGGCACCAAGTTTTCTTCTACAAAAGAGCTCAGATATTTGCAGCGGATCTGTTTGGTGCGTTCAAGGGCCAGGGATACGGAGATTTCCATGACATAACCTCAATAACTATTTTTGCTGACTACATAGTTCCTGCTGTTCTAAGGGAGCTTGGGGTTTTAATTTATCATTCTAAGCTTGCCACCATGATTGATTCCGAAAGCGAGATTGCTGCTGGAAGTGAAGAGGAAGTTGAGTTACGGGCCTGCTCCATATATGCTGTCGAGAAGATGAGAGACTTAATTCGTCTCAAATCCGGAAAGCAGGTTACTTTTGTTGACTGATCATGCCGACCTGATTCCATCTTGGTTACAAATTTTCTTATAGCGTAATGAAAATCAAGATCTGCTCTTCTTGCAGGTGCTGACGGTGGAATTGGATCTGTGGCTGTGGGCTTATGGCGTTCAACGCCCCTCTCTACAACACCACAGAACTCTCTCAATATACTACTGATGATAGCTAGCTTGGTGTCTTCTTAGTACCTAGAATAGCACCTTCATCGACTAAAATTGGTAGAGGAATATGAAAGTTTTGTCTCTAGAGAGTACTTAGAAAATGAGATGTTTAACCCATGATATCACCTCATCATATCTCCTCTCTTTTAATCGACGGAATCCTTCTATTTTATGCTGTTTAGTAACATGAAACATTCAGGTGATGGCGTATTATCCAAGGCATATGCTTGTCTTGCTATTCCTTGTTCTGATTCCTATTATTATTCCAAATGGTTACTGCTGATACATATGAAGTCTGTTGCGAAATGAAAAGTACTGTTTTCAAGTAGAAAATTAAAGGCATCACATCAAACAAGCGTCGTTCTCCCCGTACAGCCATTCTAAGCGTCTTCTTCAACTTGAAGATTATTTATAGTAATGCAGTTTCAACTGAGTTTTCACAGTTATTTGCCTGCACTGAGGTTCTTTGTGATGGGCAGATTCCCATCGTAACTGCACTTTAGAACATCTGGTGTTCTCACAATCCTTGGTCCCATTGGCACTTTGCTTGGTTTTGGTCGAATATCCTGAATGTGCAATCGATAACTCAAATCCAGAACCAAGAAAGCAATGCATTTTATACACATACCATTCACAGATCCACGGCCACAAACCTGATCAAATATGGCTATTGGGATAGCTAAGGTTGCAACAGCATTAGGAGAGTCCACAATCCCGGAAATCCTTCCTTCACATGGGCAACATGAGAGAAGAAGGTATACCTGAAACCCCACACAATTCTCCGCATCAAACACAATGTCTAGGGTACATATTAAACTCTACTAGGGCAAAATGCTTCTTTGTGGAAGCAAACCTGTTCTTTCGAGTAACCGAACTTAGAGATGTAATCGATAGCATTGAGCACGGCTCTCTTGTATGCAACAGTTGCATCAAGGTAATGCTGCTTTCCACTTTCATCCACGCTGATCCCTTCGAACACCAGCCACTCGGAGAATCTAGGCTCGACTGGCCCAATCTCGAAGATTGGATTCACATGGAGTGGAGTTGGCCCCATTGGTGTAAGGTACTCCTTCATTCCTCCCCTTATTATGTCACACCTGAAAAGGAAAACCAGATAGCAGGAGTCATTTTTCTCCTCAGAGCAAGTAAGCTCAAACTGCATAAGAAAAGATGGAAAACAAAAGCTGGACCAAATACTTACTTGAGCTCCAAGAAACCGCTCATCTCAATAGCCCCACAGAAGGAGACTTCCCCATCACCCTGGGAGAAATGCATGTCCCCTGTACTAAGATTTGCTCCTTCTACAAACACAGGAAGGTACACCTTTGCACCTCTGCTTAGGTTCTTTATATCACAGTTGCCACCATTTTCTCTCCCTGGAATCGTTCTTGCTGCCTCCGCCGCCATCTTCTCCCATTCAGGAGTGCCCTCTTTGATCTAAAACCATGAAACAAAAGTTGCTTCAAGTTTTATGCAGCCAAATGAAAAAGAAAGAAAAGGTGGAGCTGAAAAAAAAAAAAAAAACCTTTCCAAGCATGCAGCCTGTGGAGGATGGGAGATTAGCCAGTGGTCTCGAATGCAAAACCTTACACAGTGGCAGAGTTTTATGCCCATTCTCTTCAACATCTCTTTCCCTTTCGTTCCAAATCTGGAGCAGCTCCATTGAAGGTGCAGTGCCAACGATTCCTGGGTGAGTCAGTCCCGGAAATCTCACTCCTGACTCGGTAGCAGAAACCAAAAACTCACTTTATGTGATGCAAATTCACGGTCATTAGAGCAATAAAAACAAAGCTTTCAGTGCCCACCTGGGATGTGAGGAGAATAGGCGAAAATGCCTTCAAAGTACCAAATAGCTTTGGTTGCACAGGGGAAATGATCAGTGAGGAAACCACCGCCGTTTTCCCTATCAAATGTTGCTGTATAGCCCCATTCATCCCCAGGGAGAGGACCCAAGTTGCAAATCTCCACAACAAGAAGATCTCCTGCCTTCGCTGGAACACCATCTTCATCCACAACCCTGATCGGTCCGCTGAGATGATGCACCTGCACACCAGAAAGAAACAGCCCCACATCTAATTTTGACCTTTTTCCGGAATTCTTGCAAGGGTTTTGATCAAAAGCTCGAGTAGAATAGCCAGGGAGAGAGAGGCTCATGTTCAATTTACGCAGGAAAGGTCTATGGTTTTGATATCCATGGCGGATTCATCATCTCTAACGCTCCCACCAGTCCAGTCTACCATCTCAGTTCTGAAAAATTCGCCGGCTTTAACCTCCGCAACCGGTGGGATTTCAGGGTGCCAGCGGTTGTGAAGAGGTGGGTTTTGCTCCCATGGCTGCTTCTTCACATCTACTGGAATTACTAACCTTGGTGTCGATGGAGCCATGACTGACCCCAAAAAAGACAATCAATCAAATGGCCTTTAGGAAGCCTGGTTGGCTTTCTTCTGTTTTTGGTGGTACAATTGAGGATGAGACAAATTGAGAGTTTTTTTCCTTGCCCCTTTTTCTCCAGTTCGAGTTGTAGATGACAAAACATTAAAAAAAAAAAAAAAACATCGACTTCCACCATTTCTTGCAGTGAAAGTGACCCATCACTGACTTTTCTCTTTGAACTATGATTGGGGTTCCCAAATGAAATTAGACTACTTCACAAACCAAAGCTAAAGCTCAAGACTCGGAAGATTAAGGGGGGAAAAGAAAGACAATTTTTTTTTTGAGAGCTCACATTAGTAGGGTCAGCGTATTTGATGTCTTCAGCGGAGAATTCCTGAGTGATACGGCCGCCGCTGAAATCCATCATCTCCACCCGGAAAAGCTCTCCGGCGACCACGTCGGCCACCGGAGGGATGTCGGGGTGCCAACGGTTGTGGAGGGGGAGCTTCTGCTCCCATGGCTTCTTCTTCAAGTCAATGGGGAACACTAGCCTGGCGCCGTTTTGCCTTTGAGCCATATTGTGATCAAGTTCCGGCCTCCGCTTTTTGGGTTTGTTTTTATGCCAGTAGTGGAGATGGGTAGAAGTAGGGGAGGTACGAAGAAGAGGCAAGTGAATGAAAAACTGTTTCTGAATCTGCTTGCTTCGCTAGTGGAAGCTTGAGGAGGACAGCGGCGATGATGATTGGTCCATCCCATTGATGCAAACTTTTGACACCGAAGTTTTGTTTGAAGTGGAAGAAAAAGATAGGCTAAAGTGGGGGAACGGCACTGATGCAAATGCAACCTTTCCGTCCGGTTTTACTATTTTTTATCTCGTAAAATTAAGAAATAAATAGCGCCTAATTGCATTAGGGGTTCAGTGGGATGTGCGAGCGTACACAATAAGTTCCCTGCAACGCACGCGGTTTCCCGTCCGATTCAGCTAAGTATAGATCTCGACCGTAAGTTCAATAGAACGTTTCCCTTCCCCTTTTCTCCGTCCCTTCACCTTCTCCCAGTCCAAGACTTGTGGGAGAGGGGAGAAGAGGTCGCTAGTGGGGTACTATCTGTTTCTTTGATTTACTGCGCACGCCCGACCGTCTGAACCCGTTCAGTCTTTGATCTTGATAAGGGGAAATCAAACCCCCAAAACATCAATCCGTTAAATTCTAGCCGACTGGGGGAACACAGTAACAACAGAATTACTCCCAATGGAATGCAGATTCAGCAGTTTGATTCATTCTGATGGTGATCTTGAGAGGCAGAAGGAGGTAAGGAGTCGTTTGAAAGATTTTAATTTCTACCATAAATCAGCTTGCCATTCATATAATTTGAACGTGAGGACGTTCATCTTGGGTTTCATTTGATTAAGCAGACTATTTATACAAACTTTGCTTGAACCTTTAGAATCGATTGTATAAGTTCCGTTTTTAAGTATTGTATACGTTCCGTTAGTGGTGAATGGATGCTTTGGTAGCATGCCCCTTCCATAATATTCATATTCCAATCTGATTTTTACTTTCCAATCCTTCCATGAGATTAGAATGGAATTTATTATCTCTTTCTATCTTTCCTGATGTTTGATTTAAATGCAATGAAATTGGAGATGGAATCTTGCAAATTGCATGGAATGAAAAAGTTAAGCAGGGTTGGATTCATATTGTAGCTTCTTCCTTAGAGCTCAACCTATCTTGCAGTTTCTTCTATTCATCCACTTGGTAAGTTGCTAATTGTTTGTTTCAAAATTGAGGAACTTTTCAAAATATTATATTTGTATTTTGTGCTATATAGTTGTTTCTGATATTCTTCTCCACAATTTTTCTTCTGCATTTTCTCTATATTTTCAGGTTCTGACAACATACTAAACATAATCCCTTCCTTCCATTGGAAGCTGTTTAATAGGCTATTAGGCTGGGTCTCATGCTAATATATTCTCATTGTCTTTATTGCACTCTGTTGCTACACTTGGGGACCTAGGTAATTGCTATGGAGCTGGGAGGAAAATGTGATATCGGAGGTGTTGATTCTACCTACGAACAAGGGGAACAAAATCCCATCAAATTTAAGTCAGGCCCTTAAGTGGTTAGAGATGCTAGATATGAAATCATTACATAAGTCAATCCTTCTTAAGTCCACTTTCACTCTTTATTAGATTGGTCAAGTCCTTTCGCCAGACGAAGCTATGGGATTAACTATATTTATTTATTTATTTATTTATTTATGTAGTTACTCTCCTACTCCACCTCATTAACCGATTGCTAGGCTTACTTAACCCTGGTGATTAGGAAGAAGTCTAAACTCATGAATTTCTTTTATACTTCCTACTTTGATCAGCTACTATTGGAGGGTAACTGGGTAAGTATTGCTCACTCCTATTCCGTTAAAGCCCATGTAGTTCTCAAATAGTTTTGTTCCATATAATTGAGTAATAGCGGCTTCAATTCAAGCTAAGACTGTTACTGGTGTCGTCAAACTTTCGTCATATGCCCCCTTAATTTACCATACATAGCAAGTTTTGCCTAATGAGCGACTATTCAACAGGGATCAAACTTTTTATCAGGAGTCGAAGATTCGGTTGAGCCTCCAATAGAGACCGTTGATTGCGAACTATCCATCAAGCCCAAGAGAGAAGTGGCGTCAATAAACGTATCGATCAATAATGCAATAAACGTACCCGCCGCAGAGTGCGGGCCAATTAACTAGTATCATATATACGGAGACGGCTCGGCTCGTATGCTCCGGAAGTATCGTATGCTCCATATGATCTGATCGTTAGATTTACATAGATAAATTCTAACCAATTTCGACGGTCAAATTTTATCTTCTCACATATATATAATCAAATATTTTACCATTATGTTAAGTATATTTGTAGCTTTTTATTAAGGGTGGTATTGCGGTTCACGATATACATTAAGGGAGGTATTGGCTTTGGGAATTGGGACGCCGGGAGTATAATATTTTCATTGGCTCTACCAGTGAAAACTACAGACAAACCGTGAAGTGTGCAAAATGGATAGAAATCTCAGTGCATCTCGCGACCAATGTAATCTTCATAGTATGAAAACCATGAAAATCACACATACAGTGAAGTGTGCAAAAACTTGAGATTTTGGCTATTTTTGACCCTGATCGACTCTACTGTGCTCCAAACTCAAACACAAAACATACAAAGCCCAATTCATAGTTACCATAGACACGATAATCACTTAACACTCACATCCTTGGCAATGTGTGGCCTTCATAGCCCACCATCATCTCCTTGCCCTTGTTTTTTATGCGGGGCAAGCAGAGACTTTTCAACTTGAGTCTCCATTCCTTCTTGGTCCTTCCTTCGGGTTTCTCACCCTTCTTGCGACCTGCAACTCATCATCACAAACACAAGAAGTACAAATGGAGTTCGCCTTAGAAGGCTCACCCTCCTTAACAACATTACATTTTGATTTTATCTCATTCACATTCATAGACTTATCCTTGTGATCAATCAAAAAGTATTTTTCTCCTCACCATCACTCAGAATTAAAGTTCCCTCATTCACATCAATCAATTCCTTGGCGATGGAGAGAAATGGACATCCTAGGATGAGGGGCACATCTACATCGTCACTAATATCTAGGATAACAAAACCCATTAGGTAATAGAATTTGCCCACTCGTACTAGGACGTCTTCGACAATGGATTTTGGATGGACCACGTACCTATCCGCTAATGTCACACTCAACACATTGTTCTTTAGTTCACATAGATCTAACTTTTGATAAAGCTTAAAATGCATAACATTAATGCTTGCTCCTAGATCCGCCAAAGAATTCACTACATGAAATGCATAAGGAAATAATGAAACTCCCTGGATCTTGTTGCTTCTTGGGAAGCTTGTGTTGGATGATGGCGCTGCACTCCTCGCATAAGTGATTGAGGCAAGGTCTTCAAACTTCCGCTTCTTGGTGAGAAGCCTTTTGATGAACTTGGCGAGTGAATTCTAGGTGTTAATTATCTAAATTATAGACCCTAAACACTAAGATGATGCATATAAGTTTTTATGTATTTTGATGAATCATGATCGTTGATTACTATTTCTAATTAAATTAATCTTATTGTATGAGAATAAAGATTTAGATTTTAATCTTTGAGGGTTAGGATGTAGTACCATGTCTCAAAATACCATCAATTCAAGGTCTAGATATAATATTTTTACTAAGGGTATGCCATACCTTTGACTATATAGATATACTCAAATATTTAACCATTATGTTAAGAATAATAATATTTATTTCATAATTAAAACAACTACCATTTTCTTAAATAATTTAACGGAAGTATTAGAAGTTGTTTTTAAACCAAAGATAACTTGCATTACCAAGAAAAATAGATAAAACGTTTGCATTTCCATACAGAGCCAAGCGCAAAAATAAATCCTAGCATAACACTAGCTGACAAAACAAGGGCCTTCCTTGCCACCAAGTGGGCAATCCTCTTGTTTTGTCTATCAACGAACGGTACTAGATAACCCGGATACATGTCTCGGAAAGCCTTGATCTCCCTGAAAGCGCCCCACCCTTCGCATCCAAAGCACACCACACATGAACCTTGTCAATGATCAGTTTGGCACCCCCTGCACTTGCACCGAATCCAAGCCCTTCTCAATGCACCAATATAGAGCCTCCCGGAGGCCAACTAACTCCACCTCGGCTTAATCAAACTCCCCTTCCAAGCGTTCTCTTTTAGCCATCACTACAACACCTGTCATGTTTTAAATAACCATCCCAATCGTCGCGTGGGAACCATACCTCAATGCTCCATCAAAACAACAAACCAATCTAGAGGGACACCTTAGAACCATGACCGCAACATACCAGTCAGGCCACTCCCAACACCCATATCCTCCCCCACTACCACTCCAAGCCATTCCTAAAGCTGATAGCAGAGTTGCTGTTGAAGCACCAAAATCCAGACTTGTTTAAGCTCAAAGACGACCCAATTTCATGTTTTCCAAATGTGCCACAACATTGCCGCAATTTTACACACCATATCCAAAGATGTGGCACGCTACAGGACCTGACAAAGAAAGATACAAAATTGACCTATCTAGTACAACAGTCAAATCCTGAACATCTGCCGCTGACCACAAAGCTTCTGCCACCGGATAGAGAAAGAAGAGGTGTTCCATCGTTTCCAAATTGGCCCAACAAACTGGGCAACGACACTAGGGATGACAATGGGTCGGGGACGGATAGTGCATATCCGTTACCCTACCCAAAGTAGTTCGGGTTTTACCCATACCCATACCCACATATGAAACGGGTAGAAAATTAAAACCATGTACATACCCGTTCGGGTTTCGGGTATCCACGGTTATCCATGGGTAATGATTTCTCTTCATAACTCCAACTAATATATTAACATTCACACGTATTCTCACATTACGCAAGAGGAAAAGTATGACAATAATTCACTAGAATGAAAAAAATTAATCAAAACAACACAATTTCATGAAAATATTATATTTATATGCTAAATATAAAATATGTTAGAGAAAAATAATGACTATTTCTAGACAAAATACATATGTATGTGTATAATCGGGCGGGTTCGGGTTGGATAGTGAGAAACTCATGCCCACCCATTACCCGCAATATTCGGGTTCGGGTTTTACCCGTACCCACTAAATGTCCTTCGGGTTCGGGTTTTACCCTACTCGATTAGGCCGGGTTCGGGCGGATATCCACGGTTACGGATATTTTTGCCATCCCTAAACGACACACAACCCAATTTCCTTTTCGATCAGACCTCCGTGGTAGGTAAGATGCGACTAAAGATCTGCCAAAGGAAGAACATTAGTTTCAGTTGTACCTAGAAAGACCAAATAGTCACCCACAGTTTCCGATCCATCCATCTTACATCCTCCCTCCATTTATCTAAGGAGTAAATCCCGCAAAACGCCAGATGATAACAAGATTTCACCATATACACTCACGACAGATCATTCATCTAGACTAGCTTATCCTCCACTTCAAGACGGGGCAGAGGAATAGTCTTAATCTTTTTTACCCACCTAACTAAGAAGCAAGCATGCAAGCAATCATCACAACATTTCCCCTCGCCCGGGATGGATTAGTGAGGAAACCTTCTCATTACCCTCAACGGGAGCCATCTCCAGCAAAGGTGGCGCACCCCTGTCCTCCCTTGGAATCTAATTCACCGAGCGAATATGATTTTCTCCCCCGTCCCCACCTGCCATTGTAATCCATGCTTTAATAGAGCGCACCCATGAATAACACTCTGCCACTGCCCACCCCCATGATAGCCGAGATGGGGGGGCTCGCAGTTAATAGAGATCCATTCAGGAAATACTTTCCCTTATAGATCCTAGCCAATAGAGAGTCTGGCTCCTCTAGTATCCTCCCCCCACTTTCACCAGAAGGGCTTGGTTAAATTCCTGAAAGCGACAAAACACCAATCCTCCATCATGTTAGCTATGGGAAAGCTTCCGCCATGACATCCAATGTATTTTTTGGGAACCATTCCTTGTACCCCACCAAAAGCGTGCCATCAACCTATCAAGCCGACGACAGAGAGTCTTTGGTATGTTAAAGCTGGACATTACATTAACTGCAATGTTGTTTCCATCCCTATAACCGGGCAAGGAGGTTCTCTTCCACGAATTGAAATGTATCCGTCATCGACTTGGAGATCAAAGTTGGTAAGTCAAGATATTTGTCCTAAACCCCCTCCGTACCCACTACCAACTTGTTTACCAAGATGCACATTCCCAAGCTAGTATATTACGACTAAAGCAAACCAACTTTACTAGATTCACTTTTTGGCCACTAGGAGTCTCAAACTCCCGTAGCACCTCCATAAGAGAATCACACTCAATGTAGTCAAAATCCCGATTTTAATCTTAAAATCTTACGATTTTACGATCTTACCTATGGGTTCCGATCATGATTTTATTGTAAAATCTTTGAACCTTAAAATCCCATAAAATCCCAATTTAAAAATCTAAAATCCTTAAAATCTACGATTCCTACGATTTTGTACGATTTCAAGGTTCACATCAATTGGAGCAAAATGAGGCTAGTTAAGTCCGGTTCTATCCATAAACCAAGTCAAGTTTACTTCTCACGACCCAACATAATGAACAACGCAACCCTAACCCAATAGACAACACTCAATTTATTTTCATTCTCTTCCTCGTATCTTCCTCTTTCGCACGTCGACGCCCAACTCCTTCCTTCAACGATATCTTCCACTCTCCCAATTAGCTTGTAGGTTTTTCCCACCACCCTCACAAAAATCCAAATCTCCATTCCATTGCAATCTTTCGTTCATCTCTCAATTCTTCAGCAGCACTATCCCCGACCTTTTATCAATTAAGAAGGGAATGCACCAATCAATGAGTTATCTTTGTGATCAAGGAAATATGGTTAATGGTGAAAGTATTTCAAGTGATCTTAAGAGTAATTATATTAGTCCTTAAGCAAATAGACAAGGATGAGAGTTAGAGTGAGAGTGAGGGTGAGGATGATAATGATGGTGTGTAAGTGATATTAATGTTGATCCCTAACGATCTTATGTAATTTTCTACTCTTAACTATTAATTAAGTGATTTCATTGGGGTTTCAGGTTGCTTATTTGTGTGTTTATATTATGTACTAGAATAGATATATGGATTTAGTTGTATTTATTTAGCAAAACAACTTATATTGGAAAGTAATTATGTTATATGTGGTTGATTGTTATTCAGGATATGCATTTTTATTACTATCTGGTATTTTAAGTGATTATTTAATATGAACCTTAACATCTTACGATTTTACGATTTTAATCTACGATTCCGATTCTACCTTAGTTTTCGATTTTACTTAAAATCCCGATTTTGACTGCATGTCACTCCTGAACGGAACACCCTTAGAAAAAGGTAAGAATCGTTCACAAAGAACAAGTGGGAAACTAACGTGCTCTTGAGCTAACACGAATACCGGCCAGGTGTCCCTCTGCAACACCCCGATTGAATAGTGCCACAAACCCTTCCGTACAAAGCAGAAACAATAGCAGGGACAAATGATCGCCTTGACGCAAGCCTTGAGATGAACGAAAGTAGGGATGGCAGTGAAACCCGTACCCGCGGGTACCCGACCCGACCCAACCCGGTCAAACCGGGTAAAATCCGTGTTGACCGGGTTCGGGTCGGGTTCGGGTTTAAACCCGGTGGCTGCTTGGGCGGGTTGGGGCGGGTTCGGGTTTGGGGAACCCGACCCGTGGATACCCGGACACGCAAGTGACAAAACCTAAATCCCTAATCGACCAAGACCATACTCGGCCGCCCCTCTCCTTTCTCCCAAAGACTGCTGCCGCCCCTCTCCTTTCGCAAATCGCGATCTCCAGTCATCCCTACCAGAGTCCAGTCTCCAGTCCGGCACGGCGAACTCTCCTACGCGGCCGCCGCGCCTACGACTCCACTACCGATTCCGTCCCGGCGAACTCTCCTTTCTCCTCTGCTACGCGGCCGCGCCTCCGACTCCTCTCCCGATTTCAGACTTCAGTCACGACGCCCTCTCCCTGCTCCTCGGCGCGCGCCTCCGACTCCACCCCCGCCGCCCTCTCCTTGGTCTTCTGCTCCGCGAGAGCACTTCTGCAAAGGTAAGCAGAATTTATTGCTCTTTGTGCTTCTTCTACAGCAGTATCGAAACCGAAAGTTTTATCCATCAATAAAATGTCATTATCTATGGTCTTTGGTACCCCAACTACAGCTACCTGCAGCTTTCTTTTACGGCACTGAAAACAGGAATTTAGAAGTTATAAATTATAATACTTTGGAGCTTGTACCAGGAAGAAAGTAAGAAATACCGAAATGCCATGCTATCAATTTTAGTAACAGGCACCTATTAAGATTACTTCAATGTTCTGATCTGCGTGGGAATAATACGCTGGAGCTTGTAAAATGAAGAAAGCTAGAAGTACCAAATTGCAGTTCTAAGATGACCACTTCTAATATCAGACACCTATTACAATTACTTCAATGTTCTGAGTTTAAGTCTGCCTGAGAATATAATGTCATAGGAAAATCAGAACCAATACATATAGTTCAGATGGACTAGTTTACATCTTAAATTCAATTACATTTTCTAGCAATTCTGGAAAAAGTCTGTTCCCGGTACTTAGACTAGATATCTATTGGCCAACCTTTTATGCTCGATCCCAGGTACCATTATGGCATAACAGTTCCTCAAGAGTATCCTTCTATAAGAGGATTCAGAAAGGAGAAGCTAGGTTGAACTAGCTCGTAAGCCATATAACCAGCACTCAACTAAAACAGACAAAAAGATATAGTAGTGCAGGAAATCAATAAGATGTAAGCTTATAAACCTCTTCGTGTATGGCGTTCGCCCCAGCATGTGTACCATTCCCACCTAGTACAAAAATCATGTTGATTCCCTTTTCCTAATAGCATCAAGGCAAAGAATGTAGAATAAGGCCACGCTCAACCTTTAAAGTTAGTATTCAGATCAATACAAAGCGGGTGAGATTTATGCTTGAGATTTTGATAGTTTCTAGTTAATTATTATTTTATAAATATTTACCAAAAAAACCCGCGGATACCCAGCGGGTTGGGTTGGGTTTGAGTTTTTCAAACCCAGCGGGTTTTACCCCGGGTTTTTTTGACGGACAAACCCATGGGTTTGGGTTCGGGTTTGGCAAAACCCGCCCCAACCTGACCCATTGCCATCCCTAAACGAAAGTACCTCGATGGGTTTCCATTCATCATCAGCGAGAATGATGAAGAAGAAAGGCATTCCCTCACCCTGCTTGATAAGGTTTTTAAATTATTTGATAAATTGATGATTCGTAATCCTTGACTTATATTATGGACATCAAAATTATCATCTTTGTCAAACTTCATAAATTGATAAACTAGAACTAAATAAATATGCATATAATTATCATTAATAAGACTAGAACGTCCAACTTATGACACCCAAATTTTTTACCATTTAAACTACATAGCTAGTATAATAAATTATATTTGATAATATTAATCACAACAAGATTAATACTCATGTCATTAAAGGATTTTAACGCCTAACCTTTAACCTCTAACCTCGATTTTTTTAATTTATCCATCCGCTTTGTAACTTTTACATAAATTAGACTAGGGAAATTATCATTGATATATTGTGTGTTATATTTTGTGTCCATAACAAAAAGTCATTAACAACTCAAAAATAATTTTGTTTATTTTTCACTTCATAACATGTTCTATAATCATACAGAAAAATTTGAACACAATCATAAAACAAAAAACAAAAAGTTAAAATCATAAATTCAATTAATTATCCTGATTTGGTACAATTGGACACATTTTTACCTCATATTCTTTAGATGTTTGTGGCATTTTCACTCCGTGAGGTTCGATTTTATGCTAGTTTGTGCTTGTTTCTAGTATGTTTTAGATCCTAGCAGGTGGAATCGACCTCGGGAACGAAATTTGGACGAAAAGGGGCGAAAACGAATTAAAGGGAGCAAACAACCGAGGATCATGGTGGAAGCCAAAAGTTTACGGTCATGCCGACTATGATAAAGTGGTCGGGATCTAAATCATGGTAGTCCTAGAGAGTCAAGTTTTTGACGCCGTTTCCGGGGAACTTCGGTCCATTATTCTGAAAATATCGTTCGGTGTTAATCAATCGTTTACTTTTTGCTTTATTGATTGTAAATCTTGCTTGTGTTAGCTTGAGTTGTTTTTCTTTGACTTGTGTGTAGGAGGGTATATGACCTGGAGAAATCCGAGTCCCTTAGTGCCACTTGACGAGACTATCAACCGCACTCTTCGACTCTTGGCTCGTGAGTGGGAGTTGGTGGAAGCAAGAAGAAAGATTGAGGAGAGGGAACAACCACAATTTGATCCCGAAGTTGAAGTTGAGGAAGAAGTTGAATTGGAAGAAGAGGAAGGAAGTGAAGCCGAGATGGTGGAGAATCAAAACGCCCAAGAGAGGAATGAGGAAACGAGGACCATGGGCTACTATATGGCTCCACGGGCGGCGGATATTCAACCAACCATTATGCATCCACCCATGGCAGCCAACAATTTCGAGATCAAGCTCAGCCTCGTCACAGTGATTCAGAACAACATCCAATTCCATGGGCTTAAGGATGAGTCTCCAAGGGAGCATATCCAGTGATTCATTGAGATTGCGGGAAGTTTGAAGATCAACGGGGGTATCTGAAGAGGCTTTGAGGTTGAGGATTTTCCCCTAATCTCTTGCGGGGAAAGCACTTAGGCGGCTCAACAATAGACCACTTCTCTCGATTAAATCATGGGACGACTTGCTTAACAAGTTCATGGCCTGATATTGTCCACCTTCCAAGACGGCAAACTGGCACAAGAAGATCACTTACTTCGCTCAAGAGGAGGACGAGACTTTGAGGGATGGATGGGAGATGTAATCTGACTTTTTCCTTCAATGTCCACATCACGGGTTTGGAGAGCAGTTTCGGATGGAAACCTTCTACGACGGTCTTCTCCGAAAAGACAAGATAAAAAAGTTTACGAGGAAGAATAATTTTGGTATATGGCAGATCAAGATGCAGGTGCTATTGAAACGACAAGGACTATGGTGGCCGCTATCTGGTAAACAAAAGATGACATGGGTCAATGATGAATAGTGGAATACCTTGGAGTAGTACCGCGGGCTTGTGGTTGAAGTTGGAAAGTTTGCATATGAATAGAAACCATCACCCAACCTTGATCTTAAATAGTGGATCATAAGCAACTTACAAGCTCGACGATATCACGAGAGAATCCAAACCACTACTGGGTTTTAAATTTGTAAATTGAGACACACTCATGTCAATCCTTACAAAGCCAGGTATAAATATGCTAAGGATGTAGTAAATTGGGTCGGTCGTATTCCAAGGGAACCTTTGGCTTACTATTATTTCGTTCCGAACTACTATCTAATCAACTCGTAAGGTTGGGATTTGAACTAGCCTAACCTAACTACTTAAGCACAACTAACCAAGTGTTTGGGAGACTAGTAGTGATGAGATGGTTGTCTAGGGTTATTCCCTCTAACTATAGGTTGTTACAGACATTAATCTAATGGTATCTTGAGGTGCAGAGGTCACGAAGGTGGGGATTAGCTCAATGATCATGCAATTGATCCCTCTCTTAGCTAGGATAGTTGGTCTAATGTCATCTCAACCGGGTTACCTAACTAGGGGTAGGATCTACCTCCTCTAAACGGCTTAAATCCGTCCACACACAAGTCTGGTGGATCGATGGTCACACACCTAATCTACAAGCATCAACTAGGTGAGAATCTAACTAGAAGGGGATGGTCACCTCTACCTCTAGCTACCCCTCTAGGTTAACAAATCAAGGTAACAAGCATTCACACACATCTAACCCTAATTAGAAGCAATAAACACCCTAGTCAAACTAAAATACACCATAAACTCATGTGTAAAGTATTGATAACTCCCACATTATCTAGGTTGCAACTAAGGAAAATAGGATATAGACAATCTCACACTAATTGATGGTTAAGCACTCTTGACATTCCGACCCTTCCATTCAAGATTTCCTAGTGGAACACAAAGAGATGCTCAAGAGGTTGGAAGAAAAGAAGAGAGATCTTGAACAAATTTGTTCTGTACTCAATAAAGATCGCCTCTTTGACATCGTCAATGAAGAGAAAGAGGAATTGGTAGAAGAGGAAGGAGTCTTCAAGGTGGCCATCAAGTGGACCTCAAAGATCCATCTAGTGAAGAATTTGTTTGGATGAACATCATATCTTACGATCAACAATTAGAAATGGATATAAAAGAGGACTTTGATGAGAATGTGTAGGAGGAAGAAGAAAAATAAGAAGGGGATGAGATTGATTCACATATGGGGAATATTATTTACAAGAAGAGAGAGAGAGAGAGAGAGAGAGAGAGAGAGAGAGGAGGTTGAAGGTGATTGGGGTATTTTCGAGTTAGTGTGCCTCAAGAGGTCGTTTACTTAGACCATGGAAGGTCACCCGACCTTGAAGGACTCCTAGCATTGGGTCCACTCTTTGCCGAGACAAGGCAATGATATCATCAATCCCTCTTGGTAGATCCAACGATGACCCTTCGAGGATGCTTGATTTGGTTCGAGCAAAGAGGGAAAAAAAGAAGTACTGAGGCGAGTGCATCTACATGAGCCTTCACAGGATGCCCGGGAGCCCGATCAAGATTTGAGACTCCATTTTGCATATGAAAACCTCAACTTTAAGGAGGTTTTAAGCTGGACTTTTTACTTGAAGTCAGTCGTCCAGCGATAAGACGTCAAAGACGCACTAGTTGGAAGGTACCCAACATCGGTTTGCTTTTCTTTTACCCTATTTTATTTGAATAAATTAAGTTGTTTCATTATAATTCTGAATTTTCCTAGTTTACATATAGGAAAATATTCATGTGCCCTGCCAATTACTTTTGATTAGGTTCTATAATTCCTTTACCCTTAGGTTAAACAAGTTCGAATTAAAATTCTTGACAAACTGGAAATTGCAGCCTCTAGGCAGTCTTCGCGACCGCGAGCTGCCCTTCCTTTCCCAAAAAACTCTGTTGAGTTCGCTAAAGATTGTGGTTTGGTAGAAAAATTCACGGTAGCGATCTTTTGCCCCCAGCCCTCGATCTTATGCGTGTCTAGAAAAGGGGAGTTCGCGAGGCTATCGAGCCATAACTCCTTTTTACCCAAAAAGTCGATTTTTGCTGCCCTAGAACTCTAGTTCTCACTAGCAAACTCGGGATTTCATCCCCAATCTTCAATTTCTTTCATTTTTCTTGCTCTAGCTTGTTTTTGGATCATCCAATCATGTCCTCAAGTGATCCAAGGCAAGATTTCCTTCTTTTATCTTCTTTATCTACTCAAATTTGCCCTAACTAGAGAAAAGAATGAGTTGCATGTTGGGTTCATTCTATGCATTTTAGGGGTTGAATTTTATTTGCTGGATGCAATTGAATCAATGCATGTGTGTTTATGATTGAGTGTGTGGCTTGGTAGGCCTTGGTGGGTGATTGTTTGTTGAATTTTTTAACTATGAAATCACGCCCATCAAGTGCTCGACCTAATGCCCAAACCACACATATTTGATTTCCTTGATCAATTGCCTTGATTTTCACTTTGTTCGACCGAATTTTTTAGGCATTGCACGCTAAATATCATATTTCTTGGCTCATGTTCCTTATCCATTTCATATTTATTTTGGTTTATTGACACGATGCCATGCACTTTTCATGCCTATTTTTGGCCGAAGTTTCTCCACCACTGTGAACCGCAGTTAGATTCAGACATGATACACTTTTTATTTCTTGGGAGAACTCAAGTGTTCTCTTTCGAATCTATGAAACAGCTCTCAGATATCTTTTTTCCTTTTAGAAGATACAAGAGAGAAACAATCAACATATTGATATTGGAACACCGAAAGGATTCTTCTAATGTATCATTTCTGGGCCACTACTATTGTTCATTTTAAACAATGGACTCATTCACTTAGACTTATACTTTAACACCATATTTTTTAAATTTCCCTTTGTCAAATCCCGAACCATATTTTACGCACCCTCATTTTCACCTATAGACATATTGTTTTCACTAAGGGGTTGTTTGCTTCATGGATTTTCTGATGGATTTGGGCATCCATAATGGACTTTGAGGGACCAAATCTGTGGACCCCATGGATTTGCAAGTTCCACCTCTTGAGATGGGATTTGGATGATGGATTATAATCCATGATGGTAGTTTATCCTTCTACTCTCACTTTTTTTTTAATTATAAATTTGTCTTCCTATTTTATCGGCATGCAACTATACACATTTATAATATCGTTTTTTTATTTAAATATGAATGTGTATGTTAATTGTCGAATTCAACTATAAAAATTTGAATGTTGATGTATTTATGTATAATTATTTTTATTATTTTGTTTGTTATGTCATATTTTATTTAAACAAGGACAATAAGGTCAATTGAATTTCATAAACTGATTTGAAAACCTTACACCGCTTTGAATACATCCTTGTCGGATTTGAATCTTTTTCGGCGCCTTTGAATACTTGTTCGACCCCTATGAATACGTGTTTGTTTATGTGGAATACTTGCTGGAAGATTTTGAATTATTAATTACTGCCGAATTGTGATATATTTCTATATTTGTAGTTGAATTATTAGTCCACAAAATAGTGGTATTGAAATATAATTAGATCAGGGTAACAAGGTAATTTGTATTTCATATTCACAAATCTAATCAAACAAAATCCATAATAAAATCCAACAAGAAAACAATAGACTTATTTTACACCATAATACCACTAAATCCATATATCCAATCTGTGAAGAAAACGACCTCTAAGTATGGGGAATTTTTCATTTGACAAATTCGGATCTTACAACATAACCAAACTATCATTTAGAATGTTTTTCACTATTTTGTTTGGTTTGTTGATTGATTTTCGTCTTCGCGAGAGAAATCAAGGGGAAGGGTATTGACATGGAAGGAAGTTTGAACCTTCTCGAGAGGTCTCAATCTTTATCTGGACATCTGCACTATGCCAGGAGGACGTGGCATAGACGTGGTAGGGAGGAGGTTGATGAGACGGGAGAGCCTCAGGTTGTTCAGGAGGAAGAAACACAGGACCGGCCTCAGCTCCTGGAAGAGGAGGTTGAGCAACCTCGAGCTGACCGGAGGAGAGTTTCGAGGGCATTGATGACCCATATTGAGCATGCGTTCCTCAAGGTTGTCTAATTTATTTTCCGAGATCGTCTCCGATAACTTGAGGGCATGGAGATCGGAGAGAATGAGTGCCTCAACTGGCTTCTCTTTGCTAAGTTTTGAGTGGATAAGCTAATCGGTTCCAAGATCAAGAATCCAGTTCGACACAGAGTTTTGGAGATTAACGTCGGGATCTATTGGGTTCTCACCCTCGAGTTTCTGAGAACACTAAGGGTGAGGAAGATCCAGGGCACTACTATTGAGTAGAGTCCTCGCATATACTCAGCATGGGAAGCCAGGAGCGCGAGATAACAATGCGAGAGTTCACTTTTGCTTTCGACATCTACCCTCCAGAGTTTGTGCATGATCCGATCGACTTCACTTCACTGACTCCAGAGAGATTGCCCTTTCCTTCTTAACTTCTATGATGAAGAGATGCGACTAGCACACATCATGCACTGGGGTGTGAAGTTGTCCAAGGGGAGCAAAGTGTGACCCGAGTTCCGATTGATCCAGTACGTCATTTCTCGATTAATAGGAGGGAAATATGAGAGCAAGGGAAATCTCACTTGCAGAGATATCCTCTTCATTTGGAGCATGTATGGGGACCAACAGCTCCACCTCGAGCTATCCATTCTGCAGAATCTTCACAAGCATGATCCAGACCGATGGTTGATGGCTTTGCACGGAGGAGTCTACATCACTAAGATAGCTTGATAGCTCGATGTCGACTTGACAGCCACAAAAAAATCCTTTTGATACCTCCATCACTCCTGTTACATTCGACAGCCTGAAGACATATCTAAGGACACTAGAGCAGAACAAAGAGGGTGTCTGGTGAGTCCAAGGTACCACTAACACGGTATTTCTAAATAGAGTCTGACACTCACTCCCACGAGTAACAAGACAGAGATCCCAGAGCTCACTTCAGCAACCTCTACAAGCCAGAGCTTTTATCAAGGCCAGTCGAGCCAAGAACCGACTTCTTCCACATATGAGGACGCAGTCATTAGAGCTCAGCTGGATCATTCTGAGAAACCAGAGGAGGGAGGGCGAGGTGAAGAACCATCTCTCGACTACAACCATGCCTTGATGAGGAGGATTAGCCTCAGTCAAAGTGTCGCCAACTGTCATCTCAACTGGGTTACATAACAAGTGGTAGGTTCTACCTCCTCTAAATGGCTTAAATTTGTCCGCACACAAGTCGAGTAGTTCGATGGTCACACACCTAACCTACACGCATCAATTAGATGAGAATCTAACTAGAAGGGGATGGTCACCTCGACCTCTAGCTAGCTTTCTTGGTCAAATAATCATGGTAAGAAGCATTCACACACATCTAACCCTAATTAGAAGCATTAAGCACCCTAGTCAAACTCAAATACACCATAAACTCATGTGTAAAGTAATGGTAACTCCCCCATTATCTAGGTTGAGACTAAGGCAAATGGGATACAGAAAATCCCACACTAATTTATGTCTAAGCAATCTTGACCTAAGGGGATTGAATTATCACCTAGGTTAAGAATAAATCTATCACAATCAAGTAATAGTCTTATGCACAAACATCAAATAAATATAGATTATAGGTTAATAATATTTTATACACATGACTCATAAACATTATATAAACTAGGGTTCATCTTCCTTAAACAACATTAGGGGTTGAAGTCATAGAGAGAGAAAATACAAACTAAAAAGAGGAGGAATGGTGGAAATCATCTTCTTCTCCTTGGATTACACCTTCTCTTTGCTCCTTGGGTGGATTAGATCTTCCTATAAACTCTCGCAAGGTGTTTCTCTCACTAAAACTGCCCAAAAACCATTAGTTTCTTCCTCAAAGTCTGCTCTCACTTCCTTCTCCAGCAGCTCCTCTATTTATAGCCCTTGAAAATATCTGGCAAGATCACAGCTGAGGGATGAAAGATCGCGACCGTGACACCTGTGATCTTCTACTCCATCGTTTAGTCATGGCAGAGCTAGAGATCGAGCCCTAGGTTTTCCTGTCAAAAATTTCTGGTCTCTCTTTGACACTTCCTCCTCAAGTTCATACACGAGAGTCGCAAGATCGCAGGCGCTATCGTTTGGCTTCAGCCTGCGATCTTTTTGCTCTACTTCGCGGGCTAGTTTCTCGATCGAGATCTTGCTCCTTAGGCTGCAATCTTAGTGTTTGGACCCTTTTATCCTTTTTCCTATACATTAGCCCCATTTTCTCCCTTTTTTGCTTGTAATGTCAAATGCGAATTGAAATGACATGATATGACAAAAAAGCGATCTATGGTAAAATGACGTTTTATAGATCTAAATGCTCAAAATGACAATAAAAACCCTAATAAATGAAGGCTAAAAATACCTTTTTGGTTGTTATCAACCACATCAATATGCTAGAACATCATACCATATAATCCAAGCATCAATAAGTAATCATGCGTCAGAGTCTTTATACGTCAGGGTGAAGCTTTTGATAAAGATTTAAACTTTGAATGCTTTCTACCATAAACTTGACATATCTTTAAAGCACTTTTCCTTATTCAAACTCAACCTCTTTTTAGGATTTTTCGAATTTTCTTCTCTTGCAACCAACTATTTTTTTCCTTTCCTGATTTTTCTCCTGGTGGAGAGCTCTTTTTGAACTTTATCATGATTAGTCAAGCAAGAGCTTAGAATTCCTTTACCTCAACTCGTGTGGAGGGTCAATGAAATTAAGGGGTGTCGGATGCTATATTCACGCCCTTAAGAACACATCGTCAAGTTGGCAATCAATTCAACAGGTGAAAATTTTACTTACACTAGAGAGGAACTAGCATCACCTCGTAGGACTATCCTGCCAAAGCTCAATTTGTATCTCATCCAAAACCCGTTTGAAGTGCAATGAAAGATGCCTCACACGTTGGGCTTACCCCACACTTTATTTCTCAACAAACCATGGCAAATTTTAGTATAATGTCTTGATGGGTAGAAATTTTATGCATTTTTCTAAAGATACAATTCACCCTTATGAAATATTTTGAAAACAAGAGACTCTTTTAGCACAATCAGAATCTTTAAACAGATCATAAAATATGATATTCAAATACATCAATTGGTCATTCATTATATCTCATTGACTATCACATCCTTCATAGTCAGTACACTAGCCTCACTATATATCAAGTGATGATAACTAGACTCAATGATTCAAAGTAAGATGATAAGTGATCATGCTTGTAGGGGATGAATAAAGTTATTAATTGTCTTTAAGAGACTTAAATGTAGCTAGTCATCCAAAATTGTCTTGAAGAGACTTGAAATAGTCTAAAACAAAAAGAAATACAAATGGCTTCCTTAAACTCCATCGTCTACATGCTAGGTCCTCCTGCTAGTGGGTAACTCCTTCGGTAGAGGCCTCTGAATGATCTATTGAAATCCTCCATCCATCCACAAACGACTCTACTACTATGCCTTCTCTGGTAGCTTGTTCTGCAGGATGGCAGAACCCTCCTCGTTGAGCATCACTTGGGAGTTACCCACTGATGTTTACCTGCTTCAGCATTGCCATTAATTTGGCAAACTCAGTCTCAGTCGGTCCTTGTGCAACCGAGTAGGAAAGGGGAACTAAGGGACATACTCCTTCACCACTGGTTGCGGCTCAGGAGTAGGCACCTCAACCTCCTTCTCCAATTCTTCTTCATTAGCTGGAAGTGCTGAAACAGGGGTCTCTCTCTCTCTTGTCGTGCCCGGACAGGTGGATTAGCAGTCACATTGCCACTCCTGGTAGTAATGGCCTTGCAGTGCTCATTTGGGTCCTGCAGATGAGGAATGGTCTGACCGGGTAAAATACCAGGAGTCCTCTGTGCTACAGCCTGTGCTACACTCCCAAGCTGGGTCTAGATATCCTGCAATACAGCCTATGTGTTTCTCTGGCCAGCCTCAAGCTCCAGAAATTTACCAGAGGCTTTCTCCATGAACTGCTCGATATTACTGAACTTATTAGCACTGGAAGTGGCCAGAGAACCCACCAGATTGCGCAAATCGGCCACCGGATCACTCTGAAGCCTGGTGGTCCATGGGAGACTGGTGGTCGAGGGTTAGGTCCATTCCAGGAGAAGTTGGGATGATGGCGCCACCCCTCGTTATAAGTGTTGCTGTAGGGGTCGAAACGCCTGGCATTTTCGATGAAATCCACCTTCTCCTGGGGATTAGTCGACTCCCTCAATGCCTGACATTCCTCCACAGTGTGATGGGAGCTTTCACACCACTGGCAATGCATTGCCTACTGTTGTCCTGTCCCTGAAACCATTCCAGAACGATCAATGGCTGAGACCAGTTTAGATACCACCTGCACCAGCTCAGGCGACTGGGTGGCCAATCATATCCCTACTCCGCCATCTCTTCAAAGAGTCGATTCAACTGCGGTGGGGTCTTGGTTTATTATCAATTTCGGTGTTGTGTTTTAGCGCGTCAAGTTTTTGGTGCCGTTCCGGGGAATGCAGAACAGTGGCACTCGTGAATGAGTCCCCCTAGCTAAAGCAGTAAGAAAGCAGGAAATGGTTCGAAGTTCTTAAGCAGGGGAAGAGTCACTCGTGAATGAGTCCCCCTAGCTCCTTAGTTAGGTCAAAGTTGTAATTACCTTTGGTTGATTTACTGTTGATCAAACTACGGAAGATCCAACAGTAGCTTGGAATCTCTTAAGCTGATCAAGCCCTCTCAGACAGACTAACTGGCAGGCGACTAGCCTTCACCGGGACAGACTGCTGAAGCAATAAGCACAGAACTCCCGTACTGGAATTGGATTCCAGTACAAAGCAATGAATCGACTAACTCTCGTATAATCGATTCACTACTACCGTTGAAGAAGCTCTAACAACCTAATCAAATTTTATCTATCTCAGGTTGCAACAGAAATCAATAAAAGGTGATCAGGCTTCAATTGACTCAATCAAAAGACTCCAATCGATTATAATCAAGCAATATCACAATCCAAACGTCATTACAATCGATATCCCTAACACATGGAACTAGGATTCTTCATACCCAAGTGAGAGAGGGTTCTACTCCATAGAGAGAGAGGGAAACAGAAAACAAAGCAGTCATACTCATCAAGATGGGAAGAATATGCTCTGAGATGATAATCTTCACTCCAAGAATGAAATCCAAGCTTGATTGATGAAACCCAACTCCAAAATCACCTCTAGGGTGTGTTCTTCGCACTTTCTCTCTCTAGGACTCTATTTCTAGCTCTGAAAATCAATTCCCCTCTTAAAAGACCCGAAATTGGGTTAAAACCTAGAATTCCGTGACTACACGGCCAGGCCACAAGGCCGTGTAAAATTCCCAACTGCCCGTGTGAAGGTGTAAAATGTCACGTTTCACTTATGTGCCTTCATGCACGTTACACAACCAGAACTGCACGGCCGTGTGAAATCTCGGCCTGCCCGTGTGAAGGTCTCTGTGATTTCCACACGGCCACAAGGGGTCATTTACACAGCTTGTGTGGTTTGCCCGCGCAAAGGGATTCCACATGGCCACGTCACACGACTGTGTGGTTTTTGGGTTTGGCCGTGTGGTTTCCCAACTTCCTGTCAATTGTTCCAACTTCGTCCAATCGAGCCCAAACTCGTGCACGAACCTTCCTTCACGTACTAGGACCTGAAATATCACAAACACGAACAACCTACCGTGAAATTGGCTTATAATACGAGAGATGAGACTCAAATGATAGAGGAATGGTGGACAAAAACATGTGTATATATCAAGTCATCATATGCCATCTGCCGCAAGACCGTGGAGAAACCGGCTTCACCTACAACCAAAAAAGAAGCCACATAGCTCGACAAGATGCCTACCGTGCAGGCCACGATCCTGCTGTCATCAAAACTAGAGGTATCTTTCCAGAACGGTATTCAATTCGTGGAAGTGTTGACAAAAACAAAGTTGGTCGAGCAGCGGGTGGAACAGGCGCCGCCATCGCAAGATACACCGACGTGTACTCAAACATTAGCATCCCCACCATGTGTGGGGAAGGCACCGAGCTTGGTCACATCGGCATCGTCCTAAGCCGTTTTTCTCACAGACAACTCCACCTCGATGATCGCGACCCTGTCAATCGAAGATGTTGAGGCCAAGGAGGATTCCCCAGCATACCCGCCTAGCTTGCTGCTCCTGCCATTAGCTTCTGATGGTAGTGTGAATTGGCCTTGCCAATTGGATCTTCCAACTCGTAACAACACCAAGGAAGATGGTAAGCTACTCTTTAATTGGTGGGGGTCTTTGCAAGGTTTATTGTTACATATGGATGGATGAAAATTTCAAAGGAAGGCAGGAGGGATTGGCTGCTCTCGAATGAAACAGAAAATGGAGGTTAGCTACTGGAACAACTGGAATCTTAAGAAGAAGATGATGGGAACAAATGGTTATCATGACCAGTACAAGATCATTGGACAGGAGTCCATAATTGTTGGAGTGGCTAGTGCTAGAAATCTTGTTCTAGTGCTTGAAGGTAATTGAAAGAGGAGAAAGCGCAAACAACTTTGGAATCAATGTCGAAGATCACGCCAATGGCGTTGGGAGATCGTGGGGCTAGGTGCAACCTTGAGGTCAAGGTTGATCTCAAGAGGGGTGGATTGTTGCGGGCAATGCAGTCAAAAGCGCGATTCTACCTAAAAGCGGAAATGAGTAAAATCGTAAAGCGTAGAATTGAAGCGTAAAAGCATAAGTTTTTGAAGCAACCTGTTAAATAGTTTAAAATCTATTAAATATAACATACACTATTAAAATGTGAGTATATAGATTCTAGATAAGTGAATAAATGCGTGCAATTCATGTTTAAAATGTAATTTCTCACACATAATCTAATTTGTATCAATTTTAAAGTAGAGTAAACTCATAACATTCTAACTATAAGTTCATAAACATAGATCATTACTCAAAAACGAGATTAAGAATCCAAATTCTCAAAAGTTGCAAACTCATAACATCCTAAAATTCATGTTTAAAATTAAATTTCTCACGCATATCCTTAGCACAATAATAACATCTCAATTTCTGCCCAGTACCAATTATATCTACACAATGTTGCCAACCAGGGTCTAGACTAGGGTTGAAAGCCCATGAATTCATGATCTTAAAAGAGATAGTGCTGCAAAGTGGGGAACGGTGTTCAGACTTCATAGCAGATAGGGCAGGAATTATATTTGACTTGGGAAGCTACAACAAGGATTGTGTGAAGAGTGGAAAATTGACCGATCGGGGCCCAAGTTAACCTCCGCAGAAGCCAGGGCAACGGCTGGCTACAAAACGCATATGTCCTAGCTGCTAGGACTGGTCGGACTCTCGGGGACAGCTGCTCAAGGGCGACGGCTATGGCGACTGGCGAGAGACACGGCGACGGCGAGGGAAACCGGCTTCGACGAGGGTGAGTGTGAGTGGGTGACGGCGAGGGACACTACGATTGTGCGACGGCAAAATTGACGCTACACGCCTAGGCGAGGTTGAAGGCACGGGCCTGAGAGACGTTGACGGCGTCGGCAAGGGAGACTCTATGTCGAGCTGGTGCTGGTCGGCCGGGAGAGATGGCGAGATGCTTCTGTCAATTCTCCCTGCTCGGGTGACGACGCTGGATGCTTCTCTTTAGTCTCTTTCAAGAACCCTAATCCCAATTCTAAATCATCCAATTCTGCCCAATTCTCCTCTCAACCAATCTAAATATCTTGCTAAACTCTATCTTATTTCGTCAATTCGGGTGCCCAAGATCCGTGCCTACAACAGCTAGCCGACTTGGGGTCTAGCATCAACATTATGCCTACTCGGATATACAATGAGTTAGACCTTGGACCATTCATACCTACTAAGATGCGGATTGAGTTGGCCAATAGGTCTGTTATCTAACCAAGAGGGATCATAGAGAATGTCTTGGTGAAGTGTTCTCCTTTTGTTTATCCTATGGACTTTGTGGTTTTCAACACGGAGGGGTGTGATGCATCGATTATCCTACGCCGACCATTCTTAGCTACTGCACGGACTATCATTGATGTAAGTGGAAGCAATGTCACCTTAAGATTTGGTGAGGAGGAAATAAGCTACATGTATTTCAAGTGGGACAATGTCAAGATGGATTGTGAGCCGGTTACACCTCCTACCACGCAACCTTCGAGCCCCGAGATAGAGTTGTTCAATATGGTCTCCCATGTTGATTCCCACGATGATCAATTTGAAGGTGCGAGTGACTCTTGCAAGATTATGAATAGACCGGGTAAGGAGAATTTTTCGTGCAAAAGGGAAGCCAAAGAGTTGGTTAAAGTTTATCATCTTCCCGTTGGTCGTATAAAGAAGCTTCAAAGGTTCATCTTTGAGAAGAGGCATCCCAAGAAATGAAGTCGGATGGTTCAGGGTAACCTAGCTCTTATACTTGAAGATGAAGAATTTAGGGAATTCTATAAGCCATTCACGGATAATGATATTTCTACAAGGAAGCTTGACCTTCACCATCCTCCACATCAATCTTCGAGAGGAATTCTTCTATCTCAAGCACCGGATGAGGCATCCGAGAGGCTCCATGGTCTTCACTTGGGACTTCACCATAATTATGATTTCTATGAAGAATCGTCGGTGAAGGATGGAGACCTTACATGAGTCAAGTCCCGTGAAAAGACTCTTAAAGTACGCTTGTTGAGAGGCAACTCAACCACTAAGTTTGCGTATCTTTTCCTTTTCTTTTTAGATAATTGTTTGAGTAGTAGATTAGAGATGCATTGAGAATGATTGATACAACTTAGCCCTTGCCTTTGGATGTTTGAATGATTGAGATGAATGATTGAACTTAGAGAAGTGGAGAAAGTGTGATGTCCTAAACAGGATAAAAATCGCGGTTGGTAGGTGAAGATTGTGGTCGCGATCTTGTGAACTTAGCCTGCGATCTTGCACATCCCTATTTAAATGAAGGCGGTTCTCATTAGATATTTGTGTATTTTTGTTATCTCATCTTTCTAGATCTACATGTCATGTTTTTCCACTTCTCTTAGTCCTTTGAACTTCCCTTCTCTAGTTCCATTGTCCAACATCTTTTGAGAAGTGTTAGTAATTGCTTTTGGATTCACAACATTTCCCCTAGCAAGATAAGGTACATACCCCCATGTTTCATATTTTAACCACCTTATCTTTCCCAACTTGTGTTGAATGCTTGAGAACTTGAATGCCCATTTTTCTGTTTGGAATGACACTTTTGAGGCATAGGATTGTTTTTCCTCTCTCTAATGAACTTCCTATGAGATTATTGAGACCTTGGTGGGATAGTCTCATGCATCTATTTGGTTTTCCAAAATCGCCCACAAAGTGTTCGTAGTCCCCAATTAGATAGGGTTCATTCTTTTCAATCCTGTTAAATGAGAATTAATTTCATTGCATAGGGTGACTTTTATTAATTGTTTCTAAATCGATTTGGGATATCCTAATGTTAATTATCTTGGAATTATCCCTCCATCTAAGTTTCTCCTCGTGCCCAAGTTTTAGTTTCACTCAAATGTGGGGGGAAACTTAGAGACTTTGTGATAGTCATTGCACAAGTACCCTTTTGATATATATGATGTTTGGATTTATGGGTTGCACAATTTTTAATACTTGTTTTGAAGGATAAAGTACAAGACCAAGCAAATGGCTCGTGATGACAGTTCCTCTTCTCGTACTTCTCGTCCTTAATTGAGCCACCGAAGATAAGGAAATCCAAGTCAAAAGAAGTAGATGTTGAAGAACCTCATCCAACACCACCTATTCAACATCTATCAAGGGAACTTCATCGAGATAATCAAGTTAATGTAGAAGGCGGCATAGAGCACATCACTTATTATTTTTTGGAACAGGTGACCGAGCAATTCAAAACCAAGCTTCTGTGGCTTTAGGGATTACCATTAGGAGAGAGTACATGTCTCAACTGGATACTCCTCGCACAACTTGGGATTGATGATGCAATCCACTCTAAAGTACAGAAGTTTGAATGGCTAAGTTGCTCTCTATTCAAGAAAATATTTACTAGGTGCTTGTACTGGAGTTTATTAGCACATTTACCATTCGAGAAGTGAGAGGTGCCACTGACCTTGAAGACAACATCCAATTACGACTAGCAGGAGAGCATCGCCAACTGTCAATCCGGGAATTCACTAGAGCAATGGATTTTTACCCGGCGGATTTCATTGATTCACCATACACTTTTGCTACCTTTACAAGGGAATCTGACTTCCCCTGCTTCAAGGCATTTTATGACTATGAAGTCAAGAGATCCGACAGTCGACCGTGGTATGTCAAGCTATCAAAAGCTAGTAGGTGAAACCAGAGTGGCGGCTCATTCACCACGTGATTGCTAGGTCCGTGGGAGGAAAGAACCATAGCAAAGGCAACTTAACTGCCCGAGATGTCACCTTCCTTTATAGTATGCATCTACCCCAATCTCTTCATCTCAGTGTGGCTATCTTATCTATATTCAAGATTTATGAGACGGATCATCGGCTCGTCGCACTTCATGGAGGAGTTTTTGTCACCCATCTAGCCAAGTATTTCCAAGTAGACTTCAGGGTCGTCCAATTTTGATTGGATAGTAGGAACACTCCTATATCCTTCGAAGTCTTGAACTCAAAACTCAAATTTCTTCATCTGAACGACGATGGCATTTGGGGAGTACGGGGACTTCCTTCCAACCACTAATACGTTGGACATTGAGGGCACCGTGTTCTGTCTTTCGGAAGCTAGGGTGGCACGAGAGCGAAGAAGATTTGCAACCGAGGGAGATCAACTGGAGAGAGTATATGAAGGAGGAGAGTCACCCATACCCACTCCTCAATCGGTTCGCCCACATTTCAACAATGCAAGGGACTACCGAGTTGAAGCAATTATAGCGGCGATCCTTCACAATCAAGAAAGGGAGAAGGAAGTGTGGCTCCATATTGTGGCATGCATTCATGCGATCATGAAGAAGATGAACATTCCGGTCGAAGATGAACATTCCGAGGATGATTGAGTGCTAGGTCCTTTCTTTATTTTAATTAAAACCATGTTTAATTATCTTTTTATTTTTTGTCTTGTTTTTCGTACTTTAAATACTCTAGCACAAGTAGTATTATTAATTATATTATTTATCTATCGTACCTATAACTCTTAATCGTCTTCCTCTCTATCTTATGTGCTTTATCAATGTGAAAACAACCAGAAAGACAAAGACCTACACTGTGTACCTTCACCAACCCACAACCCAACATGTGGTAACCTTCATGATCTTTTCTTATGAAACTTCCACATTGAGGACAATGTGTTGCTCAAGTGTGTGTGTGTGTGGGGGTTGGGGGGGATGTGTGTGAATGTTTGAATGATTATCATGATTGGTTGAACCATGAATTGCTAGTATCCTCCCTTGTTTGTGAATGTAATACGTTGATGAATGCGTATGGGAGTGTATGCTAGCAATTGTGTTTGCGTTGTGGTGATCAATGGTCAAATGATAGTGTTTTGGAACCTTGAATGCAATACCCAAATTTTTTAAATTGAGGGTTCCAAATCACCTTGTTCCTTGCAACCCCCTACTTAATATGCTTTGATTTTCTAGATAATTAATGTGTTGTGCTCGCTAGGTGATAGTTGCATTTAGAGTACCGGTGTGTGGGTAATTTTACTCTCTTCTTCCACTTTTAAATGTGTTGGTGAAAAATGTGCATTTTAGGTGTCATCAGATAATAAAGCGAACCTAAATGCAGAGGAAAATAAATACTGAATCATGAAGTGTAGAATGGGTAAATGAAACAAATAGGCAGAGTAAGCTTCCGGAGCAGGAGGAAATAGACGCCACCCACTTATAGATATGGAAATCGGGCCTCCATCTCTAGTGCCAGCGGGGAGGGGGTGGTGAGTAGTTAAGGGCAGCGAGGGTCTGAGCCCCGCCTTGCTCTAGCAGCCGAGGAAGGGAAGCGAATGTAGGCGACTACTCTTGAAAAGCACAGCAACATATAAGCCAGCACAGATGGAAGTTGACGACGGTGGAGAAGGAGCAACAGAGAATTCTGTTCTTGGCCACAAATTTTGATTAAGCGGGCTGCTTCAAAATTTTCAAAGCAAAACTTTTGAGGAGATAGCGCCAATTGACACTTTTCATTCCCGCCCAGATAGGCACGGGATACTACTCAGATGATTTGTTTAACAATGAACGGTCACGAGAATATTTACCCGTGATATATAATTTCATTTTAATCATGGGTGTATACCCGTAACAAATAATTCCAGTGATAGTAGATGTATTTTCTTGTAGTGTTGGGATATAGAAGTTTTAAAAACCAATAATCACATGTGGTATCTTTTTCTTTTCCAAAATCATCTTCATAGTAATCTTGATCGTCAAACTAAAAAACTGGAAAACAAAATAAGTAAAATAAACGATATAGATTTTGTAGCTATGGTGGTTACTAAATAATAGTTGGCATGCTAACTCATTCCAACGAACTATGGATGAATAATCGACAAATGGTTGGAGCTCGAGGCAAGTTTGTTGATTGAGAGAATGATGGAGTGGCTAATGGCAGCGGTAGTAGATGGCAGCAACTCACTAGCAACGGTGAGAGGTTGGGAAGGGCGGCAATGGTGAGAAATTTGTTGGACTCGGAGTGGAATGATGGTTGCTCGCTAGGGACGAATACGAATGGTTGTCAGCTGTAAAGAGTGAGAGATCAACGTGTTGCTTGGTCTGTGTCATGGAAGCATACAAATACAAATGCGTTCCGGACTCACGATTTTATGCAACTCTACCACTTCTTCACACGTTTTCATTCGATTTTATGCAATTTATACAGAATCTAACTCGTTATAGTGATCTCGAAATGTAATAGCGTACAATTTTAAAATTCGACGTCGACTCTGACTGCATTGCTAAAGAGAGCATGTGAAACTTACTTTTCCGTGCTCTTTCGTTGTTAGCTTTGATTCTATGGCAGCATTACCTCGGCAACTCCTAGCTACTGTCAAACAGAGAGCATCTTTGTCAAGTCAAATGGACCAATACAGAAGCATGAAAAGAATAAATTTAGCCTTAAGTTCCAAAGGCCTAGGAAACCAGATCGACAAAGAAAATTGTCAATAAAACCCATCTCAACGCCAGAGGTCAATTTGTACTAGGGAATGGTTGCCGAAGTCACCAACATTCTAGTAGGGGAAGCATGTGCCCAGCACAAAGCGACTCATGGCAGCATCCAAAAGCCAAACAATTCATAGTTGTCTTGTGAGTGTGAGAGACATTTTCCCCCACCCCCAATTGTTATTTACAATAATAATGGATACGCGGGGAAAAATCGTTTGCCAGTGAAAAAGGAACAAAGGCGACAAACAACTTGGCGGAGATGACGTGGAAACATTTGGCCTCCCACTGACATGGATGGCGTCCTTATCCTCTCATCAGTCATCACTTCCAGTTCCGATGATTTTAGTTTTAGGTAATTGTCGTCCTACACTCAGTTACTTATTCCCTTCTATAAGATCATTACATATGCAGTATTATAATCAATCAACAATCAGTCATTCCCCGTAAGATAATAATCGTAATCAGTCAGAATCATCAAAACCAGCAGGCCCTGCCCCACATCCTGGCAGCCATGCATTCGCTTCTCGCTTTTCTTTTATAATTGGTGGTATAGTGTTGTGAATTGGAAGTTTTTTAGAGTTTAATTAACGGAAGAAACAAGCTAAAAGCTGCACACTACATAGTAGCAGCAGCAAGTGGGAAGAAACAGAGTGGTTTTAGACAAAAACAGACAATATAAACTAGTTAAACAAGTAGATTAATATTGTCATAAACCAATTAGTTTCAACAATTCAACTTATTCAAAGAAATTCATATATGTATCTCAACCCTTTTTACTTTACAAATATCATAAAAATGACTTTGACGGATATCTGATTAAGTTTAGGGTTCTGTGCATAACAGATTTCTAGTGGTGGTTTCGAAGTAGAAGGTGGGTTTGATATGATGATTCATAATAAACGGGGCAAAGAGGAAAATCAATAGTTTTTAAAAAGTTGGCCTAAAATTTTGAATTTCACATATATTTTAACTTTGATTTCAAAATATTTTGTATTTAAAAATCTGATTAGTTATGTTCTACAAGATGAAATATATTTTGTAGCGTAAAGCTTCCACGCCAGTGACATGTTCATGCATCGGATGAGCAACTCGCATACTGTTGGTATGATGGTTGGACAATGCTTATATAATCATGATATGGTAATGGTACTATGATGGTACATGGTGATATGATGGTGGTATATTGATAACAAACACACGTTTTGAATATCCAAAATTTTATTTTCCACAATATATCAAACTATAACTGTTGTCCATATCATATTTAATGCGTTCATATGTTTATAAAATTGGAAATTAAGATTAAATGAAGGAGATATAAAGTTATTAAGAAAAGCATGAGATTGGCAGAAAAAATTTGATACAGCAATACCAACATTAATTTTCTATCTGGAGATTCTAGGTTTGAATTATATAGTGAACTTCCCTTCTATTCGTATACCCCTTTTACTAGCATGTCAAAAGGTAGGGGACTGGGAAACGTTGGCTTTAAGCCTTTAACTGAGCTCTTGAGTTGCCCAAAGTTTGTGATTCTTTTAGAATCCGCAGAATTGAATAGAAAATGAGTGGCATAAGGGCATATAATTAATGTAAAAGTTGTTGGTTTGGCCTAGTCATACTGTCACTTTGAATAGGAAGGTTTTAGGTTTAATTTCTTAAGCAAAATTTAACTATAAAATAACTAATATTATCCATATTAAAATAACATTGACGTTTATTATGTACAAAATTATATAGATCAAATTGTTATGGCGGATTTGGTCTATCGAACTAGTAGGTTATATAGAATACTATTATGTTTTAGATATGCTTACAATGACTTACAAGTCACTGTGATTTGGATTAAACAGTAAACTGCTTCTGGGAATCGGTCTACCACTTCCATGAAAGCGGTGACCGCTTCCGGTTATCGATTTACCGCTTCCATGAAAGTGCTTGGTTGCTTCAGAAACTGGTATACCGCTTCGAGCAAGCGGGCAACTGCTTCAAAAAAATGGTAGACTGGATAACGTAGTTACCATTAACTTACTACTACTTCTTGGAAGCGGTAGACCGCTTCAGACAAATGATCGAACAGATAACACAATTACCTTTACATCGAGAAAATAATGGACAATAGGAGGCCTATTTCACAAATTGCTTTGTAGTAATGTGGCATCCTATTACTAGTGGGAAACCAAATCACTAAGAAAATTATAGGCCTATAGAATAAGAAATAATACCCTATTTTAACACTTATGGAATAAGAACCCGCAAAAACAAGATGATAGAAGATTTATGGACGATGAAGAAGACACAATTGTATGACAACTATACATACTTTTAAGTATAGCAACAAAAAAAAAGCTCCTCCGTCACAAGATAACTATCAAATAAAAAGAAAGAAAACTTAGAATAAAGTACGAGCATTTTCCAAATTCATAGGAGAACGATCACCCGAGAAACTTCTCATCTACAAATGGGTGCAAGCATGTCTCAAAACAATCCCTAAGTGGTACGTTTTCAGCAATTTATAAAAGAAAAAGGGTTATAGGTATATTTTGCCGCTCTACTTTGTCAAGTTCTCAAACATGCCCTTCTAGTATAACAAGGTTATCAAATCTACCCATCCATCCATTGTTATGTCAATTCACCGTTATCTTGGATTAAATATGGCTGAATTTATTTAATGTGATTGTGAAATTACTTAAATATCCTTCTTACACTTTTTTTTAATGTTAATGTGTTAGAAGACCTTCTCTTGCTCATTGAGGACCTCATTCTAATCGCCCCTGCCATTTTCCCAACCATTCATCTTTTTGTTTCAAAACCCCTCAAAGGTGTTAATCCCACAATCATACTCCCACATTGATATACGAAATCCTATCCTCCTGTCGTCGTCTTAGACTTGTTGTTTCTCGTCCTGCTGGCGATCCTAATGGCATATGTTGAGAGCTCTTTAGA